TTTCTATCATGTTTGATTCGGGAATGGATATATTGAATTTGCTTTGTATTAATAAAACATCATTCCTGATTGATTTCTTGTCATCCTAGTCCATGGTGATGACTACTTCATTTGCCCGATGTAGCTTGCTCTAATATATGCTGCTAAGCGTGAGGAGTGCTGTCAGGCCTTCCGACAGCTTTAAGATGGTTGCCAGCCCTCTGAACAACCGTTTCATAGGGCTCGCTGGGCAGATCCCCTGAATGGTCGTTCGAGAATCTTATAGATACAAATGAGACAGAATCGGCTGCATAAGCACAAGAAACGAAGGAAACTCAGACGAGCGTCACCCACGCCCCCTTAAATAACCCAGGCGAACTTCACTACACAACTCCTCCCCTCATACTGCTATTTGCATAGCCAGCTTGGCTGTCGGCTGCCGCTCTTGCGCTCGCTTGCATAAAGGGAGTACAGCGGACCTGACACTGCACTCCTAACGGGCGCCATTCTTCTCCTTTCGTCACACAGTCCTAGGGGGTCACTTTGTTTCGTCACCCTCTTCTACCCCGAGAGTAATTGGGTCGACTGCTTGAAACTGATATATATGTCAATACAGTGGCGGTCCACAAGTACAAGTGATGTTCCACAAGTCTTCGTCCACCCTCGCCCTACCGCCTAGTCTTCCGCTTTCAGTGCAAGCTTGACTAGTCTGTAACTTGTCATAAAAGAGACTTTAATTTTATTTATGATGAAATTCATTCAATTTCTAGCTTTGGTCTCTATCTACCTCCTTGGAATCATGAAATTTGGGTAAGTAATGCAGAAATCAGTAACTAACTGTTGATGTGCTAGCCGTTGTATAGCCATGATTGTTCATGGGCGGAGGATCCAGTACGGACTAGTGCTTAACTCGTACAAGATATTGATGGCCTAAGGCGACGTTGAAGTCAGCCTTGCCGTTGAGTTGGCCAATCCTGGGTTAGGATTCGATGGTGTATGTAGGTGCCAAGAGACCACAGTTTGAGCCAGACCAAGGTGAGCTAATTACGCTGTATCTGAGCCTAGGCGAGAGAGGGTCTGTACGGCGGGCTCGCGTGACGGAGGGTGATTCTCAGCCGCTCTCACCCAGCTTCTCACCCTGTCCATTGCGCACTCACCCCTTCTAACTCACGCTGATGCAACGCTTTATGCATTGAAATTAGGAGTATTAGGGCATATATTTTATTTTCACTTGAAAATCAGCACATACGACCATAGGGTGTGGAGAACAGGGCTTCCCGTCCGCTCAGCCGTACTTAAGCCACACGCCGGCCAGTTAGTAGTATGGTGGGTGACCACATGCGAATCCTGGCTGTTGTATGTCCGCGTTCACCTGTTTTTTGTCATTCGTTGGGACATCTGCTCTTGCCGCTTTACTGTTCAGCCCCTTCCGGCCCCTTCAGGCCACTTCACCTGAACGACCTGAAGGCCATCTATTCTCCATCTGATCGCCCTGAAGGCCCCTGAAGCGCTGACGTGGCCCCTCGGCTAAACTTGGTCTCCCTCCAACCCTCCGCCCCTCTCTTTGTCCTCGCCCCATCTTTCCCTTTTTTGGTGGCCTGAACTGATCCTTACCGGAGCTGACCCTGGAAAATAGATTCGCCGTTCGCTCTCAGCCGTCTGGTCTGGTCTTGGTTATCTCTTCAAGAACACAGTGAAGATCCTGACCAAAGAAGAGATGCAGAAACTAATGACTCGCTCCCACCGAAATGACCACAATTGAAGAGTTCTTTCGTGGCCAAACGCATGGAGTACTTCATCAATCCCAACCGGACGGACCACGTGTGAAGGGCTTAAGGCTCCATATGGATCCACGCTCTCGGGCCTATTGACGAGCGCTCGTGGTTCGCATGTTGTCCATTGCGGCAATCTGGTAAATATCAGCCTCTAATATGTGTCCACCTATTGCCTAGCTTCTGGCCTCATCGGGTTATCATTTCGCAGATTCTCGATGTAGCTAGTTAGAATCATGACCATCTGCGAATACTGCTACGTCTGGGCAGCGGTTCCTATTTAAACCAGTTTGCGCTGGAATCCCACATGTATACGGAAAAATACCCCAATTGGATTCACAACTAAACGAAGCCTTGCTATTGCTCTCTCCTTATGCGATCGTCAAACGCTATCGGGAAGACAGCAAGTCCACCTACGAAGATTTTTAATGACGGGATTAAATGGATCTGATTACACGTTATCCTTTTTCAGCGATCATGAACATACTTTAGATTAGATACAGACATATATACTCTATAGCCCTAAACAATAAGCAACTAGCAGCCAGCAAAAGTCTCCATACACGGGCCGGATAAGCACCCACCAAGGAGAGGGTCTACGAGCCCATAGTTGATTAAACAATAACGAGTGAACGAATTATTGAGTTTGACTAGAAGGTTCAGGGTCCATGAGACGAGGCTTCTCCGTATTCAGGTCCGCTCCCTCGTCCAAGTGCATTTTAATAATCTTTTGATAGCCTTTCCCTGACGCGGCCTGCTTCAACATTCCCGGGATTTATCTTCTGTCTCTATGGCTTTAGCTTGTTGGCGATTCGATGGACTCTCGTTATTCTCAGTCCTGTAACCGGAAATAAGCTCCTTCAATGAAGGGAATTCAGAGACGTCTTGCTTTGGCGCAGAATTGCCATCCTTATGTCCTTCAGCGGTGTGAGGATCATCGGAGGAGGTATGAGCATCGGAGGAGGAGGTATGCTCTTTATTTTCGGAAAGCAATTGTTCTAAGCTTTGTCTATGGATTGAGCCACTCGAACCTCTAAATACAATCATCTTTCCATCCGGTGAGAAAGCGACACTAGTGAACGTTGATTCTAAGCGGTGAAGTTTGATCTTGACCCATTTGGGCTCGCTAGCCATAGAGTCAATTATCTGTATCCATAGAGCATGTTCTGGAGTCGCTATAAAAATTTTGCTCAAAATAGGCATCAGAGCTAGGTGTAGTGATTATTGGCGCCATCGTTTTCCTTGGAGAACAATAGGGTCTTTGTTCCTCTCATTCCTAGTATATATTTCAAATTGATGGACTTCCATCGAAGCTGTGAGAAACGCAACTATCTTCTCATCTAGTGAGATTGCCATCTCTTGAAATTTGGATATGCGTTTCTCTGGATAGCACTTCCCAAATGAGTTTGACTCCTCTAATTTGTAAAGCACGAAGAAGGAACCTCTATCGGAAGAAGATCCTCGGTAGTTGCCTTGATAGTCCCCAGCTGCTAATACAAGCCCCGACAGCAGTATGAAAAGACGTTTCAGCTTTCCAAGCCCTAGAATATCGAGAGGTATTGCGTCCTTATATTATCTAGATTGAACGTTTCAGAATATAATCAATCCATCGATTCCAGCGGCTAACGTGTCGCCAGTTGGAGACATAGCAATTGGCTTAAAGCCTGAAGTATATGATTGGATATTTTAAAGTCTAGTAGACCATCTAGTCTCCCACATAAGCTCGGATTTTTTAGTGTCCCATACTTTAATTTGGTTTTCGTTATATGTTACCAATATCTTTGCATCAGTAGAGCATTAAGCCCCCAAAGCGCCGCCGCGAACTTTAAGACGACGCCTCGTCCTACTTTAGATGCTGTAAATCACAATCTCATCAGTCCCACTATTTATTACAAGCTCGCCTTTTGTTGTGCAGACAATTTATAGCGAGTCGAAAGAAAAACCGATAGAGCCAACGCTGCCAATTAAGAGAAAAGGCTTATCTAGCGACGTTTCATTTAGGAGGAGAGAAGAAGCTATAGCTCTAGCACCTATATATGCAGAGGTAATGGACGAACGATATGTACTCCCCAGTTGGTCTACTACCGTAGAACACGTCAGTACTTTTGTCAGCTCATCCTCTACCCAGCGAATAAATGTCTCATACTAGAGCGACCCGTACCTAATAATCCCGAGGGTGGAGTGTTGGGTTGATCCTAAGGAGTAGGCTCTCTATCGGATAGCTCTTCTGCTTTATTCTCTCGTAGTTCTTCCGCCTCATTTCCCTCCTTCGTTCGGTTTCCTTCATTTTCGCTTGACTGCGATTTAAGAATAGTTTGAGACGATATGCTTGGTCAAATTATCAGCGAAGTAGCGATACCACGTATCATATAACGGTATTACTTCTATGTGCTCTTGGCTCTTATTCTAAGGACTAGCAGGGTCGATACAGTCAGCCATATATGACAGAGTGCTTGATACACAGTTGGTCGTCTGCCAGGCTCTAGAAGCATCAGGCCCTTTACAAAGTCCTGTCCTGCCTCTCCAATTCCCTATTTCTGTAGGTTCTCCAATAGAAGAGCGACATTTAAGCTGCGTATCGGAGATGGCCTTCCAACTAAGACCTGAAAAATTGTCTCTCCAAGGGCCCAAATGTCTGCTGCCTAGAAATCAAAAATGCTCAATAGACCTTCTTCTCTATAAGACACAAGATTAGGTGCAATAAAGCCGGATGTTCCGATAATACTTGATGCTCCCAAGCTGCTCGCGGAGACACGTTTACTGATGCCGAAGTCGGCGAGCTTGACCCGCCAAGATTGTGGTGGAGCAGATTTCAGCAGGACGTTCTGTTCGCCATTTAGATATGCCAAATCTTCGAATTTGACAGGAGGACTCACTTAGGGTTTTAAGTCTCGATGAGTAAATCTATTTACATGCATCATATAAAGGCCTTCAAGTAATTGTGAGGCTATGTATTTAGCATCCGCCTCAGGTAGCTTTCCTTCCGGTACTTTGGCTTTGTTTTGTAGATGGTTCTGAAGGTCGCCGAGCTGCAAATATTCCATGGCAATGTAGAGATTCTAGGAATCCTGATACCAGCCATACGATGCTCCAAAACAGTATTGGTACTAAAAATGGTAAGAGGTCAGAGATTACTTGCATATTTTGCTAGTATTTTAATTCATTCACTCAACTCTTCTCCCGCGGCTTTGATTGAATTGATATTTCTCAGTAGAGCAGATCCAAAAAAATGCATCTGTATTGTTGTCACTAAAACGTGTAGCAGGTATCATCACCATCATCGAAATCTTCAACAAGCACCGCTTCAAGGCCGTCGTTCTCAGCCTCCTCGCCTCGAACAGTTAGCATTTCAATCCAGCGGTTGTGAGACGCTAGATACGAAGAGTCCACCTTGTCGCTAGAGAAAGGCTTGAATTTGATTTTGAGGTACTGCACTGCAAAGACCCTCTCCCCCGGAACGAGCATAGTCAAGTTGTGAGACTTGGCTGAATCCACCTGAGCTTTCCCTTTTATGTCAAGACTGTCATCCGGATTTCCTGCCAACGCTCCTACCGGTAAATGGGCTGTTCCGCCGCCATGGACACCACTTGAACTGCTCGTGCTCAGCGCCGCATCTAGCAGTGTTCGATATCCGGTCACGAGGTAGACATCTTTGCCGCGCATCTTGGAGCGCTCGATCCATCGCCGCGTCGCTTCCTCGCTGATGATGGTGTCGTACCACGAGTCGGCATTAGAAAGGATGTATTCCTTTACGAGGCATGATTTTAATTCGTCGAAGCTCTTGGCCTTCGTGCGCAGGAACGCCGAGGCAAATCGCGTCAGGGAAGCCTCCAAATCCACAGCATGGGTCGACTTGACCATGTCAGCGAAATTGTGTATATCGCTAGGACTGACGTCAGGTTTGGGCTTGGTTGGAAGTATCGTGGGATCGAAGAAGCCCTTTCTGGGATCCGTCCGGTCGTGGATGAGGCGGCCCAGACCAAGAGCGTCTAGTGGCAAAGGAAACGACAGCAGAGAAATCATAGTCTTTCCCATGCTTGTACAGTATAGTCGGTCGGGGACCGCAAAAAAACCAATATAGATGAGTCCGCAGGGATGAAGCCTCCCAATGTGGGTTCGTGCTTGAATGTATCCCTGCACTGCGTGGAGCGATCGAAGCTCCCGAAATCCTTTGGGCAGCAGTCCAGCCTGGCCTTATGTTGGGCCTTATGATGAATTGCTGTCTCAGCTAGACAATGAGCCGGTCTCAGCTGTGCCATGGAATATGGTTGCAAATGTCATGACGTCAGAATCTCCTTTAAGGTCTCCGTTGGGTTCCGAGCTCGCAGAAGCACTGGAGAGCCTGGGGGGATAAAAACCCTCCTATACTGTTGGAAGTTCTGAATCTTTCCAAAATTCAGTCTTGTACTCTTGGGACACAGCCTTGAATCAAGAGACAGTAGCCAGCCTCGAAGAACCTGGGTATCATTAGGTTCTTGAACTCTTCTTGGTCTATTTAGTTCCTATTGTCTTCCCTGATCTGTACATTGTTGGCCTAATTCCCTACAAGGTCTGGGTTCTCTTTGTACTTCTCCCTGACACGGGCTACGTACGGAATATTAATAGCTGATTTTCAAGCTTCAATCACTGTATGTTGATGTTGATGCCTCAGGCTAGGGGTTGTATGCTAGATCGTCAAGTGCGTGCAGAAACAAAATCATCGAAGGGTTGCTCGAGCAGTTGCAGCAGCTGAACAAACACTGAACCAATCAAGCCTCGCCCAAAATGCCCAGCTGAGGCTCGACTGTCTTGTAATCAGACACCAATCTAGTATCGTTCTTCAACTGAGGTGACACGTCGAAAAAGAAACTGTACCGCCATTTCATGCCCTCAAAACCCTCATCGGTTGTGGATAATTTCTGCAGAACTTCATCACGGCCCTGCAGTGCATGACAGTGCAGTGAGATGTCCACTGCCTCTTCTGCGCTTAAGATGTCTGAGCCCCTTCAATTCAGTTCACTGCAAGCGCCAGACGGAGGACGCTGTAGCTTGGTCGCCGAGCTGGATCAGCTGCCTTGGACGCACCCCGAGCACTTTGCTACAGCATCAAAGTGCGGTATTTTCTTCCGTGAACGGTATGAATTGACTGGCAAGCTCCATGATATCGCGAGGGCGGTTTATTACGGGCGGTATGTTGTCGCGCACAAAGACGGCACTCTGCCAAAAATCCAGCTCATGCTGTCTCTCAACAAACGTTTCACGCACGACCATAACGAAATCTTTCTCCACGAGAGCATGAGCCTGTTCAACGATGTCACTGATGCTGGCAATTTGTCGGAACTTCTATCTCATGCCGGTGATGCGAATCTCGTAACGTGCCTGGCACAAACGCAAAAGCTGCGTTACTTCTACATGGGAAGCAGCAAGAAGGCTCCAGTTGACCTCGACTCACGGCTATTTGCAGACCGTGAGCACCATATGGCAATGCCATTTGATGTACGTCTCCGTCGGGCTAAGGACATTAATCCTGGTGTAGATGTCAATTCTCCGGATGCGAAGCGGGCAGATCGGCTCTGGCGGTGGTCCCAGCGACACAAAGTCGAGGATGAGGAGGACTTCCAGAGTGCTCTGGGGTACTTGATGGAGGCAGAGAAGCTTGTGGATATCTATTGTCCGAGCTTCTGTCATATCTATCACTCCATTGTCGGTCTTCTGCGAGAATCATATTTGAGCACCTTGAGGTTGGAGAGACTCGACAAGGCCATTGCGTATACCCAGAAGGCTACGGAGGCAAAAGTTGCTTCACCTACCCAGAGAGCAATATACCTCAGCGATCTCGGGTTACACTGTATGTTGAGGTATAATCGGCAAGCCCGCCTGCAAGACTTGGAAACCGCATTATCAGCGCACAGAGAAGCTGTTCGTCTCTATCCTACAAGAGACTCCAGCAAGGCAGTTTTACTGGACCAGCTGAGTAACGCTTTGCATTCCTATTATCTACGCACTCGGAATTCAGCCAAGTATCATGACCCCGCAATCAAATATCTCGAGGAGGCAGTCTTATACGGCCAACAGTCGGTGGACATCGAGAGGAGAAGCTTCAATCTTGTTAATCTTGCACAGAAATTTGATCAGCTGTTTGACGCGACTGGCGACATAGAAGAGGAGTATATAAAGAAGGCGGCCGACCTAGTTTCCGCGGCGGCGAAGCTAAAGGATCTCTCGCCGGATGAACAAGGCCCAGTTCTTAAGACGCTTGGCAGAATCGTCGCTCGAAAATATCACAAGTCACCGTCACACGTTTTACTCCAAAGAGACAGAGATAGTTCGGATATCGAGTTTGCCTTGCAAACTCTTCTCATGTGTGCTGAGTCGCCAGCTATCCAACCTCTAGAAAGGATAAGAGCTGCAAGAGAGGCTGGCGCTATTTTATATGACCTTCGTCGCTACGAGGACGCATGGGACTGTCTCAGGGAAGCCGTAGGGAATATACCCTCCGCTTCAGCAGTTCATTTTGACCCCGAGGGGCAGCAATACATCATATCCCAACTGTCGGGTCTTGGGTCAGAAGCTTGCTCAGCTGGCCTGACGGCTGGAGCACCTCCTCTCAAGGCACTCTATGTCTTGGAACAAGCAAGGGGGATATTGACCACAAATCTACGCGGCGGTTCCGGAGAACTAGACGACCTGAAATGCAAAGCCCCAAATTTGTACGAGGAGTTTAGAAATTTTCAGCAACAAGTCATGCGCCCGTCGGAACAGCAAGTTCAGCTAGTCGATCCGCTGGACTTATCACAGAAACCCTGGACAGATCCCCGCATGAGCGCAATCGAAGAACTGGATAGAGTTGTCAAGTCAATCCGCGAAACGGTTCCAGGATTTCGCAATTTTCTTACCAAACTCGAGCCTCACCACATCACTGAACTTTCTGACGAAGACTATATCACAGTCCTCAATACAAGCATTTTTCGTACAGACGCCATCGTCCTGAAGAGGGGCAGAGTTGGTGTCATACCACTCTATTGTCTTGAGCCGATGTCAATCAGTGGGCGTAGATTACAAATGGCCGAACACACCTTCAAACCGCTCTTGAAGTCCATCCACAACCAAAGTATAGAGCCCCACGTCCGGAACCACGACCTGACGCGGATGCTCGAGCTTGCTTGGGTTTTCATTGTGGAGCCAATCTGTAGTGGCCTTGGTCTGAAAGAGCATATTCCCACCCCCGATTGTCCTTTTGCGCCACGGGTTCTATGGATTCCCACAGGGATATTTGCCCAAATTCCATTGCATGCCGCCGGCAATTATAGCAGTGGGATTCTTACCGACTCGGCCACTGCAAGAATAACCTCTTCCTACATCGCGAGCTTCCGAATGCTGCAACATGTACGCTCACGAAGCCGCGGCATTCAAACTGCAGGAAACAATGGTGTGGTCTTGAGCACGGCATCAAAGTCTTGGGCATCACTTCCCAAGGGTATCAGAAAATACTTCTTGCCTTCCGCCGATGTAGAGGCGGCGGGTGTCACGGACGCGGCCCGGTTTATCCAGTGGGCTCAAATGCCACGAGCTGTGAAAGCGCAATTGCTTGACGTCCTTCCCAGCTGCAACTATTTGCATGTCAACTCTCACGCCGAGACAGACGTAGCTGATCCATCGCGCAGTCACCTGATCCTGCTCGACGAGGCTGCTACAGAATCTGAACCTGTCATAGCAAGGCTCAGTGTTAAGGAGATATCTAGCGCTGTAGCGGATAAGTCCATCTTGGCCTTCCTTGCCGCTTGCTCAACAGCGTACGGATCAGTACCCGAACTTCTTGACGAGGGTCTCCAGATTGGGAACGCATTTCAGCTGGCTGGATTTCCCCACGTCATTGCTTCGCTTTGGCCAGTCTATGACTTCGTTTGTCCAACTCTCGCTCGCGAGTTTTACCAGTTCCTGAACGATCACACCGACGAGCACGGGGGGATAGGAAACGACGCCATTTCCTGGGCCCTGCACCACGCTGTCTCTACATTGAAAGAAGAGTACCTGGATGAGCCGCTCATATGGGCACCCTTTATACATCTGGGTCCTATGAGCAAAGAGGTTGACTGGGTAAAGTGGGGAATGGACGAGTTCTGTAAGAAAATTTTGTCCTCGAAAGCTGTTGGAGGTGGAGCTGCTAGAGCCGGTGATGCTGCCCGCGGTGATGCTGCCCGCGGTGATGCTGCCCGCGGTGATGCTGCCAACGGTGATGCTGCCAACGGTGATGCTGCCAACGGTGATGCTGCCAACGGTGATGCTGCCGACGGTGATGCTGCCGACGGTGATGCTGCCGACGGTGATGCTGCCGACGGTGATGCGGCCGACGGTGATGATGCCAGAGCTAGGGCTGTTGCTGCTGGAAGTGGAGCCGCCGGAGCCGGTGCTGTCAGAGCTGGTGTTGCCAGAGTTATTGCCTGGCCCCGCGCGCTGGTGCTGCACCTGCTGCACTGGCTCGTCAACGCCAGCAGAGGCATCAATCGGGCGGAGGTGCCAGGCGGCAGACAAGTAACTGATTGAACTAGACTTTATTGCGCCGATGCGAATACGCCGAAGCGGTAAAGGTGTGAGCGATTCGCTGTATACCGGCCCATGAATCAATCGCATGACATCGTACCAGCGTGCCTTTGATCGATCGTGCTGACGCTTTAGGCATCGGAAGGACGTGCTGCCAGCTCTGGCCGGCTCGACGGTGATTGCGAGCTAGAATTTCGTATTGCTCTGGCACACGATATTTACGAAAGCTACAGAGTAATCAACACACTAAGCCAGGCGACCGCTTACAGGAGCAAAAGTTGGCGATGCTCCGTCAATGAGTACCTCAACATTGGTACTGTATAGATACCAAGTGATTCTACAGACAAACGAGACAGTCAAGGCAGCCAAGACAACCAAGAAAATTACAGCACCGCACACTGTTGCTGCAAGGAGCATGACAAGGCGGCGACAGGGGGACCCCGAATGCGAGAAAGAACGTGGATGCACGAGTGAATAATCGCGGGAAAGTAAGAGCACTCGGCGTCAACAAGTTTTAACACTTTGGATGCTGCTCCGTCTGTTTTCAATTCTAACTGGTGGTGCAGAACCATAGCTACCTTAAGCCGACCTGCAGTTCCATCCCCTGGCATGTCTTATCGGTCGATCCGCTGTCGAGTTTCCGCGCATGCGAGCACACTCACCCGCCACTCTTTTTTGGGCAATCGCCCGTATGTTGCGGGACTTCAAATCTGTCTTGGGGGGCGTAAATTGAGTTCATCGAGCCGAAGAGGATTGGGCTTTCGATGGCCGCGACTCTCATCTGTCACTACGATTCTAAAAAGCGACTTTGAGTATAAAAGGGATATGTACTGACGGCTACGAACTCCCTTATCCGTGACCCACCAACACTTTCCAATCGGCGACGGGACAGCCCATTGCCAAGTATAGCCTGATAACTTTCCTTACGCGCTGCCCCAATTTAGTAGCCGCACCAATTTAGTAGCCGCAAAATGGCTCAAGTTTGCCATTGACGTGCCGTGGCATCCTTTATTCTGTGAATTGACCTAGTAAACACAAAATGGTTCCTTGTAACCCTGAGCATGTGCAAACGGAATACTACGAACCTGATATCTAATTCCGACAATTATCTATTGTACTTGGCATAATTATAGCTACTAATAATTTTCACCATTAACTTCTCCAGCTTCCTTGACACACGGAAAGCGCCGAAGTGGCGGAAAGTTAGAACCACCGATGATTCACGTTCCTCCTGAGCCTCAAGGATGTGAGGTATAGGATGGGTCAAGTAATAATATAAAAGAGTTAACCGCCTGTTGTACGTACTTCCGAGAGTCAGTTTCCAAGAGCTACTCGCGGGAAAAAGAACTAACCCTCTTAGCTGGCGGCTTTAGCGAATTATAGGGACTTTTAGTGGATAAATTATAAGGAAATTGATTTGTGCTTGCGTAAGGTAATATATATTTATAGGTTCTAAGATTGTAGATATATAATAGTGAGTAGGCCTATTGTGTTACGGACCTCGAGTACCTGAGGGCCGCAGCGGGCGGAGGGGCAGCCGAGAGCCAACCATTCTCCAGGCAGCACCACGCTAGTGGAGTCACGTGCGTTTCGGTATACTCAGCCAGCCCCTGGGGGCCCTGAGGAAACCATCTCGGAAAGGGAGCCAGATTCGGCCTGCGACTAACCGTGCCAATGTATACTCTATTAGTGGAGCTGACGGTTAGCGGGACGCGGGAATCGGCTACTAATCTACTGGCACTAAGATTACACCCTAAGTGTAAGTGCCCGGTAAGTTAGCACGTGACGCTAAGTATATACTCTAAGGCGTGACCCTAGGGAGTATATGTAGGAGTATACGGTGACTCTAGATCTACCCCTAGGGAGTAGAGCAGGGAGTCGACAGAGGGACTGGATATATAAGGACACTCATTTAGCTATCATGTATTTAGTTCTTCGCGATTAATTGCACATTGTTACTTGGTTACTACCTTTGGTACTTCACGCTTCACAGTTCAACCTTCAAGACAACCTAACCTACAAGTAGGGGAGCTCACTTAGTGGCAACACTCAGTGACTGAATTACTTGGCGCGCTCTACTGGCACCTCCTGCAAGATACTCAATAGGACCCGAGTCCGTGTAAGGCTTAGCATAGCAACGGTACGGTTGCGAGATACTCTTGGGATTGAAGTCTGTGCCGACAGGGCCGGAATCAGCCGTCTCAGCACATACAGTTGTTGTCCCTGATAACAACTGGGGTAACTATTACCCTTTTGGTATAAACTCATATTAACCAGCAGGCACCGCGTAACATACTACTACGCTAATCTATATATACGACTAATCTATAGATAGACCTCGATATTCGTGGAAGTCTCTATAGTAGAGTTAGGTTATAAGTACTATAAGATCGTTTAGTAATAGTCCGTCCTTATCTATTTCGGCGGATAGTATTTTTTGTTATGATATTTGTGATGAGGCTATTCACATGTTGATATTGGTGCCTCAGGCGCGTCGGGCCGGGGTTTCTGCCAAAGCGGTGGCCACCCGGCGGTCAGCCGGCAACCCCTCGGCAGCGATACGCGACAGCCACGCTGCATGCAGGCCACGCCCACAGTATGTGCCATGCGCTGGCCATACGCTGGCCTTTCGGCATCGAATCCCCCTTGCTTCGTGTTTGCTTCCTGTTTGCATGGAAAATGATGTATTTAAATTGATGTTTAAGGAGTGGGATTTCAACTCCTTAAGAAACAGTCTCTGTCATAATTGGACTTGGTGCTTTGCTCTCCTACCTAGTTGACAGGCTTTCTACCCTGCAAGTAGTATACTCTTAACATTTTTAGTAAGGGCTTTAGCTCTTATAGAATCTACTAGAGAGAGATTAGGATTTATTCTACGAAGTATTATAGCTACTGTACCTCTCTAATCGTTATAGATATCTTTTTAGGGAATTTATGCCTACGATAAAAGGATATATTCGCCTCGAAGTTTCCTCGAAATCCGTCGATAGTTACGATAGTCGGCCTTACCGTGATTCGACCTTTTATTCTACGTAACGTAAACTCTATAAACGCCTTAAAGGTTCGAATATCGGGCGGATTCACTGCCTTCGGGTATAGTAAGAGGAATCTAACGGAAGTAATTAGAGATCTAGAGAAGTAGCCTCCCGAAGGTGAAGTATTATTAAAAGGTACTAACTTATCAAAGATACAAAGTGCACGCCGATAGTCTCGCTTAGTTTTTAGGAGAAAGGCACGTAAGATTTCTGAGTTATTATGGTGATCGAAATCCACGATGAAGGTAAAATTGGCGGCTTGATCCTTACTCTTAGTCATTATGGGGGTGAATCGTGATCGGAGGGCCACCGGGACGAGGTGAGAGGGGAGGCTAGATCGTGGGAAACCTCTGCTGGACGCTCCTAGCGCGTACTTATAATTCATCCATCGTCGCTGTCGATACCAGCGGCTCGCGAAATCTTTCCGTGTGCCAAGATGTGCAAATGCGCCTTTTCACGGCCTGCCCTGCACCCTGGGCGGTCTTCGGGTGAAGAACATTTAGGTGGGTGAACTGCCGCCTGAACCCGCCTGAACCCGCCTGAAGCCCGCCTGGATAAAGCGGCGAGTCGCCCAGCACCGAACGATGGGCGCTAGGTGAGCCCGGTCATACTTTTGGCTGTTGTATGTTTTTGCTGTTTTTACATTAAATTGAGCCCTTCCAGGCTCCGTTGTCCAGGGTCACTCGTCGCGCCGCCCGCCGGAGAATGTGGTTGCATATGAGGCGGTTACGTCCTTGAGCGCATTTCCACTTGGACCTATCGGCCAGATGCAAGGTGGTCTCACGGGGCAGCATCATTGTTGTCAAGTTGCAAACAATTAAGTGAGATGATAAAAAAAGCCGCTATGAGCGCCACCGAGTATTCGAATCAGATTCAACCTTCACGGTGCGCTAACTGTGAAATCACTAGAATGCGAACATTGGCAGCTTGGTAACCGCAAGGTAGACCCAATACCGAGACAGCTCCTCCATGTCAATGTCTGCAATTGGAACACCACTTAGGCTGTCCAGCACGCAGCCTAATATCCAATCAGTGAAGAACATGAGAAGCAAGGCAAAAAGAGACACGAGAAGGTATCTTAGAGGCTTTAGCCCTGGGTCCGTCCCTTTCCCTAAGTAGCACAACTCACACACGAAGGTGAAGAGAGTTCCTACTATGGTCAATCCCCCCAGGATGCCGAAAATCAAACAAATCTTCTTGCTAGATTCCTTGCCCTCAAGAACGGCTAGCCTGGCCAAGGAGATACTTCCGATGAGAACCGCACCTATACGAACCCCGAGGACCGCAAGGAACACGACCTTGACCTTCTGATCCCCGGATTGGGCGGGCCCGTTGGCCATGCTGTTTAGTTCTCGCGTGACTTCACTCATGTGTGGACTCACGTTGCTTGTTCTATTACTCTCCCCTTGCATACTTGACGAGCCGAGCCTGCTGAGCCCAGAGGACGGCATATCAGCCATAGCGCCATATTCCCCTATAGAGTCACAAGTTCGCTCGTCAGACACGGCTGTCTCTTCTTCTGGAGTCGATAACCATACAGCCCCCAAGACCGGCTGAGATTCCGGGTCATCCTCCTGAGCCTCGCCTTTGATCAGAGGATGCCATGAGCTGACAGTGAAAAACCCGACGACCGCGACGAAGAGACCCATCAAGCCGTTGCTGACGTTTATCAAGACTAGCTCCCAGTGCTGCCAGCATTTCTCGACGTTGTATTCGTTCAACACAAAGATGAAGAAGATCCAGAGGCCTATAAGGAATTTGGCAAGGTCTGTGTTGCAGATCGTTCTTGCGGGGCAGAGCGGTGCGCGGCCGAAGAGGAGGCAGGTCACCATGTACAGGGTGGCTATGTCGCTAGCAAAGCCGATAGCTCCGTAAGGAACCAGGTACGCTTCTTGCATGGAGAGAATAGGCGGGGTTTGGCGCGCCATGAGTGCGTCTTCGTCCGGGGAGTGTATCCTCGAGCGGTCGAAGGGTGTGAGAAAGTTGACTGGGAAGAAACCGTGCCTGGGGTGTGTTGGAGATTGAACAGACGTTGATAAGTAAAAATGCAAGATTAATGCTTGGTAGTATCAACAACGAATCCGATCTCGCAGGTCTTGCACGTGCGTTTTACATGTCAAAGCTAACTTTACTTCTAGGATAGAGCCTTCTTCCCCGCTAAATCGGCCACCGACGACTACTAGGTACAGTGCATTTTCAAGACAGAGTACCCCACAGACACGTGCTTTCTTTCTTAGCCCACGGAACAGAGTCCTACAGTGCTGAGACTATCATCGATTAGTTTGAGGCTGTAGAACGCGAGCGCCCGTGATCGAATACGCTATACGAGGTCACGCATCACTTTTAACTGGTAGGATCCTCATTGGCCCATTACCTCACATTTGCTTTCCCTGCATTGTAGAGCACCCCTAGGAAATGTATGAAGGGTATTAAAGCCTTTTGGAAGTGACGCCAGCTGCGCAGACTAATATCATGTATTTAGACTTGTCTCGCTGACCAGCTTCTCTTCTTTGCTTCTATCCCTTCGTTTTCATTTCTGTCATGGTATGCTACCTTTATGAATACATCTTTCTCTTTCTCTTTTCGTCGTGAATGTGGCAATATCTATGTACATTAAGCAATATTGGGACATGATGGTCAATAATCTTCTGTAAGTGGGAAAAATTGTGCTCTAAAAGGATGCACTCGCTCTCGATTTACGACAAGGGATAAATCCCGAAGCGTGGAGAACAGGCTTCGTGTCCGCTCAGCCGTACTTAGGCCCATTACTCAATACGGCCAATTCTCGATGCGCCCTGGAGCCCTGAAATGGCGTCGGATTTGATCTTTGGGAGAGTGTGGGTGATATGGGTGATATGGGTGAGAACATGGCGAGGATTCTCACCCAGATCACCTAGGTTACCTACTTTCCCTTTTTTTTACTTGACTCAAGGCCATAAATATGAGCCCTAGGGCTCATAGATAATCCTCCACCATTCTCATGTCTCCATTGAAGCATGCTGTGATTAAAACCGGGGTATGATCTGAGTCTCCGGTATCTATATTGGTTCCAGCTTGTAAGAGTAGCTCGGTGGCCTCAAGAATACCTGCCTTAACAACCAAGTGCAAAGCAGCAGGTCCCTCACCGGGCTTGCTACCAGCATTGAGAAGTTGCTTCAGAAGCGATATGCTGTCAAATTGGATTGACAATCAAAGTGAGGGTGTCTTCGCCGTACCTTCCCCTGGGTCCTTCGAACACAAGTTGGGATCAGCTCCGTGGGTGATCAATTCCGTAGCAATTTCTTGATGGTTTCTAATAATTGCTGCCTAGAGAGGAGTCCTATGAGCACCCTCTATCAGGTTGACTTCGGCGTTTGCGTTAAGTAGAAACTTCACATAATCTAGATGTCTAAACCGGGCCGCTGCTTAGAGAGCGCAGCCGTAATAATATCCGCGTAAGTTAACATTAATCCCTCGGTTAACAAGAAGCTTTATGAAGTCGATGTCTCCGCTTGCTACAGCTATTTGTAGTAGTAGACTGAATTGTTTGTCTAAGGCCCTTATTTCTAGCCGAGATAGCAAAACATGCTTAATCACTACTCCTGGACTAGTCAACAGAACATCTTGTATCGACTCTGATTCTAAGAAGAAACCACACTGCTGCGATTGCGTATAAGGATGAAGTAAAGACATATTATCTAACTCTAACGGCTCAGACCTAAAGTAAGTCAATGCCCTCAATATCGCGTTCAATACAGACTCCTATTTCTGCTGGGTGACTTCGTCCGATCCGACGATAGCCCCAGACTCGAGGAGTAAGCGCACAATGGGTAGCGCGTTTAATTCTCGACCTGCAGCTAGTTGCAACGGGGTGCCTTTTCCGAAAATATCGATATCTATATCTGCGCCCTTGGCGATAATTGTCTGAACCGTCTCCTCGGATAGCTTCTCTGCCGCAATATGCAGAGTAGTTATTCCGCCATCGAGTGCTTGGTTAACGTTAGCGCCGTGCTCTAGCAGAAGTTTGATCACGGACTCTAGCGATCGAATCTCGGCCTCCCAAGGGAAATGATAGCGTTTGTGTGAGCCTGGGATAGGCTGTAGACATGCCTGTAACGCCGTCCTTGGCCATCTCTCATAAGACTTATTAAAATACCAGCGGTCATTATTGAAGGGCTCAGGTATCTCATCAACTATCGCGTTAATGTCAGAACTAGTATTGATCAGCCACTAAGCACTTTCCTTTTTGCTAGCTGCACAGGCAGCATTCAAAGCCTGAGTGAAAAAAAAGCGGGGATACTTCATTTTTTTAAATGTTCTCTGTCAGTGAAGTCATGACTAGGAGGTATCCTTCGCGGGAAGCGTGTATAAATGCCTTATAGAGTATCTCAGGAAACAATAAACTTACGCACTGATCCAGTAAGTACTGCACAACCTCAGCATCACTATTCACCGTTGCGTTAATAAACCAGGTAGTAAGGTAATCTCTGAAAGCTTTTGGATTATCGTTCGCTCTGACGAGAAGAGCCAGCGTTGATTTGGAGCTAGTTCGTGCAGCAATTCGTATAGCATCTTCTAAAGACTTATGCGATAATAGAACATCGCCCTGAATCAAAAGCCTAGCAATATTGGATTGGTTAAATCGAGCTGCTTCTATCAAACCAAGCTCGCGGACTCTCTTTATCTCAGACTGGGTTACCAAGCGAAGCCCTCGCTTGATACTGGCTAGCTGACCACCTCGACAGCCCGCTAGCACTAGCCGAAGTGTGTGTGGAAATGCAATGGAGCTATCAAACCGGTGTTTGTGAGAAACCACACAATAGAGGATGTGGTTAAACCTTTTCAAAAGGGTTCTTTTTTTAGAGGTTTTACCCTCGGAAGCTCTCTCAGGGCTGGCTTTGGCCAGAGCGTTCCGTTCCCTTTCATATTCAATGAGCATCTCTATAATCTCACTGTACCCGTGGCTAGCTGCGATCTCGAGATTCTCGCCGATACAATGGCGAAGGTCATCCTCTACAGAGGTGATCGACTTGATCACTGTGATACGATTGTTTGTGCACGTAGCCCTGAGTGCTTGTTCTAGATGCAAAATTCCTATTCCAAGCCTCTCCCTACTGTCAAGAAGCCGCTCAACTACTTCAAGTAGTTCCTGGAGCCTGCGATTTCCAAAAAGTAGTCTTGCCTGAGAACTAGATTACCTAGATCATCTTGACTTGCTCTAGGCTCATAAACAGCCTCTGGTATATCATTGTGGGACATAAGTGCCTCTCCGGTGTGGTTGAAAACATCCTTAAAGCTAGAGACGGAAGCTTCTGGAGGTAGCTGATCCGCGATAGATTGCTGGGTGCGCCGATTATGACTATAACTATAATCGCCAAAGCTTAGTGATGCACGGCGTAAAAGGTCTTTATATGGAGAGGGCAGGGCCTGGCTTGCTTGGGCTCTAAGGATGCGCACAGTAATTTCCGGGGGTACGGTATATCCCTTTTCAAGGAAGTAGTTAATAATACCATCTTGGCCTCCTTCAGCAGTAGTATGGAAAGCGTCTATATATCGGCTATATGTGTATATAGATGCGCCAGCACTCAGAAGAGCTTTAGCTATATCACGATAACCACGATAGGTAGCAGCCTACAGGGCATTTCTAAAGAATCCGCCCGAGTTATCGACCTTCGCGTGGAGCTTAATCAGGGTAGTTGTGATAGTCAGATGGCCTTTTATTGCTACGGCTTGAAGGGCGTCTCCTAGTGGCGTTACAACGTTGACATCTGTACCACGAGACAAGAGGTCGCGCACGGCGTTCTCATGACCTATCAAGCTTGCAGACCTAAGAGGAGTGCTAAATGGTCCTTCCTTTTCAATGCTGTAGCCTTCGTCTAGACACAAGTTGATACTCTCGGTTTTACCAAAAAGTGCGGCGGTGGCCACTATATCAGCAGGGAGTGAACCTTTTTCGAGAAGCTTTTTAATGAAGGAGATTTATCCCTTTCGAATGGCAGCAGTGATAGTCCGCGAAGAATTCTGCTTTAGCAGGTGGTTCGGCGACGATACTTTCGCTAATTCTTCCATAATCTCAGAAAAGCCAGCTTGAGCAGCGGCTTCCAAAAGCCAGTCATCGTTCTTCCGCTTAACATCGGGCTTGCCACATGGCCTTTGTAGATAGCTTTTGAGTAGTAACTTGGAGAGATCCTCCTAGTCTGTCAAGAAACATAGTCTAAGGGCAGGTACGATTTTCGTCGCATCAGAACAGGTCTCTTGATTAAGAAGAATGGTTATCACTAAGGAATAACCGCCAGCACACGCATCGGATAAGGGGTCTTCCCACTTTCCTCGCGAAATACCTAGATCTGCGCCTAAACTAAATAGAGAAGCCACTAATTCATAGTTACTAAATGCTGCGGCAAGGTATAGTCCTGTTTGTCCTAGCAAATTGGTCGAATTAACGTCAAAATCGGGATTCTGTATTAATATATCGAAGATGCTCTTCAACCCATATATACAGGCAGTGAAGAAAGGCGTCTATAGTTCGCTCAACACGGCGTTGAGCTCTTTCTTTAGGGAAGAATGATTAGGAAGAAGCTCAGAGGCTTCGTTAGCGGCCTCAAGCTAGAGCTAGAACGCGAGACCGTCGTCGCCGAGAACGAACTCCTTCAGCTTTTCAATCACTATATCACTATCGACTACAGCGGAAGTAGTATAATGGTAAGCCTAATAGAGCACGGCATATTAATAATATTCCTGGTTTAGAAGCAGCTCGCTTCTAATCTCAATAGATAAAGTAGAAATACATATCTCGAGATAACCTAGGGCAGCGACTTTATAGGTACTCGGCGTATCGAACTCAGGCTTTGTTTCCAAGAATTCTTTGAAAGAAACGTACGCAAAGCGCAAAGTATCTAGTTAAGTATCTAAAATTACTAGGTTCGAGCAAATAGACAGAAGCTCCGATAAGCTTAATTTAGGGTTGTCAGAAGTTCCGCTGGACATTGCCTCAACAAACGCAGTGCTTAACAGGGGCTCATACATACAAAGCAGCCAGGCGAAAGCCCTAGCTACGGTTTCATAAGCAAAATAATCCGCCTATACGAGTTCCCTGAGAATATTCGAGTATAGATGGTCAATAGTAGGGGAGATCTTTGGTATATTATTTAGAGCCCTTGAAACGCTACTTGCTGATTTTAATTTGTATAGTAGTTCCACTTAAAGCTGAACCCACAGAAACCTATAAATAAATCAGCTTGCTTCATAAAGAACTTCGGTAGCAGAACTCACATTTGCCTAGCTCGGTTCAGGAGAAACTTGTTTATTTCGTGCCGTAAGTCATCTGCGATATTCCTATCAAGGAGATTCCGGGTTAATTTAACACGCAGTACTCAACAAAGACCTCTATATCTTACCGAGTATCTATATCATTCACGCAAAGCATTAAAGTATCTAGTAGTCCGGCTATCATATTGCTATTATCTCGACTAGAGAGGAAAATCTTCATCACGCTTACAGATTCGTCGCGGACTTTAATCAGCGCGTCAAGAAGTTTATGCCTTCGGTACTCCTCGACCTCGTCGACTCCGTCAATAATAATCACTACTGGATTTCCGCCCAAGATTTTCAGAACCAGATCGGCACACTCGGTAGCCCGGAGCCTAGGAATCTCAAAGCCATCTAATTTAGCTTCCGCCTCTCTACGTGAGTACTCAAGTGCAATTAGTTCATGAATCTTGAGACCTTCTCTATCGACAATACCAAGCTATCGAGTAAGAGATCGTATCACCTCGTCTGGATCAGCCCAAGACCGGCCGAGCCGGCTATCTCCGTAATAGAAGTAGGCTATCGGTGCGCTAAGGGGATTTAAAGTGTGCTCACGCAGGAACGTATCTACAACGGCTAACGTGAGATAGGTCTTTCCAGACCCTGGGATTCCGTGAAGCAGGAATAGAGATAAGAAGCTTGACCCTTTCCACTCTATATATTGCGGATGGCGAAGTAGCTAATATGCTGAATTCAATAGTCGATCCGCTAAGTGTCGATTTTGATGCTGAGTATAAGGCACAGAGGACAGCTAGTTCACGATAGTATGAAATCTCTCCTCCTTTAACGCCTTCACGTATATCACTAAGGCATCGACTAGCCGGCGTATTAGGCTTTGGAGTATCTCGACGATCTCTCGAGTCTTGTTAACCTAGATAGATATCTGTTATTGGACTTTGGAATCACTTATATAAGCTAGCTTGATAACTTCTTCGTCTAACTTTATCATATCGTCGATCTCATTAATCTGAGAGGTTTAGAATACGCTCTTCACCAGCCGTTTTACTACCGGTTAGTTGAAGTATTAGATTCCATAGGCTAGGAAGGTGAGAATTCGTGCATATAGATTAGTTAGTCTACGCTGTAGCTCCGCTTGAATAGTAGATCCTTTCTGCACGTAGAGTGCCTTGAAGGCCGTGTAGCGTGCGATTAAAAGTAAGACCGACTCTAAGCCGTGAACTATAGATTCAAAATAATAGTGGTCGCTGATAGTAACATACAGCAAAAATCGTATACCAGCCTATAGGAGTGAAGCGCCGCCGGGATTGAATTAAATAGCGACATCGACGACGGCACTGAACTAGTTCACCTATGCAATGATCTTATCGAACAGATCGCGAAGAACTATCGTCTTGCCGCGAAATTGAACTTTCCAACGCTTCTGCAAGCAGATATCCTTTTTCTTTCTGCCTCCTCGAGGATGGCTGACACGATGTTGCCCTTGTGGACTTTGAGGATCGTAGTCAGGCTCTCTTTCAAAGGCGGATCGAGCGTATCCAGGGCGGTTGACCACAGACAAGTCCCCGAGGAAGGGTGATTGCAGGCGCTCATGTTGCCACAATAGGAGGGACTGGGTATAGCCTACTCCTAGGAAGACTATATTCTCACTATTCCCCAAGGCCAGGCGGATCTCATTAAATAGAGAAGATCCATCACCAGGCCAAGCGGCCCCACATTTAGCGGGTGTCAGACCATCGGAGGCTGCGAAATCTGCACTAGTTCTCTCTGCTACAGGATCCATCACATTCTTAGCACTATCGGTAGGTTTATATGAGGTCTGTGTGATTTTGAGGGAACGTGCACCCTGTGACGATCTAGACGCGATTGCGATTGGTTTGAGGATTTGGCGATGGAAGCAAACACGACCGAATCGGGAAGGTAAGAGAAGGCGTTTCTTATTGGAGGACATATCAAACATCATCCTACCAGATAGTTTTCTCTTTCTTCCCTCTCTCTAGTCTTGATACTTTCGTCGAGTAGCACAAGTTGATCCCTGATCCCTTTCTGGCTGTAATACACCTCTCCTTCCAAATGTCTTGTCGGCATCTTATAGTCCACTCGTAGATTTAAATTAAGGGATTAGTGAGTCGTGCGACATTCGATCTGACGCTCCTAAGCAATCAGAATAGTTATTCTTAGCTGCTCCATTGACTTGTTAGAGAGGGAGAGGACTGTTCCTTTAAGCAGCCTTGTGTTGCAAGGGAGGACATGAAGAACCGATGGTTCGAATAAGGTTGTTCTGAGCCGCAAACCAGTCCCCCGTAGTATTCGTCTATCCACGGCGGCGATGTGCAGATGCCAAGAAGGCGAGCTTTTCAGGTAAGAGGATACAGGCCAATGATTTATACATCTCAGCTCAGCTGTGAGGGTCAGTGCGGCAGTCGCGCGAACGAGGGGGTTCCTCATCCAGATTCTCACCCAGCTTTTCAACGTGTCTATTGCGCACTCACCTCTATGCATTGTGAATAGAAACTTTAGAGAATATATTTCATTTTCAGTAATTTCTCAGTACATACGACCATAGGGTGTGGAGAACAGGGCTTCCCGTCCGCTCAGCCGTACTTAAGCCACACGCCGGCCAGTTAGTAGTATGGTGGGTGACCACATGCGAATCCTGGCTGTTGTATGTTTTTGTTTTTGTTGCTTGTTGATGATAGAATTAGTGAGGCTTGATCCTCTTGCCGCTTTACTAAATGAGTAAATATACCTTTTGAAAGACAGGAAGCCCAGAAGATTGCGATATCCACTGCTGACAAGATGAATGTTTCTGCCATCAATGGCACAACGTTATGGCCTAAATACACTCCCGAATTCCCCTAGCCAAGACTGTTTAGGTTAATGTTAATGCCATAAAGCTATGCCGTAATGAGAATGACACTTTTCGCAGAGGGGCTTTTGCATAAAGGACTACTCCGTACTCCGTACTCATAACTAACCAATGATTGGCTTCGGGGAAGGCTGACTAAACTACATTGGGTCGATGGTTCCAGCTTTCAGGGTGATGACTAAGCATAGTGTCCTCGTGGAGTCGTACCAGCGGAACCAAAAGGGTTGTCGCGGGACTTGGACGCAAGCTACGCGCCCAGGCCAAACACAGTAGAGATCGAGAAATTTTGGAGCTTTCTTCGTCCTTAACTTATATGCGCTGACAACCTGCTAATTCCATATTTACAGAGGGCTCCTGCATAACGCCAGCTCAGCTTAGGCCCCTACTGCCCTATACCAAGGTTTATTACAGACCGGGATTTGGATTAGACTTCCATGAGAGTCTTTAGGTGCGATTATACATAGTGAATCATGAGCTCATCGATGGCATATATTCCAGTAGAGACCCGTAAAAGCCCGACCATTACGTCCGCTTGTTTTAAACTCAACTGAAATTCCGAGAGAGTCCAGTAAAGCGCCTGCAAACTCACATTTTCAAGTCGATCCAATTCATGTCGAGTAGCGAAGACATACAAACGAGCATACACGAGTAGTGTGCTGGGATGTTTGCACAAGTAGTTCCCATCTCCACGGTGTGGCAAAGATATCGAATTGTCGGGCTTCTCCTGGACATCTTAAGACTTGCAAAAGAATTTCTTTCAAGGGAAGTGGATCTTGCTTTGTAGTATCGATTTCATCGTCGCATGTAACATGACTCGGTTGCTGGGCCTCTGGAACAAGGACAGAGTATTCTCCACTATGAAGGTATGGAAGAATATGGCTACAAAGAAATTCTCAACATGATCCTTAACCAAACGAGATTCAGTGCCCGGCAACAACATGTGAAAGATTCGGGGAAACAAAGCTGAAAATAGCACCCGTCCCGAAGCACAACCAAGAGATATTGTAGATAGTGACACGATGGAAGCGCGTTCCATTGGCTGGTACTCCGGTGGTAACCAATGCAGATTCTCCGAGTTCCAAGAGACGCATGTAGCATCAGAACTTATACCATAACCTTTATATTCCCGCACTTTGGGGTCGATTCGTATGGTCAGTCGTGAAGAAACTAAAGATAAACAAAGATCCCCTTGAAAAGTTTCAAGATATGAGTTGCTCAAAAGAGACAGTAGCCAGGCACTGACCTCCTAATTCGCAATTAAGCTAAATCCATATCTGTCTCGAGTTGCTTGTAGTTGGAGGGGATAATGTGAAGCCAAGAAGATGGGAGCAAATCAACCACAAATGACAAGATGTAACCAGTGAAGGTGAAGGCAATAACTACACAAAGGTTAGTAGCCTAAAATGATAGGGGTAACATGAAAATGACACAGGTTTCATACCCCATTCAAGAATCGCGGCTGTGTTTTGCTGGATAGAGGGTATTTACTCAGTGCAACGGAATGCCAGTATAAAGGCAATTTCAGTAATAATGAATGATAGCTTGATCAAGAAGCTCGTCTTAAACATCTGTCCTTGCTTTTGTAACTTGGATGAACCCGTCAAATAAAAGTAATCTATGCAGATTACGGTTGCACCGATTAGATATCCCATCCTATCAAATCGTGAGAACAGTTAAAAGTACGAACAACAAACATGCACCGCTTACATGAATATGGTCACAAAGGCATCATGGACAAATTTGTGGTTAATGTTGTCAAACACTGATAACATGATCAACCCTAGGCTTCCAGCAAATGTGGAAGAAGCTGAAAAATAGATGCAGAAATAGTTTGAATTTCCCTTGGATTGGATGGATTGATAGAACGCCAGATTCAGAAACAGCATTGTGACTATGCATCCAATCACGAACAATGGCTTTAGTTCCTGGGCTCCTATATCGGAAATGAACCTAATGTTGTCCACTTAGTCAAGATCACTTAGGAGTGGACGATGCCCTGGTTAGGGCACTAACGGTATAGTCTGCCCTGGCTCCATTCTGTCATATTTTGGTTGTCCAGCTACAATCCAGTGGCCTATCATTGCGAATAGCATGGCCAGGTTTCGATATTAGCAATATGTTGTCAGCTATAGGTTATCTGGGCTCCTTACTTAACCAGCTTGATGCTGAGATGATTGGTAAAATCCAAAGACGTGGATTCGCATTGCGAGACTGTGTATTGAAGAGTTGCAAAATGGCCGGTATGATTATCCTCTATTTATTTAGAAATGAATTACAGGAGGTAATCTAATGGAGTGAGAGACATAAAGAAATTAGTTACATTGAGTGTCAAACGCAAGCAAATCTTGGGTAGCAAGCAAGGGCTAAATAGCCGTAGCCCTTGCATTAGATTCATGATACGAAGATATGATGGATAAAGATGGTAGGATCGGCGCCAATGATCGTGTCGATCTCGTTATTATAGGCGTGATCGTGATTAATGCCAATGTATGTACTTTTGTCTCCCCACTCTATACCTAAGAGTTGGCTAATACCCATCCTAAAATCACTAGATATAAGCTGGATCCCATACGTAGTTATAGGGAGGCCATGTTCTAAGTAACCAGGCCCTTTCAAAAATTACCCTTTATTTTGGACTCTCACCATATAAAAGGGGCCGATTGATGGACACTTAGCCCAAAGTGTCCAAGTGTTTACCTTTATTTATTTATTTTTCCTCCCATTGGGTGTATTTCTCTGGAATTTTGCTAATTTTTTAGCAAAATTAGTTCGCTTCGAAGTAAGAATATCTTCAATGCTGGTGGGAGTTCCAACTGATGTTTTGCAACTGACATGACACAACAATCTATGTACATTATTGGGACTGCTCCCTTTAAACCCACGTTCAAAGCGACGGATATTTCTACCTCCAGCGCGTGTTATGGTTTGAGCAGCTGGTTATCCATTGAAAGTACCACCGATGAGCATCATGTATGTTAGGGTTGAGCATAACGGACTTGACGATATCCGTCAGAGAGCCCGCTGCAGATTTGTCTCGGACTTCGATATTAGCATCTGTTACTCTAACATTGCCAGGTGATGTGATACAGTATTCCGGACGCACATGCTCGTATCCTAGCCACGAAGGCGGCGCGTTTGGGATTGAGTCACCAATATGTGTAACCCGATAATTTTTCATGGGCGAGGTGTGATGGAAAAAGCTCGTAGGCTATAGGGCATGGGCTTTGGGCCCTTCCTGCCCCGGGTGTGCGGTGCAGCAGCTATTTCTAAGTGGCCGCTGCTTAAGCGTCACTTTAAGAGAGTAGTGAAGGAGGAGGAAATAAAACAATTATACCCGATATATTGCGTCATGACGGCGAGCATTATGTGGATATCGTTAGCATAGCCTTACAGCGAGAGAAAAAAGTAGCACGGAAAATGCACCAGTGAAGAAGAGCAAACCCGATGTATTATCACTCATCTGCGTGCTGGCACCTCTCTACATCTTTCCCTGTTTTTATACGAATGACCTCCTGCCCCTAAGGCCCTACAATAACATCTGTAGAAATCCTGAATATCCAATCTATCTTAGATTGATAGTAATGACAAGCGATATATTGTAATGTATGGTACATTCCTCAGAAAGGAGATTCTATGCACAGCCTCAAAAAATGGATCCAGTCCCCCAACGCCCAGGTAAAGATACATGCAATTAGGTCACGGCAGCGCCTCGTCTAGCAAAGACTGGATGCAGGAGGCCCGTTCGAGATGATATTGTACAGCGTGCAGATGCACTCGTGGTTGTGTTGTGTCGTGTTGTCCTTTTAGGCCGATGTGCCGACAAACCGCAGAACAAATTCATAGACGCCCAGGGTGATGATGGCTGAGGGGACCGAGCGGACCATGTGCGGCATCAGGCCTCCGTAGAGACCAGCCATACCCTCTTCCTTAGCGATTAGTCGGAAGCACTGCAGCAAGCCGGTGTATTTAGGGACGCCATTCTCCATTGGTGCCTGACGAAGTCGAGTTCGGATGACCTGTTAAATGATTAGTAAAAACGCCAACACGGCTTTTGGGAGGGCGACTCCGTACCTCGTGTGGATATGCGATCAGAGCCGCAGCAAACTTGGCGGATCCCGCCGCACCGGTTGTGCTGAGCCAGCTCGTAATTTCCTTTTGGGTGGCCGTCTCCTTGCCTTCAGGCGACCCAAGCGAGGTATGCAATGTAGTTTTTATCCGCTCATAAAGAACCAGATGAAGCGCAGTCTCTAATGAGCCCAAATAACTCGCGCTGAGTCCCTTGTACAATCCACTGATACCTTCCTGGCGAAGAACCTGACGAACGCAGTCCAGACTGTTCTTGTACCGGCGAGTTCCGGTGGCTGCTTGGGCCTTATCCAATTGCAGCCGTGTCTTGACCAGCCAGATGGGATTTGTTGCTGTGGCTGTCGCAATTCCCGCGGCAATGGCGGCCTGCGCGTGTACGAGTATCGAGTCTTCGCCTGTTCCTAGTAGTTGGGCGCCGATCCGCTTGCAGTTTCCGTAGACGTAGAATTTGATGGCGGTCGCCGGGACCACGCCAGCAAGACTAGGACCGAGACCACGGAAGAAGGCTCGCCATCCTTCTGCTTGGTAGATGTTGCTAATAATTCGAGCGGTCTTGTGGCTTGTGTGTTTTGGGATGGTGGCCGCGGCGCCGGAGGCCGCGGAGGACGGAGCAGGAGGACGTTGATAGAAGTCGGATTGAAGGCGTGTCCTCAGAACATCGAGGGGAGATGTGGCGATAGCAGTTGCGAAACCACCACTCCTGTAACATCGTCCATGTGTTAGTTGCAGATCCTCCGATGGCTGATGGCGATGATCCGGGTTCAGCAAAAAAAAACTTACGCGCCGGCTAGCAGGTGAACCCACGGGTCGTGGGACTTTTTGGCGGTGACATAAGAGGTCTTGAGAGGAGCAGAGTCCTCAGCGGGCCGACCGTGAATCTTGCGGCTCTGCATCGTGACAGCGCATTTCTGGAGAGGGAAGAAGGCAAAGATGGTGACCCAGGAAATTTCCCTTCTGGGGAGACCCGGCGCCGCAAGTTTTCGCGGTGTCACGTGAGATAACAAATGCTGGGTTTCTGATAGGCGCCACTCTTGCCACTTGCTGTTCTGGACGTGTCGAGATCATAAAAGACTGGTCATTTTCAGAATTGAGGTCTTTTCGTACGGTAAATAGCACAGGAATACTAGGAAATACTGGCAGGTTTATCGTAAGTCGTCAATCGGCGAACTGAATCTAGTAGTTTACACAGCGATTTCACCAGAATATATCATCGACTGACTCTGTTGAATTACTACTATACCTTTCTTTTTTTTAGTTATAGCATACTCTCATTTGTCAATTCTATTTTTCGTCTTTGCATACGTTGATTCTTCTGGACCGATACGGTTAAATATGGAGGCAGATGATCCGAGACCTAGTTAGTTGAATCTCATGGAAATCACCTGATCATTATTACGTTCAAGCTTGTTTGCACCTCCGGCACCAAAAGAGTCTGTTGGTATGCTTTTTACTGCGACACGATTCCTTGGAATAATAGGCGTGAGATCGGTGAATTGTACAAGGTATGGTCTCGAAGGCGGAAGTATGTATGGCCCGAGGTCCAGGCAAAATATATCTTAGATCGCCGCAAGACGCACGAGCAGCAGGCATGCTTCCAACGACAGGTCTCAACCTATCTAATATGCCCAAGTCAATCTTTTTACCTCTTAGTTACCTTCGACATCTTATGTTGGTATGAACGACAATAGACATTGCAGTTCCATTGTACCACTCTGTACTCCGTAGTATGTGCGCCTTGATTAAAATCTGCCACGAAGCTTGGTGATTCAATTCGGTGGATTTTCAGGGGTGATCTCCGCCCGCTCGTCGCGAAGCGCTCCGAGGGACGAACTCTCATTTGCGACTTTCAAGGATCTGCAGTGGCCAGTCAGTTTCACCATGTCAGCATTGACGGAGAGCTGAACGGCACTCCGTCCATACTCCGCACAAATGTAAAGATCTTCCGCACTTGCCCATTCCGGGTCTTCCGTAGGTTCTCCGATAATTTACTTTCCAGTCCCTGGCCGCTCCTTTTTGCGGATTCTTCTGCCGATGCATCAAACCACAATTCTTGTCCCGCTGTTGTCGTCATCACCTTCGCGCGGTGCGCACTCCCAGGACCACTACAGCTCCACCTTCACCCATGTTTCAGCCCTTCATTCGTCCAAGGCGCCCCGCGATAGGCCTTTTTGAGTTAGTGGCACGTCGATTATTAGGGACTGACAAGCCCCAATCTAGACCCTCCGGGGGGTTCAATTTCTTGGTTTCTCCTCAATTCTACTCAACTCGCAGAGGCTTTTGCTTTTCAGTATCAACGAGTGCAACGACGTTTTCTTTTTCTCCTTCGCTACCCTGACTTCCCCCCTGAGACCAATCCGATCCACATGGTCCAGGTGCAATGCGTGTTTTCAAGTTTTGAGTACGTTGGCAGGAGCTTGATCGCATCGCTATCCTGTGATACCCGCAGCGATGCAGAAAGTGCGTAGCCCGAGAGTCGATTGAGGCTGATTTCCATCTTGTGCAACAGATCAATTCTCCGCGTATAATTGTCCTTGTCCTACCCATCTTTTTCCATGATTCTCTCACGGCGCGCGGTGCTCTTCCTCGGCTTCAGCTTCTCCTGCATCCTCTTCTTCACAGCCCGCCAGCTATCACGACCATGGAGTAACTATCCACAGGCCATTGGCCTGGGTGAATACTATGGCGCCGATTACTCGGGTCACAACTACACAGGAGCCTTCAACTTCACCAGCCATGGCAGTAAAAGCCTATACGCCCCCCAGCCCAATTTCACCCCTGGCATCCCCAAACCTCCCGGTTCCTCATACACAAAGACGTTGGTTGTGCCTAGAACCAAGAAGGAGGACACAAGTTGGATCGCGAAGGAGTTGCCGGACTGGGGGACGGCCATTTATGTCGCGGATGACCCGAAAGCGCCCCTCCATCCACCGAAGAACAAGGGGCACGAGGTGATGATATACTTGTCATTTATTATCGACTTCTACGATGCCCTACCCGACGTTGCGGTGTTTATGCACTGGCACCAGAATGCGTGGCATAACGAGGAGCTTTTCGGCGGCGACGCGGTGGAGATTCTCCGGCGGTTGAGTATGGAGCGGGTCATCCGTGAAGGGTACATGAATACGCGTTGCGGGTTCGGCCCTGGATGTCCTGCATGGATGCACCCCGGTGAGATGGAAGAAGACGAGTTCAAACAGGAGGAGGTGATGCTCGCTCGTGCCTGGGGAGAATTATTCCCAGACCAGCCCGTTCCCTCGGTCCTTTCTCAGCCGTGCTGCGCGCAATTCGCCTTATCCCGGGATCGCATTCGCACGATTCCACACGCGCGGTTCATCTTCTACCGTGACTGGCTGCTGCAAACGGATCTAAGCGATTACATCGCGGGTCGTATCTGGGAATACTTGTGGCAATATGTGTTCACGGGCCAGCCGGTTCTCTGCGTGGAAGAGACTGTCTGTCTCTGTGATGGCTACGGGTTCTGCTTCGGTGGCCCCGAGGAGTACCAAAAATGGCAGGATCTGGATGCTGAAAGGAAAGATTTGCAACAACAACTAGATGATTGGGTGTGGATGGTGCAAGAATGGAATTCAGCAGAGGCCGAGGGAGAACTGGATGAGACCATGTTTTCCAATATCCCACCTCTTGGCCAGCAATCCGATATTGAGAAGGAGGTCATTGCGAAGGAAATACAGGTCGCCGATACCCTTCAGGCTGCAATTGAACGTGGCAAGAACCCCAAATACCGTGCTCTAGAGGCTGGTCGTCCATGGAAGGAGGGAGACGGCTTCTAGGCATTGGAACCCGTCCTTCAACAGCTCTCTTTTCAACGCAGGCCGGGCTATGAGAGCGTCCTGTTGGACTTAGAATTTATTATCTATATCACCAATTTACCGACGCTGTGGATGGCATGTGCGCTTCATGCTTCGGAATCTGTTTTGATCTCTCCGGCGATCTATTTTGATTGAATCCATTTCGGCGTGAAGAGCGGGTGATCTAGCAACGTGATTCTGGTGTATACTTCTATTTTGACCTTCCTGTACATTGATACCAGTTGACAGTTTTCTTGACAAGAGTGATTCAATTGATAGACTTTTTGGAGAGGATGTCCATTCGACTTGTTTAAAATACCTGCCCATATATTTTGATATCAGAGTCGTAAGTAATTTCAAATGGGCTCATGAACTCTGGATCTCTATCTACAGCTCAATTCATGATGTCCATCTCCAGTAGTGGTTGATTGTAACCAGGAATGCTAGCGTAGTACTGGAGAGTGGGCCACCACGTGACTCCTATGCAGGGTTTGCACTGTCTGTCCTTCCTTCAAACCACGCAAACATCATCATCAATCGCCCCGTCGCGTTGTGATCTTATCAGTCGGAAGCTCAAGAGCTTTCGTCAATAGCTTCGATCTCCTCCAACTTTCGTCGCTCCTACTACCCCTCGCGGGGCGCGTTTCTGTGAGGTTTCCCCCGGGAATTCTCTCCTCCAGCTCGCGACTTGGACGCGCTCTTACTCACCTACAGCCATCGTTCAGCCATCACAGAGCGCTTGGCAGATGATCTACGCCCGTGTCTTGTCGTTTAGACCACACAAAACTGTGCCACGACCTCTGATTTGTACGACTCATCCTGTCGACTTGCCGTGGCACTGAGGCGCTCCATCTCCACCAATTTGCCGCCGCAAAATTGCGTTGCCGCCAAATCACAACCGTTCCATAGCACTTCACGCCCCACCAATAATCATGTCCTCCTCGAATACGACCAACCACCACCCTCCCTCCTCCTCCTCTGCAGACCTCACATCTCAAACAAATTCAAACGTCCAACTCGATCCGAACAGTGGCTACACTCCCAGCGACAATCAGCTTGCTGGCTTGGTGGAAGCAGCGACTGCAGCTGCAGGTCAAGATGTCTCTCCACAATGGGCCGCAGCAGTTGCGACTGCTGCCGGAGTAGCAGGCCATCACCAACTGGATGGGTACAGTACAGATATGCATCTTGGCGACGACGGGTTCGGCGATACGAACTTTGGCGCGGGAATAGGAGGCGGCCGACACCTGCGGGTACAAAATGAACATTCCCAAGGATCTGGACTATCTCGCACCGTTTCAAAGAAACGCAAGCGAAATGACGATAACCTCGACCCTGCGCTGGCTGGGGCTGGGCTTTCCGGAGCACAGCATCAGCTTTCTCAACAATCTCAGCAAGGCCAGCATGCGTATGCTGGCGACAACATTGATATTCGTGTTGTCCCCCCGCAGTCACTCTCTGAAGCTCGTGCAGTTGGTGTGCACTCCGCCGCGGCCCTGTTCCGCCAACCGTCGAGCAACAAAAAGTACACCCGTCCGCCAATGTCGAAGCTATTTTCCTCGCTAGAACTGTCACCCGAAAACTTCTTGCATCTCCAAGCTGCGGCCAAAGGATTCATGTTGGACGATGATTATCCTGAGCGGCGTGACTGTGTTGGCCAGCGCGGAAAGGGAGATACCGAAATGGTCAAGCTGCGACTCTGGAATTGCGTTCGGCAATTCCTTGATGACGAGGGCAATGGTGAGCGTTTCTTCGGAGAGAACGTCGTGAATGAGGGGATGGGCCCGAGGACATATATCTGGCCCCGCGACCAGCAGAAGATCATCTCTTTGGTCATTCCTCTTTTGCGCCGCATGGTTACCAATGAACGACAGCGTCAGTATGCGATTGAAACACGCAAGGGAGGAGGCACAGAAGAGCGCCGACGCCGCAAAACCAACGAGAGTTTCCAGGATCTCGATGGCCCTCGCTATTCTCCAGAGGAGCAGCTCCAACAGATGCATAATCAGAACCAGTCAATGCCCCCACCTCCGCCTCCGCCTCCCGGGCAGGCGCCAATTGAATCCGGGCAGATCATGGATATCGGGCTGGTTGACCTGCTCTTGGACGGATACACAGTGGACTGGAACGACATGGCCAAGTCGTACGATATGTATAACCAAGACTATGAACTGGATAATCTTTGGTCTCTCTCTGGCCTTCAGCAGCCCGACTGGCGTGGGTTGGTCGCGGCTGTGGATAGCCATTATCACGTCGTCCACAACGGTGACTACCATTGTCTGCCTGGCTGTGAGGACCAGAATGTCAACCGTATTGTTCATGCTGATTCTACGGCAAGTCTACCGTGGCGTATTGGAGGAACTCGCAACCCTCCTGCGCGGGATGAATTGTAAGTTTTGGAGCCAAATCCTATTTCGAGATGACCATTGCTAACCCCCCAATAGCGCCAGCAGTATCGCACGCGATGTTTCGCGAATTATCCGCGAGAACATTGCTACCAGGCAAGGTGCTCACACGGGCCCTCAAGCACAAGCCGGAGCCGACCAACCTTTCCATCCCCAGCCTTTTGTCCCAGTCCATGACGCGAAGTCCCACATGGCTGCTGCAAATATCCCTCCTTCTCACTCCAGTCCCCACACTCAAATCTACCTCCGTATCAACGTGCTTCAGCATGGTAAGCGCATTCTTCCTCGATTCGACCTACAAGCAGGCCAATGCCCCAATGTCGACACGATCAAGGATTCAGTCCTTCGCCGCTATCATGGCCAAATTCCTGGCATTTCTCTCGTTCAAGGGTCAGATAGTATTGATCAGCAGATTCGAGATTCGGCTGCTGCATCCAGCTGGAAGGTCAAGGCGTTAGTGCCGGATGGCCTAATCACGATACAGACTGAGAAAGACTGGGCTTTCGCTCTGCTGTCTGCAGATACAGTGGACTGGATGGATGGTGATTTGAAGATTCTTGTCGAACTTGAAGGTGGTAATACCCAGTAGACAGAGGTCTACTACTTTGTGCTTCTTATTTCTAGTTTTTGAGGGTTTGTCTTGCTGTGACAAGCAACCTGTGTATTATCTACGGCTCGTGTACTATTATAGTTGATATGACAACCCCCCTGGGCAAATGAACTGACCCTGTTCTGTATGATATGATTTTTGGTGTTTGCATCTTATCTCTTCCTTTCGTAATTTTGCCTTTTGTGTTGTTTACTTCCAAGTGAGAGAAGTCCTCGCACCGCTTCATCCCCCCTGGTCCTCTTCTACACGTTCCCCTATACATCTTCTTGCTTGCGATAAACAGCTATCATTACCCTCACACCTTTGAAAACTCCCCATCCGCACGCAATGGATCCTGCCGCTCCACCAGAGCCTCAAGCCGAGAGTAAAACCGCTCCTCCATCCACCAACATCGAAGACCTAGACCTCCCCGCAGACGTGCTCGCCGACATCAAAGCGATCCTCACGGGCAGTCCTGCCCGAGACCCCGACCCAGAATCCGAACCCCAAGAGACGCCCCCAGGAAAACGAGTCCGTCTGCTCCGTGAGACCCAATGGTCCATGAACCTCCCACCATGGCCCGACATGATGCTCCTCACACCAGTCCGCGAACCCGTCAACAAGCGAATAATCATCATCAAAGAAGCTCTGAATCTAAAAAGTTTCCTCGACTCACGACCCCGCAAGCGCAATGCCATGCTCGCCCAGGCCGTCGGTGTCAAGGTCACCCCGGAATGCACGCAGTGCGAAAAGGGCAAGGGCCAATTTGTGGGCTGTGTTGTTATCCCGGATATGTTTGAGGGCGCTTGTGCGAATTGTGTGTGGGAGAAGTCGCGGAGTCAGTATGGGCAGTGTAGTTTTCGTAAGTGGATGCTTATACGTTACAGTGTTGAGGGTGTTTTTGGTGTTGACTTTGATACCGGCGTGCGTGATAGTTGTTGAGAAGGAGAACTTGGACGAAGCATTGAAGCATGAGGAGAAGATGCGGAATGGAGGTGGACGGACATTCTTTGGCATGTGGAAGCTGCCGAAGAAGTGATATTTGTGGGAGATATGCTGAACCGATCATCCGCAACTACATATGCTTCTCAATATGACAAGGTCCTGTTCAACGCGTTCTTTTTTTGGCGACAACAACTTGTCTTTTGGTCTGACGGTCCTACGAATTCATTCAGGATGGAATTGTTCTGATCAGATTATGGGATCTAAAGGATCTAAGTCACCGGGTTCATAGGGGAATCAGAATCAAACCCGAGCTATTAAACGGTCCCGCTGAATACTAAGTATCTTTCTATCCTTAGCGTATTGTTTCAAGTCCCAATTTAAGGTTTATTGAGGCTTTTAACGAATGAATACTCTGCCCCGGTTGGTATATGCTATTAAAACCAGTACACATGAAGTTAGAAGGAAGATCCCCTGTTCTATATTTTGTCAATACAGGCATATTGCGACTGAAATGAACGTATGCCCCAAAGACTCGATACCTTCCTGATTGGATACTTCTATCCTCGCAGGTTTTCACACCGAGACCTTGTCAGAATGATATTGAGCTTGTCATTGACCGAGCCCTGAATTGAGGCTGTGTCAATCATTTGCATGAAATGAAACAGATATCATGCGATTTCCATGAGTCACATTGCAAATGAGCCTTCAATGAAGTTTGGCGTCCGGTGCCAACTTTCTTAGACACCAGTTTGTTATTCATCATTATTCGGTAAGTCCCTAGATTGCAAACAGCGGTCATCATTTCTTTGAAAGACCCAGACAAACCATATAATGGACAAGGTATTTAAGAAGAACATTCTTCCATAGACAACTTTCTTGTGCGGAGGAGTAGCTCCATATATGCTCGCTATATCTCGTTTTTCAACGTCATTGGCGGGAGGCCCCTTTCTCTGGATTTACCAGAAAGTGGCACCTTTACCCTCCTCTTCTCCATCGGCCACCGACAAATTGTAGCAGATAAACAAATAAAGGGTGTTGGAATCCAGTCTGCATGCTTCATGACGTTCCTCTTCACGTTTCCATCAGGTCGTATCAGCCAGCACACCTGATTAGTTCGACTTTGTTTCTTGCGGACTTGGTGAGATTTGGTGTATCTTTATCATTCACTATATACAATGATTGAATGACTTTACTAAAGTTGACTGTTCCGACCAGCTACAGCGGAATCAATTTCTAAGTTCTATGACCTCTGCCGTCAACAACTTGACGCATCGAGCTCCTCTACCACTCGCCTCTGCCTTAGCCGAGTTTACGTTACGGACTTCATATATTACCACGGCTCGATATTATATACACGCCAATATAATCAACTTGAGCAACATCGCAGGACCGAATCATGATGAATGGTCAATTGATTGGGGCAACTCCACGGCAAGCTATTTATGTGACACTGTCTCCTACCCCTAGACCACACATGATTTTCTTCCTATTGCAAAGGAAGACTTTCTTGATCGCGAGTTATACACAAATACACCATGGACTACCAACTTAGACACTTGGTCACTCCTATTCATAAACAGCAGAAGAATCGGAAGAAAATATCGATGATAAGAGGGGCCCATGAGGACAACGATCACGCAAATTAGCATCGCGGTCTTGCATTTTAGTCAGTGGAAACATGGGCAAAACCCGTTTGTGCTTGATATTGTTTCCTGAATTGTTCGTTTTGATAACCGGAACGATAGTCATCACGGGGTGCTCGATTGCATTGCCAAATTGGCGACCAGATGCTCGATTGGGCTTGTACCTGGTGACATTCTTCGAACCAAGCCAATACCGCCGTGCGGTAGAGGGGTTGCGATTGAGGCATTCGGCATTCGATGGATTCCCAAGACTTGCTAACTTACTCTACTCGCTCACAAGCTGGGCAAGGGTGTCCTCACAGACCATGATCATACTCAGCTGTAACCCAGCTTGTTTGCTGTGCGGTATTCACTTGTCCTGCTTCGAGCATGCGGACATTGGGAGAGTGGACGAAGGGTTCGTTTCGTGGCTCGTGGTGGACTTTCACGATTCGAAGTACGTTCGCAGTGTAACAAACGTGACGGATGGCAGGTATCAGGCGCGGCTTGATCGACAAATGCAAGGAACGGACTATACAGTGATTTCCAGGATTGGAGATGGCGAAAAGAAAATGGACAATACCCGCGTGTAAGAAAACATACGAGAAGATTGTTAGAGAGACGTGTACGATTCTTAAGGAAAAACACTGGTTCAAGCAGCTGCGACTTTCCGGTGAGGATATGCTTTATAGGAGAGTGAGAAGATCCCTGGCTATTGGTCGACCAGAACTGTGTTTGCAAAAAATCTTATATCGCTATTGCCCATTGTAAATGAATTCCTATAGAAAGTATAATCAAGGCAAAAAGGTCCGTGTCTCATAATACAGGGTAGTGATCAAACGATGAGTAGGCCTTCAAAAACGAAATTCATACCACGAATGCGTCTTCCATGAAACGATACGGTATCACCGGTGGACTTAAACAAGGAAAAACATGGACTCCGTTCTATACGCCGCGTGACATCCCAAACCAGCTGGAAAGCAAAAACCGGGCCACGTGTACTTAATCACTTGTGATCATCATGCTTTGCGACGATCTCATTTATTGTGTATGAACAAGGTCCGGAACGAGTCCCAGTGATCTGAGTCCGCATAGCTGTCCCGTAGAGAACTGGTTAGCCGAAATGATCGGGAAGGAAACAGGGCCAGAACTGGCGGAATGGGGAAGGGACAACAAGGGTGACGCACATGTAGACCATGCTACTCCGCAAACTTGACGCCAGGGTGTCCGGGTACCACCGGAAAAGATACATGACGAATGCCCAGCTTAGACTGGCAAAGGCAGGCCAGGCATTGTTGGTGATCTGGGCGCGGGCTTCGGGGGTGATGAGGGAGGAGAGTGGGTGCATGTCGGGTTGGACGGAGAGTTTGGCGAGGGAGAGCATAACGCGGGCGAAGACATAGATGACAATCTAAGCTGGTGTTAGCTGTTGTGATAGAAAAGACCCGAGGCATGTTTGGCCTCGGTGTGGGGATAATGGCATACCTGCTGGCTAATGCTTCCCCGCTGTCGGCCGAAGACCGCGTATCCACCCAACAAACCCGCAAAGAAGCTGTCATAGCGGCCTTCCTTCCCGGAACCTGCGGGGGAGATGTTCCGTAGAACAATCATTGACGCCTTGTATATGATAGCGAATGTGGCTAGATTTCGAGCATGCTGGCGGGTCGCTTTGAAGACGAGCTTGACCTTTTCTCGGAATCTATATGGCCGGAATAAGTCAATGTTCGGAGAACTCCGAAGAGAAAGGGGACGATGATGTTCACATACGTTCCAGATCGGAACAGAAAGATCATGCTATAAGAAATCACAATGATTAGCATTCAAGCTATCCCGGCATCATTCCACTTCAAAAGTGTCCGAGGTTCAACGTACACCAGCGCATGCGGAAATCGCACTTTCGACCCATAGACGACACCATTACGCGCACCCTTCAACAACGACAAGAAAGGTGCAAGATCAGGGTTGAGAACCAGTGCGTCCAGGCGGGACTGTTATGGTGGCATCATATTAGTTGCTGCAGCTCTTAGCATGTGCTTTTTCTGTGGAAGTGCTCACCAGAAGCGCATCCATGACGGCGCGCAGGACCTCGGTTGGAGGTCGGACTCGGACGGAGGGGACTACTGAGGCAGTGCACCACAGTGATGAGTTGGTAGGTCGAAGAAGTTCATGGAGGTGAAAGAGTAGATGTCAAGAAAGATAAGAATATGGGGGGAGGGGAGGGCGGCACTTTGACTCGGATCCGCAACTGCGAAAGGGCCTCGGCATGTGAGACGATGCCGACGGCCGACGTCATGGTCACGTGGTCTACATCCAGCCTTGATCAAATTGAGTAGGGTAGTACTGGAAAAGAGAAAAGCCAAAATTAGAATACTATTTTCTCATAGATTGTCTGGTAGTTGGTTTAAGCGCATTGTCTTCGCAATTGATACCAGTTCAATGATCCTTCTTGAGTCATGTTGGGCCTCATTTACAATGTCCGATTGAAGTTTCGTCAGAGGATTAAACTTTCGAGATGCAAGGATGATACGTAGACTGAATGTAAATAGCCTAAAATAAGGATATAGCTTTACCTACGAAGAAAATCCATGTTGAAAATCATTTATAAAGAAGCATCGCTTCACTATAGTACTTTTCCATGTCGGCACAGGAAACCTGCAGATCTACAGGCTTCAAGAAGCACAAACCCCGGCCAGACCAAACGCCTTGAGATAGTGGAAATACGCAACAATGCAAGTGAATCAGTTTTATTCCATGCGAGCCCGCTTGTGGCTCTCCTCCTCTTCCTCCTCATCCAAAATCTCGTCCACATCCATCATCTCCATGTCCTCCTCATCGTCATCCGAGTCAATACCCGCCCGACGCTTGAGACCTTTCATCTTGCGGGTCTGAAGACCACCCAGATCCTGCTTGCCCAGGTGAACACGACCGATCTTATCACCCATAGAATCCAAGGTAATGTTCTTCTTGGTCCGCATCTCCTCGTTGGGACGCTTGCCTTGCTTCATGGCCTCCTTCATAGCCTCGGGGGAGGCGGGGCGATGGCGGCCAATCTTGAAGTCGAACTTGGGGCCAACTTCCTCCAACTCCACACGGGGCAGCTTGTGACCACTGCGCTTGGTGATAACCTTATACCACCGCAGATGCACGACCGGGGACAGATTGTCGCGGGGTTCCTCAGCGCCGACCATCAAAACGTACTGCAGGCCCTCGACGTCGATCTGGTTGGTTTGCTCACCCTTGAACATGTCGAGGAAGAAACTCTTGAGCATAACGTGCGGCGAGGATGTCGGGTCCTCCCAGGGGCTACCAGAGAAGATCATCATTGGCCGCATGCCGAGTCCAACAGGCATGGTGAGCTCGTTGATAGGTGGGATAGCACTCTTATCAGCGGGCGGGAGAAGGATCAATTCGCAGATATCGAGAGTTTGTGAGTTGAAAATTCGTGCCAGAGTAACGCAGTTGGGGCGCTTCTTGTTGCTGCTTCCGAAGATTACTAGACCGCACTCGTTCTTGTTGGCCAAGAACTCCATGCTCTCGGTGTTCTCGAAGGGGTGAATACTCTCATTCTTCTTGTGGAACAGGACAGAATTGGGCTTCGTGAGGGAGTGGAAGGTCTTCAAGACGGTGTCGAGGGTTTGCGGGCATTTTGTGCCGTGCAGCAGGAGAGTCTTCTTTGGGGATTCGATGAGTTGGGGCTCCCGCGCCTTGAGGATGCGCGCAGTGCGCGGGTTCTTTGCCTTGCTTAAAATACCGAGTCAGTAAAATTATACAGCTTTGCCAAGTTTCAGGTACGTACACTTCGCGCAACATGGTAGCAGTGCGTTCTTTGTGTTTGAGGACGATCGGAGTAAAAATCGCAGAAAAGTTTTGGGGTGAGGGCTTGGCAGTCTTATCGATAAGGACCCACAATGTTGGCCTGAGCTTTGCAGATTGCAGCCTGAGTGAGGCCTGATATTTCAGACAGCCACCAACCAACACTTACATCTCCACGAGCTGTGTGGATCGAAGTTATGCTGGTCCCTATCCGTTTTGCTCTTCTGATCTCTCGCTATGGTATGGCGTTAAATACACTACTTGTACTATCAAATCATGAATATCTGTTGGCATCCTTAATATAGCGATACGTAGACATTTATATGATCATACACTGTCATCTACATCGTTCAAGTCAACCACCCACTGTGAAAAGACATCCAACCATTCCCGAGATCCATTGAACAGACCATCCGCAGAAGACGAGTCAAAACTATATGGATCTGTTCGTCCCTCAATGGACTGGCTTGCTTGCGAAGCTCTCCAGAACTCTGTTCCTTTAATGCTGCCATTTAGGATTGGACAGCTACTAGATCCCGTATCTGGTAGTTCTGAGTCCATGCTCTCTTGTTGAGTAGCGAATAGTCTTCTCTCCATATGTTTCGCAGCCGGTGAAGACTGAGGAGAAGTCTCAGGCCCGGCATATTTGGGGGCTAGAAGATCTAGAACCGATTTGAACATGAAGAAAATGTCCGCGTGTCCTCCGTCCTTACAAGAAGACAAACTACCCATTCTCTGAGAGAGACTCTTGAGGTAGTTAGCCATCTTAGCTCGTGATCTGGCTTGAAACTGGATCCATTCAACGCCTGGGTTAGAAGGGCAAAAGAAGCACGTCCGTGATGCCATCCTCGTGGTGAGGATTAATTGAAACCACTCTCTGGTCGTGAAGCATAAGTATTGGTCCATTGGTTGTGCCAAAAAGTCATCCAAAAAGTCACAAATAGCTTGAAAGCATGGCGTGGCGACTTCGATCAGCTCGGAAGTAAGAGGTTGTGGTAAAGGACTGTCCCGCTTTTTGCTGATGTCGGCACCCCACGCCTTTAACGGCAGGAAAGCTATTTTCGCTTTCAGGAATAGGTGAGATAGATTGATGGGCACTGCTAAAGCAATTAGCATCCAGCATCAATTGAATGGAATCGTTCAATACCATTTTCATTGTGCATAGACGGGTGAGAGGCAAGTTGCTCCAGTTTTGAGTGAATAGACTGTATTTTTTCCTGTGTCATTCGTTGCCTTTCACAAAGGATCGATTCAGAGTCGAGTTTCTCTTCAAAGTGAACCATTCGGCCACAAGTTATTTGCATTTCTGTGTGTAGTGATCGAAGACCCATTTCCTGATGTGGAATCGCTAATTCATTAAAATTCGACCCGAGCGACCATGTAGCAGTACCAGATCGAGGCCGTTCAAGACCAGTGCAAAAGCTGGGCGTATACATTAATTTTGTCTTAAATTGACAGGACGATTGAATTATAAGATCACTCACATTGCTGAGAGATTATAGCAGCCGAGACACGCATCTCGCGATTCCTTGTCAGAGTGACTCGGGGTAAGTTTAAGCTCGATACACATATTGAGTGCGATTTGCAGAAATTGGGAGACTTGATTGCTTAAAGGTTTAAAGTGAAAAGGGTACCTGATCATCAAAAATCAGCTGAGTGGCCGGTCACTTGATGCTTTGCGTCTATCATAGTGTTTTACCAGGCAATGTATACCAACAGGCCTTGAAGGTAGTCAAGATTCTTCTCCCCCTGGAAAACAATTCTCTCACTGAGGACTCGGCGGAACCTTTCATCGGCTCGTTGTTGTAAAGAAGGGACTCGCGATGAACAGACATTCAGTATCGCCATGAGTAGAAAAGGACTGTTCACTGCCATCGAGGACGCTGACGCATTTTCAGATAACACAACGAATGGAAAATATTGCTGACGATTCCTGAAAAGGTCGAGTAGCGTCTCTGCATCTTCTATTGCCACATTGGATTTGCTTGAGGATGAGTCGGAAGGAGATGTCTGCATATTATTGTAACCTGAAATGTCTGGAGAACTACTTCCCACCGATGGCGGCTGAAAGGCCCGGCAATGAATGTCGTAGAGTCCGTTCAAGTCATCATTTGCTACAGATTGATTTTGAAAGAGCTCAGAGACAATGTCCTTGCCAGTGAAAGCCCGTTGATCCTGTAGATCGGGTAGTTTGGAAATATTTCCGATACTATTCCTAAAAATATGAAGTCAGTTACTTGAGTGTATATTGAATTCATAGAGAGAGCTACCGAGTAGCACGCTGTGTATCTGCCGCGAGATTGCAGGGAATTCCTAGTTTCGCACATCTATTCTGTATGTCAGCATGAATGCGCAGATCTGGTGAGCTTTCACCCGAGGCTCAAATCTGCCCGTTTCGACTCTGAATAAGGTGTGCCTGTCATACCTTCGGCATATCTCAGCGCCGCGGATATTCTCAACACTGAGACATCGGATTTTCCGCTCTTTGCAAGGGTTACATGCTCGTTTTCGTCTTGGTCGTGGACACTTATATCGCCATTCATCTTCCATGATTTCGAGGCTTGAATTGAAGAAAAGCGTCACAATAGCAGATATTGTAGATATAGACGTTTGCCGACAAGGCTGAAGTTATCGTTGCCTCTTCTGCAGCGGATAGCAGGTCGAAGCGAAAAGAGCATGTGGAGGGAAGGTTTAGCCGAGGTGGACGTGTAGGTAGAGGTGCCAAGAGAATATATAATCAGTCACGTAGACCTGGCCGTTTCGACTGTTGACACAAACTTGAATGCGTCAGTAATTAATTCGAAAAAGTACGTCTGGGTTAACTAGGGAATTTTCCAGAGTTCCATCGTGGAAGATCGTTCAAAAGAGAGGATGTGAAGCCTTCGATACACGGTATATATATTCATGCAAGATTTCAGCGGTTATCAATTCAGTTACACATCCATGTAGCATTCTGTAACGTGAAAGTCTTCGCGGCATATTGGTATCCCAGTTTTAATTTCCTCTTTCGTTTTCAACGGGCAGTACTTCCAAGGGTTTAAAAACCACTCAACTAGAGCCTCGACGTGCGAGCATCCGCATAATTAACATCTCTCTCAGGCCAATATCCAACTCGAATCATATGATCAACCAGACTATCTTTACCGCCCCAAGTATGTCTTCCAAAGCCAGCCATCATATCCATGCCATTAAGCAAGGAGCCTGTAGTCCATATCTTGCCATCTTGAGCCCATCTTCTCTTGATCCAATTTATTCCAGGGGCTGTTTGCCGCATCATGGGAAGCATGGGAATCGGAGCGGTCAATGTCTTGCCTTCGAGGATCCCTGCAGCGAGTACCGGTAGAAATCCTGCACAAACACAGAGAAGTGCGGCACACTCAGCGTAGGCCTTGCGGAGGAATTGCTTCTCTGTTTCGCTGACTTGATAGCCTACCGCATAAGCTCCGAGGACCACGATGTCGAGTGGTGGGCAATCAGCAAAAGAGTTCTGGATGACCGGATTATGAGTCTCGTGTGGTATTCCGAAAAAAGATCCAAAAACGATATCTTGACTTATCAAAGCTTGCAATGGAGAATAGGCTTACCGTGGGCAGCACTTTCATGTTACCTGTCAACCGGGCAGGAGTCTTGCCATCCTCAGTGACCCAATGATGCTCAAAGTCCAAGGCTTGGGACTTCAACTCATCGGAAACAAGATTCGGCGGTGCCCGCTGGAGGAACCTGCGACTAATACAAGAGAAGAAGCTGGCAGGGGCAATGTCAAGGTGCTCGGTCACGCTGGTCGTAAGGGCCTTAGTAGATGTGTCAAAAGTAACTATACAAGATGCTTACCTGTTCATGAAAACGATGCCAACCCGAATAGGACATCCGGGGTTGCGAAGGTCGATTGGCGAGGCCATATTTAGACTGATGATAGTCGATCAAAGGATTATTCAATCTGTCGAGAAATACTTAGAATGAGAGTGATTTATACTTGTTCCAATTGGAAGGCCTGCCCTGTACGTATCTACCTGCATCTCGTTACACTCGGATAGCTGTGGGACCTTACTGGCTCTTGATGTATCTTCCCATAATCACAGCCAATCATTGTGATAATGGCCAAGATTGCCCGTCGGAACATCTGCATCGTCGCGAATTGCCCTCCGTGATACACAAACAAGATGCGCACGTTCTTGGCGCCTGAGACTACATCGCAAGGGAAACATTCTGCTTAACAGAAAAAGAAAAAGGGTAATTCCATTCATATAATTTTATCTACAGACCTAAAAAGCGGTAGGTTCTGCATTTTACTCCAGGCACAGCTTCTCAAACTCCTTGATCTGCTCCTCCAAGCGAGCAGCCTCGCTCTCAGCATCACGGAGACGCTTCTCCTCAGCCTCGCGGACCTCAGCCTTGACCTTCTCCTTCCAGTTAGGAGCGCTCATGACACCCTGGGAGCGGCGCACGGTCTCACGGGCCCGCTCAAGGCTGGCCTTGGCCTTCTCCTCCTGCTCCAGGGCGACCTCCTTGGACACACGCAGGTAGACGGCAGCCTCAGCACCAACGGCAGCAACGACGCAGCCGGAGGGAGGAGTCTTGTTGTCCGGACCCAGGTGGGACAAGTCACCTAGAGTCTTGCCACCCAGGGAGTGGATGGTGGTGAGCTGCTCAGAGACGGTCTTCTCGCTGGTAGCATCGTAGGTCTGGATGATGATGTCACCCTTGGTCTTGACATCGTACTGGGCCAGGATGGAGCGGATAGCCTTGGAAGAGTTCAGGATAAGCTCGTATGCCTCCTCCGCGGCCGGGTCGTCGAACTCGGCACGGTACTCGGGGTACTTAGCCCGCATGATCGAGAACGTCTTGTCATCGGGGCGGCGGGGCAGACGCTGCCACAGGTGCTCAGTCACGAAGGGCATGATGGGGTGAATGAGGCACAGAGCACCCTCGAGCGCGGTGTAGAGGGTCTGCTTAGCAGACTCCTGGGTCTCGGGCGAAGCATCTTCGGCCAGAAGGTACTTGGAGTTCTCGATGAAAACGTCGCACAGCTGAGAGTACCAGTACTGGTAGGAGACGTTGGCGGTGACAGAGAACTCACGAGCTTCCAAAGCCTCGTTGATCTCCTTGGCGGCAGCGTTTAACTTGTGCAGAATCCAGCGCTCCGACAGGGACTCGTGGCCAGTCTTGGAAACAGTGGCCAAGGGCTTGAAGTCATCGCCGAGCTTGCCAAGAACGAACTTGGTAGCCTGGTAGATCTTGTTACAGAAACGACGGTAACCGTGGATGACCTGGACATCGAAGGCAATGTCACCACCTGTGAAACACGAGTTAGTAGATGAAAGGAAACAGGCTAGAATGAATACATACCACCAGTAGTGTAGGAGACAAGGGCAAAGCGAAGCGCATCAGCACCGCACTCGGGAATACCCTTGGGGAAGGCCTTCTTCTGGTACTTGGTAGCAGTGGCGACCTCCTTGTCAGCAAGGTTACCGAGCAGCAGCTTGTCGTGCAGAGTTTGCAGCTGGATACCCTCCATAACATCCAGAGGGTCAATAACGTTGCCGAGAGACTTGGACATCTTGCGACCCTCTGAGTCACGAATGAGAGAGTGGCAGTAGACCTCTCTGAATGGAATCTGTCCGGTCATCTTGATACCGAGCATGATCATACGAGCGACCCAGAAGAACAGAATATCCCAGCCAGTTTCCAGCACGGAGGTGGGGTAAAGGTTCTCGAAGTCGTGAGTCTTACGGGGCCAGCCCAGAGTTGAGAAGGGCCACAGACCGGAAGAGAACCAAGTGTCGAGGACATCGGGATCGCGGTCCAGGGTAAACTTCTTGCCGGGGAACTTGGCCTCGGCCTTCTTGCGAGCATCCTCCTCGGTGCGGCCAGTGACCCAGAAGTTACCATCGGCGTCGTCGTTCTCCTCGCCCTCGATGTTAACGAAGTAGGCGGGAGCCTGGTGACCCCACCAGAGCTGACGAGACAGACACCAGTCGTTCAGGTTGCGCATCCAGCGGAAGTAGTTCTTCTCGGCGGACTCGGGACGGATGATGATATCACCCTTCTCAACGGCTTCGATAGCGGGTCCAGCCAGAGACTCCATCTTCATCCACCATTGAGGCTTGAGGATAGGCTCGATAACATCATTTGACTTGGAGCAGCGGGGCACCTTCATGGGGTTGTGCTCCCACTTCACGTACAAACCCTTCTCCTTGAGGAGATCAATGACCTTGTAACGGGCATCGAAACGCTTCATACCAGCGAAAGGACCACCATTCTTGTTAAAGGTACCATCGTCGTTCAGGACGGAGATGAACTCGAGGTTGTGCTGCTTACCGCGGTTGAAATCGTTGAAGTCGTGAGCGGGGGTAATCTTCACGGCACCGGTACCGAACTCAGGCTCAACACCCTCATCGGCGACAATGGGAAGCAGACGGTCAACGAAGGGGTGGCGAGCGTTCTTGCCGACCAGGTGCTTGTAGCGAGGGTCGTTGGGGTGGACGGCAATACCACTGTCACCAATCATGGTCTCCGGACGAGTGGTAGCAATCTCAATGCGCTCGGTAGTACCATCGATCTCATAGCAGAAGTGGGTGAGAACACCAAACTCGACCTTGCGGTCGTAGCCAGGGACATCCAGGAGAGTGCGGCCTTCGATCTCCGTGTTATCGACCTCAAGGTTGGACAGGGAGGTGTTCAAAGCAACACACCAGTTGACCAGGCGGTTGGCACGGTAGATAATGCCCTCTTCGTGCAGCCGAACGAAGGTCTCGGTCACAGCGGCGGACAGGTTGGGGTCCATGGTGAAAGCCTCACGCGACCAGTCGAAGGAACCGCCAACTCTGCGTAGAGCGTTCTTGATGTTCTTGTGGTATTCATCCTTCCAGTCCCAGATGAGCTTGGTCATAGCCTCACGTCCAAGATCGTGACGAGTCTTCTTCTCCTTCTTCCATAGCATCTTCTCGACAACACTCTGGGTGGAAATACCTGCGTGATCCATACCGGGAAGCCACAGAGTGGTCTTGCCTTTCATTCGCTGCCAACGGATCATGGTGTCTTGCAGGGCGTTGGTCAGGGCGTGACCCATGTGAAGGGAACCGGTAACGTTGGGAGGAGGAATAGGTATGACGAAGGAGCCTTCAGGCTTGACTTTGCCATCGGGACCCCATTCAGGCTTGAAAAGATCGCGCTCTTCCCACCACTCGAGGCGACCAGTCTCGATGACCTTGGGATCGTAGGCATCGGTGGTCTTCTCCTTCTCAACCTTCTGCACCTTCTTCTCGGCCTTGGGCGCGGCGGGCTTAGCAGTCTTGGCCTTGGCCTGCTTCTCTGCGAACTTCTTCGTTTTCTCAGCCTTTTTGCGCTCGCGCTCCACTGTATTATGACCGCCTAGTGTCAGCATTCGTCCATCTTGAAGCAAAGTCCAGTGTCTCTCAAGCAATTCAGGATCGGGGATCCCGCAGGTTCCACATACACTCCTTCTCGGTCTTCACCTTCGGGGCAGCGGAGCCATCGTTGGCAGCGGCCTCGGCGATCTGGTTGCGCGTCTGCTCGTCAACTGGAGGAGGGTTCTCGGTCAAAGGGGCAGTGTTCTCCCCCACTGCATGGTATGTCAAGGTCAGCTTGCGGACTGCAGCATGAGTCATGAATCATTGGAAGAGGACTGACTGGGGTTTTGGGAGGCAGAGTTTTGAGCCATCCTGGAGAATGATCGATATGTCGGAGGGAATCTCCAAGGCGCCGATCGCGCCACGAGTCGCCGGATAAGTATCTTGAGGGGAGGGAGATGCGACAAGGAGGGGTGGTTGTGCGAAATGCGGGCAGATTAAATTTCCCACGACGAATGAGCGAGCGGGGCCCAAGTGAGGATCGGTGGGGACCACGCGACGCTGGGGTTGGCAGATGCAAGTGTGGCTTTTCTATAGCTTCAGGCACACCATTGGAATCAGTCGCCGCGTTTATAGTTGTTGTTCTCGCTATTTTTTCTATGTTTTTGTTCCGGTCTCGCTGCTGCTACAAGCTATCGAGTATTGGACTCACGTGATGGCGCTGGTGCCAACGGGTGATCCGATCGGCAATCCGATAAGGCGATAGTTGACGAGGACCGGACGGGCATCTACAGGGGCAGTAGGTTGGCATATCGACGGAGATATCTGGGAGGAAAAGGATAACAATTGAAATGAAAATGCATTGTGTCTTCAAAAACCCCCTCGTAGCATGGTCGCCAATCATGAGTACCTCTCCAATACCTTCCCTCCAATGCATGTGCATGTTAAGCCAGAAGCAGTCGCGCGAGAGAACTAGGGGAAGCATGAACAGCGAAAAACAAGATCACATGAGAGCAGGGAAGAGGAGAAAATGAAAATCCATAACACCAGACCAAGGGATGAGGGAGGAGGGGGAAAGAAAGAGAATTGGCGAGGACTGAAGAAACCAACGCTGTACAATTAAGAGAGCATCGAGAAAGGAGGTTACTCCCGCTCTAAGTGGACAACTGATTTGATTGCGCTCACTAACACGCCTGTAGAACCGAGGCGATACAGGGCTGACCAGCCCAAGAAGATTAGATGTCATGTCTTGTCATCAACGTCGTCTCCATTCGGAATTCGGTCATTCATCGCAGCCCCTCCTCTGCCGGCGGGAAAGCTCGGAGGAAACATTGAGAAGAGGTGGCATTGAAAATTCTCCTCCGTGTTTTCTTAACCGCGCGCCGCTGCAATAGGCGAATCTTCAACTCAGACACATAAGGAGGCTCGTGATACCGTGTGATAGTCTGTAGATAGGATGGTAGGGGAGAGGAGGGTGGAAGAGGTGCTGATAGGAAATGTAAGGAAGATGAGAAAGGAGCAACGGTAGTTCACAGCTGCAGGAACTGATCAGGACTGAGCAGCTGCGTTGTTCAGAGAATCGGCGCGAACGGGGTCAAAGTAGGCATGAGCCATGGCCTCTTGAGCAGTCAGGCGTTCCTGTACAATAGTCAGTATGTGCTCGGCAAGTTTATGAGAACAGTCATGACATACGGCGTGGTCATAGCGAAGCAGCTTATCAAGGAAGTCAATAGCTTCATCGCTGACGAAGCGCTGGTTTTCAGCCGTGACAAACGAGTGCCACGGCTTGCGTGGGAAGCGCGAGAGGATATCGTCGTACTGCGGGTCGAGCTCAATGTCGTACTTGTCCAGGTATTCAAAAAGCTCCTCAGTTCCCAAGACCTTGGCAATCTTTACCAGTTGGTCCGAGTTGCTGTTGCCGTGGAAGAACGGCTCCTTGCGGAAGATCATGGAAGCGAACATGGCGCCCAGTGACCACATATCGAGGGAGTAATCGTACTCCTGGAAATCGACGAGAAGCTCAGGGCCTTTGAAGTAACGAGATGCGACTCGGACGTTATATTCAGTGCCCTTGTGATAAAACTCAGCGAGACCCCAATCGATCAATCGTAGCTATAGCAGCATTAGCATTTATACCCCTCAAAAAGAATGTCTTATACACACCTTGCGCTTCTCATGATCGATCATGACGTTGTGGGGCTTCACATCTCGGTGCATGATACCCTTGCTGTGACAGAAGTCCAGTGCCTTGAGGAGCTCGTAGATGTAGAAGCGGACATCATAGTCCGTGAAGCGGGGGTACAAGGTACGGAAATCGGTGTTGTTGACAGCTTCAAAGACCAAGCTGGGAGTCTTGCTTTGATTATCCCGAACAACGTCCAGCAGAGCTACAACGTTGGGACCACCAGCCAGATTCTGAAGAATCTTGATCTCTCGCTTAATCTTCTTCTTCTTCACGGGCTTGAGAACCTTGATAACGCATTTCTGGTAATTGACAACGTTGATGCCCTCGAACACCTCCGAGTACTTTCCTCGACCTGAAGAGGAATAGTGTTAGCAAACGGTCAGTCCTGAGCTTGTCTCCACACCCGGGGCAAGAGGGCAGGTGATAACACCAGCGTCCCGGGTCGGATGACCTCGAATCAAAACTCTACATACCGATCTTGCGAACGATTTCGTAGTTCTCCAGGACACCCCAGGAAATATTGACACTGTCGTAATCCCAGTAGGACCGAGGCATGTGCTCGTTGACATCGGCGTAGACGCGCGCCATGGTGATTGAAGACGGCTTCCGAATCCGCCCACAATAGAAATCAGATGCGGCGGGGTTACGCGGGGCGCAGCCTAGTGACGGGATAGGGAAGGGTCGGGGGGAGTTGACACAGGAAGAAGACAACAGCAGCAGCAGGCCCAGCAACTCGCCAGCTTGAACTCAGCCGTGCTATCGATCGTCCTGATACAATGGGATTTTGGAGGTGAGGGGACAATATGATGCGAGCGAGATCTGTTCCGCCTTGTCACGGGATTTGCATGGAGAGCAGTCCCGAAATGGCTAGACCGTTGGTTGCCGGGGAAATAGTTGTTCCGAGATGATTTTCTAATTGCCTCTTTCGGACAGGTCGTGACCGCGGGTGTTTCTCAAGTACTCAATTTCTCAACGGACGCAGGAACCGTTACAGTGTCCCTTGGCCCTTTTTAAAAGGCACCATGTTTTATGATCTGAATGTCCCATACAGTCCAGATGACCCCGAGGCAATCCACACCTTAAACTTCCTGGCTGAACGTAAGTCATTCTGCCCTGACCTTGGCACCCGATCCGAACATATTTAAAGCTTGCGGACCACATGAGGTACTGACCTGACCTTAGTTGGTTACACCACCGTCGCCCTGTCCCAAACAATCACAGGCAAGCTCCCCCCGAGCCTCAGCCCGCCACCTCTCCCATCGAATGCGCCAAAGTCCCTCCAGCTACTCACCCGCCTCAACCTTACACTCTCCGACCCCGCGCAAAATCAGCGGCTCAACAGCTTGACACAGGCTTACGATATTGTCGCACTTCGCCCGAGTAATGAGAAAACCCTTCTCAATGCCTGCACAAATCTGGAGTGTGACGTGATATCACTCGATCTTTCTGTGCGACTTCCATTCCACTTCAAATTCAAAATGCTGTCGGCTGCGATATCACGTGGTATTCGTCTGGAGATCTGCTACGGTCCGGGAGTCACAGGGAGTGGGCTGGATGCCCGCCGTAATTTGATTGGAAACGCAATGGCATTGATCAGAGCTACCCGGGGAGGACGAGGAATCATCGTCTCAAGTGAGGCCAAGCGTGCCCTGGGCTTGCGAGCTCCGTGGGATGTGATCAACCTGACCTGTGTGTGGGGATTGTCACAAGAGCGCGGAAAGGAAGCAATCTGTGAAGAAGCCAGGAAGGTCACAGCTTTGGCCAAGCTCAAGCGCACGAGCTGGCGTGGTATTGTCGATATCGTCCATGGGGGCGAGAAAGCGAAGGCCGAGAAGCCAACTTCGAAGCAAAAGGGCCAAAACAAAGCAGCAACACCTGTGCTGTCGGAGCATACAACTGATACTTTGAAGAGGAAAGCTTCACTTGGCTCCGAGGCCGCCGTGGAACCTGAGAAGCCGCTGTCGAAGCGGGAGATGAAGCGACGAGCGAAAAAAGCTCGACTCGAACCCCAAGGAGAAGATGCGAGCTGAAGTGTCACGGGTGTCTAGATATCATCCCTTTTGGCACCTTGTTTGTCCGCACGACGTGAGCACTCACAGACTGGCTTTGCCCTTTGCATCGAAACAGATCAGGCCTTGCCTCTTTCCATCCCCAAGCACACAGCAGGCTGCTTGATGATATTTGCCCAATCTAGACGGCTTGCATGAGGCGTCAAGGGCCTTGCTCGCCACCTTTAGCCACTACTTGGTATCCCGGTGGCCTCGGTGGAGATACTGGTTGCCTTTGGTACACTCCATGAGTCGAGTGTGTCGTGTCGCATCAATCATACTCGAAAACAAGCCACAGTTAGACCTGAAGGGCTATACATGCTGTGATGGGGTCTTCCTCCATGGTCTGCCACAGTGCCTTGGTTTTATTCCAGGCGTCTTCGGCGGGTACCACTTCTTCGTCTGCAGGAAGAAACGTTTGCTTGCTTTGATATTGTTATTTTTCATAGCATCAATACCCAGGTCTCAAGTTGTACGAGCTCTATCATTGTTTCTCTTCTCTAAATCCCTCGCCTTCTGCCACACGGTCATCCCTCTGTTCTCCACTCGCCCTCATTACCGCTAGTCCGGTACTATGGAGCTTCCCGTCATGTTCGGCATTGCTAGAAGCACTACATTTGAATTACCTATCCTGTAGACCTGACACGATAACTAAAGGCCAAGCCCAGCGGCAAGATCTGCTGAGTCATTCACTCTACGGTGGGTCCCTGCCCTGCCCCAGGCACCTAACCTTAAGTTGGTCCCTTTTTTAGCAAGACCGTTTGAGGCAACTAACTAAAGCGCGTCTCGGCCCACCGTCAACCCTGCAACCATGCCGCTACGCAGATCGCACACGAAATCCCATCACGGCTGTTCTCATTGCAAGAAGCGTCGAATCAAATGCGATGAGTCTCGCCCTATTTGTGGGTCCTGCCGAAAAAAGGGCCTCTCATGCACTTTCGATATTTCCCAGCCAGGTCATATCCTTCCTCGCAATCTTGATGAGAATAACCAATGGCCAAGAACTGAGAGTACGGCTGGACTTCCACTATGCGAACTAGAGCTTCTACATCACTGGCATACGGCAACGGCCATGTCGTTGATAGAGAATGAGGCCTTGAGTGAAGTTCTTCAGACACAAGTCCCCAAGGCGGGACTGAGCCACCCGTTCGTGATGCATGGTATCCTGGCTATATCAGCGCTGCATCTTTCCCAGCAATGCTCTGGACATCGTCGCCAGATGTATACGGATATCGGAATGCGACATCAGAGCCATGCATTGTCGCTTTTTGTACCGCTTCTTAGCGATGTGACCCCTGAAAATGGCGGCAGTCTTTTCGTCTGCTCTTTTCTTATTTCCGGTTTTTCGTTCGCTTTCCATGGCCTCATGACTCAACCTTCCTCCATGCGTGTGAGCGAAGTAATTGAAGTCTTCAAATTAGTCCGCGGGACAGCTTCGATTGTGGAAAGGGCTCGGCCGTGGATCGAAGAGGGTGATATGCGGCCTCTGTTAAAATTAACTAGGTGTGCACAAGGAACTCCCCGGTCAAGACATATTCATGAAATGAATACTCGCCTTGAAGCGCTCATCGACCATCAAGTAGACGCAAACCACCATCCCCAGCTTACGAGTAGTACGCGGGCTGTCATAGTTCGCTCTACTCGGCACCTTCTTGAAGTTTGTGTTTCTTCTATCGCTAGCGATAACCAAACTACCATTCTCGCCTGGCCTGCGATAATTGATGTTGAGTACTTGGATCTTCTGCAACAAACCCAGCCATGGTCTTTGGTGACACTCGCTCACTATGGGGCCGTTCTCCATGTTATGACCAATGCCTGGTGGATGGCCGGCTGGGGCAAGTTCTTGGTCAATGTTGCCGCGGCATACTTGGATGAAACTGGACGATCGGCGATTGCCTGGCCTTTAGCCGTCGTCAGTGAGAAGGCCGATGAGTGACAACTGAGAAGCTGCTTCTCGTTCTTCTTACTGCTTTTGGTATAGTTTTCGAATCAGTGGGGTATCCGTGTGGGGAATCTAGCAATCCGAATTCTACAAGGCATTTGTTCTTGTTCTTTTTGATCCTGCACTCAAAGGCCGACCCGTTGACTCGGTATAACTGATACCGAGTGCAGTTGAGTTTGGGACTTCTGCGAACTCTTTCCCCCAGCCTTTGTGCACATTCGAGTGTTCGAGCCAGCATCGCTTGCATTCTCCGCATTTTGTGACGAACCGGGGTTAGTGCGCTTCCCCCACATTCGCCGATCAGAACGATACGCGGATTTGGGCTCGTGTTCGTATACCAAGGCAGAGTTGTCTATTGTTCTCATCAGACCCTCGTCAAATTTTGTTATAAAAGAGATGAATCCTCCTGTATCAGGATGAATCGTATCCAACAAAGTCTCAGAGATCGTGATTTCCCTCACATTTCGTTTTGGTCTCCAAGATGCGTTGGACGTTCTCTGCCATCGCATGCATGATCGCCTTTGGTACGGCATCAACCATACCAGCACCTCCTCAGCCAGAACCAATTGAAGTTGTCGAGCTTCCTCTTCCTCCGGTTGCACCGAGCAATGACACGGGTGCATGCACGGCCTCCATAAACCCCCACCGGACAGGCTGCATTGGACAGATATCAGACTCCTTCCAGGCTGGCGACTTCGCACCTGATGGGAAATATGTGGTTGTTACTGTGGAGTTCGTCGGTGCTCCAGCGGCACCAGATCCTGCCAGCATATATACCGGGACACATCTCATCCTTGTCAAAGCGGACGGTACACATTTCCCAAATGGCGATGCATGGAAATGTTTGAGCTGTGGTGTTCCTGCGCAAAATGCGCGCAGTATTGACCCGGTGAGGGACTATCCACATGTGGCCAGAAGTTCCCGACAAGCACTTTGGGGGCACAATATTCTGGATTGTAGTGGGATTCCCCTGGTTAGCGATGCGTGTACGCCAAACAAGACTCACATCTATCCAATCTACTGGCCAACCGGCAGGAACAGCTCGGGCACCCCACGAGAAATGCGTCTGCACCCTGACGATACTCATATGGGTTGGAGCTCCTTCACAAGTGGTGGCGAGTTCGCATACTATGGTCGACTACAATTCCGTCAGAATCCGACAGATGGAACGCTCACTGTCCCCAGATACGATCTCATCGATGTGAACCTGCTCGTTCAACCCAACGGAACCGCACCTGTCATGGCTGAAGGCAACGAGCTAAGGCTCCATGACGAAGCAATTGCAGTTGGTGAGCTTCGTGGATTCAGCGGCACCGGAGACGAGATTTTATATATTGGATCAACACGCGAGGCAAACAACATTGATCTTTTTGCGGTCCATATCGTCACAGGCGTTGTGCGCCGTCTCACCAGTCACCCCGAGTATGCTGATCCTATTGCCTTCTCACATGACAACCGATGGTTTGTTACCATGGATACTCGTGGCTCAAACCGACAAATGTGGATGGCTGGGGAGAGGTATATTCCTCCTCTGATCGACTTAGTTACCATCGCGGCTGCTTCATCAACTCGCAATAATGGCGCACGTCGCTTCTTTCAACCGATTTTGATCGACCGTTATGGTGACCGGGGTGACTACTTTGGTCAACGTGTGAACTATGAAGGCGATGACAGCAATGGCAGTATCAACGATCCGAACTGGAATGGCAGAGCAGACCCAGCCTTCTCCCCCGACGGGTCGAAAATCGTATTTTGGCAAGCTTTAGTGGTCTCACCTGCCTGTGGTGGTACCAACCCACTTCCCTGCCCAGTGTCAACTGCCCAAGGAGGTCGAACCTACCGCGTAATGCTGGCACGTCTTACAAGCCGCAAACCCACGGTCCCAGCCCCTGTTTTTGTTGCACCTGATTTTATTCCCTGGGCGACCCCGTTCCCAGCCGGTGCAAGCCTTCCTACCTCTTATTCATTGCCCGGGGGGAAATATACTCTCTACGGCATGGCCAGTGGGTTTGCAAATGCTACCCTGACTAAGGATCCGATTTTAGGCAGCTTCAAGACTGTATCTGTCAACTACACCAATTACTCGGACGATGGTCAGCACTACATCAATGGCTACGAATCTGTTACTCAGATATCGAGTACGTCGAATCCTTGGCTCAGCAACTTGAACTGGGTCTCCGATATCGTGCAAAGTGGCACCGTGAATGCCGTAAAGAAGACTGGACCGGGTGGATTCCAGTTGACTATTGATGCCCTAGCAAATATTTTTGAGGCCAATGGGACACTGACTACGACTATGAATGGTGTGACGTACTACCAGCCACTGAATGGTGCATGATTAGAAGCCAGTTGGCTACATGGCACTTCTATTTGGAGTCGTTCGAGGAGAGCACCCAGAGGTTGTATGTATCTACAGCTTGTAGCTAGGTATGCGATCCCGTGCAGTGTTCCTTCAATGGATCAATTAGCTTTACCGATCAATTACATTCTTTGAGTACAAAAATCTTAAAAAGGTGCTTGTATTCCGCAAACCATGAAGAACCCAACTTACATAACTAGAGCTACATATCCTCCCTTTGCTCAAGACTTAGCAGGTAATGGCTTCACGGGCCATTCATTTTCCCTTGTAAAACATGTCTCAAATGTCCATTCACCTTGACCAACAGTTTTCTGCAAGTCCCCTGACCCCTCTGGCAGGAAAATCTCACAGGTCATACCTGGTGGCACTGTGATTTGGACCTCCAAACGACTCTGTTTCTTACCGAAATGAGTAGTCTTCCACGAACAAGACACAATGCCCAGAGGGGTTTCATGCGAAGCAGAGGCCTCCGAGAATTCCGCCCCGATGCAAGGTGCGACGCGGCACTTTGTCCAGCCAGGCTCCAGTCTTTGCAGACCGGCCAATCTCTCATACAAGAACTTGGCAATCGAGCCAAAAGCATAATGATTGAAGGAAGTCATCTCACCAGGATTGATTGATCCATCGGGCAGCATACTATCCCACCGCTCCCATACCGTAGTAGCACCCATGGTGACTGGGTACAACCACGAAGGACATTTATTTTCAAGGAGCATCGCATACGCAACTTGAATATGACCAGTCAAGGCAAGAGCTTCGCACAGAAATGGAGTTCCGGCGAAACCCGTGCCGATTCGAAAATTGTTCTTTCGCACGAGATATACCAGCCGATCTCCTGCTCGCTCTTGCTGCGTAGGTGTCAGGAGGCCGAAGCATATCGCGATGGCGTAAGCTGCCTGACTGTCGGATACAAGACGACCATTGGAGGTTACGTATTCCTCTTGGAATTCCTTTTTGGCTGCATTCAACCCTTTCTCAAATTCGACTTTTTCACCGGTCTTGTGGAGAAGGGCGGTGATTCGAGTCATGAGGTCTAAACTTTGAATCAAGAATGCATTGGCTACCAGCTGTGCGTCCGTTTTCCCTTTCCAGGGCGCGTCCGGCGGAGCATCGGGATCGAGCCAGTCCTAAAGCTGATTGTCAATGCCTGGGATAATGAATAGTTTGAGGCAATAGAGCGATGAGTCTCTTACCCCAAGCTGGAAGATGCTGGTGTCCCAGAGGTGAGTGCAGCCTTCTTTATTCCTAGGCAGTTTCTGCAACCAAGTGGTCATGCTGTCATACTGCTGTTCTAAAATTTCCACCTTGCCGGTTTCCCCATATAATGCCCAAGGTGCAAGAATAGTGACATCGTGCCAGATTGCGCAAGGTTTCCGACGACACCATACAGGGTCTGGGAGTGTCGCGTTGGGGGTGACCATGGCTGGGACACCATCAAGAGTTTGCTGGTCATACCACACATCGACAAGCCAATTCTTGAGAAAATCATAGCAGTTAAATAGCAGTACTGCTGTTGGGGCAAAAAGCGCCAAGTCTCCAGACCAACCAAGGCGCTCATCGCGTTGAGGACAGTCTGTTGGCACTGAGAGAAAATTTCCCTTCATGCCCCAACGAATGTTATGGTACAGCTGATTGACCAATGTATCCGAACATGCAAATGAGCCGATCTCTTCCATGTCCGTGTGGCATACAACTGCCTCGACCGAGTCAATCAGACTGGAGTCGCTGGTCCATCCGTCGACCTGGGCATATCGAAATCCATGGAATGTGAAGCGAGGTTCGTACTTCTCGCCTGCTTGGTCTCCCTTCAAGATATATTCATCCACCGCGTCGCATTGACGAAGTGGTCTGATGCAAAGTTCCTGATTCTCCAGAACCTCGGCATGTGAAATGACAATTTTATGACCGCGAGACCCTTTTATGTTTCTCAGCCTGACATATCCGACCAAGTTTTGGCCAAAGTCGAGGATGGATTTTCCCATTGGAGACAGAAGTTGTTGAACTGGTTTGATGATCTCAATCCGTCTCACAGGCTCGCCAAATCCCGATGTCAGCATGATTCGCTCGGATAAGGGTGGCATGCAGAGAACGGGTTGCCAGGTATGAGAAATATCGCAAGGTCCTTCAGGCACAATGGTCGACCAATACGGAACCTCTCGAGTAGCATCATACTTTTCGCCATTGTAGATCTCGGCCAATTGAATTGGCCCTCTTTGCACAACCCATGTGCTATCGGTAGGTATGATCTCAACGGTGTCGTCGACGTAGTAAATTTCTAGCTGCGCCATCAATGCCGGATGAGGTCCCCAAATATTTCGGTGGCCACCTTCGAAGCCAATACGTCCGCAGAACCAACCTTCAGCGACGCGGACACCAATGCAGTTGCGACCATTCAAAAGGTTCGCCGTGACGTCGAATGTCTGGTATTGTAATCTCCGGTCGTAAGATGTCCAGCCCGGGGCCATGAAGTGGTCGCCCACGATTTGGCCATTGATCTCCGCCTCGTATACGCCCTGAGTAGTGATAACCAGTTTGGCGTGCACGAAAGGCTTCAAACAAACGTCTTTGCGAAAAAGCCATTCTGCATCTGGTCCGGGTGTATTCAGACCCCACGGCGCAGCAATTCGATCACAGCGCCAATCTTGCTTATCACCATTCTGACTGATGAATTTGACGGAGGCCATAGTTGTGTGGGATGATCCTGGTTCTTTGCGTTCTCCAATAATAAACCTGGCTGTGGTTGTTGGATAGGACGACTTTGGCGACTGAGAAAATTGTGGCTTGCAAGGCCGCAAAGAACTCTGTGTCAGAGAAATGGTTCAGTTCGGTACGATGAGGTACCGAGCCGGTGGAACTCAGAGCGAGGAAAGGCAGCCGAAGGCACGAATTGACCCGAGCTCAAAAGTGAAAGAGCATGTCAGATGCCGTATATCCTACTCAAAAGCCGACCCATGTTCTATCATAAGTTCGCCTTTTTACCCGGCGACATTCCGGCTTGAAGCATAGTTCTAAAAACGCCACACCGTGACTTGCATCGCTTGATCGAGCGTTTTTCAATATGAACATTAACATGTTTCAGGCTGGGGACAATGTCCTTCATGCCAAGAAAGAACAATGGGCTGTTGAGCCTCGCCCTGTGGAAGAGTTGCCTCTTCCTGCAAACTTCTTCTGGGGAGCAGCTACTGCTGCGTACCAGATTGAGGGCGGTGCTTCCCAGGATGGTAAGGGCAAGTCTATCTGGGATACTTTCAGTCATCTTGAGCCCTCACGGACTAATGGTGAGAATGCCGATGTGGCATGCGATCACTATAATCGTATGCTAGAAGATTTGGACTTGATGGCCTCGTACGATGTCGATGTCTATCGGTTTTCCATTGCCTGGTCTCGTGTCATCCCACTTGGTGGCCGCAACGACCCAATAAACGAAAAGGGCATTGCATTCTACAACAGGCTCATTGATGGCCTTTTGGCCAGAAATATCAAGCCAATCGTTACCCTATATCATTGGGACGTCCCACAGGAGCTCTATGATCGTTATGGCGCCTTTTTGAACACGGTTGAGTTCAAAGCCGACTTTGAGAACTTTGCCAAACTTTGCTTCTCTAGCTTTGGAGATCGTGTTAAGAATTGGGTTACCTTCAATGAGCCGTACATTATTTCCATCTTCGGTCATCATAGCGGCGTCCTTGCTCCTGGCCACAGTGCTGCCACTGGATATGACTCGCGAACAGAGCCATGGCGCGTCGGTCATACCATCATTCTTTCCCACGCTGCCGTTGTGGATCTATACGCGAGAGAGTTCCGACCTTCTCAGAACGGGATTATCTCAATCGTCCTGAATGGTCATTTCTACGAGCCATGGGACGCAGCAAGTGAGGAGCACAAAGCGGCAGCACAACGAAGACTGGAATTCTACATTGGCTGGTTCGCGGACCCCATCTTCTTGGGACAGAATTACCCCGCTCAAATGCGCGCCCAGTTGGGGTATCGGCTACCTGAGTTCACTACTGAGGAGATGAGCCTTCTCCGAAAGACTGCCCCATTCAATGCCTTCTACGGAATGAATCACTACTCCACCAAGTTTGCCCGTGCTCTTCCGGACCCACCGGCCGAGGATGACTGTACCGGAAACGTGGAGGAGCTAGCCGTCAACAAAGAAGGGGAATATCTGGGGCCTGTCTCTGGCATGTCCTGGCTTCGTGTTGCACCTGACGGATTTCGAAAGCTCATGAATTGGGTCTGGGATCGATACCACTTGCCAATCATCATCACCGAAAATGGCTGTCCCTGTCCAGGAGAAAGTCAAATGACACTCGATCAAGCGGTAAACGACACCTTCCGAGTTCGTTACTTCGGATTGTATCTGGATGCTATCTCTCGGGCCATTTATGAAGATGGCATCGACGTTCAGGGGTACTGTGCGTGGAGTCTTATGGACAATTTTGGTACGTATCTCATATTCCAACTGGCATTTCTTTTCTATTTTTCTGACTATTCCTTTAGAATGGTCTGCTGGTTACGGCCCCCGCTACGGTATCACACATGTGAGTTACGAGACGCTTGTGAGAACTCCTAAGAAATCCGCATTTTACTTGGAGCAATCTTTCAAAGCACGCCGTAGTGGATGTAAGTAGCATAGTTTGACAAATTTCATACAAAGTTAAATTCTTAATACACAAGTTTGATTGTGATGGCCTTTTGTTGTTCTATAACTACCTGAAACCTTCGATGCTTTAGTAGTATTCCCAATATAGTGATTGTCAACTCCGTGTAAGCAGCTTACCATATGATGTATTTCACTTCTCAACAGGAATGTGTAGGTACATTCCAGTAGACACTTTAAAGCGTTGGATGATTTCCTAAAAAAACGCAGATATTCAAAGAGCTTCCTTCGACAAGGCGGAGTTTGTAATATTATTCACTAAAGAGGACAGGGTAGGAAATCAGGTAGTAGGTCTTCCTCAATCCACCGGGGGTCATTCTCAAGCCAGAAACTACAGCGCGACTTTGGAACGACTTCCAAATGTCTTCAATTGTCTGATTGTAGGAAACGACGAGATAAAATGGTCGTCCAATTACAGCTGCCCTTGATGAGCCTAGTCCCAAAATGGCTTGGCCTAGTGGCGCCACAGGGTGCAAAACCGTGAACCTTCCCTAATTAGGTATAGTTTACGAATGCCTTGTCTATCCAGGAAGCCTCACCCTAGGTTCCATTGAAAGGACAATAGCTCCTTGGCGACTCAGCTGTATTCGAATAGATTATCGGCATATGAGTCGGCTATAGCACCGGTAATCAAAGCTAGCGTCGCTTTGATTCTACAACTTGAAAACCCCACCGCGAGATACGGGAGAATGTCTCGCGATTTTAGGATCATGGTGCAGTACTAGCATCGGCTATTGGTATTATAGGCAATTGATTGACTTTGCCAAGGAGTTTAGCTCTGGGGAAATTGCGGGGACGCTGATGGAGTGCGGAAGCAGCGGGGGTTGGGGATACTGAACCCAAAGTGCCCACATGCAGGGTAGGCGAGCAAGGTGAGCATCAAACTAATTCAAACTAATGATCAAAGACGCTCGCGTATTTTGAGTTCAATTAAGGCGCCTCTCGGTAAAGTAATGACCGAGTTTAATATGTGGCTGTTGCTGTTTCTTGGGTCATGCGACAATTAGCTTGAGCATTCAGAAGCCGTGGAGCTTTGAAGCTTTAAATTCAGAATGATCTCGCCAACCTTCTCGCAGCAGTAACTTGTGATACACAACTTGACTTGTAAAAGTCACTTACTCCGTGGCCCTGCAAGATGGAATCTGCGAAGAAATCTTTGAACGACCCCAACCCTTCTGCGAATCAGGTTGAGAACATTGCAGAGGATGGATTCGAAAAGTCTGATCCAGCATTCGAAGCGGCTACCAAAGGCCAAGTTACCACTGGGTACGAGGAGTTAGGCGCTTTCGAAACTATCAAGACTTTCAAGCTTTGCACACTCGTGTGCTTTGCCATGGCCTTCAGTGCGGCAACTGATGGGTACCAAATCGGGTATGTCAAGATTTGGAGCTATATATCTCAAGCTTCTCTGACCACATGCATTTGTCTAGAATCAATGCCAGTGTTATTGCCAATACCGGCTTTGTTTCACGCTTTGCCACCACTGTCGGCAAGAACGGAAAACCTGCACTTGCATCGCCTATTCTCAGTGGCTGGAGTTCGATTATGTCCTGTGGCCAGATCGTGGGCATGACCACTTTGCCATTTCTCTCGAGTAGATATGGAAGGAAGGTTGCGATGTTTACCTACTGGGTCATCTTAGTCGGCAGCGTGCTCACCGAGTGTCTCGCGAGATCATGGCAAGGATGGTTGGTCGCCAAGCTCCTTGCAGGAATTGGAGTCGGATGCCTGCAATCAACTGTCCCAACATACATCTCTGAGGTTGCGCCAACTCGAATCCGTGGAGGCCTGTTGATGTGTTATAGCTTCTGGTGGACACTGGGGTCATTCTTTGCACAAGTGGCTCTTCAACACCTCTCGAAAGATAACCCGACCAACTATCTGACACCCATATACACCCAGTGGGCCCAGATCGGGATCATGCTTCTAATCTACATCTTTGTTCCGGAATCTCCAGCCTGGTGCGTTAATGCCGGGAAGCATGATCGAGCTAAGAAGCAACTTCTGGCTCTCAACCGCGGCGTGCCAAATTATGACTTGGATCGACAATTCCAAGCTTTGGTCATGGCCGTGGAGCACGAACGTGAAGTTGCAGCTGAGCAACGACGCGAGAAGTGGTATGGAATTTTTCAGGGTACCAATGGCCTGCGCACTGTTGTCTCTTGCTGGACCAATCTCACCCAGCAGTTGATTGGTCTGAGTCTCTTCGGAACATTTGGGACATACTTCTTTCAACAGGCTGGGTTAGCGGATCCTTTCAAGATCAAAGTCATCACCAACTCAATTCAGATCGCTACTGTGATTGTCATAATCGCTGTTGCCGATCGCCTGGGTAGGAGACTGCTGGCTTGCTCGGGAACCACGCTCTGCTGGGTATCTTGTGTAGCCATCGGCATTATTGGAGTTTGCCCCCAGGTGAAGGCTTCGACCTATATCTTTATTTTCTTTGCTTGCTTATGGAGTAAGTGCCCCGTTCTCTCTGAAAAAACGTACGGCTATTGACAAAATTATCAGACGCAGGTCTGGCCACCAATGGTGCGACTGGTTGGGGTTATATAGGAGAGATCTCGTCTCAGCGACTGAGACCATACACCGCTGGCTTCGCAGCAGCAGTTACATGCGTAGCTGGAGTTGTGATGAATGTGCTTGTTCCATACATGACTAACAGTAACAAATGGAACTGGAGCTTAAAGACGGGTTGGTTCTATGCTGGCGTTGGTCTTCCGTTCGTTGCTGGCATGTGGCTATTGATTCCAGAGACTTCTGGGTGAGTCCATGAGTGCAATGCCAAATTCAACCGAATATTGAATCAACTAGGCTAACCCTTGAAACTTCAGACGATCCGCTGCTGAGCTCGATGAACTGTTTGAACGAAAGATCAAGCCTTGGCGATTCCACAAGACGGAGACAGCTACCCAGCGGCTTGTTCAGCTCAAAAAGGCCGAGGAAAACTAAGGCTAGTGAGTGAGGCTTTTTGAACTTGCGGTATTATGTCTGGTTGTCAAGGATGGCTTTCAAGCGACTTGAACTGACACGGATGCTCACATGTTGAAGCATTTATTGCAATGATGACTACCTAGCCATACTGGCCATACATGTAGTGGTGCAATAATCTGTCAAGGATGCTTAGCTAGCGACTTATGGGAATGATAATTAATGAAATTCAAGGGCTTGCGATTTCATGTAGAAACATTGTTCAGATTTCATTCGTTCCAGGAAAATATTAATATCACTAAAAATGGATGACCTCAAGGATAGAGCAAGGAAGAAATGCACACTGCCATATGTCGTTCGCCTGACTTTACCAGTATCACAAGTGTGCGAGTGCGAGGTGGCACCGTATAGTGGAAGTTGGAAAGTCTGCGTAGAAATCATTGAGGTCAACATTTTCGAGATTTCTCGAAATTCGGAGAATGTGCTTATTTTCACCGGAGTCCGTGGGCAACATCTCTGTTCCTAATCCACGCAAGGCTCTGACTTCCTTGGTGTTCTTCAACTAGAATCATCCCGAGTCCTTCACGTATGCTCCTTCCTCTCTATCTGCCCACTCTCTTTATTTGAAAACTCTGCCACATTCTATCTTCCACCATCTTGCTATCTGATGAGTCGCTTCTATATTTCCACATGCAAATCGTCTTCTCCCAACCGGGTCGAAAATCGCGACAATATCCAATGTCGTCTTCAGTCTAACCCGCTCCTTCTCCGCGAGCGATCGCAACTCCTCCGCCTCACCTTTTTTCCACCATCAAGTCTCTCAGTCTCTATTCCGAGTACTTCACTTTCAGTTCGGATCAGGTTCAGTAACTCGGCGTTTGAGTGAAGATCTATACGCTCTTCATTGCTCCCCATCTCGTTCGAAGACCCAACAGACATCCAATCTTTCACATCCATTGTCTCCTTGAGATGCCAAAAATGGAGATCATCGATCCCAATGGAGATCTTACCCTCGTCTTAGTCAATGAAAAGGACGATGACGTCGATCCATGGACCATGCCCAAAATCGCCCCGGATTCTAAGAAGACTCAATTCAAGGTCTCCTCAAAGCACCTCACTCTTTCTTCGCCATACTTTTTGACGAGGCTGGGACAGAATTGGTTTGAAGGCCAAGAGCTGGCCCAAAATGGCGTCGTTGAGATTGAAGTTGATGGGTTCAACCGTCGGGCACTTCATATCATTCTGGACATCCTACATTTACGCAATGCTCAAGTTCCAAGGAACGTCGATGGCAAACTCCTTATACACCTCGCAAAGATTGCCGACTATTTCCAGTGCCAGCAGAGCATCCAGATGTTCGTGCAGATCTGGTTTGATTCGGGGCAGTGGCGAGAATCATACTCCGAGAAATCCCCGGAATTCATGTTCCTCTGCAATGTCTTTAAGATGGGGGAGAGCTCCAAAACTGCATCACGCGTGCCTGGAAGGAAACAGAGGGCCGATTCAACCCCAGAAACGTTCCTATCCCAAAGTCTGTTCTAGGTATGCCCAAGTCAGTGTCGCATACAAGCCTGTACTCTGGCTAATCTTAGGCCTTTAGACACTATCGATCGGAGCAGAGCTTCATTTTACGAGAGAAGCGCCTTTGATATTGGCATACAAGTCCTCAAATATTTAGCACCGCCGCCACAACGACGATACGCTTGTACCTCGCTGCACCTGGGCTTATTGGTACAAAGAACGGAGCCGACTCAGAAGAATCCAACCCAAGATGTCGAAACCAGCCCAAAGGAAACAAGCGAGCGGATCTATCAATGGTTGTTGCAGGCAAAGCATACCTGTGGCAAACGATCCCTCTCACAATGCCCTAACTTTAACGATATTTTCGGGCCATATCTAATTGCGCGGATTCGACAAACTCGGAATTAGATGCAATGGTCAAACGACGCTTCCCTGATGCTGGGAAAGAAGGAGATGCAAATGTCCGGCGGAACCTAATGCAAGAGAGAGCTCTAAAACATGGGACTGAATTCGATTTTACACACAGGGAGATTCATGACTTTCAAGTGCTGGAGGTTGATTAGTGAATGCCTCGAATCGTAGGCTGATCATATGAGGCAAGGGATGGCAGGCTATATTTCTCAATGCAGATTTTGACAGTGACCCAGATTTAGAATCAGAGTAACAGCTGGCTAAGGGTGTATTAGATCCCCCGACGCGTCCTCGTAAGTATGCTAGGAGTGTCTTTCAATTCTCTAGCGGAAGACCTGATCGGATGGATCCCATTTTTGCATTCGCTTGAAAGGTACTGATGGAGAGTGAATGTACCTTCTTTTGGAATTATATCTTGTGGTTACCACAGCCTAAGAGGAGCAGGCATCGAAGCGACTAAATTTCAGGTCATTCTAGAATGCCCTGGATATCCATATCTGAAGACAAGCCCATATTTAGCCTTGATGAGGGAGCGAAAAGAATAGTCACGAACTGAATGAGCTTGAAACCCTCAGTACCTGAAAGTAAACAATGGGAATAGCTGGGCGAGAGGTCACGTCACGTTCCTACTCTTACCATCAACCGAGCCTTCGGCAGCAAACAAATTCAGTGTTCGCTCTTGCACTCGTACTTCAACAAGCATCTCCCTCTCTCATGCCTTTTCTCCCCAAAGATCCGAAGCTGTCTCATCATCTCCGATCCACGCGCCGAAGATCCGTCGTTCGCTTGCTCCTCGTCTCGACAGCCACGCTCGAGACAGTGGCTACTGAACAGCCCTCACCTTCCGTCTCATTGGTGCACGTCCTCTCACTACGTTCCCAGTATTGCACTACTCCCTCCACGGAGCCATGGAGATCGTGATCGAAGCCACCCATGGTTTGCCCACGACCGTGATTGACCCAGACGGCGACACAATCCTCATTTTGTCCAACAGGCAGTACCGGAGTCTGTTCCGATGCTCATCAGCAAAGCTGGTTCAGAACTGTGGTCACTTCAAGAAGAAGCTGGCACAAGGTGGACAACCTCACACGGAGTTGATGCGGGATGGAACTGTCTATCTGACTATCAATGAATTTGAGGTGAACACCATCGAAATCATCCTCAACCTAATCCATGGCCGGATCAGGAACATTCCGAGAAACCCACGCCTGCCGCTTTTGCTTGATATTGCTCGCTTCTGCAATTATCTCCAATGTTTGCCCACCGTGAAGCCATTTGCGACAAGCTGGATCGAAAAGTCCAAGGATTCGGTCCTAGAATGCACAACCATCAAACCCGATACAAACTCATGGATCTTCATCTCTCTCGTCTTCCGCCACCAAGAAGTATTCCGACACACTACGGCAGTCACGCAGCAGTGTTTGGACAATAGGATGGATGTTATGAGGGGTCACCCACTAGTCCCGAAGGACATTATCAGTAAGTAGATCTCAAACACAGTCATCGCGGATGAAAAAACACATGGCTCACCTAAAGTGTTCTACTAGAGCTTATCAACAGAGCAAGAGAAAAGTACATCGATACACTGGCCAGGCATCTTTACGAACATTTCAAACAACTGTCAAGAGGTCCCACAATCTGTTCTACTAGTTGTGATAATCGCTATGTCCGCCTGATGATCGAGATCTCGGACAGTGAACTCATATCGTTTTTCCACAGACCAGAGGCAAAATGCAAAGGGTATGTAGCAAAGATCATCTGTCTGAAACTACACAATATCATCTGCAGAAATCATCAGAACCTCGATCGCCGCTGTCCCAGTGGCAGAGAAGGCTTCTGTCCAAATAGACAACACCCACTGGGCCGGCAGGTGGAAGATTATCTCCGACAACTTACAACTCTTCTTGGCGGGCTTGACTTGCCTGAAAAAAGCTGAAAGGGTGTTCGGACAGGCAACGATGTACTATTGATTCATTCAATTGTCCGATGGATTACACCAGTGGAGATGAAATGCGGAGAATTCCCAGCAACATTCGATGGCGAAGACTACGCGACACCGAGCCGATGACTTTCAACTGAACCTATGCCCTACATCATTATCCCCCGAGAAGGCATAGAAGCACTGTTCACTTTTATTCACCATGTCAGAATCTTCAGTTCATTCCCACTATCGTGATATCGACAGCCCGAACAAGGTTCCCTCCACCGAATCCACCACTAGCACAGGTACGTCTATTTTCTACAATCAATAACTCAATCATGAGGTCTAGTGATAAGCCTAGTTTGAATGAATGAATAAATCCAATCTGAAATCTGGGACCACTAAGCAAAGTAGAGCATCACATCTAATTGAAGGGTTCATTGGACGAGAACAAGACATCTCAAACGTTGTTTGAATGCACGTTGTTTGAATGCACTTGAATACGTATGGGGATACACTTCGGTGTTAGTGCATCCTAAGATTGAGTCTCTAAATTTCCAACCCATAGGCACCGAAGGACCTTCCCGTCTACAGTGGTCAAACAACTGTTGGTGGTATTTGGCCACCACATGATTCTGACTCTTTGCATCACAACTACCTTTGTCCTTCCTTTCCTCTTCGTCTCAGTTTCTCTTCCTTTTCCCTTCTCCAAAGCATACTGAATATCTCAAACTAGCAGACTCTGCGACCTGATCTTGGCAAGTTCCCTCAACGATAGTGATGCCGAACAGTTCATCATCGCATCCCCTTCATACCTCTACGCAACACCGCTCACGAACATCCATCCAACCTCCCAGCCCGCAAGAAAACACCATGGCTACTCCATCCACGGAAGAGACCAGCATCGTGGATCCCGACGGTGACGTTATTCTCATCCTCCCTAACGAATGTGGCCTATCTCCAAACTCGAGTCAAAGGCCAGCTCCCACTCGCTTTAAGGCCTCTTCAAAGCACTTAACCCTGGCATCGGCTTTTTTCAAAGCCCAGTTCAGCTCGAACTGGCGGAAGGGTCGAGAGCTTGGGGAGAATGGCACTGTCGCGGTTCATATCTCGACCGCTGACCACGACTCGTGGACGATGAGCATCCTCATGAACATGATCCACGGCCGGCAACGGCATATTCCATTTAGTGCTGTGGAAGGTTGCCCTGGCCACTGATTATTTCTTGTGTCATGAAGTGATGCAGTCATGGGGTCTTTGGTGCAGTCGTCGGCTTCTCCCCACCCTCCCCGGGGAATTCACCTCCTCAACATGGGAATGGATATTCATCTCTTACGTCTTTGGCTGGGACTCGCTATTTCAATACTTCACCATCCTAGCCTAACAAAAGGTTCTTGGCTCTGGTTACTCTGGGCCCTCCCCTATCCCAAAGTGGATTGTGGATGAAATCTTTAATGGGGCGAAATGAATATCTCAAGCGGTGTTTCAACCTCGTTAATCAACGAATTGATTATCTGACCGCAAAGAAAAGCCACTGTACCTTCGATTGCGATGCAAAGAAAGCAGGAGCTTTGATGAAATACTTTTCGCAATCGAATTTGGTACAAAGAGTCAACCCCGTACCCAGCAAGTTTCGCCAATTTTCGCATGCAGTCCCTTCTCCTTCAGTCAGGCCACCAAGAAATGGAAAAACCCAGAGCATGACAGTCAAATTTTGAATAACCGCCCCAGTCCTGTCGAGAACTCTACCAACCCTCGGCGGAATACTTCCAGTTCGTCCAAGACCCCTCCTCACACTTCCAGCAGCCCTCGATACCCTCTCAACAGGTCTTCCCAGGCAGCCAGCACCACTCCATGCGCCCATAAGAGCCTTTTGGGAGAGGAGCTCACAAAGCATATTGAAACAATGGCGGAACAATTGAAGGGTATTTCAAAAATTCCGGCGCGAGCCTCCGAGCCACGGTGAGTACTGGCGTGCGAGACGCTTAGAAATAGGCATATACTGACACATCCATCTCAGCCACTCAATTCTGGATGACCCAGGGTTTAGGTTACCAAAATAAATTTGCGATGAGTCGAGGCGTTTCATGATGGAAACTACCCAGATTCTGCGGGAATTTTACTTTCTTGACTCTATCTTGGAGATACGTTTGCATTGAGGATCACTGAAGGTCCCCCCCCCCCCCACAAATGACAATTTTCTTTTGCCATAAGCCGAAAAGCGAGGCCATTTACTCTCGACCATCTCATTCCTTTATTGACCATACCGTACCGATGTAGCTCTATATCTAAGATTTTCTCATGAGCAACCACTATCGCGTACCCAAACATGAATCCTAGCTAACGAACTTGAACAACAGATGATCAATTATTATTCTGATGAAAAGGATTAGATCTATCAGGTTCGGCCTCTGTTGCCAAAATGCATCTTTTAACGGCGTTCAGTCAACAATTTGTGATGAAAGGTTGACGCAACGAATTCCACATTGAAAGGGCATTCTCATGTTTCGCAGATACCTGTGATCCATGGCCGCTATGTGGAATGCCATCCTGATTTTGGCCATTGATCCCTTTAGTACCTCAAGTTGATTGAGACATAGAGTATCAGAATGAGTGTATATGGGCAACTCGTAAGTGATAAAATACAGGTGCGTTGGGGCCCATGCTGTGACGAGATTGTCTGGCCGTAGTGTTCTCACGAGAATCTGGAGCCTTGGTCAGACTCAGAAGTTAGATATGAAAACCTCAATAGATCTTCGCAATCTACATCTTCGGAACAGACTGGTGGTAGAGGAATATGATACATGGCATTGCTATCAAGGCTCAAGATCTCGAGAGGCGTATCTAGAGCCACACATATTTTCGATGGTCGACTTTCTTTAGTAATAATCACACATATACGTTTATCCAACAAGAGCAGTACACAATATGAACCCAGAATTCTGATAGTCCACCTCCCATTAATGGCAACTATGCGTTCCCTTACGCACTCCCTGCGCCCGTCGGTTATACCGCGCCCACGCCAACAATGCCACGCAGACCACAATCCGATTCACCATCCGGCGACTGAATCCTTCACGTCGCACTCCCCAAACAAGTCCCAAAATGGAAGTTGCCAAGAGAGTATTCCGAAGGTACTCTACGCCAGCAGCAGTGACCGATCCCGCAAACAGGAAATCAAGGGCCGTCTAAAACGAGTCAACATACATGTCCGAGAGCAAAAGATGTTGGATTGACCGTACCGGTAACCAACAGCAGGAAGAAGAAAGCAACGCAGATCCCTCTGGCAAGAATCTCGTGCATACATGGAGAAGGCGTCGAACAAGGGGCTGGTCACGGTCCGGGGCCGGCTCGGGGGTCGGCTTATCCGAAGGGCATTTGTCGCATGTCATGTTTATGCTGGTCCAATTGGAACGATGAACAAAGGAACAATGCTTTGGAGACTCCGAGACTGATGTGTCCTAATCTTGGGTGGTTGTACAGAATGTCGCAAAGGATAATGTGGTTGTTCTGCGGGAATTTTGCGTTCGGAAGGTTCCGCTCTCAGTCCCGAACCGTTAAACGGCCCTGTACGATCCATCTCGTCTTGTGGCCAAATACCATCATTATTGGGTCCGCCATACTTCAAATCTTCATATTTCACCATTTAATGTCTGGATCGCAATGTTATACTGACAAGAGTCGCCGATGGCTGCCTGTCCCCCAGATGTGTGGGAATAGATAGCGTCACGGCGTGTTCCGATTATTGGCGACATATTTGCCGGCTCAAAGATATCTTTGAATCCAGGCCGAAGCTTGTTGAAACCATTTCTCGAACGCGATGGAGCTTGGTGAGGGTTCGACTCTGATCATTCGCCATAGCTAGCCTTCACCCTACGATACGAAGCCTAAAACTTATATTCCAAGCTTTCTGACACGTGATGTTTGCAATTGCACGCAGAGTATACTGCAGGCACTGAACGAAGATGGCTCCTCGCGTATTGACTAGAGGTCGACTGGCCGGCTCAGCTGATGAGGTCACTTGAAACCCCATTTATATCCACTGCAACATGGTCCAAATACCCATGGAACACTGCGATGCTCTTCCTGTCCAATATACCAACGAGAATCAAGATTGTAGTCCCCTTGAAGTACATAGGGTACTTGTTAAACCGAAAGACAAGCGTTCTAGTATTATTATGGATAATAACCTCAGTCGAATGCGGACTGCAGGAAATACAGATATGGAGAGAATCTGGTGTATGTCCTTGGGCCAGATGTCACATCGTACATGATAGAGAGAAAGAATACCCGGGATCACTCAAGGTCATACTCATGAAAACGCGGCTTCAGATGGAGTCCCATAACTGGATTAAATAGATTAACCTGTGTTGTTTCCATGAATTACTGATAGATTATCCTACGCTCATAGTAATCCACGCTTATTCGAGGCAAAACGCCACTAGCACTATCAAGCCTGCACACTGTATCAAAAACTTCTGACACGCGGTCGTAGCAATAAATTTGCAATAAATCAAAGAGGCCGCCTGGTACGGTTATTGAGATCCTGTTGAACCTGTCATTCATTGTGTTCTTCAGCTGGAAGCAAAACTCTAAACCCAACGATATTTCCTCGAAAGAATTTGATGTGTGTCAGTACACGACCAGTGTTTTCTCGACTATGGGCGGTTTTCTATCTAGTCGAGTGTTTATGACTAGCTCTGCTCTATATGTCGGATATTTGAGCGTCTAACGACTTCTGGGGTCTAACTTTTCAACAATTTTTCAGGATCGACGCCAGACAATCTGCGGTGGCTTTGCGCTAGCTTAACTCAATGACAGAAGCGTTTTATGCCTAGTATTCACTATGCCTTCTCAGTTGCTGCCAAAGTCATCGGTGATTAATGTTCAAGTCCACCATACGAGGATTGATCCAGGACCAAGAAGATTATTCAATCAACCAGGTATTAGGTATCGGGCAAGCATGCGTCACACCGTGCAGGTACTTCCGGCCAACTGGTCGTCTCCACTCTTACAGTCGGCCAGTATCCACCCTCAGCCCTATGTATCTACCGGTGTCATCCGAGGTTGGGTTCAAACAAAAGCATTATGCTTGTGAACCATGACTTGGCTTGTTCCCCAGACCATCGGGAGTTGACCAGGGCCCTCAAAGTCCAAGCTAGTGGCTCCATCCTTGGGCACTAGTGCATCCTGAATGCAACACGGCAATACTACACTTTACGGGACAGTACAGCCAGTAGCGATCTCTGGCAATATACTGGGATCTACAGTCATTATTATAACGGCACGGAGCAAAGTATCAAGTTAAATTGGTACACAACGGACTAGTATCTTTGTCATCGATGGCACAAGAGTAAAAAAGTGTTCAATCATTCATTCGTCAAAAGAGGGAAGGGGTTCAGAGAACATGTTCGTCAACCTCGGCTAGGACTTGGGGTCAAGCGTGTATCTATCTAGCCTAGATACTCTGTCGGGTATTAAAAATGCATAGCACTGAAGTCAATGCCAGGTAAATAATATAATGCTAATGAACCGTGCACATCCTCTCAAACATGACCACTTCTTAGGACTAGCGCCAGTACCAGCTCCCATAACCAGTCGCATCTCATTCTGTGTCCCGGTAGAGAAGAGGGGAAACCTCCACTCTCGATATTGCCCCTCACTAGTTCCAATAATATTCCCAATTTAGTCATGTACATTTCGAGCCAAACGTGACAAAAAGAATAAACCAATGCTGAATCCCGTCTTTGTGGGCACTGTAACTGCCGCTGTAAATCCCATGGGTGGGATATTTCATCCCCGTTATTCCAAGAAGCATTCTGTTCTATCTTATAAGAATCAATCATATCGTCAACGTCATCGGCTTGGTCGTGCACTGACCAGATATAATAATGTCGGGTAATGCCGGGATAAATCTAGCTGTCTTGTCAATAGCTGATGGGATCCTGATTGGTTGGCTTCGAATCATTTTTCAATGTCCGGATCAATTTCAAAAGGGGCCTGTTTCTTACCGCATGATTTCTTGGGCGCTCCCCGGACTGGGAATGGCGGTGCATGGGGGTAAGTTCTAATTCCCCGTCTTTGCCCAGCTGCCAATGTGTGCGATATCTTGTTCCGTACTGCCGGATTGGGTTGTGGTTCTGCAGACAGACAAAGCCTTGTTAGATTCACCGGGAATCATAGTACTCAAAACTGGTTAGGGGTTGACGGTGTGCCATCTTATAACGTACGATCCTGAACTGGCGGATCCGGTTGACGGCGACACAGTGCTCGTGGTAGTCTCTTTTGACTTTGTTGGTGTTACTGGATCAGCCATGACGGTAGACAGGACGATAGGAATATAAATTAGTATAAAGACCGGGCCTATGCGGTCACAAGAATAGAAAAATCTCGTTTGTAATATGGAATTCAATGTTCAAATGCCGATTTCAGATGTCGGGATGGTTGATGTGCCAGGAGAAAGTACGCAACTTATGTCGACACAAGTAGCCAGTCCGTATGGGAAATAACAACCTGACTTTATAACAAGCGGTCCACTCAGAGCCTCCCGTTGACATCGCGGCCAAGCGCCAAGCGTCAGAGAAACAGTCTCACGACAACTTCCATACGACGAGCATGACTGGATGTTGGGCATAAGTCATTACTCTATATTGCAGATATCCCGGACCCCGTCCAATAGCCACTGGCTTCAGTCCAAAACGAAACCCGCTAGGACAGCCGACGGGGACGCGGGAGAGCTAGTCACCAATCACGAGGCAAAGCATGGCTCATCCTTCAAGCTCCAACCGTCAACCATCAATCTAAACGGCGCGGACTCGCCGATGCTCGCAATTCTGGTGAATTCCTGCCCAAAACAGAGCCGCATTGCTTTCCAAGCACCGTGAATTATTTGGTTGCCTACCTCCTTTCGTGCGAACCGCTGTGCGAACGTGTCTTCGCCTACTGCGTCAGTAGGTCTCTGATCCTCGTCATCGGAGCCGAGTTCCCAAAGTACACCCCCTCTTCGTTGGACATTTCTTCCTCCACCTCTGGTTGTCTGCTTGTATCTTGCAGATCGCGCTCTTCATTTCTCTGGAATCTTGATATCCCACAGCGCATCTACGGACCATAGCGTGGGGGGTCACTCGCCAATAGTGAATGATGATGTGTTTGTTACTGAAAGGTGGGGAAATGGCTGAGCCGTGGACAGTTCGAGCTATACTCCGTCCTAGTCCAAACATGTTCTGCCTTTTGAGTGCATGGATGATCAGTTACCTATCCTAGTCATTGTTGGAGATTACATAGATATTACTTACCAACAGAATAGCCAAACAACAGCATGCCAACAGTGTACCGAAAACAATATAAGTGTGGTTTGTATTCTTCTAAGCCATGGAGAATCAAAGGATAGCGCTCGGACCAGCCATGAATCTACGGCGTTTCACAATTTGCATGTGAGCGGAGAAAGAGGGTCGCATACTTTATGATATGTTATTGCGTGCATGTGGAAGTATAATGTTGATGGATATGACTATCTCAAGTATGATCTATGCTCCGATCTTCGCATGGATGGAGCTGGTTAAGTCGGTAGAATTAGTGAATCGGCAATAGTTCATGGTCATCTGAATGACAGATGGTTTCCAGTCGTTCGTCGCCATGATAAGCAACTCTGACCGATTGATCAATATGGTAAGACAACCACGGAACGACCCCAACTCAAAACTCAAACCCAAATCCTAACCACAACCCAAAGCTTTCTCCCCCGAAGTGTGGCCCAAGCTCTCCGCCTTATCGGTCTCGTATCGTCGGCCCGGTGCCAGCTTAGTCCATAAGCACTAATGGGGTACGGCATCCGGTTATTGGAGTTCATGAAAATAGAGGTCAGGTGGTCAAGGTCAACGTGACTAGGAAAATGGTGGCGCCACAGAAGATAGTCCTCAAGGAAAGCAGAGCGTGGTCATTGTATTATGCATTGTTATTATATACAGTTTTCGAGATATGCTTTGTGCAGATTGAAGTCAAAACTCATCCGCGGAGCAGCATAGGTAGCAAGGACCTAGGCACTGTGTGAAGCAGGCTGGCCCTCCTCGCAAGCCCCACTGGTCGCACCGGCAGTCTTTGAAGAATCCATTCCTTCTCTAAACTGCCCTCGGATCCGGGACGCAAGCTCAAGAGTCTCTTTCGGCAACCCAGCCAACTGAGCCACCTTGAGCGCATGCGACTCCCGATTCACGCCCTTGCGCAATCGATGCACAAACGAGAACCCTCCGCCTGGGCTTTCCTTGACATCAGTGCAGTATCGCTCCAAACACTCGAAAGACTTCGTCATATCCGCCAACGCATGGAAGTGTGTTGCGAAGAGCACGCGGCTGCGATTTCGGTAGTGTAAATGATGCAGACAGGCGAAGCTTACGGCTGTCCCGTCCTCCGGCGTCGTACCTCGCCCGACTTCGTCCATGATCACGAATGATCGCGGGCTGGCCTGTTTCAAGATCGCCGCAGTCTCCAGCATTTCGACCATGAACGTTGATTGGTCTCGGAACAGATCATCCGCGGCCCCGATCCGACTGAAGATCTGGTCGACGACACCGATCTCAGCGTAAGCAGCTGGCACGTATGACCCGACTTGTGCGAGGATCGTGATCAGGGCATTTTGTCGGAGGAAGGTACTTTTACCGGCCATGTTCGGGCCTGTGATGAGCCAGATGCGCTCGCGCTCTCTCCAAGGAAGCAGTCGTTGCTGACAAAGGTCCGGCCTTGCTCTTCCAACCCCAGTTTTACAGTTGGATGCCGTCCGCCAGCGATTTTGTGTGTGGTACCTTCATTGAGAATCGGTCGGACCATTTGCTGCTCTTGAGCTAAGGTGGCGAATGAGCAGGCCACGTCGAGTTCGTCCATGACGGCAGCGTTGCGTCGGATCTTGACCAGGTTAAGAATAACTTCACGACGGAGGCGCTCAAAAATAGCCTGTTCTTCTTGTCGGATTCGCAATTTCACGTTGTCCATTCGGTTACCGAGTTCAGTCCAAGCCGGGAGGTAAAAAGAGCGGGTAGATTTCGTGGACGACACATTTCGCGTAACACCTAGATCATCGAGGGATTGCTGGGAGATTTTGGCGCCTTTGACGTGGCAAATGTGGCCTAGTCCCGGGGTCCATTTGAGGGTGATGTTAGTAGACCCCACGGAGTCACGAAGGCGCTGGGTGAGTGCGCCCTTTTCATCGAAAAATCTATCCAGTTGGTCATGAAGAGCTTTCAGTGTCTTGCTGGCATCGCGACGCATGATCCAATTCTCGACGGGTCCGGAGTCCGTATCAACTGCAGTAATGCGTTCGCTAGATTTGGCCCGGACTTTCTTTGGCAGTGCCTCCAGCTCGCTGGGAGTGCCTTCGTTCAGAGCAACCTCTTGGGCGAGACGAGCAGCTTCGGCGGCCGTACTATCTTCGATACGCTGCTGCTGGAGGAGACCTTCCTCATCGATGGCAGCGAGAAGTCGTTCCGCAAGTGCAATGGGACCATCGAGATGGAGTCGAGAGACCATGGATGCTAAGCTTTCTTTCGCTTCTGACCCAAGTAGCTGTCTTGCGTGGTCTGTAAGAACTTGCCTGACACTCTTAGAGGCTTCAATAGCCCGAGAAAGGCAAATTAAGTCATCGGCATCTCCTTTGCCAAGGGCAAACTTTTGTACCAATCGCTGAGCATCGTAGCTACGTTTCAGCAGCTGGATTACGCCATCACGGAGGTCGACAGTATCAATGAACACTGAGACAAGATCTAATCGGTTATTGATGACTTGGGTAGACGTGGACGGAGAGGCTAGGAGTTCTATGTCAGCGAAAGGGAATATCCGAGCCAGATTGTACGGTACGTACTCAATCGATCGCGCAAAAGGCGAGCACCACTTTTAGTGCTAGTCCTGCGGACAGCATGGAGTAGACTTCCCTTCCCGAACCCATCCCTGGCAGTTTCTAGAATCTCAAGACCTCTCAGGCTGTTACGGTCAATGCTCATGGACTCGTCTGAATGCCGCCGACGCGGGGGTAGGAGCTTGAGATCTGTTCTCTGCAACTGTACTCGAGTGTACTCAAGGAGGCTGTATCCAGCTGCTATTTCTTCTGGACTGAAGGAAGCGCGATCATTTTCCGAGACAGGAGCCTCGAGCATGGAGTCCCATTCAGATATCGGTGCAACTGTTTCTGGGAATCGGAAGAACGTGACCAGACGGTGCTCGTGTCCAACCAGCTGCTGCAATTCTTGTCCAATGAGATCTTGGATATTTTGATCAGCTAGTATCTCACGAGCCCCGATTCTAGCGATCGCTGAGGGTAGCATCTGCAATGTCGTGAGCTGGGTATAGAACTCGCCCGTAGACAAGTCCATCCAGGACAATCCCACGGCCTGGGGTACAGAAGACAATATATGCTGCGAGGATTGTGCTTCAACCTGTTGTTTTGATTGCACTGCTAAAGCACTAACATCCAAGTATATTGCCAGCAAAAAGTTGTTCTCGGAGGGGTCGATAAATTTCTCATCAATAAGCGTCCCAGGCGTGATGATTCTGGCCACCTTCCGGTCCCACATCAAGCCTCCAGATTTCATTTTATCCTCTGCCTCGATAGCAAACTCCTCACTAATAGCCACATATTTGTTGAGGTCTTGAACGAGTATTTTGAGGAAGCGATCGAGCTGGAAAAAAGGGAACCCGGCCATCGGGACTGGTCCGGCGCTGGTCTTCTTGGATGCAAGCTTCAAGCTGAGGAGTGGCGCAAGCTCTTCGGCTTGTTCAAAGTAGAGCTGAGAATTTCCTATCAGAATACTTTTCGTTATAGTCAATGATTTTCATTCCATACCTCGTAGAAGCCCCCGACTCTTGTTAGAATAACACAGTTCTTAAATTTCTGCATGTTGTTGCGATGCCCTTGGACGACAGTTGGGTACCGAGGAGCATCATCCACTCCATCATCATATGGCTCCAATTTGACAACGCCTTGTGGGAGGTCCTTCAATTTGAGTGTTGTCTTCGTTTTCGCGCTTCGGCACTGTTCAACTGGGGGGAGCGCCGCGGGCACGCGAGGGCGCAACGAGCGACGCGCATGATGGCAAATTGTTCGATGAATATGGCATTGAAAAGATGCGACAACTGGAGCTCGGTCAAGGGATGACCACAAACAAGGTGTCAAATGAACAAGTCTCCGAGCATTGACACGCATCGTTGCGAGGTCGACGCCTTTCTACGTCAACGGGGAACAAACCGGCAGAACCACAAAAGCTCCCCCTCCTTCCGCCTTCGCCACCGAAATCTTCCCGAGCTCGACTCTCCCTGCAAATCTGCAAATCCTCTCATCAACCCTGGCCTCCATTTCTCCCCCCATACAAGTTATTTCGCTTGCGGTCGGAGGATGAGCCAGGTTTGTGAGACCTTTTGATCCTTGTTCAATCGCTGATATACCCCCGACGTGAGGCGCGGTCGACAGCTGAGTGCGGCGCAATAAGGCCGATCGGAGTCGCGACTCCCTCATTTTTCCTTTCTACCACTCATTTGATCTTTTGCTTGGGAAAGCTCTTCCCAACTCACACTCAAGATGGCGGACCAAAACATCTCGCAATATAAGTACTCGGCGATGTCCAACCTGGTTCTCCAGGCGGACCGTCGGTTCATCAGTCGCGTCAATGACGAGCCCACCGGCGACCCAGAGTCTCTCGCGGGTCGCATTGGTATTCGCGAAATGGGTGGGCGAGTTGCGCGCGAGGATGTGCCGAAGTCGAAGAAGAAAATGGGCGCGGATCTCGAGCGAGGTGCTATTCATGAAGGCGAGGACGTGCTTCTGCGGGAACAGAGGAAACGCCAGCGCGGCCAACCTGCGCAACAACGAGGCCAGGGCATCCTTTCAGCGGCCGATGCCCTGGTCGAAGGCCTCAAATATCGTCCTCGAACACCGGCTACGCGAGGTACTTACGACCTCATCCTTACGATAACCGGTACCAACCTTGGCGATGTACCCCACGAAGTCGTTCGGAGTGCGGCCGATGCTGTGCTAGAGATGCTGAAGGACGAGGATATGAAGGATTTCGATAAGAAGAAGGAGATTGATGACCTTTTGGGTACTTCGATGAATCCTAAGGAGTTCAACGAGCTTGTCAATCTAGGCAAGAAAATCACGGACTACGATGCTCAAGATGAAGACGAGGATATGGACGGTGGCCTAGATGAAGGCGAGGGCGAGCTCGACGAACGCCAAGGTGTGGCTGTTGTTTTCGATGAGGAGGACGAGGACGAGGATCGCATAGGCACCGTTGACGAGATTCGCGACGAAGACTCCGATGAAGACGAACTCGACGAACAAGATCGACCCGAAGCCTACGAGGGTACTGCGGAGGAACCGGAAGAAGGTGATGAAATAGTCATCGATGGTGGTTTGGACCGGGGCGATAAGGGCAAGGATAAAGCTGGACTGGCCGTATCCGCCCGCGAGATCGACGCATACTGGCTCCAACGTCAGATTGGCGCTGTATACCCAGACGCCCATATCCAACAAGAGAAGACTAAGGAGGCTCTGGACATCCTCGGTGGTCAAGCTGAGGACGGTACAGACAAGCCCCTTCGCGATGTTGAAAATGACTTGATGGAACTTTTCGACTACGACCACCCTGATCTAGTTGCCAAACTAGTCTCCAATCGCACCAAGGTCGTCTGGGTCACTCGTTGGAGACAAGTCGCTGAAGATGCGGACGCAAGAAACCTCATCGAGAGCCAAATGGTCGAGGCTGGACACCGTGCCGTGTTAGATGAAATTCGTGGAAAGGCCGTTGATGATCTCGCCCACCGCCCTGAGAAGATCAAGTTGGACTTGATGGATGTTGATGTACCCACGGCGCCAGAAGTACAGGAACAGAAACAGGTCGGTGAGAATGGCTTGGTTGGCGGTCTGCAGCCCAAGCGATTGATCAACCTGGAGAACCTCGTCTTCCACCAGGGCAACCATCTTATGACCAACCCCAACGTCAAGCTGCCCCAAGGCTCGACTAAGCGAACTTTCAAGGGTTATGAAGAGATTCATGTCCCCCCGCCCCAAGCTAAGAAGCTGCCGGGCGAGAAGAACATTCCTACGACGGAGCTTCCCGACTGGGCGCGTGTTGGTTTTGGCAGCTCAAAGGAGCTCAATCGGGTTCAAACCAAGTGTTACCCGACGGCTTTCCACGATGATGGCAATCTTCTCGTCTGCGCTCCCACTGGTTCTGGAAAGACCAATGTCGCTATGCTCACTATTCTCCGCGAGATTGGCAAAAACCGTAACCCCGAAACTGGAGAGATCATGCTTGACGACTTTAAGATTATCTACATCTCCCCCTTGAAAGCCCTGGTCCAGGAACAGGTTGGAAACCTTGGACAGCGCCTTGAGCCATATGGTATTCGCGTGGCAGAGCTTACTGGTGACCGCCAGCTCACCAAGCAGCAAATCGCCGATACCCAGATTATTGTCACCACTCCCGAAAAGTACGATGTCATTACCCGCAAGGCATCAGAAACCAGCTACACCAATCTTGTCCGCCTTATCGTCATTGACGAGATTCACCTTCTCCACGACGATCGTGGTCCTGTTCTGGAGAGCATTGTTAGCCGCACCATTCGCCGAGTCGAGCAGACTGGTGACCCCGTGCGTATCGTTGGTCTTAGTGCTACTCTTCCCAACTACCGCGACGTGGCAAGCTTCCTCCGCGCGGACCCTGAGACAGGTGTGTTCCACTTTGACGGCTCGTACCGTCCTTGCCCTTTGAAGCAGGAATTCATTGGTGTTACCGACAAGAAGGCGATCAAACAGCTCAAGACGATGAACGACATTTGCTACAACAAGGTCATGGAGCAGGTTGGCCAGAAGCGTAACCAGATGCTTATCTTTGTCCACTCACGAAAGGAGACGGCCAAGACGGCCAAATACATCAGAGACAAAGCTATCGAGATGGAGACGATCGGACAGATTCTCCGTAGCGATGCCGCGAGCCGTGCTATCCTTTCCGAGGAGGCTGATTCCGTTGACGACGCGTCCTTGAAAGATCTGCTGCCCTACGGCCTTGGTATCCACCATGCCGGTCTGAGTCTTGCGGATCGTGATTCCGTCCAGGCCCTGTTCGCCGACGGCAGCATTCAGGTTCTTGTTTGTACCGCAACTTTGGCCTGGGGTGTCAACCTTCCTGCCCACACTGTCATCATCAAGGGAACCCAAGTCTATTCCCCCGAGAAGGGTAGCTGGGTCGAGCTAAGCCCACAAGATGTTCTCCAGATGCTCGGACGTGCTGGTCGACCGCAGTATGATACATTCGGTGAAGGTATCATTATCACATCTCAGTCTGAGATCCAATACTACCTGTCCCTCATGAACCAGCAGCTGCCCATTGAGTCTCAACTCATGAGCAAGCTTGCTGACAACCTGAACGCCGAAGTCGTGCTTGGCAACGTCCGCACTCGCGATGAGGGTGTCGAGTGGCTTGGTTATACATACCTCTACGTTCGGATGCTCCGCTCGCCCGGTCTATACAGCGTCGGTGCAGACTATGAGAACGATGATGCTTTAGAGCAGAAGCGTGTCGATCTGATTCACTCCGCCGCGACCGTCCTTGAAAGGGCTGGCTTGCTTAAGTACGAGAAGAAGACCGGCCGGCTGCAGTCGACTGAGCTTGGTCGCATCTCCTCTCATTACTACATTGGCCACAACTCGATGCTCACTTATGCCCAGCACCTCCAGCCTTCCATCACTACTATCGAACTCTTCCGTATCTTCGCCCTCAGCGATGAGTTCAAGTACATCCCGGTTCGTCAGGATGAGAAGCTGGAGCTTGGCAAGCTGTTGGGCCGTGTGCCAGTCCCTGTCAAGGAGACAATTGACGAGCCTCACGCTAAGATCAATGTTCTCCTTCAGGCCTACATCTCCCGTCTGAAGCTGGAAGGTCTTGCTTTGATGGCTGACATGGTCTACGTCACCCAGTCTGCCGGTCGTATCATCCGTGCCATCTTCGAGATTTGTCTGAAAAAGGGCTGGGCCTCGGTGGCCAAGACTGCCCTCGACCTCTGTAAGATGGCTGAGAAGCGTATGTGGCCCACCATGTCTCCCCTGCGTCAGTTCCCTGGCTGTCCCAGGGACATTCTGCAGAAAGCTGAGCGGATTGATGTCCCTTGGCCCAGCTACTTTGACCTGGATCCTCCCCGCATGGGCGAGCTACTTGGTATGCCCAAGGCTGGTCGGATTGTATGTGATCTTGTCTCCAAGTTCCCTCGACTTGATGTGCAAGCCCAAGTGCAGCCAATCACCCGCTCCATGCTCCGTATTGAATTGACCATCGCCCCCAATTTCGTCTGGGAAGACGCCGTACATGGAACTGCGCAAGACTTCTGGATTTTGGTTGAGGATTGCGATGGTGAAGAGATTCTGTTCCATGACCGTTTCCTGCTGCGTCGTGACTTTGCCATTTCCGAGATGAACGAGCACATGGTCGAGTTCACTGTCCCGATTACCGAGCCCATGCCTCCCAACTACTTCATCTCCCTGGTGTCTGATCGTTGGATGCACTCCGAGACGAAGATCGCCGTATCTTTCCAGAAGCTCATTCTCCCGGAGCGCTTCCCTCCCCACACTCCCCTGCTGGATATGCAGCGTGCCCCCGTCAAGGCCTTGAAGCGTGAGGAGTACCAAAAGTTGTACCCTGACTGGGAGCATTTCAACAAGATTCAGACTCAGGTCTTCAAGTCTGTCTTTGACTCGGATGACAATGTCTTCGTCGGCGCCCCCACTGGAAGCGGCAAGACTGTTTGCGCTGAACTGGCGCTGCTCCGTCATTGGGCCAGTGAGAATGAGGGCCGTGCGGTTTACATTGCTCCTTTCCAAGAGCTCGTTGATCAACGCCTGGCTGACTGGGAGAAGCGACTCGGTGGCATCGGGGGTGGCAAAACTATTGTCAAGCTTACCGGCGAGACAACAGCTGACTTGAAGCTCCTGGAGCAAGCCGATCTTGTCCTTGCCACGCCCGTTCAATGGGATGTGCTTTCTCGGCAGTGGCAGAGACGCAAGAACGTTCAGACTGTCCAGCTGTTCATCGCTGATGAGCTTCACATGCTCGGTGGCTTTGGTGGATATGTGTACGAGGTGGTCGTATCTCGTATGCACTACATTGCTCTGCAGACTGAGAATGAGATGCGCATTCTCGGTCTCAGTGTGCCGCTGTCCAACGCTCGCGATATTGGCGAGTGGATCGGCGCCAACAAGCACACCATCTACAATTTCAGTCCCCATGCTCGTCCTGTCCCCTTGGAGCTCCACATCCAGTCCTACACCATCCCTCACTTCCCTTCTCTCATGCTTGCCATGTCTCGACCTGCCTACCAATCGATTCTTCAATTGTCTCCTGACAAGCCTGCTCTGGTCTTTGTACCCAGTCGCAAGCAGACTCGTTCCACGGCGATGGATCTTCTGGCTGCATGTGCCATGGATGACAACGAAGACAGGTTCTTGAATGCGGATGTTGAGGAACTCGCCCCGTTGCTTTCTCGCATCCAGGAGCAGACCCTGGCCACTTCATTGAGTCACGGTATTGGTTACTATCACGAAGCTTTGAGCCAGACAGACAAGCGTATTGTTTCGCATCTCTTCAGCATTGGCGCCATCCAGGTTCTTCTCGCCTCTCGTGATGTCTGCTGGGAGTTGGATCTCACCGCCCACCTTGTTATCGTTATGAACACGCAGTTCTTTGATGGCCGTGAGCACAGGTACATTGACTACCCAATCAGCGAGATTCTTCAGATGTTTGGCAAGGCTTCTCGCCCAGGCGTTGACAAGAGCGGCCGTGGTGTTCTGATGGTGCCTGCTGTCAAGCGTGAGTACTACAAGAAGTTCCTGAATGAGGCCTTGCCCGTGGAGAGCCATCTGCAAGTCTACCTGCACGACGCCTTTGTCACGGAGGCTAGCACTCGCACCCTCGCTTCCACCCAGGATGCCGTTGACTGGATGACTTACACCTACTTCTACCGCCGCCTTCTTGCAAACCCCAGCTTCTACGGCCTCAGTGACGTAAGCCACGAGGGTCTTAGCACCTTCTTGTCAGAGCTGGTCGAGACCACCCTGAAGGAACTGTCTGATGCCAAGATCATCGACCTAGACGAGGAGGATGATAGCGTCTCCCCCTCTGAATGCGGCTATGATCAGCGCCTACTACAACATCTCCTTCATCACGATGCAAACCTTCCTGCTGTCTCTTTCTGCTCGTACGAAGCTGAAGGGTATCCTGGAGATTGTCACATCGGCGACCGAGTTCGAGTCCGTCCAAATGCGCCGACACGAGGATCACATCCTCCGCCGTGTCTACGACCGAGTGCCAGTTAAGATGTCTGAGCCCGCCTTTGACTCCCCGCACTTCAAGGCGTTCGTTCTCCTGCAAGCCCACTTCTCGCGGATGCAACTTCCCATCGATCTTGCCAAGGATCAGGAAGATATCGTCCGCAAGGTGCTCAACTTGCTCAGTGCCTGCGTTGATGTGCTTTCCTCGGAGGGCCACCTCAACGCCATGAATGCCATGGAGCTGTCGCAGATGGTGGTTCAGGCTATGTGGGATCGCGATAGTCCCCTCAAGCAGATCCCCCACTTCTCGCCCGAGGTTATCGAGGTCGCCAAGGAGTATGAGTATGTATCACCGATTTCAAATGGACAATGCACATTTACTAATTCGACTTGTTACAGGATCAACGACATCTTTGAGTTCATGGAGGCCATGGATCCCACCGAGAACAAGGACTACGCGACACTGGTCAAGCGATTGGGACTCAACAACAAGCAGCTCGCCCAAGCCGCCGCTTTCACCAACGACAAGTACCCAAGTATCGATATGGACTTTGAAGTCGAAGATTCGGAGAACATCACTTCCGGCGAGCCCGCCTACCTCAAGGTCAAGATCCAGCGGGAGGTTGAAGAGGATGACGAAGTCGACACCGTCGTTCACGCGCCCTTCTACCCTAACCAGAAGATGGAGAACTGGTGGCTGGTTGTTGGCGAGGAGAAGACCAAGAACCTGCTGGCCATCAAGCGCGTTACTATCGGTCGCAAGCTTGATTTGCGTCTTGAATATGTGGTTCCCTCGCCTGGTGAGCATGAATTAACGCTGTACCTTATGAGCGACAGCTACGTCAGTGTGGATCAGGCTCCCACCTTCACCGTGAATGCTGCCGAGGGTATGGAGGAGGATGAGAGTGAAGAGGAGGAAGAGGAGTAGATCATGATTCCAATTTTGTTTTGATTGTAATAATAGTTTTGGAGCTATCTGGATACAAAAGGTGTTCTCTTTTTCTTCTTCAGCTTGTCAATCAAGACCTTTTGGTTGATTCTTGGCTTACAGTATAACGCGTACAGCTTGAGATGTTTCAAAAATATGTATTCGTGCTTCGTGGGTGATTCTGTTGTTGGCAATTGTCTTCCATTGCGTACAAGAGTTAAAGGACATCATTGGAGTCGATACCGTAGATAGCGACTAGAGAAACATGGTGGTACCATGGCCGCTTGGTGCTTTATCGTGGGAGGTGTTTGGTTATGGCGAACCGAAGCTTATTGGAGTCAACGGAACCATGGCGACGAGTACCCCGCATGGAGTCGAGTCACGTTGCATTCCCCAACCTCCTCAGCTCCTCTCTGTTTTTACCTTTTCCATTCACATCTCTGCTGCACTCTTAACAATCATTGACCGCTTGATCGCTGCTAGCAGGACCACTCTCTGCTTGGTCTTCCTTAGACTCATTTGCCAACCTCCAACACTCCCCCAGCCCAAGCTCTGATCTGATATGACAATCCGCCCTATGAAGTTCACTCCCGAGTAAGTGACCACCAGATAGAGAGGATCGCCCGTTGAGTTGGTCTGAAACTTTTGTTCGGCTGCAATATCCATGAAATCCCCAACTAACCACCTTCAAGGGTCCTCCTCGGCGCCCCCAGGCGGTCCTCGGCCGTCCCCAACGCCGCAGGCACCCTCGCCGTATATACCCAAACATCTTACTCATTCGAATCGCATTCCAAGACCAACGAGATCCGCGTGCTCGATATTGATTCCGGGCGATCGGCTCTTATCACCAATGATCCCGGTGCGAGCAATCCGCAGTGGCTGGGCGATAGCGACGAGCTCGTCTGGCTGAAGCTCAAGGCCAACGGCAATACGAGCTTCATCGTCGGTAATGCGCGCGAGGCTGATAAAACATACACTGCTGGGACTGTCCCGGGCCCAGTGTCGGACTTGAAGCTCACTGTCATCGAGCCGGGGAAGATTGGTTTCGCTGTCTCGGGCAAGGCCAACCCAGACGGATCACTGTTCAACCCGTACGATGCGAAGAAACCAATCACCACGGGGCGCCTATATACTTCATTGTTTGTGCGGCATTGGGATTCGTACATTGACCCCCAGAAGTATGCCATCTGGTATGGCCTGCTTGAGCAGGCGCCCTATACGCCGGCTCGCAGACAGGCAGGCAAGTACTCGGTCTCTGGCCTTACGAATTTGATCTCTGTGTCTGGACTGGGGTCGGTCGAATCGCCAATTCCCCCATTCGGCGGCACTGGCGACTTCGATATTAGCCCCTCAGCTATTGTATTCATTGCGAAAGACCCGACCTTGAATCCGGCTACGCATACTGCCTGCTCCGCCTACTACGCCCCCATGTTCTCGTGGACTAGTATGAGCGTCTCGGATATCAAGCCCTACAAGATTACAAGCCTCGAGGGTGCAATGGCTTCGCCTGTGTTGTCCCCAGACGGTGGCTCAATTGCCCTACTGGCTATGCAGAAGGATGGGTACGAGTCAGACAAAAATCGAATTGTATATGTCCCCAACCCCTGGAATGGCGAGATGTTCGAAGTTTTCGAAAGCGAGGACGGAAAGGGCGATTGGAAGCTCAGTCCTTCAGCCGTGTCCTTTGCTCAGGATGGCAAATCCTTGCTCATTCAGGTGGAGGATAACGGCCGTGGGGTCTTGTACCAGCTGGCTCTTGATGGCATTAAACAGGCTAAGCCTGATGCGTTGAAGAAACTAACTTACGAAGGGTTTGTAAATGATGTTGTTCCTGCTGCGGCCAAAACATCTAGGCTATTTGTCTCTAGCTCTAGCCTAGTGGACAACAGCGTGTTTTCCATCATTGATCCGGCTCACCCAGAGAATGCACAGGTCGTGTCATCGAACACTCGAGGGGGATCTGCCTTCGGTCTATCATCAGCGCAGGTGGATGAATTCTGGTTCAAGGGAGCCGATGACTACAAGGTGCACGCCTGGGTGGTGAAGCCATCACATTTCAAGCCTGGGGAGCGATACCCCTTGGCCTACTTGATCCACGGCGGTCCCCAGGGAGCATGGAATGATCAGTGGAGTACTCGGTGGAACCCCGCTGTGTTTGCCGAACAAGGGTATGTCGTGGTTACGCCCAACCCGACTGGCAGCACCGGCTACGGCCAGGACTTCACCGACGGAATCTGCGGTGAGTGGGGTGGCCGGCCATACGAGGACATTGTCAAGGGCTTCGAATATATTGAGCAAAACCTCCAGTACATCGATACCACTCGGGCTGTAGCACTGGGTGCGTCTTACGGTGGGTATATGATGAACTGGATCCAGGGCCACCCTCTTGGCCGCAAATTCAAGGCGCTGGTTACCCACGACGGCGTGTTCAGCATGACCTCGCAGCTAGCAAGCGAAGAGCAGTACTTCCCCCTGCACGATTTGAAAGGCCCTATCTGGAAGGTTCCCGAGAATTGGTCGAAATGGGATCCATCGCGGTTCACCGAGAATTGGGCGACTCCTCATCTCATCATCCACAATGAGCTGGATTACCGTCTGACCATTGCGGAAGGTCTCTCCGCATTCAACGTGTTGCAGATGCGAGGTGTGGACAGCGCGTTCCTGACATTCCCTGACGAGAACCACTGGGTGTTGAACCCGGAGAACTCTTTGATGTGGCACCGAACCGTACTGAACTGGATCAACAAGTATGCTGGACTTCCGCCAGTTGCGGATGAGCCCGACCTTTCTGCGGGTGTGTCCAATATGACTCTCTAAGAAGCGAGTATCTACTGTATACGTGCACATTATGATCTTCGATGAAATTTTGGGTTATCTTACATCTGCTTGAATGGTGTTTTATACAACAAAGCAATCGCGGGACTTGTCATTGAGGAAGCTCCTCGTCTTGGGAGGGAAACAAAGAGTGTGATCTAGTCCGTGAGCTTAAGGCTGCGCAAATTTTAGTTCGAGAACGTTACGTCCCATTGTCTTTCTTTGCATTGGTATCAAACTTAACATAGGGAACTGATGCAGATTCCCCTTCGGTAAATTCATTGTTTGGTCGGGACCAGCGCCATCTGTCCTTCGGCCTGAAAGAGGCCTCCGCTGTTCCCTTTGCCTTCTGTTTCCTTAAAAAGATCTCCAGACTGACCGATTGTCCGGTGCCCATTGTCCTTTTATTCTTGCTGACTACTCCCTGTACCTAGGCACAGATGACGCTATGTGGGAACAATAATTGGATTATTGAAGCCTTCAGTCTCAGTCTATAAAGTGCATACTTTCCTCGAACCTCTTGGAAGGCTCCTTCTACATTTGCAATCCACCTTACTTTATATCTCTACTGAACTTGGCCGTACAATTTCCCCTCCTGGGAAATCGCTATATCACTTTCACAATGCCTCCAGGTCGATTCTACCCCAACCGAAGGTCCAGTTGCGACTCATCAAGCTCCGAATCTCTATCCACCGAGCCCATCGAGATCTCAACACCATCCACAGTATTCTTTCCATCACCCAGCTCTCCAACAACACCCAAACCAACCACACAATCAATGCCACCAACCATCAATCGATCCAAAAAGCGCAAATTCCACGCAGATTTCGAACAAACAATCCACAAAATGGCTACGCCACTCATGTCCTTTGTTAACATCGAAACCGGCCATCCACACCCCGATTTCCCACGCAACCACTTATCTTTCCACCTACTCACATCCAACCAACTGGATGCCCTGGCCCGACACTACCACCAAGTCTGGCCCGCTCAACCGGCGACATCATGCTATCCCTTCCAGATTCGGAGCTGGATTGGGGCACCCGACCAGAGCTATGTTGATATTAATACGAAACGTCGACGCTTTGGGTTTTTCATTGGGATGCCTGGTTACGGTGATCCGGTGAATGGTGGGCCAGAAAGGCCGTGGTTGAGTTCGTTGGAGAATATTCTGTCTTTTGGGCCAGAAAGCACGGGTGATGAGGATGAGGATTGCTATGGCTACGGTTATCATGATGAGGAGGTTAAGGAAGATGATGGGGATTACGAAATGAGTGAAAATGAGGAAATATGTGTGCTAGAGGAAGAGGTCCTTGAGTGGATGGCTCGTGAGTGGGAGGCGGCGCTTCGTGAAGCGAGCGATCGGAGCCGTGGTCCTTTCCGGAAGTATTGATGAGATATTTGCTTCGGCTGCTACTATTTTGAGTGGTGATGGGGTTGTGTGGCGCTTGGTATGTGTTTCTGTTTGGTTCTCTTTGTTCGTGTACTGGGAGGCTCATTTTATTGAAAGTTCTTTTGGCATAGCGCTGCATTGGCTTTGTTTGACATAAAACTGTACGATCCATTCGTCTCGAAACTAGACTCGAGATTGGCCTCTATTGTTTCAATCCAGATACTCTCCTATCTAAGCCAAATCCAGCTAGTCTCTCATGCGCTGGAAGAGAAATGTAAAATTATCTGACTGATGAGTTCACGGCCAACATAGGCTGAGCCACCATGCGTTTCGAGTTGCAGCAGATTAGCCGCCCGACTACATGTCGCCCTTAGATTCGCCCACATAGAAAGCCACAATAATATTCAGCTTGCTGATTTGTCGATAGAATGAAACAGGTACCGCTGTTGTATCATAAGCAGACACTGCCCCGCGCTTAACTTGCCCTTAGGTCTAATTATACTTCTCTGTAGCAAATCTCACACATCACTTAAACTTGACAAACCGCTAATTCTTAACCTTGAACATACTACACTTTGAAGCTTTCGATATGGCATCTGTTAAAACTCAGTACCATCACTATATTCCTCAATTTATCCTAAAGCAATTTGTATATACTGTGACGCCAACCAAAAGGTTTGACCTGAAAATCTTGCCTAAGTTATATGTACTGATGAAGCTCAAGTTCCCCAAGCGGAGATGGCCTATTACACGTGTTCGACCTGCAAAGCGGGCAATTCATTACTGAAGAGGTCAAAAGGTCATGTGGGATGTACAATCTGTACTATAGGGAGGACGACACAAATCATATGCGAATCGAGAGTCTTTTCAGCGGGATAGAGACCAAGACAAGCCAGATATTTGCCAAGATTAGGAGTGCCTCAAAAGAACAACTCGATCACGTCAATATCCTCGAAAAAGATATTCACGTCTTATTCAAGTTTATGATGCTCTCGCATCGACGCAGCAAGCAACACAGAGACGAGATACAAAATCCATCCCGCGAGAATGACTTTATGTTCCAGCGGTTTTTCCAGGCATCGAGAGAAGAGGGACGATCGGACGATCCGCGGGAAGTCTGGCTTGACCAACTACTCTATCTTTTAATCACTAGTCACGAGGTGCTTCTTGCAGATGCTGAGTCCACTAGTGATGCCGCTTCTAACGCTACTGCGAGAACATATAAGCACTTTGTTGAGAGCTACACTCTTCAGATCTGGACCGCAGCTGATGGATATGAGTTCTTTCTCAACGAGAGCCTAGTTGACTTTGAGGGCGATACACAATCGTTCTTGGGAATGGAAGAGAGCGAGAATGGGCCCCAGCTTATCTGGATGACAACAGACGATATGCTACACCTCATTCTTCCGATAAGCCCACAGCTTGCTCTCGTGTTCTGCGATGAATCACGTTGCTGGGAGTCGGCTTTCGCCGATGCTATGATTCGGTCTCAAATACCCTTTCCACAAAACAGCTCGTTAGCAAATGCACCACACAAGGACATCGTGACTGGGATTGTACCAGCGAGAAGGAAAGGAAGGAAATCGTGGCCCGCAACGGTAGACTGGAAAGTCAGTATCGGGAAACTTTCACCACATCACCATCGAATCATTGCGTCCTATTCACTTAGCCATTCTATATCAATCGTTGTGGTTCAGAATAGGGCGCGTTTTGAAAAGGCCAGAAAAGAATTGAAAGTCTTTGCAAAAGAAAGAGAACAACTCTGGACGAGTCAGGGCATTCGATATGGTCACCAGGGTGAGAAGCGACTTGCCCAGGAGCAGGCAGAACCCACTCCAGAGCAGTTAAACAGCATGGTCGATCGCCATATATCTGCCTTGGACACCGTTCTCCATATTATCAGGATTACCCGGGAAACTCCACCGCGAAACAAGGAGAACTCATACAGATTCTGGTTGGATTTCAATGCTCTTCTCGGATTATTGTCTGAAAAGGCCAAGTCTCCGGTAATGCGCATAATGCCCCTCGCCCTCAAAGAAGCCTTTGAAGCATTTTATCCTCCAAAAAGGCCGGGTCATAAGGACCTTGTCACTATTGACTTTGCCACGTTCTTCGAAGGTGGCATGGGCGAAGAAACGTTCGCTAAACTTACTTCCAATATTGAAGAAAAGATCTCGGAGTTGGTCACAGCAGACGTCTTGCTATCTCAACAATTCAAGACAATCGAAAAGGAAGCTGGGCTTGCTTTGATATCTCTCTCTCCCATAGGCGATAACAAAGTTTTCGAAGAGCCTTGTCTTCCCGAGGACGACGTCCATACGAAACCCTACTTCAAATCAATCTACGGCGCAGCTCTGACATTCGACACACTTATCTGGATGTTTGAAGAGCGACAAGATATTCTGGCAACTTTTGTTCGGCGGTGTGCCGTACCCATGAAGGATACCCAGCCTAATCTAATTCGTGTGCGTGGGAGGAGATGATGGTTACAGTACATTTCTTTTGTTGATCTGATAGTCTGAAATGCATGTGGAGAGTGACAATTGGGCTACGAACAAATTGAGCTCTTTGGGTATCTGAACAATCTCCGCTTGTCTCTTATCCTTGTTTCTTGCTAGTTCTTTCTTGTTAGCTTTGTTTGAGACATATTTTTACTGACAACATGGAATGGAGATTATGATGCGTTGCTCTACAGGTACACAGTGAAATCGATGTCTTCTTCTACGTCATTAAGATCTTTCGTTCGTTAGCTTTCCTCTATGCGGAGGCCTTGCGTATAAATGGAACTTCTGTTTATCCTATTTTCTACCACATACAGTTTGTGTCGTTAGAGCAGACCTTGAAGCAACAGTCCTCTACCGAAGCCTGGTGTGTGCATTGATCCAACCCCCAGCCCTCTCGGCTAGCAGAGAGGATCGTACTTACAAGAAACCTATAAGCCCGCAAATAAATCTCTCTACTCTCTACACATTACTTAGGCAGTCTCAGCGGGCTACATACTCATTCTTAAGTTATAAGGCTCTTGGTCCGACGGTCGGATATCTTTATGAACTGGCTTCGCTCTCCAATTTTCTCCAAGGTATATACTTGCAAGACTAACAATTAAGCCAGATGAATCTTCCCGGCCTCATCGTACACAATCTCCCGTACCTTTACAGATCTCAAATGATCCACACCCCCAGACAGTTCGCAATCGTGATAGAACAGATACCACTTGCCCTGGAACTCAACAATAGAATGATGCGTGGTCCATCCCAGCACCGGCTCCAGGATACGACCCTCATAGGTGAATGGTCCGAATGGCGACGATCCCGTCGCATAGGCAAGATAATGCGAGTCGCCCGTGGAGTACGAGAAGTAATATTTGCCATTGTAGCGGTGCATCCATGCAGCCTCAAAGAATCGTCTCTCATGATCATCCGCCGCAATAGGCTTTCCAGTCTCTGGGGCCAGAATTTGTAGTTCTTGAGGAGGCGAGACAAAGGTGAGCATGTCATCAGTCAACTGGCCCACACGGGGGGAAAGGGCTTGAACGCCCGCGCCGGAAGGTTCTTGTGGGCCGGACTTGGAAGCATTGAAGACGAGTCCGTTCATCTCATCGCCCTCCTTAACCTCCGAGTCTGACTTCTCCCAACACTGCAGTTGTCCACCCCAAAGACCGCCAAAGTACAAGTACGCCTTCTCATCCTCGTCGACAAATACAGCCGGATCAATACTGTAACTGCCGGGGATGTGATTCTCCTCAGGAGCGAATGGACCCGTGGGTGAATCAGAAACAGCAACGCCGATGCGGAAGATACCTTCCTGGTCTCTGGCCGGGAAAAAGAGATAGTATTTGCCGTTCTTTGTGGCTGCGTCTGGTGCCCACATTTGCTTGGACACCCAAGGGACGTCTTTAGCGGAGAGAACGACTCCGGAATCTTCCACTGGGCCGTTGATGGAGTCCATGGAGAAGACGTGGTAGTCAGTCATGTCGTATTGATCTCCATTGTCGTTGAAGGTGATGTCGGTCTCCCGGTCGTGGGAGGGGTAGATGTATAGTTTGCCATTGAAAACGTGGGCGGAGGGGTCTGCTGTGTAGAGGTGGGTGATGAGGGGTTTGGGAGACATTTTGAGGTCTCTTGTTCGCGTTGAGTTGGGAATTTCCAGGGTATAGTCGTCAATCTTGTAGATTGTTGTCCAAGGAGTGATTTCAAATGGATCTGCAGACCTTGAAAGGAAATATCACCAGCAGCAAGAATAACGTGGTGATCTGAAATAAAATGACCGGAAACCCAATCTATTTAAGCGGGCTCGAGAGGAGCCAAGAACCCAAAAGTAGCTGACTTTACCCGCGCCGGCTAAAAGTGCCCGTCACGGCGGAGTCCCCGCGAAGAATCCATGGAACTCCAACAAATGAACAGGCTATATTATCAAGAGCCACATACTTAGTTAAGTAATTCCAGGATCCAGAGTGAAGTCTTAGCTGCTCCAAAATGAACGAATAGATACATAATCTCATACTAATTTCCTCGACTTCACTCGGGTTTGCCTCCCCCACACAACCACCTCCGCGGCGTTCTCCACATAATTATTATACCCGGCAAGGCGCATTACTTTTTCTTCTTAAGACGATAAACGTGATACGTGGTTCAATTATGATACCAGCGAAGTAAAAAACCAAATACCCTCCTGTTCAATGGACAACAATCTTGGAAGGATCCCTCCTTGGTGGAAACCAGCCACCTAATGCCCCATTCCCTTCTCCCAATTCTCCTGGACAATAGCCCAGTACTTCTCCCGACTACGAATCCGACAAGACTTGCCAAACTTGATCATCACCAGGAACGCCGCTGCACAGGCCATACCGACAAAAGCAGCCGAGATAAAGCAGTTCTGATACCCCATGTTTTCGATCCACGGTGTGATACTACCAGAGACGTATTAGCATCCCCTGTCCGCAAAACAGTTACTTGAACAGTGGAAACTCACCCATATCCGATGGCAAATGACATAGTATTCCGAACGAGAATCACACTCGCCATCGCAACACCGCTAAGCTCCCGGTAGCTGTCGACCAGATAGTTCACGCTCAGGGTGATGCCGCAGGTATTGGTGAATGCCAGCATGCACATGGCCACGATAAGACCAAACCAGTGCACCTCGTGTGCGGCACCGACGCCCCACAGGAGCAGTGATCCCGGAACGAGGATGAGACAAGCCAGGAATGGCCACAGTCGATGTTCGGCTTCCATCACGCCGCCGTTGCGGCGGGCTAGTTTGATGGTAAGCCAGTCGCTGAAGCGACCGGTGAAGAGGGAGCTGTGTCGAGTTAGCCTGAGCTAGTGGCAATTATGATGGATGACTTACCCCATGGCTACTCCCAGACAACATGCAACATAGCTGAGACCGACCATAGATGAACTATTATTGGTTAGCTTTCAATCATGAATTCATGGAACTTGCGCAGCTTACCCAAAGTTATAGGGTGCCGAGCCGAGAATGATCGACGCGGTTCCATTCAGGATGTTGAATAGAACGAGGTATGAACCGTACGAGAACCTACTTAAGCATTAGCTTCCGTTTGTCATATGATAGTATCCCGAATTAGACTAACCCAGCATAGAAAATGACAGGCCACGAGAGGTAGTAAAGAGTCTGCCAGAGTCGCCGAAACATGGTATTCTGTTTCTGTTTCGGTCCCAGAAGGGCAAGTTTCTGGACATACGACTTCTTCGTATAAATAGTGCCTTCCTCGGTCGGCGAAGGCGGATCCGATACTGGAACGGCCTTTTCGGGATCACCGCTGTGCGAACTCTTCGACGAACTGAGTCGCACGTTGGCGATGGTGGTGTCTTCGACATCCTCGCGGACATAGTTTGTTTCTTCCATGAAGAAGAACAAAAAGACCATGGCGCAGCCGATGAAGATGCTGGGCCAGTAGAACACCCAGCGCCAGCCTTGGTATTCGGCAATGAAGCCGCAGATCACGGGGGCGAAGTAGTTGCTGCCAGCGAGGAAGAAGGCGTATAAACCCATATATGTCCCCCGTTCGTGAGTGAAATACTATTTTGTCAACTTGTTAACTACAATCTGTTTTCAGATCTCCGATGTAATGGAAGGCAGCTAGGCTTACCACGTCAGTCACGCTGATTTCAGGGAGTGCTTCGATGGGTGCTGTGAAGAAGCCCGAGATGACGTTTCGGGCGATCCATTGGCCTTGAGTGTTTGCATATGGTCTGCGGATGAATGGTGTAAGTCATATCGTCTTGTTTTTGTCTCCATCTAGGATAGTCTTACCCCCACATCGTGGTGCCCTGGGACAAGTTAGCTGACAATTGCCATGTGCGGGCTTTGAATGGAAACAACATACCAGGATACCCGCCAGCGACAGAATATAGGTCAGACGCTTGCCAAATTGCATAGCAAAGGGCTGCCAAAATAGCAGGCCCCATCCAGCCAACAGAAACATGTACCCCGTTCCTTCATTGAGCGTGCTAACCGATAACCCAGTCTCTTTCGACAGAGGGGTAAGCACCGAGTACACCACCGAGCAGGCGATACCAGCGAACAGAGTATAGCTAGGCCAATCCCTTCTTGTCAGTCCCTTATCATCATCAATCTGTTAAGGGCTATTGCTACTCACACGCTCACACAGACAGTCGATAATAGTTTCCTTTTGTGACTCCAGTTCAGCGGGTCATCCGGGTCTTGTGAAGGGGCTGGGATCAACACGATGTCCCCATTGCCACTGTCCAGATGGCGCGTATGTAGCACATGCTCTATATCAACCAACGTCACGGTGCCTGGAATAGCTGAGCTATCCAAAACTGGCGCCATAATGAAGCTTTGAATATTGTGCAGGGGCGTTCAGGGGAAGGTTTACCAAGCAGTGGATAAGTCTAGGAGTAGATCCCACCTAGCGGGCAACGGCAGGTGATGTGCAGATGTATATACCGGCGGTGGTACCAAGGCATGTCACCGCATTGGTGGCAGATAGCAGATCCAGTCAAGGTGTTTCTAGTTTGCCGATGATGTCCGATCGGCTGTAGATAAAGACACTGGGCTCAGAAGTGGGAAAGAAGAACGAATTAAGGCGGCCCAGATTCCGCTTGGTATGGGAATGTAGGCCTGCATGATAAGCGGTGGGTACAGCGTGCGATAGTCTTCCCCGCACTGGCCAAAGTCGAAGGATCTTTTGGGCGATCTTTGCCTGCTCGGTTCATAACTATCATGATTTCATTATCTAATGATGAACGAAGTGGTTGGATATTGAGAGGCTCGAGTATGGGGTAGGCGGCTCGGTGTGTATTTCTAGTGCCGACCAACTGAACTCCCTGCGGTTCTATGGCGGTAAGTTTCCATCAACAGGATAACAAATTATCATGTTAGCCGGTCGACCAATGCGCGGTAGACATTAACAATGGATATGGATATCCCATGCTCCCTAGATGCAAGTACTACCCCAAGACAGACAATGATAAGGACTGAGTAGATCATTCGTCTATAGAGCCATTATCCAATCCAAAGAGCCGAGTACTATGACATTCCAACCAAAGTGCATGTGTTTTCTGTCATGATATACTCCAAAAACACCCCCTCCCATGGAAACCATAATCCGGAACTGATTCCGAACACAAAAGACAAGCTATCGCCTCCCGAGCGCCCAGACACTCACACGCCAATAACAAGCCCTCAATCTACCAGGTCCAAGCGCAAGGGCTTGCGGAGAACACAACAGTGGCGGCTCCGTTTACTAGATTAAGGCTTTTAAGCATCACGTTTACCAGTCCATGCTAACGGACTATTGCCCGCTCCTCCAATTCCAACATCTTTCTTATCGTTTCTTTCCATTGGCCCGATGACAACTTTCCTATCCGGGCAGGATATCAACCGTTGTTCGAAGCGTACCCCGCAAGCTTATCCCGCCATGACGAATCTACCCCAACGGCCGTCATATGCCCGGTTGTTTTGCTATTGTCATCTAGACGACTTGAGTTAATCCGGCCGCTTCGACAAAAGCCTCGCTCTGCTTCCATAGCGCAGTAGCAGTTTCTTCTCCGGCAGGAAAATCGAGGTACGGCAGGGTTAGGACTTCGCAGTTGTCCAGGAAAGCGCCGGATTGTTCTAGCCCGATGATTAATTAACGTGCTTACTCCAGGTGATAACTATGACACGGGATTGGTGAGTAAGGAGTTATGTGTGGCTTACCTGCCAGTATAGGGTCAAGAAGCCCTCGGATTATGGTGGCACTTGCTTGCGATTGCGATTTGGGGGCTTGTTGGAGTAAGATAGGCAGGTCCTCGCCAGCTGGGATTGCATGAGGAGCAAGTTTCAAGTATATGTCTAGAATGCTGAACATACCTTCTTTCTTGCGCTGCAACCACGATGCTACCTCCTCGGGCGAGACGTACGTTTGCACATTGGTCTTGGTATCTGCGTTGTATAAGCTCGGTTCCAGAGGCATAGCCGAGGATACAGCCAGGAGAAGGTCATTACTTACTTCCAGGATTGGCCGAGAATGCAGCAACAGATTCTTTGGCGCATATCTGCGCCAGCGACTTGGCGAACAAGATGTTCGCAAACATCGACTGCGAGTATCCATCCAGAGAGTGATATGTCTCCCCATCCTGCACAATGTTAGCTCAAGTCCATCATTGGCCCTCACCTAATATCAGGATATATCAGTATACGTTCAAAGAGACTAACTCACCGCAAAATTAATATCCTCCCACTTCGGCGCCGGTGCCTCCCGCCGTACACTAGTCGTCATCAACACGACCCTCGACCCACGCTCCATAATCTCCAACAAAGCATTAACAAGCACAAAATACGCCAAATAATTATTCTGAAAATGAGACTCAATCCCATCAGCCGTCTTCTGCCAATCAGCCGCCATAACGGTCGGATAGCAAACTACGCCGTCAATCGGTACGCCGAGGGCCTTGATTGTCCGCGCTGCTTCGCACATGTCCGATAGACTGGACGTGTCGGCGGTAACAAAGAGGATCTTTGTCTGTGGGTGTTTGCGATTGATGTGGTTGATGGACAATTGGACTTCGGATTGGGAGCGGCCGGTGAAGATTATGCAGGCCGCGCCGCCGTGGGCGAGGACGTTGGCTGTTGTGGCGGCGAGTTCGCCGCGGATGAAGCCTGCGAGGAGGACTGGGGATGTTAGTTGGCAGAAAAGTTAGGATGGGTAGGGTGAAGGTTAGTACAAGTTTTGTTTACAACTCTTTCGGGGAACCACTGGACTACTTCGATTCCCCTAGTGTCGGGTTTGAATTGTTGGCTCATCATGGACTGAGAATTGGGCTTTTGTGTGCCTCGACGTCAGGAAGGAGAGTGCTGAAGAACCCAGGCAATTCGAGACGTTAGGAGAGGATGGCGATGTTTCGTCATCATGAGGGTATATTAAATGCACCAATATCAAGCCCCTCTATACCACCAACCAGTTCTGGAGATCAGTGTGAAACTGAGAGGAATGCATTCATTAATATTTAAATAAGAATGTGCGAGTTCAACAGATCCTTGGTAAATGACCAAATCGAGAGAGACAAATTACATGCCAAGTGAAACCAATGTTCGGCTTATACTGTACAGATCGCCAAATCACAAATCGCGCGCGAGACAATCCTGCCGAGCCTGTCGGGGAACTTGAGAGAGAAAAAGGGAAAAAGGTGGATGAAAACACAAGACAGAAGGAAATCAAAATAGGATGAGATGCAAGATGCCTATGCGATGCCATCATCGTCCGGCAACTCGCTGATGACATCCTTCATCATCTGAATCAGCTCGTCAATATCCGGCCGTTCCGCCGGTTCAACTTGCAGACATTTGCGCACAACCTCCTTGACATGAGCGCTGATCATTTGCTCGCTGCTGCCGGACGAGTTGTCGGCATCAGTGCCGACCTTGCCCTTGCCTTTGGTGGCGGTGGTCTTTTCGTCGGGGAATCGCCAGTCACCGCCGAGAACGCACATGCTCAGGCTACCACCGGTCTCATCGCTGCGAGCCTCAAAGGGGCTTTTACCCACTAGGCAGGCATAGAGTGTGCATCCCAAAGACCAAATATCAACTTTCGTGTCGATAATGGAGCCCGTTTTCACGTCGAAAAGTTCGGGAGCTCGGTATGGCATCGTGCTGTGCTCGGCAGCGGTATCCTGCACTGCCAGCGCCAGGGAGCGGGATGTAATGGCAATGGGACTCGGAGCGAGGGAACCGAGGTCCATCAGAATAGGGGTCTGACCATCGTCATCGATCATGATATTACCTATTAGAAAACATTTATCGTTAGCACGCGGAGGTTTATGGAGATGAGAGGACAGATAAAAAGAAGATACCCACCAGGCTTGATATCACGGTGCGCATAGGGGCGCAGACCACCCTCCTGGACACCCTCCTGACTGCGTGTCACCTCGTCATCCATCAATGGCTCATTCTCCTCATCCTCTTCCTCCTGGCGATGACTGGCACGCCGCTTGGGCTTCATCTGCATTGTCCTCTCCTCATCCGCCTCCTCGCCCTCTCTTCGAACCGCCTTTGCATTGCGAGTCGAGCTCGAGCCACTCTGGACGCGATACTGGTGCATGGCTTTCAGCGCATTGGCCACGCCCAGCATTAGCATCATTAGCCGCTTCTCCGGGAAACGTGTGTGATTGACCAGGTTGGCATTGATGGCATCTTGGAGGTTGCCCCGTTGGTAGTACGGCAATAGAATGTAGACTGTCTTCGAGCCAGGGTCGCCCCCATCAGAGCGGAATTTGGATCCTGATTCAGTGGAAACGCAGTGGTCGATCGCATGGATGATGTTGTCTTGCGATGTGAACAGGCTATAAGCTTCAACTTCCTTGAGGGCCTGCGAAACGGATTCCTGGCCGAACGGGCAGCGGATCTTCTTGAGCGCGAACAATTCCGAGGTTGTTTTATCTTGGACGAGGTAGACGTAGGAGAAACCGCCCTGGATGAAGAGGTGCACACGTCAGTTCTGCGACCACAGACGGTCCCTTCTGGACAGGTCGCCTAGTTTGAACACTGTAAGCTGGTCAAATTTGCTTGAATCATACCTCGCCTAGCAATCGCAAAAGCTTGAAGCTCCGATTATTGATCTTCAGCTGCGGTGTACTCGGAAAGCAGCACATGCAATCTGTGAAGTTGTAGAGGAGGTCGAAGAAGTACTGTGCCATGGTGTGAATGGAGCGTCCCGATGGACAAGGAATCGAGCAAGTGTGAGAGGATTGGAGAGTCAGCAGTGGACGCGCCGGGATCCCGCGATCAGCGCGGTATTTGGAAGAAATCCGGGAATTTGGGAGTCTGGGATTGGTGCAGCAGGATGTCAACGGCAAGGAGGGATATGCAAGTAGCACAGTCGCAGACGAGTCGTCGAGTTCGGGGGAGGGAGGAGGAGGAAGATGATTACGCAGGGTGGAGCGGGAGTCCACTTTGAGATCCATGGGACCTGGTCCTCTCGTCCTTTTAGTAGCTGGACCAGCGAAGTACACCCTTTTGGGGTTTATTTGTTGTCCCGCATCCCCCTTTCTGCCCGCCTTGTACATATTTGCCCGTCTCGTGCTGTCCAGCAATCCTTCGTTGTCTTTTCTCTCTTTCTTGGAATCGTTAGGGGTCTATGCTTGTAGCCCAACAACAATGATCCACCTTGGGCCTATCACGTTGACTGTTTAGTTTCCTCCTGACTGCCATCTGCCTGCACTTTTTTTTGCTCCCCACCCGCTCCAACAACTCCCCCTCGATCTTTCGTCGAGACCCGGCTACCCCTGTCGACTCGCATACCGACTGATTTTTACGTTGCAAAATGGCGGCCTTTGACGATATCAAGGTCGGCGATCTGGTCAACGTGCCAGGGGGCATGTACGGCACCGTCAAATATCTCGGAACCGTGGCGGGCAAGCCTGGTCGTTTCGCCGGTGTCGAGCTGGGTCCGGAACACGCGCAGCGAGGAAAGAACAGCGGTGACGTGGAAGGACGAAAGTACTTTGCAACTTCTGTCCCTGGCTCGGGCATCTTTGTGCCCATGAACAACAGCAAATACGTCACGCGTCGTTCTGCGTCTTCATCGGCGAACACCTTCGCCGTGCCTACCACCCCTGGACGCGCCCCGCCGAATTTCAGCAAGTCAGTTGGCCCAAGCCCATCGATGGCTCGTCCTCGAATTCGTCGACCGTCTCTCCCTCGTCCGGAATCCCCGCGAACCTCCATCTCTCCTCCGAAACTCAGCCTTGGTGGCCTGCGCACACCCTCCGCGGCCTCCAGGACCTCTGGCGTCAATGGATACCCAAGAAGTCCCGTCAAGGCACCCTCTCGACTGTCCGATCGACCACCTTCACGAATCAGCCTGGACGATGACAATGCCTCATCGTACGGGAGGCCCTCGGACTTCCAACGACCTTCATCTGCGGAAACACAGGAATTGAAGGATCAGATCAAGAGTTTGGAGAAGCAACTACTAGACCGAGATAAGCAACTGGATGAGCAAGCGAAGATGCTCGGCGAATTCCATAAGGCGATGGAGGAACTAGAAGGGGCGGATGCACTAAACATCCGCACGCAGCTACGTGAAAGGAATGAACGAATTGCTCAATTGACTGCCGAGTTTGACGGCCACCGAGCAGACTTCCGAAGTACCCTGGATACGTTGGAGATTGCCGCATCCGAGACGGAGCGGGTATATGAACAACGTCTGGACGAGCTCATGCAGCAAAACAATGAATTACAGAACCGTGGTGAAGATGTTGAGATTGTCGCACAGCAGCTCAAGCAGCTGGAAGAGCTGGTCTCGGAGTTGGAAGAGGGACTTGAAGATGCAAGGCGGGGCGAAGCAGAGGCAAGGGCCGAGGTTGAATTCCTCCGTGGCGAGGTAGAGCGGACCAAGTTGGAATTGAAGAAAGAGCGGGATCAATCAGCGAGTGCTCTCAAACATGCCCATGCTGTGGTAGACGGCCCTCGAAGCTCACACGAGCTGGAACAGAAAGATGATGAGATCCGTGGACTAAAGGCGATTATTCATTCCTTGAGCCGGGGCAACCCCAACGCTGCCGGCCTAGGCGAGAACGGGTCAGCGGAATCCCACAACGACCAGAGTGAGCAGATTTCTCAGCTAGAGCAACGGCTGCAGGAATTTGAGGGAACTACCCAGGTCAAGGACACTCGCATTGAGGAACTGGAACGGGAGTTGCAGGAGCTACGTGTGGGTGGCGGTCGTAACCGCAGCTCTACGGTGACCCTCTCGCCCAAGCAACAGCACAAGTCTACAAGTTCTTCGGGCAACATCACCGTGAACCATAACATTAACCACGCCCACCGTCTCTCTGACCGTACCGTGGTCCCAAATGACTGGCATGATATGCCGGCCAACGAGCAGCGGCAGCACCACCGCGGCTTCTCCAACTCCTCCCAGCCACGACTGGAGCCCACCCCCGAGTCCGAGCGTTCTTCTGATGACGATTCCTTGTGGTGTGAGATTTGTGAGACGGGCGGCCATGACATTCTGAACTGCACCAGCATGTTTGGTTCTGGTAACTCTGCAGCCAAGAAGGAGCAGGCCCCTGAGGCGCCCGTTGATAAGTCTACTGAAGGACGGATTGAAGATTATGGGGCATTAAAACATTCCAACTCTGCCGATAGCAACACGGATAGCGCTCCCTCTCAGAAGACTGGCCGTGATGTTGTGCTCGAGGGTCTGAAGGGCATTGGCGGACTGGGTTCATCCATGGCGCCCATCGCTGGCAAGTCTTCGGGGGTCATCGATGAGTCGAAGTGGTGCGCTCTCTGCGAGCGAGATGGCCATGAGAGTATCGACTGTCCTTTTGATGAATAATGGACCATGGTGAATACGTGAGTGATGCTGACGGCATCGTATGACGATGCGCAACCTGAGGATCTGGGGGTGATCAATTTGGTTGTTGCTTTTTTTTCTACATTTCGACTCTTTTCTAGTACATGTTTTTGCATCTAGGCCATTTTTGCACTCAATCATGTCCGATCTGAAGTTGTGATTTTGGTCTTTGATATGCCATTGCTCCCTCACTTTCCCCCTTTCAACTCTGTGTATTACTCTTCCTTCTATCTCGGACCTTTTCATTCGTTCTCAAGCGTGTCTACACACTTTTTGCCTTTCACTTCGTGGGATTTGTACCTTTGACAAGTTCCGGCCTTCGTTTGCCACTCTTTTTCTATTCCCCCCTTCGACCTTCTCTTTTCCTCTCCTGCTTTGCACTTGTACCCATGACCGTCAGATATTGTTGGTGTATTGCCTGAGATCTTGCCAGGTATCCGGTCTTGGCCGTACCATACTGCTTTTCTACAAGCCACACATGTAGAAAATAATATAAAATCTAATCCATCATACCCCCAATCATGATCGTTCTTGAATATGCCGTACCTTGCGCTGGGAACAAGCTTTACTACCCAGCGCATATAGGCCGTGCAACCAACAGTGCCAATTCCACGATTGTCTCAAAGGAATGCTGAATTCATCACCCATGATATATAACTCTTTACCATAGCGTAAGTTCATCACGAAATACAGTGCATGGCAACTCCCCTCGTCTCTCCTTATTCATACAACCCAAGAGGGCTAGACGGGACTCCTTCATTCAGGATGCGAAGGCGGTTGTTCCAATTCTCCCTCGCCATATTTCGTCGCTGCAATCTCTCCACACGTCTTGCATCGCCTCTTCTCCTCGTCCGCAGCAAACTCCTCCACCACCTCCTTGACTTGCGTCCCGAGATCAGTGCATATAAAGCGCTTCTCCCATACAACGCTGCTACACTTCCTGCAGTACCACTGCATGACATCAACGGCATTCGCTGCTCGCGGCTGCTCCATCACCACACCCACCGTATCCTTGAAACGGACGGGGCAGTGTGGCGTATTCGCCGGCAGCAAGAAGATCGAGCCTTCGTGGATGGGGATATCTTGAAATGTAGGTGGTGTCGTTGATGTGTCTACCGTCTTGAGCAGCATCGAACCCCGGTATTGGTAGAAGAACTCTGGCGTGGTGTTGATGTGGTAGTCTGTTCGTGCGTTGGGCCCGCCAACGATCATGACGGTGTAACCGGCTGTTGCCGGGGAAGAGGGGTGGTATACGCAGTAATTGTTGACTGGTGGCTGGAGAAGATGGGAGTTGGCCTCAAGCCTGAAGTAATACCTGTTAGCATATTCTGTTGAAGCATTTTGGGTCCTTCAGTTTGGTGGCCGACTTTCCCCGCGATGAATCATGTGCATCATCGGTGGAGGGGTAGCATGGTGGGGGAGTAAACGGGGGAAATATACCATTTTGGAATATTGAGTGCTGGGGGAAGCATTGTCCAACAATGTGTAGTATATCTCGCCAAAAGATAACGTTAGGCAAACTGCAAAGTCCCAGGAACAAGTTTCCGTGGTATGATGCTTCATGCAAAGGGTCCAAAATCGCGGGCCACGCACAATGATCCGACGCGCGGAGATAAAGCTCAGACCCCTCGGACTTAACCCGACCCACCGGAACGGATCAACCTTCCACCGTCAATTTTTCTTTTTTCGACAGGCCGAGCTTCAAGCGGAGCCTGCTGAAAAGACCAAGACAAGCAACCTCGAAAATGGCGACGACATCTCAGCCCCCCTTGCGATTCACCACGCATCACAACCTTGTCTATCGCCTGGTCCTCTCAACCTTGACCGGCCACACAGTCCACATCTCGCAAATTCGCTCCTCCTCACCCACAAATCCTGGTCTGGCGCCGCACGAGATTTCTTTCCTGCGCCTGCTCGAAGCTGTCACCAATGGCTCCCAAATGGAAATTTCGTATACCGGTACGATTCTTGTGTACAAGCCGGGCTTGATCACTGGTAGTGCCACCGGCGTCGGTGCTAGCGGCGGCGTGATCACACATGAACTTCCTTCAAACTGCAATCGCGGGTTGAGTTATTTCTTGATTCCACTATGCCTGCTGGCACCGTTTTCGAAAGCACCTCTGAAGGTCCTTTTCACCGGACCCGGCGTGATTACTTCCTCGACCCCAACAGGCGATATGTCTGTCGACAGCGTTCGAACCGCGATCCTTCCCTGGTACAACCAGTTTGGAATGTTCAACAACGTCGAGCTGCGCATTTTGAAACGCTCCAACCCCGGTCCCAACGGCCGCGGCGGCGGCGGTGAGGTTCAATTCACTTTTGGCCATCAGATTCGCCTACCCAAGACCCTGCATCTTATGAACCCGGGCCGTATCAAGCGCGTCCGCGGTGTCGCATACGCGGTTGGTGTGTCCGGTTCCAACAACGCCCGCATGATCGAGTCTGCCCGTGGCATCCTTAACCCGCTCAGCCCGGACACTTATATCTTCTCCGACGTCTCATCCGCGCCCCTCGTGTCCGCGCCGGATAAGAACAACGCCAATGCTAAGAAGAAGATCGGTCTCGGCTTCGGTCTATCTCTCGTCGCCGAGTCTTCAACCGGCTGTCTCTTCTCCGCCGATGTTGCCTCCCCGCCTTCTGGCGGTGAAGCCCCTGAAGATATTGGCAAGAAGTGTGCTTTCCAGTTGCTCGAGACTATTTCCAAGGGCGGCTGTGTCCCACCGGCTGCGGCTACGACTATGTTGACTCTTATGACTATGGGCTCCGAGGATGTGGGTCGTCTGCAGGTTGGTCGTGAGGTTATTGCCGACCCTAATATGATCCAGCTCGCCCGTGATCTGGCTAAATTTGGTGCTCCCGGCTGGGGCATCCGGGATGCTGCTGGTGAAAACGAGGATGGCGATGTGATCGTCAGTGTGGTTGGTCGTGGAATTGGCAACGTCGGCAGGAAGGTTGCTTAAATGCTTCGTGATACGCTGTTTTTTGCAACCCAGTCTTTGGCTCCAGTGGGCCACGGTCTTGCACGCCAGTCACCGCATTTCGCGACGCTGCCTGCGTGGGTGCATACACGTTTTGCGGCTGTTGAACCTGATTCCTGCCATTGGAGATAAACCATCTCTCGTGGTGGCGTCTACAAAATCTTGCATTATCTTGGTCTCCTACTAGACCGTCATGATACCCGGTGTTGTTTGTCTTCTACCTGCATATGCTATATTGCATGCTTCCATCCTGGCGGGTTGTTCCGGTGTTTGGGTGTATTTATATAAAAGTCGGAATATTATTTCTCATCTTGTCATCTTTCCAACGTTTCCAATATTCGCTGCCTCGCAGAAGGAATTGCCAGATATACCGCTGTTTACTTATTGAGTCTCTTTGGCTTGTTCAGTGTGCTTTATTCATAAGGTATGGATATATACGTGAGGATCGATCATACTCTCGTCTTTTCTGGACATACCTCCAGCCCAGTACCTTTCGTTTCCTTGCCCCAAGTACACCAATCCTTCATCACCTTCCAGTAGCCAGGCTCCGTACTAGGGTCAGGAAATATCTAGTCATCATAATCACCTCTACCTGTCCCAATCCGTTGTATTCACTTGAAGTCTGCAGGAGGTAAAAATGACATTGGGTAGACCTTGTTCCAATTCTAGTAATCTACTTGCGGGCATTCCGTAATGCTACATTGATTAATCTTGGTTGAGGACAGTGGCATGCAATTTTGGGCCAGTATGTCGTGTTAGATTACCACCAGTATTGCATATCAAAGTGTCAACTGGCAACGCAATGTTCTGCCTCTATCAAAATCCTCAACTGACGTATCCAAGAATTGTTGCCTCCGTCGTATATAAAACACCAAGGCAGCACCCCACGGGGTAGTATACGGTAGTATGTTGCCTCCTTCCCAATTAGGCAAGCCCCATGCTTGCCTGCTCGCTCTCTCCTGCTGGCGCCCCCTCCATTTTGAGTATAAATATCTCCTCCCTCTCCACCCTCTCCTCCTTTTTTTTCCTTCTCCAACTATTGGCCTTCCTCTTCTTTCTTCTAACTCCACCTTCCCCAAAATTTCCGCTCTTCTACTTATTCATCCATTTTGATCCACCTCAACTTTCCCCATCACCTCAACTCTCATCTTCACCATGTTTCCTTCTTGACACTCTTATCCCGGCTGGTTTTATCCAGTTACTTTCTGTCTTCCCATCCCCGCTAACCACACCATGGTTCCACTTCCCACTTTACCTCTTTGGTCAACGTGGTTCGTCACTCACTCCCTCAGGACTTTCTCTGGCCGGCCTTGCTGACATGGATCTTCAGCTTATCAGGTATTTCCACCCTCGGACGTGTACCGTTTAATCCCCACCTTCTTTGGTCTTTTCTTCTCAGGTGAGTTGGTCCATCTTGCTCCCTTCGAGATGTATGATATCCTCGCCGGCATAACATGCCGAGGAAGACGCCGTCTTCTATTGTTCCGTCTAGGCTGTTTTTAGCTTCAGTCACAACCATCTCCGGTGTTCTTTGTCCTCTGCAAATAACCTTTCTCTTAAGTGAGTTGGTCCGTCTTGAGGGAGGCAAGATGTATGATATCCTCACCAGCACGAATGCTGAGGGTAGAACCCGTCTTCCATCTTTCTGCTTAGGCCCCCTGCATCTTCGTTGTTCCTGCTTAAATGTATAGTATCACTTGCCTTGCTCCACGATTGATTATTTCGTCTTCGTTCCAGGTGAGTCGGCTCATCTTGCCTTCCTCCAAGATGTATGATATCCTCACCAATTCGACTACTGGGGGGAGATCCCGGTGTCTCCTTATTTCTAGGTCTCCACCCTCGGCTACACGAGACATAGATGCCCCGTTTGAATTTTTTATTGATGATAACTAGGTGAGATGGCCAGCTACCCAGTGGTTGGTAGGATGGGATGTCCTGGGTTCCTCACACAGCCTTGCTGACCTAGGTGGTTTATGCCTACGTAGTTTTATCATCAGTCATACTCATTCTTCATGAGATCACTTCCAGGTGAGATGGCCACCCTGATGAAAGTGCTTTCCTCACCAGCTACTGACGCAACAACTACAGAAACATCGTTCTTTCGTGCGCTGGTTGGTCCATCGTGACGGGGGCCAAGGCATATGATAACCTCGCCAATACGATGCTTCGGGAAGAACCTGCGAGGTCTCCTCAGTTCAGAACCGGCGCACTCGACAGTCATACTCCCCCAGAAGACATGTTATTCTGAACCATTGGGCCTGTTGGAGTTGGGTTGTGTTCCGGTGAGTTTTACAAATTTGTTTCTTAAATAGAGGGAATATCATTAACGGGGGTTTCCTAAGTGAAACGCTACCAGACGACGTCAACTGTCGTCTTGTCCGTGAAGTGTGATTCAGATGATCATATTGATACTGGCCTTGTTGGCTTGCCTGCATTGAGGCCGTATCTCGATATAAGAGGTGATGAGGCTATGGGCCTAATCCGTTATGTGTTGAATGGGACTGGTGGGTTGGAGATTACCAAACTCTCTTGGTAGATGTTTCTTTCATGAAAATGAGCTTGTTTCCCGATTTCTCTGTAAGTGTACGTCTCCAGCGCCTGCAGCTAGCTGTCAGTACCGCGAACACCTGCTACTATGCCAATCTGGGTAATCCCACCCAAACCACCAGACCTGCGGATCCCATCAATTCACTCAACCCCACAAATCCTTTCAACCGCAGTCAACCTGCCAACCCCGCTAATCCCGCCATGTCTGACCTGCATTTGGTGGGATACGGTCACCCGGTGGGACCCGCACTAGGGGGACTTGAAAGCCTGTGGGTAATGATCTACATGAAGAGAAGCCCACGTCCTCATCAGGCTTCCCCGGTCAACAAGCGGAGCGAGGACTTTACGCCCGTCTTCGTCGGGCATGTACAACTGTACGCCGTGGCAGACAAATACAACATCCATACCCTGCGCCGTGCAGTCCTTGCCAACATAAACGAGACTCTGAGCGCCTACAAGATGTATTATGAGGCTGTGGAGGCACTCATTGAGTTTGTTCCATACGCCTATGCAAACACCCGTCCAGTGTACAGCAAGATTGATGACCTCCGGGATCTTGTTGTGCGTTACGTTATCTCGAATCTCGGGGATCTAGGTGGCCATCGCCAGTTCAAGAAATTGTTGCACAATGGCGGTGACTTTGTCACTGACTCCTGGCAGCTCACATGGCACGGAACTCACGAGTGGATGAGTTGATGGTGTGGATGAAGATAATGGAAGCTGAGGATCCACAAAAAGCCAAATGCTTCACTTCTGGGATCATAAAATAGACTGAACGCACCACAATATCTGAAATTCTTCCCTGTTCATTTAGATCTTGGTCCACTTTCACTATCTCGTTCGAGCAGGCCGTTAACTCTAAGGGGCGGAACTCCTCTCCGTCCTTGGGGCATTTGGCTGTAAATAAAACTGATTTTCAGTACGAGTCCTGGATACTGCTGAATAAATCTGACTCTTGCACATTATTTAGTATTCGAGGGAGCGGTTTATGTGCACGGAATATCCCATGTCAAAGGGACTTACAAGATCACGGGATCTACCAGCGAAGCAAAAAAGGCGGTTAGCGCGTCTATTTTCGGCTCGCCGCAGCTTAATTCGACCACATTATCAAACACGCAAAGCGCAGCAAAAGATCACGGCAAGTATCATGCTGGAAAATTCCGTGCCTTCCCAAAACTTGGGCATGTCAATGTTTTGGCCTGGGATTTGGAAGTGATCTACAGGCCCCCTCGGGTACCGTCTCGACGCAGCATGAGGATAGAGAAGACCGCGGTGCCGTGTTTTTATATTCGCAACGGCAGGCTGACCCAAGGAACACTAAACCTTCCGGCTTTGGCTCGGAAATATCGGCACCGACAGTATATTTTTGAGCCTCAGACCCCTCCGTTATCTGGTTCTGATCCTTTTCAGCGTCGGCATCGATGCAAATCGGCGGGCATTGTACAGCCGCTCCTGCTTCGTTGGGCTTTCTTGAATACCCTCAACACGTCAACATCGCATCAACATCACGTCGATTTCCCACTAGCGTCCCTTAAGCAAGCGCTCTTAAATACCCCTTCCTCCCCCTCGACTTTCTTCTCTTTTCTCCTCAAACTCTTCGCTCTTCAGTTCCCTCCTTCTACTTCACTCCCAACTGACCCTGGCCCGCAGCTTTCCCCTTCTCCTCCCATCTCTGCCCATACTTGCCCACTCCTGTCTTCTGTCTTGTCCCCTCCACGTTCTACATTTCTTCTGCTTCTTTTGCCATCTACTTGCCATACTTCGACGCCATCTCCCTTGACCATTTCTGCATATTCGCCATGTTTGGTCGCATCTCGATTTGCTGCCTTTTCACTTTTGTAGCGTCCACCCCCCTGTAGCCCCCTTCCCCCATTCCCCTTGCCCTTCTGCACTTTTCTTCCTGCTGCCCATTCTTTTGTTCCATTCGTAGACATCCGCTTCGTCCATCTACATCTACCCCTTTTTCGATCTTTGACATTTATTCTTTCGCAATTTACCCCAGCGATGAGTTCCCACCTCGACGTGGTACTGGGGCCTAGTAGTCCCTGCTGACTTTGGTTGGCAGGGACGAAGCCAAGAGGAACTCACTTTCTTTTCTTTGTTTTGTAGTCGTTCTTCTGTGTAGATGCAGAGCGAGATACAGAAATGTCATTCCCTCTTTGTTCCTGACTTGTGACTTTCTGCATGAGAGTAGAGTTGAGTGTTGTAAATGGTCGCATCTTGTTTGGAGCTTCATGGAGCTGTTGACTCGATGCCCCCATTTCCTAATCCCTTTCCAGTCTGCCTGACAATAAGACACTGGAACACTAGAATGAACCTAAATGACTTGTATTAATAGAGACAAAAGAGAGAACTCATTAGAGTTGCTGTTTGAATATCATCGTTGTAGACGCGATCGCGCGATGGTTCCGATCGCGCTGGAACGCATCGACGCGCCATGATGAGACCCGCCAACAAGATGGAACAAGAGTGCTTCTTCAGAAAAGAGCTCTTCAGAATGAATGAAACGACGGCGGGTTTACATAATTCAAAAGATCATTGGACTGTCCCAGACAACGGGGGGTATTTGACGCGACATGTAATGCGAGGGCCATTTACTTAAGTCTGACAGTCGGCTCGAGGATATGCACCAAGAAGCTTCGGACTGGGCTAGACTTTTAAATCTCGCGAAAATTGTAAAGTGACTTCTTTGAGATCATCTTGTCTATTGAGACTCTAGTATATGTGTATGTGTATGTGTAGGTGTATATGCAAGGCCGAAATGAAGCCATGTCGTAACTCGACGCGACCAAACTCCACAAAATACGCCAACGCCGGGGACATGCCCAAGTATCCAGCCCTTAAACAAAACGACATGAAATCGCAACGCCATAAGGAATGATAGAGAAATGCTGAAAAGACAAGACAAAAAGGAGAGACAATGCAGAGTGTGCAGAACAGAACAACAACACCGACGAACATGGAACTCGAAGACACCATGAATGCCCATGGTTTTACTCCGAGACATCTTCATCCTTGCCAGGGAACATGATATCCCGACGAACCACAGCCAAAACATGATTCACAAAGACAAACAACCACATCCCAACGATACAAACTGACATCGCCGTCCCAACCCCCTTAATAGCCGAACTCTCAAACGAATTCCCCAACACGATAGTCGCCAATGTGAACCCAGTATTAGGAAAGACCATCGCCCACCAACTCAAATGGAACGCCGTGGGCGGAGACCTGACCACCGCAATCAGCGCTACACAGAAGAACCACAGGCTCAATGCCCATAGGAACGCGCCCGCTGCTAGGGCCAGAATTTCCAAGACGCGGCCATCGGCGACGTTATCGTCGTTGCCCATCACGCTGATTGTCTCGGGCAGGCCGCGCGCCATTCCGATCAGTGCGAGTGCTGTGAAGGCCGGCGGTCCGACGCAGATGAACATGCCCGGTCGGTGTTCGCGGTTCGGTAGCCCTGATTCCATCAGGCGGCCGATATAGTGCGAGTACATCATGAAGCTGAGGCTGAAACCTAGGCCTTGGAACGTCATTCCTGCGGCTACGATGGGAACAGCGGCATGGGAGGGTTGACGCTCGGCGATGACGGAAGCGATGGTCCCGCTCAGCATGATGGGGAACGCCGGGAGGACCCAGGAGGGCATCATGGTTTGAAGTTTGTAGGTCACGGAGGAGAAGAGGTATGAGTATTGGAGGACGGCGACGGCGAAGGTGCAGACGCAGTAGGTCCAGAAGAGGACCTGAAGGGTTGTGGAGAAGGCGGTTTCAGGGTCATCACCGAAGTACTTTTCTAGTCCGGTGATCATTGTGGCGATGGAGAGCCAGAAGGTTGGGAAGAAGAGGCCCTCGCGGTCGTGGGCGAGGGATTGAATGAGATTGCCGTGGATAATGAAGCGGGCGGCCATGAGAGAGCTGACTACTGCGAAGAGGGTGAGGTTGATGATGTAGACGGTTATACCGATCTGCCAGAGGCCGGGAAATGTGTTGGGTTGGTTGGCGATTAGAAGGGCGAGGCCGCCTGTACTCATTGTGAGAGTGTACCAGGCCCAAGTGAAGTGGCGGAGACGTTGGGTGAAGGATATTTTGTATGTTTTCTGAGACTTTTCCGGGTCAAAGTGTAGGATGGGTGTGTTGGAAGCATCCGAGTGCGAAGAGTGTGGTGGAAGCTCGTAGCTTTCAGGGCCCAGGAGGCCTGGGCTGGAGAGAGCGACCATGCTGTAAGTGTTGTATAAGATTCGATGTGCTGTATAGCAATGCAATTGAACAGGGCCAATGGGGGTGGATGTAGAGTCAAATGAGAGTAGATTGAAGGGGGGTTATGATAAACTCTCAAGCTTGACGCAGCAAAGACAAATGAAGATATCAACAAAAGAGATATGCTGTAGAGACCGGAAAAGACACGAGCAAAAGGAAAGATGGCAATGTAATGGCAATGGCTGATATGCAATGAAGAGACTTGAAGAAGATTAAGAAAAGGCTTGAAAAGTTAACGGATGGAGAGATTGAATAGAATATCCCCCCTGAGAAACTCCCCTCCATCTTTAAAGCATCGATGCTTCAATAGTTCATGTCCGATGCCCAAACATTCCGCCACAGATTCATCACCACTCTCTCGCGCCCAGCCAGATCTTCACGGCACGATCCACGGCCAAGACAAACACCAACAACAGCCGCGACATCCAGACAACGACTCGATCCACACCTTTTCCGCAGTGAAATTGCATAGCTTGGTGCCTAGATCATGAAGTCTGTCGTCAGGGCATTGCTCGCCAAAATGGACCTACCAGATCGCCGGGGCTTATCATGACACCCATTAGTCTGAGAAATGGAGCATTGATCGTCCCGAGAGTGCAGGCTGGGCGCGTTCATTGCCGCCAGGGGGCGCACTGGCGCAGGCTGATGCGGTGCTCCATACGGAGTACGGAGTACGGGGAGCAGGTTTGTCTGGTGGATTGGATTGTGGGAAATAGCGGGAGACGGAGTCTATAGTTCGAGTCAGTGCGGTGATCCACTCTGGGCTTTAGGGGGCAACGTTGGATGTCATTGCTCTGGGCGTCTGAAATAGGAGACAGGGTCTGTAGGTCTGGAGTGTGCTTTGCAGGAGAAGGAAATTTCTCTGCCTGGACCGGGAAAGCGTTCATCAGCGCCAAGAAATGGCTGTGGTTCTTGCTGCGTGGCTCATTCGGCGTCGTTGATATCTACCCCTGAGCGAGTAGAGTTGTGTGCCATGCACTTCAGTTGTGACCGAACAACGAGGAGCATAATGTTGAGAAAATCCTTGATGTTAAACCTCATGTACTGTGAGTCGATAGTAGCAGTATTGGAGAGGTGTCTCCTCTCGGCCCGAGGAGAAAGCAGGCATCGTATGCCCTTCGGAGGAAGGAACTGTGCAACGTGGTAGGCCAAGGCCGATGATCGACGCATCCTCGCCGGACCGCTGCCAAGCTTTTTAGAGACTGTAGCGTGTGAGGCTGTGAAGCTGAATAAGAAAGGAGAGAGTTCAAATCAGGGGAACAAGGCAGAAACCCATCCGCAGCGCTGATCGGCGAGTTCAAATTTGAGGTGGTTAGGCTGACTGGGCAGGTGTACACAGGGGATAGATCCAAGCTCTCTCAAGTCAGATGATTTCATTCTTCTCTTAATGACCTACTGTCACTAATCAACCTGATGTCAATTAACTAACTAACTCTCAAAGACTTAATCACTACTGTGTAACCCCTGAGATGATGGTTCATCGCTTATCTTCACAGCCTCATCGCCAATCCCCGCGCTAACGGGAACTATTGAACTATTGAGCTAAGTACGTCCCGGCATAAAACCTGCCAAGCAGCCAAGTCAATCACGGCGGTCGATCACTAGCGGAATTGCGTTTCATGCTTATTTTTCATTTTTGAGGAGTGGCAGATTATGTAGGATAGGTATTTGTGCCAGGTCTGCCCAGCTCTGGCGAGGGCTTGTCGGTGGGTCAATGACGAAGTCCAAAACACTGGACAGTGTACTATTAAACAGATCTTCTATATAGGTGATTGAGGATAGACGTGGAGGATTATGCAGTCCATGTTCCCTTATGGAAAGCCGACTACGGAGTAATAGCGTGGGTGTATTGGTGTAAGTGACCTTGGCATATTTCGGGCAATGGTCTTGACCATTCTCCAACTTATACGCAGATACAACACATTGCAAAAGAGATACAGAGTTCTTGACAGAATTGAATCTATGGATAGTTATCCTCAAACTCCGAATCAGACTCAAAATCCAGTTCCCTAGACAGGTCCATTTACAAACAGCGTATATCAAATGCATCGCCACAGCCAAGAAATAAACTACAAACTCCCATGAAACACAGTCAGCGCCAAGAATGAAAATACAATGCAACGACATACAAAAAGCTAAGAGACCAAGAAAGTAAATCCCAGCACATCTCCCTTGTACACTTATACACTCTCTGCATTATGAACAGGAAAGGGCAGTGGTGCATCAACCCAGAAATCCCCCAATTTCAATCCCAATCCAAACCCAAATCTAGATCCAGCCTCAGATCTCAAATCTAGATTCTCATATCTCCATCTGGCTCTCCCTACATCATCCGATAAACAAGATCACTCGCCAACTCAGGCGTCCCATCCAACAACGCCCTCAAACTATCCGGCTTCGCCCCATCCGCCGGCGTCGCCCTCCCACTCCCACCACCATGCCATCGCGCCAATTCCTTGACCCGACAAGCCGCATAATGCACCACCAGCCTTCGCAGCTCGTTCTCGCGTAGCTGTGTTGCGGATGTCGGGTTGATCGGTTCCAGGCGTGTGGTCTTGGTGTAGGCATAGTGGAGGACGTCGAGGACTATTGCTGGTGCGCCGGGGAGATTCTGTTTAGTCGGGGGATGGGTGTCGGTTTCCGGGTTGGCGTTCCTGTCTTCTGTGTTGTCTTCTGCGCTGGTGTATGTCTCGTCGTGGAGGGGCAGGTGGAGGAGGTCTGTGTGCAGTTTGCGGAGACAGAGTTGGGCGAGGGCTGGGATGAGGTATCGCGTTGCGAAGACGTAGACTTTTGCGTGGAAGGTGAGGTAGGGGAGCTCTGTTGCTGTGGCTGATGTTGAGGTAGTGGATGGTTTGGGGGTGATTGGTACTGTGCAGTCGTCGTTGTATTGTAATGCGGCGAATTCGTCCCAGAGGCTGAGGCCGGGTGTGCGTGGTGAGTCGGATTGTTGCTTTGCAAAAGACATGTCGATGATGGGCTTGGGGGAGGAGGGTGCTTGGATAGTGCTTGATTCTGTTGGCGAGCTGGCCCGGGGTGAGATTGAGGACTTGGGTTCTGGTGTGCGAATGTCTTCAATGTTGTCTTGTTCTTCCTGAGGAGGATAGTTGATTGATTGAAACCATTCCGGGGCTTCTGTTGGGGCTGCAGAGGGCGAGGGCATTGGAGATGGTAGAGAAGACTCTGTTGGTTCCTCTACTAGTGCATCTTCTGGTTCTGGTTCTGGTTCTTGCAGTCCTCCTTCGTATGCAGGAGTCTCCTCCTCCACGGCTTCAGGTTCCTCAGGCTCAGGCTCGGGCTCGGGATCGGGTTGTACTTCGACAACTTGGGGCTCTTGAGGAGACGGCGTCGATGGAGGAGTCAAGCTCGCTGGGGGTTCCTCTTCCAGTGGCTGTAGCTGGGACTTCTTCTTTCCCTTCTTTACTTTCATCTTCTTGGACTTCTTTTTGTAGGCTGGATCTGGTGAATTTGCTTCCCAGGATGGCTCATCCGCTGGCTCTACAGCCTCCGGGGCTGGCTGCCCGTCAGATTCCGCCAGGGCATTCTCGGGATTTTGAGATTGGGCCCAGTCTGTTTCCCTCGGCTGCACGAGTGGCTCACTAGGTTCGACGGTCTCGTCTGTCCACGGTGACGGCTCAGCTTCTTCGATGCCTTTCTGCGCCTGTGTTTCGAGCTCTTCTTCTCCAGTCTCTGCATCTGCGTCCACTTCAGCAGATACATCCTCCTCGACGATAGAGGGTACCTGTTCTTCGGCCTTCACGGTCTGACTATCGGTCTGACTATCGGTCTGACTCTCTGGCGGCGGCGAAGGAGCTGGAGGTGGCACCGACGAGACCGAATCCGAACGATACGTCCCTCGCCAGGAAGGCCCCGTACTCGGCGCACTCTCTACCACACCTGTCCGGAGATCTTCTCGTTGTGGTGGTGTTGGTGTTGGCACTTGCACTGGCATCGGTAGCTGTGGCACCTTGTAGTCTCCAGTATACGCATATTCGCAAAAGGCCACGAAAGTTTCGACATCTTCGTCTTCTAGCACGGCGATGCGGTGTTTGGATTCCCGGGTGTGTCCATTGTTCATGAGGTTGTGCAGTGGTTTGGAGACATGTTGGGCGAGACCCGACTGGATCGTTAATTTGGTGTGTTTGGGGCCGACGAGGAATGTGAATGATGGGGAGTGAATAATACTGTTGGTTGGAAGGTGCTCGACTTGGTCAGCAAATGTCCGTGGCTTGAGAGCTGAGGATGGAATTGCATGAACTGCTTGGAGGGGCTGTGGCGGTTGACATGGTTTGGGAATGCTGATTGGGCTGTGAGGTACACACCTGCTATAGTCGCGGGGCTCCATGGGAGCTACTGCTCTACTGCTGTGCAAGGCGTTCCTCCCGTCCTGAAGGGAAGTATGGTGGATGATGATGAAAATGTGGATGAGTAGGTATTCCCCTGCAACTGTTTAAGTATTCCACACTAACGACTCACCCTGCCACGGGGGGTTCGATATTAGCCAGAGCCAAATCACCAAGGATGCACCACTACTCGGGCACAGGACCCAGATAGTACAAAAGGCCCCTGGTAGCGGGCTACGTGTGCAGTCCTGATGGGTTTGAAGAGAATAAAGAGGGGGGACACCATCGACGCCAACGCCTTGCCAACAGACCGACTCGGATTGACCAGCAGTTCTCCGGTGAATTAAAGTGCCCGTACCCAAAAGATCTGCAAGACTCATGATTGATTATATAGTCCTCCGATCAAGCGCTATGGAGTATGTTGTCCCTATTTGTAGCAGTACCTCCTCATGAACCGATGGCAGTCCGAGGGTATTCGTTCCCAATCCCTCTGCATACATACATCCACAGATAGGAACACTGCCGTAAATTGTCAAAAAAGTCAAGCAAAGATGCGACAGGGATCCATATCCAATCGATCCCCTCAAATTAGGATCCAAACATTGAATTTGCTGGCGAATTAAATAGGCCACGCCCGATGTCCTTGCCATTCGTGCCCAATCGCCGATTCGCCTCCCAACTGCGGGGCCCGCCCCATCGCCCTGCAATTTGGGTGTCTACTTTCTGTACATTTTAAACAGCTTCACTTTTATCTTTGGTGCCGAGTCTTGCGCGAGCATTCTTCATTGTTCAATTTTGGTCCTGTTGGTCTTGTTCTCTTGACGTGTTTGGTGGCGGTCTGTGGTATAGCTGTGCTGGCCCGCTGATAAGGCAAATAGGGATTTGGTTGCAGCATGGGCCAAAGGGGTAATTATTTGCTATTCTTTGACTGGTTCCGGGTTTGAATTCTCGTAGAGAGGCATTAAGGCTGGGAGGTTATCGATTTTCATGTCGCTGTGGCGGTATATCGTTGGCGGGAGTATGACCAATGTAGCATGTCAGTTCACAATTCATGGCTATGTTCAAGGCTTGCGAGTGCCGGAGTTGTATCGTCAGTCAAAATGTGCCAATCGAACAGAGAGGTGGTCAACAGCGGTTGAACAAGGACTTTAGACATATGCTACATGGATTGTATACAACCTCAGGGCAATAGGTCTAGATATCATAATGGGGCCGCCCCCTGTACCAAGAGACATGTCCCTCCAGTGCTATATAGCAAGTCAAGAAATCCTTTCCTGTACAGGAATGTTTCAAAGGTATAGGGCTGAGAAAGTATTCGGTTCTCTTGAGATCAATCTAGTTCCTAGACCTGGTAGATACGAGTCAAAATGACGATCTCCATCTTCTACAATTTCATCATCAACGCTACGATCCAGCGAACGCAGAAAGCCCAGACGTAATAACAACCAGGGGGTTAGAACAAAGTTCCAATCCCAATCAGCAACCCTCCTCGCCGGTGGTCTAGTGGTCCGACATTTAACGGACCCAGACTACTGGAGCCATCTGACACTAAGATGGTGGCCGGCTGCCTGAGTGATATGAAGCAAATGCTGAGAAATCCCTGGGCAGTGGCGCGATGAGGGTGAAAGGGTGGGTGGGCTGTCCAGAGGAACAACCTTTGGCGGATTTTTTTTTGGACATTCCTTTTATCTTTTTTATATCGTTATAATCGGCGAATTTAGAACAACAAATTGACTTTGCTTTTATACTATTTGAGGCTGCAGTAGTTATAAAGAAGCGGTATTTGTATGGTGTGAGCATCGAGGTGACTTGGATTGGCATCGGGGGGTGGTGATGAAGCATCCTCATGAAGTATATAGAGAACTGAGAGGTCGGAAGTTCGATTCATGGAGTTGGACATTTCCTCGATTTCAATTTCAGGGATATTCTCTTCGTGAGCAGTTGTACAGCTGATTTGGAGCGGTATACCAAAAGTCTCAGAACAATCCCAAATGATATAAGAGAGGAGGATATCTCGATCTATATGCTGTACCCAAGAAACCATCACCAAAACACAAATTCCCAAATCATAATTACAAGCAGGCCCTTAATATTAACAATTCTCACTCAAATCTCCCATCAAGATCCATGCACCAACCGAATCTCCGTTCTCCCAGGCTCCCACTCCCTCAACCCTTCAGCCACACTATACCAAAACCTCAACTTAACACATTCCACTCTCGCCCCCTCAATATCCCCCCGATCAAACGCCCCCGCCAAAGTTCCCACACACCCAGCAATCCGCATCCCATTCTCCTCTTTTAAAGCTTCAATCTCCGCCTCCGCCTCCGGCGAAGCGCCCACCTCCTCAATCGTCTCCTGCACCTCCATAACCTCCATCAGCGTCGCCGGATCCAGCGCGTGCTTGGTCGAGGCATCTTCCGCCGTGACGTCGATCCCGTGCCATTCGCGGAGGAGATATTGCGCACGCTGGAGCGGGTCGGAGAGTGTGCGGTATGCGTCGTTGATTCGGGCTGATAGAGCCTCGGCGTGTTGTTTTGCAGTGCCGGAGGGGTATTTGTCTGGGTGGATTGTGCCCTGGAGCTGGAGGAACTCGCGGCGTAGGTCGCTAATGGAGATTTCGAAGGGGGACCCTGGGGGTGGACCGGCGGGGAGGGTCTTTGGGAAGATCGTGTAGTGGTTTGTGATATCTGGGGCTCCGGTGATGGGAGGTTCATTTGTTTCGGTGGGTGTTTGTGTTGTCGATGTTGCTGTCGAGGCTGCTCGCCGGGTTGGTGTGTTTGAGAGCGTGTAGATGGATTTCGTTCCTGGGCCGAAAGTTTGGCTTCGGCTAGTCTGGGTGTGATATTGGCAGAGGGTGCACGCATCGCGTTGGGATGGGTTGATCAGGCCATATCGGGTAGACTTTGCGATTGTCCTTGATGTCGACGAGCGGTATAAGTGCCGCGCCAGCCGTGGGGCGTGGAGTGCCATTCTGGAATTGTTGACAAAAGAAACCTTGAAGCCGAGCATCGGAGTCGGAGATATCCCGCCTCGGAAAACTACACCTTACGTCATCCCCGCACGCTCACGTGATGACGTACTGTCTAGTATGAAGTATGTTTGGGTGTGAAGCTACTAATAGTGGCAGGTATGAATGAAATTGAGAAGAACAAAGTAGCCAGACAGTGAATTGTCATCTATTGCTTTCCGTCTAGTCAGATTCGAGACTTCGAGGCAGGAAAATCGCACGTGAGCCTTGCAGGAGGCCTTGAGGTCTTACATCAGGTATACACGCCTGGAGCATTTGAGACAGATACAATACTCTTTTCAGTCTGTCATGGAAAACTGAGGTTACTCCACGGGAATCTGTTATTATTTATCAGTACCAGAAATTTTCTAGATACTGGGACAAGCCACGGGTTGTTAGTTATGAGACTTCTAGTCAACACACAACAAATATCACCATGAGGATAGATAGACCAATATAGAAACAGTCCAAGTCTATCCCTCAATACCCCAGAGCTTCACAGTACGATCATGACCACAGCTTGCAATCCACTGTGCATCACCACTGACATCTGTACTGAGGACATTGCCCGAGTGCCCACTCAGCGTCTTCACCAACGACCAGTCATCGGCACTGAAGATATTGACATTCTTGTCAAAACCACTCGACACGAAGAAAGTACCAGACTTCTTAGGCTGAGCCCCGGCCTCATTCGTCGGCGCCGGAGCCCCATCAACCTCCATCTGGCCATTTGAGGCATCAGTAGAGGGCAAGAAGGAGGCTGACTCGAGACCCTTGTACCAGCGGAGATCTGACACCACACTCTTATGCGCACCAATACCGCCAATGTTCCGCACTTGTCGCAGATCCCAGCATTTGACCCATCCATCGCCAGACCCGGACAGCACACGGTATCCGTCCACACCCCAGTCCATGCCGAAAATTTCTCGAACGTGGCCCTCCAGAATCATTACCGTGCGGCCTGTCCGTAGATCCCAGATGCGTCCAATACTGTCCATACCTCCACTAGCTAGGAGAGACCCGTCATTGTTAAAGGCTACCGTGTAGACTTCGCGGGAATGACCTTCTTGCAGGAGCAGTTCGGTGGTGGTCTCCACATCCCACAAACGCCACGTTGTATCGAAAGAGGCAGATGCCGCATAACGTCCTGATGGGTGGAATTCAGTGCGACATACCCGCCCTGAATGTCCGGACAACGTGGCTAGAGGTTTATCTGAATCGAGGGACCATAGGTTGACATTTCCTTCGCCGCCTCCGGAGACAAGGTTCACGGTCGATGGTGAAACGTTGGATTCTGGGAGAGTAGCCCCCGGGAACCATGCCAGGCCACCAACACGATCGTTATGTCCCTTCAAGTTCGCCTTTTCCTCCAAGTTCGGCACCGTCAGCAGCTTAATATTGCCACCCCAATTGCCCGCCGCAATAGTCTTTCCATCTGGTGAAAATCGGCAGATGCTGACCGGTCGATCACCCGCAATCTGCGATCCGTATAGATCGAATCCTCCAAGTTTCTCTTTGACCGCTTTCCGGTGCTTGACGTGTGTCCGCAGTGGGATCGTCGACTCCTCCTTCAGTCGTGCTACCCGCGCCTTCGCGCGTGGTAGTGAATAGCGAGCAATCGCTTTCCGGGCTTCTAGAAGCGCGTCTGAGCCTTCTGTGTAGAATTCCTCCTGCTGTTCGACCTCCTCTTCCTCCTCGGCCTCTTCCATCTCAATGTCCCCCTCGCCCTGTCGGTCTGCTAGATCGGTCAGCAGCTCGCGCAGACGATCTCGTCGATCTACTGGGCCTTCGCCAAACAGTGTGATGGGTTCGCCGAGCTCTCGTAGCCGTAGGCGCACACGGGTATCGTCTGTCGGCACGACCATGGCGGCGGCGCGTCGTTTACGCTCGAATTGAGCTGTGATGGCGGATGCCCGTTCGGACGGGATGCCCGCTGCAGATGCAGGGATCTCATAATCTGTGTCGACAGCTGTTATTGTGTGGTTAGTAGAGTTGGAGAGGGCGGGTTGGAGGGGATAGCTTACGGATGTTGGCGAGATCAATGCCCGTGTCCATCTCCTAGAGAGTGTCGCGTATTAGTTTCTTGTCCAATAATAGCTTGTGAGGATGCGCTTTCAAGGAGCCAGCCATTCTGTGAGACCTCTGCCCCAAGAAATGACTTGCGATTCCGTGGAAGGCTTGACCAGTGGGAACCGTCGCGTGGTTGAGGATCTCTTACCTCGGCCGCCTCCTCGACATATGCCTGCCGCGAGGGGTGCATCATCTTGAATGCAAAGAAGCTTGTGCCTCCAGAAAAGTAATTGATCCAGAAGGAAAGTGAAAGACTGCGTTGAAAGAGGAGCTGGAAGCTGGGTCAAAGGGTCGAGCAGGTCGGAGGTGGAGAGGTTGCGGGCGGCAGAACTGATAAAGCAGAGGCGGACGAGGTAGAAATTTACAGAGTCCAAACAGCACCAGAAGTATACACCGAAATAGATTGCATTTGAGTCAACATATTTGCCAGAATTATAGTAATAATATAGACTAAGAACATCTTGATTATAACCATGGTCCTTTTTACTTCGGATAATATCTCCTGAGATCTTTATGAATCCCAACAGTTTTAATGAAGACAAAAAAGAAAAGACAATGACGCCAGGCGGTCAATCGCGATAAGCTCGCGGGTTCAGTTCTTATCCGTTCGGCCAGCTGCGCTCCTGAGTTTTCAATTCCTTTGTGGCCTTCTGTCCTCTTCACCCTTTCTTTCTTTTGCTGACACGCCCAACTCGGCTCGCTCCTTTTTCTTCCTTCTCCTTCGAGTCTCTCCGATGCTCTTTTGAGCTTCTAATCGTGGGAGGGTCGTGATCTTCCGCCCTGCGATGATCCCGCCAAGTGTGCCGTGTAGAGCCTGGAGTTCCACCTGCAGCCTACAAATACAAACCCTTGTTCGCGACAGAACTTCTCCCTCCAGTGCCCGCTCCATTTTTTTCTCATTCGCGCAGACCCGCTCGTCCTTTGCGACCGTCTCTCGCAAATATGCCCTGAACACCACCCTCCGCCGGTCCTTCCATTCCACTCCCGGCCGGCTATCCGATCCCTCGCCCTCTACGCCTCGGATCTCGTATCGGGTTGCCGTCTCCTCGTCGGGTAAAGGCCGACGCTTCCACCCGCTCAAAAATGCATATAACTTTGATCCTACCATCTCGGATGTACTCGGTGTCTCCAAAGACAAGGACCCGGCTGTCCGCCGGCGCAATCGCCCTGACAGCGGCGAGGATGCGTTCTTCGTAAGCCGGATCGGCTCCCAGGTTTCAGGCCACACAGATGAAGGCGATGCTGTCGCTTTTGCCGTGGCTGATGGTGTTGGTGGCTGGACAGAGTCCCGCGTCGACCCGGCGGACTTTTCGCACGGTCTCTGTGGTTATATGGCCCAGTCAGCTCTGGCTTGGGACTCGCCAGCAGAAAAGTTGCGGCCAAAGCAGCTGTTGCAGGCGGGGTATGATCAGGTTGTGGATGACCCGGCTATCAAGGCTGGTGGCAGCACTGCATCTGTCGGCGTTGCGCTTCCAGATGGCCGTGTTGAGCTGGCGAACCTGGGTGATTCGGGTTCTGTACTACTCCGTCTTGCTGCCGTCCACCATTACTCTGTCCCGCAAACCCACGGCTTCAATACGCCTTATCAGTTGAGCGTGATACCTCCGCGTATGCGCGCGCAAGCGTCTGTCTTTGGAGGAGCCTATTTGGAAGACTTCCCCAAGGACGCCGCAGTCACAAACGTCCAGATGCAACACGGCGATGTGCTCATGCTCGCTACGGACGGTGTCTTTGATAACCTGAACAATCAGGATATCCTCAAGGTCGTCACGAGTCGAATGGTCTTGACTGGCGCATGGACAGTCACCGAAGACTACGGCGTGGCCATCTCGGATACTCTTGCGCGGTTGACGGTTCCAGGCGGACTGGCCACTGCATTCCCACCACCAAAGAACCCTTCCGCCTCCCAACCAAACGAGAAGGAGAACGCAACTCTCGAGTCCACATTGACCCTCCAATCCCTTCTCGCTGCCTCCATCGCTGGCGAGGCCAAGGTCGCCAGTGTTGACTTCCGCCGCGATGGTCCCTTTGCCAAGGAGGCGCAGCGTTCCTATCCGGGAGACTACTACCGCGGTGGCAAGGTGGACGATATATGCGCCCTGGTCATTGTGGCCGTAGACGAAAGTTTTGCCAGTGGGACAAGCACTGAGTAGACCCGGGGCCCTTGTATAAACTACTACGACATGGGTCTGTATTCTTTGGGCACGTTAGGGTCGTGGGTTGCATCTTTTCATTCTGCATCTAGGGGGCGCAGGGACTTGTTATTTGGGTAGGGGGGTTGTTCGTCTTAACGGTTTATACATACCATCGGATTTCTTATTTTCTCTTGTATTCAGAGACCTCCTTCAGCATGGAGACTGTCAGCTTCATAATAGAGACATGGTAGAATTAATGTCAATATCATGGCTTTCTCATATCCATCATCAAAATGACAGTGGCAATAACCCTACTACGCCTATTTCACGACCACAATGCATGGTTAATTTCTAAGCATTACCTACCAGCAATAGTTTCAGATATCCACTCATAGGCAGACAAGTTACTTATAAGGCAAAAACCGTGGCTGGCTGGGAGTATAGCAATCGCCATCTCGCTTTTTACCCATTTACAACTGTCAACGAACCTGCTACAACTTATAGAGCTAATCTTCTTGGCCTAGATTTTCAGTCCACCCTTCATTCACCCAATTCGTTGATCTGTATTTTTATCTAGGACGAGTATTAGTCGCTTTGCCGACCATGTTCCTCCGCTGACTGGAGTTTCTCCAGATGAGGCTTCACCTGACTTACACGGAGAAGGCTAACGATGGGGAAAACTGCACTTTCCATTTCGATCGTCTGAACGTCCGCATGCCCACCCTATTGATTTCTCCCTGGGTGCAGCAGGGTCTGATCAGACAAGCCATTTTCTGCTCAGAATTGAGCGTACCCGCACTTCTATCAAATTGGTCTCTGAGCTTTGAGGCTTGGAAAGCTTGACTTGTGTGGCGTGGTCACCTTCGTTCAGCAACTTGATCAAGCGATGATACTTCGCCTACAAGGATGCTGAATTTTGTCAGCCTTGAACTTTCTCGATATTCAAGGCCCTCTCCGCAGAGGAGACACCCTACGCTGTTGACTGTAGTTTTGCTCATTAACTGGAATAAAAACAGCAATACTCTCAATCGTATTCAGTCCTACTTAGACCTCACGCTTACAAGATTAAGATGGAACTACACACCCCTAACTACAAGCCATTTACAGTCATCCAAGTAGCAAACGATAGAAAGGAAGCAAAAGGAATAAAAGACACCATTTTTCATTGCCTTGAAAATACACAAACAATTTACCAGGCCAAACCACAAAGAGCCCAGCCCAGCGTGAACCCCAGATCCAAAATTTGCAGAGACTACATGATAATGGCAACGCAGGGGTGGATTATCAGAGAGCAAGAGAGAGGGGGGAGGAGGAAGGAGGAATAGCATGACAAGAACAAAGACTCCGTCCCAAGTCGGATCAGAGGAGGTTAGAGAGGAAAGACATCAGAAATTCAGCATCAGAGTAGAGCAGAGCACCCAGACCGATCCCATCATGAGGAGGGTAACAAGGAAAGACACGAGATTTGAGAAAGGAAAACGCGTAGAGTAGAGGACTCCAGAGCATGTACTTGTACTCCATTCCCTGCTTTGTGCGCTTATGCGGCAGCCTCAACGGTCTTCTCCTCGGCTGGTTTATCCTGGGTGGATTTCTTTGGTTCGTTCTCGTCGGCCTTATCGGCATCGGGCATGGGGGTATCTTCGTTGGCGGTCTTGCTCTCCAGCTCCTTTTCCTCCTCGGTCTCCACCTTGGGAGTATCGGCAGCATCATCGTCCTTGTGGGCGCCATTTGCGGTGGGCTTTGTCTCCTTGTCGGATGGCGCAGGGGCGTCGGTCTCCAGCACGCTCTTCCAGCTTGTCAGGATGCCCATGGCGCGGTGGCGGAAGTGGAACTCCTCATCGCGGGGAATGGTGTCCAGCTTGACGATCATCTTCAGAACCTTGTTGATCTTGGTCGAGCGGATGATAGAAACCTCCAGGTCGGCGTGCTTCTCCAGCTTGTCGAAATAGCCCGCCATGGCGGCCATCTCATCCTCCTTGGGAGGCATCTCGCGGGAAATGAACCCCTTCTGCAGCTTGTGACGCAGGAAAAGGACTGTAGTCGATTGTTAGCCAGCCTTTTCATCAAATTGTTGATCTCTTCCTTGGGATGTTCATCGTGACACATACTCTCCTTCTCCTTTTTTTCTTCAACTCCGCAGGGTCAGCCTGCTTCTCTGGCTCTTTGGCCTCGGGAGTGCTGTCTTCATCAGCGGCCTTGGCCTTCTTAGAGCTAGGCTTCTTTGCCTTGCTAGCGGGAGTCTTCTTCTCCTCCGCAGGCGCCTTGGGGGTAGTCAACTTCAGCTTAGTGCTGGTCTTGGGGGTTTTCGCAGGCTATGAATAGAGTCAATTTCCCAAGTTCTCGTCGCAAATGTAATATCATTCGTTCTCCCCTCAGAGGATACTCACCTTCTCAGCGTCGCCATCGGTCTCGTTCTTGCGCTTCTTGGAGGTCTTGGCCTTCTTGGAGTCCTCTGCGTCCTCCATTTCGACATCGGTATCTGGGCCCTTGCTCTTACGCTTGCTCTTGCTGGTAGCCTTCTTAGCCTCCTTAGCGGCCTCCTTTGCGGCCTCCTTCTCAGCCTTGGCAGCTGCCTTTGCAGCCTCGGCGGCTTCTTCCTCCTCAATCTCTTGCTGAATTGCGGCCTCGTGATCCGTCAGCATTTGCTTAAAGTAAGCAAGGTCATGACCCTCCGAGGCAACCTTGTAGGCCTCGATCAGGCCCTTGGCCTTATTCTTCTCGGAGACATCCTTGCACTCGGCAGGGGTGACCGGGGTGAGTTGGGTGTTGGGGATCCAGGCGCTGCATAAACCAGAGGTTAGCTATCTACTGAGATACCGTGCATAACCCTTCTAGGAGTCCCGGTGGCCGTAATCACTTACAACTCGTTGCTCTGGAAGAACATCACGGGGTAGGTCCGCTCGTGGGCCCGCTTTCCTTCATCTGCATAGTCGGCGCGGTAGGTTCCATCAGGTTGCGCAGCTGTGACAGGGCGGGTGTCCAGCAGAGACTGCGGCAGCATTTCCTCATCACAGATGATGGATGGCCAGGGCGCATAGCTGCGCAGACGCGCAAGGTAGTACTCGCCGGGCTGCACTTTCAGATGAGTGATCTTGGTCATGGACTTGCGCTTGTTGAGCTTAGACTTCTCGGCGGTAGCGCCGGACCGGCGGCGGTCCTTGGAGGACTTCTTCGAAGAGGCTGGGGTTCCATTCGCCTCTGGGGTAGCTGTCTCAGCATCACCAGCAGCGGCCGCGGCCTCATCCTTGGCCTCCGTCGCATTGCCAGCGTCAGCAGCCTGGACAGCGCCAGCTTCGGCTTCCTTCTTCTCGTCGTTTGCGCTCGTGGTGTCTGGACGGACCAAGGCAAGTGAGGTTAGCGAGCTGTGGTCGCACAGAGAGCAGGATCCTCCCAGTCTGGGGATCAGCTCCACTCGTGAAGCTTGACTTCCAATCGGAGGTGATGCGCGGATGGGAGTTGGAACTTACCGGTCTTGTTGTCCTGGGTGGTGGTCACGTTCTCGGACTGCTGGTCGGCAAGCTTGTCGCCGGCCGCGGCCGCAGCGCGCTCGGGCTGTTCAACAGCCTCAGCGGGGGCAGCGACAGGAGTATCGTCGGCCATGGTTGCAGTGCCCAGTATGTCGCAGTGGAAGGTTCAGGAATTGGGTGAAAGGGTGATGTTGGGGGGTGCGAATGGGTGGCAGGGGAAGGTGGGTGAGAAAGATGTGGAGAAGGTTAGAGTCGCGCAGGTCGGAGCGCGGGAAGGACGCGTTAGGTCGAGAACGGGAACCGGCCAATGACGCCACAACTCCCAGATAGCTTCACCACAGCTGCAATGAAGCTCCGATGGGTCTTCACTGCTTCGGAGGATGTTTGTAGGGATGAAGAGAGCCTTTGCAGGCCCCAGATTCCCGTATCAGTGTGCAGTTTTGAACGTAGGGCGGGCTGAATAGAAGTTGTGAGGCTCCACCACGATGTCACCGTAGCTGGATAGCTCGTTGTCTGAATCGCAACCTGCCAAGACCCCTCGCGAGGGGTTGAGTACTCGATTGACACTAATCTTATGTGTCTCTGAGTTCTGGTGACTGTTGAAATTGGCGTCTGCAGGAAGGGGCAATCGATGCCTAGCCCAAGCCGCGCTGGTGACTCGAGGGAGGTTGGAGGTTGGAGTCAAGCTGAAGCAAGAATAGCTGGTAGAGATATCTTATATTGTGTATCTCAGACATAGAGACCCGTATATATCAATCTATCGATGCTGGGTTAGATTCAGGCTCTTTACATGGGAATAGGGACTCACCGGTTGATGCCGCCAGCTATCTGCTCGACGGCACTAATGTTCTAGATGAAGACAGGATTCTCAAGATGTAGTGCATCAAGAACTATCCGATAGTAATGAGGATTATAAAGGTCCAGAGACATCATCACCCTCACTAAACCAAAGGAAAAGGAAGTTGGCGGTTGTGGTCTCATTGCACCAGCTCTCCGCCTCGTAAGCATCTGGAACCCCACAGCTTCACACTAGAAATCATTCATCTACAGTATACACCCCCTCTCCTCCCTCATCATCTACTTTAATGGCTGCATCATACTAAATACCAGAAATCTGTATTGTGGATCCTTTCAGAAGGCTAGAACAAAGTCTTGAATGTATTAAGGATACGACGAGCCTACGGTATTCACGGGTATCAACCAGCCCACGACGAGATAAAATATACACCAGAGTCCAGGCAGTACCAAGCTCAATCCAGTATATCAGGTGGGTCTGCTAACAATGATACGTGTGCCATATTCACAAGGTATCGGCATGTCTCGGCAAGCACTCGTCTGGTCGTTTGGGGTATCAAGAAGTCCCATTCCACCGTCAATCACGGTGTCAAATTGGTCTTCAGCAACTATTGACCACATATTTCCTTCAGATCATGGTGGCAGCACAGCTTGTTGTGTCTCTGAATCCTCCGAATTACACTCATCAGACAACCGGTCAATAACGCTGATGGCGGAAGGCTCTGGTTTATGAATTCGAACCAGCCAGAGAAAGTAATCCTCCACTGGCAACAGATTCAACAGCACCCCGTTGGACCACCAGCCGAAAGCACAAACCAGAGCTCCAGCAATTGCATCCACAATGAAATGATTGGCTGTGGCCACAATAGCCACCAATATGATGAACGGATAGAGGAAACCGAGGACTAGACAGACCATCCTGCGCCACGACGGGATGCGTAGTCCGATACTCCAACCTAACCGAGTACGGAGGACTCGTCGATGGTGTGAAGGAAGAGGAATGGTCATGATGGTGAGTCCAATCATGAGAGAGTAGCCGAAATGCAAGGATGGCATTGCCGCTGAAGAAAGAAAACAAAGTTAGACCGGGCACTCGACTTCGTAACGACGTGAAACTAATTATCCTTACCATATTGATTGCAGAACCGGTTATCCGTCCACACGCTCCCTGCACCATCGGCCCCATGAACGGTGTCGATGAAGCCATAGCTGCGACCAAGCTCTCCCTCTGGGCCTTCGACCTTCGGATCGCTAAGTAATCGTGGCGGCATGCAGGGCCATAAGGTAAACACCACAAATGCGAGCAGATTGCAAACAGCCAATGTGCGTCGTCTTGCCTGATACAGCAACGGCCCTGCCGGTGATCCACTCACAGCCCCTCGAGACTTTCCTGGTTGAGACTCATTGATTCGATTGCGAGTGATGGTATAATAATATAGCCAGACGAGAAACGCGATAGTACCCGGGATATGGATGAAGGAGTATATCCAATTGATCCACGTCATGACCAAAGGATGACGAAGGAAGAAGTGCTGAATGCGTAACTCCCAGAAGATACCCAACCTCTCCTCCATCTCTATCAATCTCAGAGCATGACTTCTGGCAACGTTGACGGTGTCTTCCTGAAGGGTGACGGCAGTGAATGCACGACCGAGCTGGTATGTCTGCATAGAAGAAGATGACAGTCAGAAATGGACACAGATATTGAGGTCCTCTTCTCATAGGCATGGTCCGCCTACCCAATATACCAGAGCCCAGTACCAGCATTCCACCAGGAAAGGCAATTTTCGAAGCAGACGACTCAGCAGTCGGTCTTTGAACACCTCCGTGTTTGGAGAGGATACCGTCCAGGATAAACTTAATAGGCTGAGTTGTCGTTTATGCCATCGACCGTCGGATAACTGCGGCATCGGAGAGCAGGAGCGGGCGCTTAGAAGGCCATCGTTGGATTTTGGGCTCGAATATCCTGACTCAAGTGAGTCTGTCGAGTCGGCTCGCATGTATTCAGAAGACCGTCGACGAACATATGTGCGGGAATCCCCGGTATTGGTCACCCTGTTGATCCATGTGCCTCCGAAGAGAAGAACAATGACCGCTAAGGGCTCAAGAACAGCCCCAGCACCCATGACGGCTCCCAGTTAGCCAGAGTCAGATCACGCAACGTCGAAGGGAAGCCGCCGCTGGGTAGAAGAGAGGAAGAGACAAGGACGAAGTCAAATATGATACGAATGGGACATGTGCATCACCGTAAGAATAGCGCTGGCAAAGGGTCAAAGGCCAAGGATCGCGCTGGGCCAGATTGAAAGCCCAACGCCACGAGATTTGATGGAACCCGACGAGGGAACCAGGCACGAGGGCAGTCGCCAGTCGCCGGGGCCTGAGGTCCGCCCATTATTTCCCATCTTTTGGCCGCGGTTGGTCCCGGTGGGTGGTCTCGGTGCATGTGCACTGCGAGGGAAAGAGCAAGCACGACACTTGGCAGAGAGAGAACCAGGCCAGCGGATGTTCGGAGAGACCGGATGCCGAGTCCAGCTGAATATGGCGCTTGATGAGTCCGAATTAGAAGAATGATCAAATCAAATGCGTGGGACAGAGTTAGGGCAATGCGCCAAGACTGATGGGGCTCGAGTGAGATTGGCAGAGGAGATTGTGTTATGAACGAGAGCCAGGTGTCGCGTGCCTCTGGCGTAATCGTTCTCGTACAGCAGCCTGCTTTAGTATGTGCAGAGTATAAGCACTACAGTATGCGCATTATACATAACGCCGTACATACGTACTACTCATACTTCGTATCCAGCGGGTGGCTCCGCCAGATCCCAGTCTTACGAAATTTGATAGGGCGCTGGGCGATCTGCTTGAGGCCAAGAGGCCAACTTGTCACATAATGGTCCGGAACAATGTACATAAGATCAGGCATGCATATCTCTGACGGTATTACACAAAATAAATGAGATCAGCCCTGCGCTATGGCCCCTACTTCTTTGAGGTGATCAACTAGAGGCAGTACAGTAGTATGTATGGAGACGAGGCTGGGGGAGTCAAGGGGCTAGTAGGCGATGGCTAAGGCTTGATACCTTTCGGTTTACTTCCGAGAATAATGATGTGATTTGGTATCTATTTGGTGTCTTTTTTTCAGCGTTTTGCACTATCCCCTGTTTATGCGGTTGATACGAGCGGTACTCGTAGTACTTGGAACAAGCTAATCAAGAGCTACCAAACGCCTCGTTACTCAGCGGAACAGCCAAATTCCGAGAACGCGGAGTCGGGCATTCCAAGGCCCCGTACCCGTGTTCTCTTGGCCTCTCTCAATCCGAGCGGATCCGAGAATGTGCCTCGGAGTGATTAGCACAAGTGGGGTTAGCTGTAAGACAGGAAATCACGCTAGCCAACATATCAAGCAGACACGCAGTTCACAAAGTACGTCTTCTGATCGAGTGGGACTCTGGCAGATTCGGGGATTATTAACTTTCTTTGTATACATACTTCGTATACTTTGCGGTGGGGCTCGGAACGCCGCCGAAAGCTTCATCGGACTAAACAGTAGATCCTGGACATCCTAAATGAATGTACTACTTTATTATCTGATCTGTTTTACAGGAATAGTAACATTAGTGCGATTCAAGATGCAGAGAGGCTCAACCCATATTCTGAGTCCGTTACTGGCCCTTCCTGATGTCATCCTCAGCAAACAGTACTCAAATCCGCGGAGTGAAGTATACTTGACGTCAACCCTCGCACCAACTTGTAGCCAGAGAAAACAATGCATAAAGACAGGATATGAACAGAACATTCGTTTATCTCTTTAACGCACTCAGAGTCGACTTACTCTAATGGCTCTTCGTCGATAATTCCAAATTTTTCGATGAATGTATGTCACTCACTTCTGCACTCGACTGCTCAATTTGATCAATTTCAGCCTTAAAGCCGAAAACAACAAAATGAACAGTATCGCCCCTTTTATTGCATCTGTGTCGAAACAGCTCATTCACCTTGCCGCGCCTCAAATCACCAAGTCCGTGGGATCCATGCAAACCAGAGCTTTATCAGGGAGCTCGTTATGCCAAAGCGCAACACTTTTACAAGATCACGATGGATTTGGTTTTGCGAGATCGAACCCTGGCCCACGGAAGCCGAGAAGCATTGGTGTGACCGAGATTCGAGGTCCATATTACTCCGTACGAACAACTATCTTGGAGGCTTGAACTACAACTTATACTGGTTTAGGTAATGGGGAAGCGGTACTTGGCAGATGTCCTGGAGACGTAAGACACAATCTCCCGCGGAAAATTATGGTCAGCGTCTCACCAGTTGCTACAGAATGGGCGATCATGTCGATGGATTAAAATTTGCTGGAGGTGCGTCGGATGAGTTCTTGATCACCACATTGAAAGCACAGGGTTGATGACCTATCTAGGCTCATTTTCGCTGTTCCGGGAGAAACCTCTACGCGAACTCATTGATTTGGCTCACGACCATGGTGTTTATGTTTCTACTGTATGTCTCGAAAGGCTATAAGCGCAACTTCATTTAACGATTCTGTCTTTCCTAGGGGGGATGGGCTGAGCATCTTCTCACCCATCCCGATCCGAATGCTGTCTTTGACCGGTATCTAAGCAAATGCAAAGACTTGGGGTGCGGTATCATCTACCTCCTTTCATTTCTTATCACTAATCATCGCCCCTACAGCTTCGACGTCATCGAGTTGTCTTCTGGCTTCCTCTCCTTCCCCGAAGACGACTGGCTTCGACTAGTCAACAAAGTCCAATCATACAAGCTCGAACCCAAGCCCGAGTTGGGCATCCAGTTCGGCGCTGGTGGTGATACTCCTGCATCAGGAATCGAAGCTATCGGTACTTCAGACCCCGGTAAATTGGTGAATTTGGGTCGCAAGTTTCTCGATGCTGGGGTCAAGCGTCTCATGATCGAGTCAGAGGGCATTACCGAGAATGTCAATTCGTGGCGAACAGATGTAGTCTCGAGAACCATGAAGGAGCTCCCTCTGGAGCGTGTAATGTTTGAGGCGGCGGATCCCAAGGTGTTCAATTGGTATATCCGTGAGTTTGGGATCGATGTCAATTTGTTTGTGGATCATAGCCAGATTGTGCAGTTGACGTGCCTGCGATCTGGCATTTGGGGTACTGCGGATACTTGGGGGAAGATCGTGACCTTTAGACCAGATTAATTTTAACTCTCTGGCGTGTGCATATGGACAATAAATTGGCATTATCCTCATGAATCACTAGCTCCACTGAAAGAGGTCATTCATACTTCGTCTTGGCATCAGCGGAGAGCGCTTAGTAAGCCCGCCCAAGTCCGGGGAAAGCAACAACAGCCCGCACTTCCTCCGTTCCGCCACGGATTTGAGCGCCACAAGCAATCCAACTACAACCTGCCCAGCGCTCTGGCCTCTTTCGATCTCGCTCTTTCTGTTGAACTCATCTCTTTTATCATTTGCCACGATTTGATGACCATTACCACCCGATACTGCAGTTCGACCCATTAAACCCGGCTCAAGCCGCGCAGTGTGCCTTCGGGATGCCTCGTGCCAGTACGGCCGCAGGGGCGCGGCTCCGATGTCGCCGAGCCTGTGACAGCTGCAAGCGACGCAAGCAGAAATGCAACGGCGAGCAGCCCTGTACGATATGTATCCAGCGACACAAAGAGCCCGAATGTCATTTCTCCGATCGCCCCGCACGCCTGCTCAAGCCGGAATCTAAGGACGCCACAATGCTACTCAGCGAACGCATAGTGCCTTCGCCACAGCGCGAGACGGCCATGGACCGCTTGTTGAATTCACTGGAGGACCGCGGCATGCAACTGGAACAACAGGTCAGGGACGAGAAGGAGGGTACGGCTCCTGTCCCGAAGGTAGCTCGGCTTCTCCGTGACGGGCAAGGGAAGTTTATGTATATCGGAGATTCGGCGAGCTTGTCTTTTTTACAAAGCGTGCGCCGAGTTGTGTCCTCGTCTATTGGCCGATGCGAGTTCACCGAGGACAACTCGCGCCATTCCATGCTAGAGGCCTTCCAAAGTAACCCAAGCACCCAACCCGGACCCCTCATACCACCGCCCAGTAACGAAGAGGCTCAGCGACTTGCGCGGCAATTTGTACTTGCGACAAGTCCATTGCTAGACCTATTCGACCTTGAAGAATTCCATCCGCGACTAGCCAATTGGGTTGGAAATCCATCTGGGGATGAAGATACCGTCAGCTCGATCTTCTATCTTGTTCTTGCGATTGGCGCCCAAGTCTCCGATATCAACCAGACGTTAGCCGAACAGTATTTCAGCAGCGGTCGCCAATTGGCCTTTTCGGCGTTTCAAGAAACACCCAGCATTCATACAATCCAATCGTACATCCTGGTCTCGATGTACATGCTTGGCGCATGCAGGCGCAATGGGGCATTTATGAACCTCGGCATTGCTTTGCGAGCTGCGTATGCGGTCGGTATACATCGCAAAGACGCCAATGCGCTTTTCTGTGGCCGTGAACGAAGGGCTAGAGAACGTGTTTGGAAGAGCCTCCGAATGATGGATTTGTTCCTCAGTGCATCCTTGGGCCGGCCCCCAGCAACGTCGGACTATGATTATGACATACGCGACGACACGCTCGTTTCTGGAGATCAGCAGCAGAATATGACATCGGATCAACAGTTGTCGATGGCTGTTACATCCCTATGCCGTATTTTTGAACGGATCTTGACAGACGTCTATATGAAACAAGTCATTTCCATCAACGTGGCCGAAGCCATCTCGAACCAACATCGTGCCTGGGTTCGCACTCTCCCCACAGTTCTCAGAATGCAAACAGAACGGCTAGACAATAAGACCATGGAGGATAGCCTCGCTGCCGCTCATGTCTTTGGATCATACTACTGGTCGATTATCCTCCTAACGCGACCTTTCCTCGTCTACCGCGTGGCTCAGTACGTCAAGAGCAAAGCAGATCTATCCTCCTCATCCGATTCTCGCAACAGCAGCTCCCGCATCTCCCTCTTTGCAGACGCATGCGTCTACTCTGCTCTTCGCGGCCTAGACGTTGTCGACGATCTCGCCCAGTTTGGCTCTCTCCCGCGCCGCCTCCCCTTTCTAATAAACTCGGTATTCAACTCGGCAGTCGTTCTGGGTGCGGCCTTCTTCGCCGATTACGATAGCCTTCTTCCCTTAGAGGAAGGCCTCAACAAAGCAGAGCGCTTTCTGGGTCTATTCGTTCCTCACGATCCTCACGCGTGTCGCTTCCTTCAGATCGTCAAGTACCTCCGCGGTGCCGTGGCAGAGTATGTCCAAAGACGTAATCGCCAATGGATGGATCGCAGAAGCAGACAGGTCGATCAACTCTTTGGCCAAGTTGGCGGCGCTTCTGACTCTACATCCCCCCTCGCTGTTCGTGATCCTCCTCCACCCAGTCAGACCAACAACCACCGCGAATCCCAGCAATCCCCTGTGGTCCCTTCACCAAGCTCCTCCAATAAACTTGCCGGGAATACCCCATCCTCTATGTTCGCTGCGCAACCAGGGGCCACAGCTGGTCCCCAACCGCCTGGTACGGATATTTGGGACGCGCTCTCCTACGGGCCTGACGGGGCACCGCTGTCCTATGACGCTGCTATCTCAGCACTCACTACCTCGGGCATTCCAGTCGGCTGTTCCCCCGGAGGTACCATTCCATCAGGTCAGCCGCCAATGTCCGGGGGTCCCTCCCCGCTCTCTGATGTGATGTTCCCTGAGAACGGCCTGTTGTATATGGCAGAGGACCTACCTGTTTTCGGGATATGGGAAGACAACCAACTTCCCTAGGATGGGCACATCCAGAAAAGGGCAGCCTGTTTTAGTTGTTTGTTCTCGGTTTCTTACTTCTCTTGCTGGAATTGGTAGCGGGGTACCTCGGCGCTTGGTCTTTGTTCGGATAAAATGGGCGGGCGGTCTATGATGTGATGAATTCTTATGGATATCCATTTGCATATCTGTTTTCAAAATTTCGGCGCTTTGGGCTCATCAGGCAGATCAAACTTGTTCTTTCTATTATTTTATGCCCACGAAGCGGCACTCAATCTTACAGACATTTATACATGCTTCTAGTTTCTCTAACCCCGTAGAAACACAATACTCCCTCACTACAAATAGCCTTTCAGACTGTGAGCAACCTTTACATCTTGGATTATTTCTTTGCTCTCGAAAATACTCTTTGAATATCATCCTATGTACCACACATCGTCAACAAGCAAATTTACACTCATCAAGAAGGCGAAAGAAGCAAAAAAGGGACACTATGGAGAATGCGAGTAGCATATTACCGGTATGGAAGCGTCTGAGATATGAAACAGGAGAGATTGAGCAGGGGAGAAAATAACAGAGGATGGTCGTTCGAGCAACAAATGAAAAGGTGAAGGGAGAGGGGAAGTGAGAGAGACATGGGACATTCAAGGGAACTAAAGCATGACCATGACCACATAACCATTAACAAAGATATATGGCGAGGAAGGCAGGGAAAAATGAAATGCAGGGCATTCAAGATGTACCAAGGCTAAGGCAAGGAAGCATGTGAAATGGATCAAAGAAAAAGGAACATGGATGGGGCAAGAGAATCTCGAAGCGGGAGAAAGGAAATTGGATGATGGCACGCTAAGTCAGGGAATTTCGCAAAGAAACCATGCTCATCGCAACATGAGCTGCGTTAGAATAGACAGGAGACGAGACATCGACTGGAGTGGGTGAGGCCATGGATCGAGCTGGATGGTATGATGAAATATATGGTATGTACGCATGTCAATTCCACGAGTGCAAGAACGAGTATGAAAAGGACAAGCTGAGATATGTAAAATTCCAGCCCCAGTGGATACAAAATTCGCAGCACAAAACAAACGGGGAGGGGGTTGCCAATCGCCAGTATCAAAAAGGGAGACAACAACAAGATTATATATGCCAATCAAGACGGAGAGGATATTTGAAGACAAATCTCCATCTAGAAGCCGAAGGGGTTGTTGGGCGCTGAACGAATTGGAGGTTAGTTGACTTCATCCCTAATGGCTGATGTATGTATCGAGGATGAACTACTTACTAGCATGAGAAAGGTTTGCCCGCAATCCTGTCGGCTGAGCAGCAAGCTTCTTGGGTGCGTCTGGCTTGACGCCGAATCTAATTGGCGGAGCCGGTCCCGTCTTCTGGGGCGTCAGAGGGGTGGCTGTTGGCTGCTGAGGAATTGGTGGTACTGGGGGCGGGTTATTGATAGAGTATGTGTTAGTGCCGAAGCCGTTAGCACCAGTTGGCTGAGGCTGGAGTGCAGGAGGTAGCATGGCATTGATGCCAGTGGGCATCGGCTGCTGAGGCGGTGCAAATCCGCCAAAGCCAGTGGGCTGCGGAGCCATGCCCTGGAAGCCAGACTGGCCATTAGCATATGGCAGCTGGTTCTGTTGTTGCTGCTGGATGCCAAATTGCGACTGGGGTGTGAATCCCGTGGGCTGAGGCATCATAACTCCATTCTGATACTGATTCTGGCCCATGAAGCCAGTGATTTGCGGTTGCATCTGAATCTGCGGCTGCAAACGCTGCTGGTTCAGCTCGGTCAGACTCTGGCCAGGGACAGCAGGACCCGGCTGCGGGACTCCCGTCAGCTGGGGCTGCAAAGGAGGAGGACCAAAGGAGTTCTGCTGCTGCGTGAAGTTCTGTGGTGCTGACAACGGGCGCTGCGGCGGAGGTGGTGGGAGAAGGGAGTTCTGGGCCATGTTCTGTGGTGCCTGTGGGCGCTGTCTGGCCTGTGCCTGGAATCCTGTCTGTTGAGGGCTGAATGCCTGGGCCTGGGCCTGCTGCTGCTGATGCTGGCCAATTTGTGCGATTTGGTTGAAGAAGTTGGGTGTGGCACCTGTCTGCTGTGGTTGCTGCACTGGTGGGCTTTGCACAGCAGTCTGCTGCGGCTGAAGCGCGGGGATGGTCGAAACGGAGGGCGTGGGAGCGGGTTGAGTGGGAGTGGGCTGCAACGGGGCTTGAAGAAGGGACAAGTCGGCCATTGCACCAGTGACCTGCTTTTGAATCGGAGGTTGAGCAGCTGGGAGCGAGGCTGCGGCAGGAGGAGGAGCTGCAGCTGCAGCTGCAGACTCCTTGGGCTTCTTCACCTCCCAAGCATCGTCATCAAATCCACGAGCCACAGGCTTCTCAGGGGCCGCGGGGGCCGGAGGGGTTTCAGCTCTCTCCTCGGCCTTAGGCTTGGATTCATCTGCTTGCTCAAATGCCTTGGGATCGACCACATCGCCCGCCTGCACGGCCGGCGTGGGTCTCCCCTTGCGAGTGTTGTTACGCAGCATGCCACCAGGTCCAGCAAACAGCCCACCTTCCTCGCCATTGCCAATAACCTCCTCACCCCCAAAGCTCACGTTGCGAAGTTTAGACTTGGCACCAGTGCGACCCAGCGTGGTGTCCAAGTGGCGCATGACTCGCAGAATATCGCCCTCCTTCAACCCTAGAGTGCGCAATGTCTCGGGGGTGATATCAGGCAACACAGACTCATCCATAGAGTCCTTGAGAAAGTTCTGCGCATAGCGCTCGCATTGGTGTGGGCCAACGCCAGCTTTCAGGAAAAAGTCGAACCAATCGTAGTCGGGACGCTGTACTGAAGCACCTGTAGAGCCTCGCTTGGCGTCAGAGGCTCCACGAGCTCGAATGCTTGATAGTGGCTTGTCTTCGTCAAGCGAGACACCGGCAACCTTTTCCACGTACTCGAGATCCTCGACGGACATCTTTGCGACAGGAACTGCAATCTTAATACCGTTGACCTTGTGAAGTTGAATCTTGCCATCGAGTAGGCCGATGTACTGTGCCTCCACAGTGAAAGCCTTGGTCCGATCTGTCCACTTCCTCACCTTGGCGGGATCCGGCTCTGATGTACTCCGTTAACGACCAAGTTCCCAACCTTACAAGAATACAACCACAATATGAATACTTACTTGACTTGGCTGATTTACTGTCGCGCTTGCTGTCACGTTTGTTGCGCTGGGTAGGGACTCGTGTGTCAATATCCAAAGGGGGCACACGTCGGGAATAGCGTCGTGGGTATCCTTTTCTTACCTCGCTAGAATCCATCGAATCGGTCCTGGTCTTTCCCATTGCGGCTTTAGCGAGTCGAGCGTCCTCCAGGCGGTTTCGCTCCACGGTCGACATGCCAGATTCCACTCCGGGGGTAGGTATGGTAGGCATAAATCCAATGATCTCAACGTAGCTGCTGGGAACGACCCCTTCCTTGCCATTCTTCAAGCGTCGGACCATCCACCATTCATCAGCCTTGGTGTCATCAATGATAGCGACTTCGTCGCCCACAGCCACCGTCACTTCGTCGTCACCCTGAGCCATGAAATCATACAAGATCTGACCCTTCTTCTGGGCACCACCACCTTCACTAGCTGCAATAACCTCTCGGAGCCCTTCAGCACGGTACGCTCCAGCAATTTCACCCAAAGCGGCCACGATCTCTTGAGCGGTATCCTTGGCTCCAGCATGGAAATCGATGCTCTTGCTGGGTCGGACCAGATCGACGAAAACGTGTTTGCCCTCAATCGAGTAATGGGTGAGCTTCTCCGCCGACCATTCCTGCTGACGATCATCACCCTCGGGGGAGATGAAGATGATTCCCGTGACCATATTGATTCCCAAGGTAGTCGGCATCTTCTTGCGCTTGCCCATCACTTCGACCATCTCGTTGATGTTATAGATATGGTAGCCGGACGGCGACCGAGGTGTCAGCTCGCCAGCCCGGTTGTATGGAGGGGACTCTTTGACATAAGGCCGGCTATGGCCACCCATGGCAGGAGCTGGCTGCCGAGGACGAGGTGGAGGTGGAGATGGATCGGGAGCGTACTGAGGCATTGGCGGGGTAAACTGTTCTGAAGGAGGCCGGCGCGGGAGAGCCGGGGGAGGAGAGTCTTCCCGTTCATATTCCTGTTCATGCGAAGGCCGAGTTGGTAGCCGAGGTGGTGGCGGCTCCTCTCGCGTGGGCTCGGGTTGCGCGCTAGGAGGTGCATGCTGCTGATGAATAATATTCGCAATCGCGGCCGCCGCGGGATTTTGCAGAGTGTTTATGGGAGATGGAGACGGGGTCTCTTCGTATTCTTCGGGCGCAGGCTGCGTCGGTCGTGTAGGAAGAGACGGCGCTGCGGGCTCTGTAGCAGCTGGTGGAGGCGGAGGCACGGCAGTCGTACCAGCGGCTGGAGCAGCAGCATCTCCCACGATTTCAATGTAGTTCGCGGGCGCAAATCCATAATCCGAGCCAACTCCAACCAAAGTCCAATCCGGATCTGACGTGTCGTAGACCAGGATCTCGGCGTCTTCCGAGAATGAGACCTCCTCGTCCGTTTGCCGTGTGTAGTCGAAAAGACCCTTGGCCTGGTGTTTTGGTTGCGCCTGTACATTGCGGGTTGAGAGGTAAGCATCGTTCCAATTGCATATCCTAGGCCACCCCCCCTCGACGCAGCCAATGCGCGGAGTGGGCTACACAGCCTATACATCTTCCACGTCGGGGGCTCACCTCTTCAACATAGTTGTTCGGGACTAGACCTTCCGGCTCATCCTCATCGTCCCGTTCGGCCTTCTTCTTGGCTTTCCACCAATCGTCATCACTGTTCTTGTCCAAAATGTAGAGCACGTCGCCCTCTTTGATTTCCAGTTCACCCTCTCCCTGAGGCTGGTAATCATACACAGCCGAGTACACTCCGAGGAACCCCATTATTAAGGCGAAGCCGCAAAACGAGCTGGTTCTTTGTCTCGCAAGGGTGACAGAGTCCGGGCGCTGCTAGCGACAGCAGCAGATCTGAAGTGCCAGCTCGTAATTGGGTCGGTTGGAGTGAGATTGTTTATTCGGAGGGGAGGCCGGGTAGGTGACGCTGGCCGTTGCCGGGGGTCGGTCAGCCTTGGCAGCTCAAGTGTTTAGGGTGATGCGGGCAAGGAAGGGGGCGGGTTGGGTTGGAGGAGGATGGGTGAAGGAGAATAGGCGGGAGGGACCAAAGGGAGCCGCCGATGGAAGGAAGAGGGGAAAAGAGAGCAAGAGTTTGGATGGGAGTGGGATTGGGATTGGGATCAGGGAGGAGTGGGAAGGTGGGCCGGGGGGCGATCGCTAGGAGGTTTGGGTTCGCGGTCACGTTCCTTACGTAGTCTCGTCTCAAGGACAATCATCTTCAGGTACTGACTGACTGTACTTCATACCTCTCTGCCTATCCCATCTCTAGTCTTCTTTGTCTCTTCTTTTTCCTCTCAGAGTTTCTCATCTGGTCAATTATTTACCTTTTCTACCATGAGTCCCTCCCCCCCAAACTGTGTACCCTTCAACAGCTTCCTCGTGATGTCCCCACTCGGTTCCCGGCAACTGGGGCAACTGACGTCTTTGGGCATGAGGCTAACCGGCTGTTCCTGGCGCTGCCTAGAACCAACCCAGTTATAGTCATGCCCAGATCGGGGCCTTCTTCACAATATCTTTTTTGATCAATGGATCAATGGATCCATTAGTGAAGGGCTACGATGATGGCCTGTTGCAGAATGGGCTATGATCGCCAAATATATCTCGATTGGTCTTCTACTGTACAGGACCTAACAGCTCCCCCTCTCCTCTTATAGCTCATCTTTCAAGGTCTCCTCGCTTCCAGAAAAATCCTGGGGTTCATCCTCGGAGGTTGAATCTTTGGTCTTCTCGGACTTATCTTCGCCCTGGTGGTCTGCTGGTTTTTGGGAAGAAGACGAGTCGCCATCTTCCTTGGCATCAAGTTCGTCGTCATCCTTCTCAATGGCGCCCTGGAACTTGATCATCCCGTCGCTCTCCACCACTTCCAAGGTCCAGTCTTTGCCCTCGGCAAGCTGATCGAGTCGTTTCTTCATGTCCTCGACTCCCTCCGGGTCGAGGTTATACTTCTTCATCACCTGCTTGGACGGGCGCTGGATTTCACCGTTTTCACGCTTGACAACCACCTCCACTGTCTCTTCACCGAACGAGGCCACTCGACCCTTTTCAATCTTTTTGCCTTCCATGCCTACTAGCTGCTGGCCGCCAACCACAATCCCCCCGACGGTCTGCACTTCCGAGTGAGCAGCGGCTGCATCGGCCAATTGATGAGCCTGGTACCACTCCGTCACGGCTTCCCACTCGGAAACATCATCGGGCCTGAGGATCTCGCGACATTCAATGTTGTGAACCTCATCTTGCTGCGGCGGCAGGAAGGCAACGTCGTCACAGAGGCGAGGAGTGTAGATAACCATCAAGTAAGAACACGTAGTCAGCTCCTTGATCCAGCCAATCTGGTCTGTCGACTGCGGATGACAGTGGAACTGGACTTCGACCTTGCGCTCACGTCCCGTCAGGTCACACTTGGTGCCGCCCCGTAGATGCTGCACCAGGTAGCGCGAGCCACCTTTGGTGCGTAGCTCCGCCACATCGGTCTGAGCTGTCTGCTTCTGCTTCTCATCCCCCTTCCCATCCTTATTTGAGCCTTCTTGGAATCGACCCAGAACGAAGGAATGGGTGTTAGGGTCCTCCACAGGCGGGTAGTTTGGGACACCGCCGCCGACTGGGCGAGCGTGGAACTGCTTAATCTGATTTCTGTAGCAGAAAGAGTATGACCACCATCCGGAGAAATAGTACATGCATTTTCCCTCCATCTCACGGAGAAGTTCAAGACCCCGATCGGTAGCCCGTGCTAATTCATTCTTTTCATCGGCTTCTTGAGTTGCGCGGCCAGTCGTGTTATTAGCCTCTTCTGTGGCCACGCGGGGAATCTGGCAGAGGAGCCGCCGATCATCCAAAATCATTTCTTCGTATGTGTATGCCGGGTGAATCACATCTTCGCGTGCTTGCGTGGTATCTTCGCTATGATCCTTCCCCGTGTAAATTTGGGGGTCGTTCCGCTCGACGCTGGAGTCTGGGGTTTCGGGCGAGGCATGTGTCTGGAGAAGCTCTTCGGCATGGGATTCCAATATGTATTCTTCGGGGAAAAGTACTTGGTACTGCGTGCAGTGGATTGGTTAGACCATGCGACAATGGGAGGGAGTGGTGCGCTGCTTCCTCGACATACTTGTGGATAGGCCAGCAGATCATCATGAATGTTGAAAGGCCTCTTGGCTGCCCAAGCGCTCGATACAGCGCAGCCCAGCACAAGCCAGGGTGTGAGACTCAACCGCGATCGACCCATTCTGCAGGAAACCTGGATCGATAGGATGTCTTCCGCAGCGACGTGAGTTGAACAGCACGCGGCCTGTGGGGGGTATGATGTAGACGGAGGTCCTCTGGATTCGCGCTTCCCCGACGGGGTGTTCACCGGCTCAGTCAGTAGTGGAGGTGAGATACCATATATTCCAACGGGGTATCGCAATATCGAAAGGCAAGAGCGCAGCCAGCCGACGCAATAGGCGATCGCGTGGAGAGAGCTGGTCGTAGCGCGGAGAGCGGAGAGTGGGAGCTGCTCCGTGGCCTTATCAGATAGCGATAGTCCAGGCCACGGAGTTCCTCGCACAACTTGGAGGACGACAGTATCTACTTGGCTCAGATAAGTGGCACGAGGAGATGTATATGATTTAATATTATGTTAATCTTCTTCTATTCATAGCTTCGGTAAAGCTGTTATATGCTTTTGCTGTCTACAAAATAGCCTGTCAATCGCTGATTCGTCTCTTCCACCCGAGATACTGTATATACGCAGAAGTGTACTTCCACATGCTGCTACAATAGCTCTAGAAATGCCGTCGAAATCATACTAGGAGCTGCCAGGATCTGTAACTCGTTTACCGAGTTACTGGACTCGATGAAGGTAACCATAATCAGCTAAAAGCTAGACCGTAACCAAGCATTCCATCATGTTCTCTCCAACCACCCACTTTGCAGTCCATTCTTGCTGATGCATGATTATTCACACCTTACAAAACAGGCACTAAGGCACCAAGGCTGCAAGGTGTCCAAGTGGATCCGCTTAGCGGCTGCTGACGGGTGTCTTGGTCATCTCAAATCCGTAAATCCGGCAGTCACGATTCGCTGAAAAGCACCGGCTTTGGGCTGCAGACCCCGCTGACTGATGTCTTGCAAAGCACTGGATGCCACAGCACAGCTGCTTAAACAGACTTATTATAAGCCATTGACTAACGCTGACCTTTTTTAGCTTCTTCTCAAATTCATCGCTACAGTACTCGGTACTTCCTACTCGAACATTCGAGAGTTTAAACTCGCTCGAGCATAAAAGGCCGCCATCGCGCCCATGAGACTGCTTCTGCCTCTTCTAATTTGCATCACAGCAATCTTCCTTGCTTATAGTCCTTCGACTTTCATCCAGGACACTCTTACTACTTTCCTGCATCAGAAGCTTCCGGCTACTTTGTCGCAGTACCTCCCCAAGAGTCTTCACTACAAGAACAACACCATTACTACTACGCCCATTGACTCCACTACCCCATTGGAATACCCCACCCCCATCGTCCTCCCCATCACCGAAATGAGCACTGCCCGAGCAATCCGTCAGGTCTTCCTGGCCATCGAGCAAGCAGAGGGTGCTGGCGCCCGCGTGCGCCGCTCCATCGGCACAGCCAAGCTCCGCAACTTCAGCCCTTTCCTCATGCTCGACCACTTCACCATCGGCAAGGGCGCCGGCTTCCCGGATCACCCCCACCGCGGCCAGGAGACAATCACCTACCTGCTATCCGGCGGCGTGGACCACGAAGATTTCGCCGGGAACAAGGGTACTATCGGACCTGGAGATTTGCAGTTCATGACTGCCGGTCGCGGCATCATGCACGCGGAAATGCCCCACGAGAACCCCGACGGCTCCCCCAATGTCGGCATGCAGCTCTGGGTCGATCTTCCGCAGAAACTGAAGATGTGCGAGCCGCGCTACCGCGACCTGCGCGCGAACGAAATCCCCCTCGCCAAGGCGGATGATGGTCGTGTCGAGATCAAGGTTATTTCTGGCCAGTCGCATGGTGTCGATTCTGTTCGGGATCTGGCATACACCCCCGTCTGGCTTCTGGACGTTACTATCCGTCCCGGTGGTAAATTGTCGCAGACGCTGCCGCAGGGGTGGAATGCGTTTGCCTACACGCTGTCCGGCAAGACGATCTTCGGATCGAATGATTCTACACAGGTCGTCAAGGAATTCCACAATGTCGTCTTTGAGCAGACGGGTGACCTCGTCGAGGCCTCTGTGCCGGATAATGCGGACTCAGAGTCGCGCTTTATCATTGTGGCTGGTCAGCCGCTGGATCAGAAGGTGGTGCAGTACGGCCCCTTCGTTCTGACCAGCCAGGAGGAGGTTTATCAGGCCATGCTCGACTACCAGACTGCATCCAATGGCTTTGAGAAGTCGCGCAACTGGCAGAGTGAGATTGGCAAGCGCATGGCCTATTAAGATGGATTGGAAAGATTTTTGATTGTATTTTGGGATTGTATAATGTGATCAGATTTGGCGTTTAGTTAGGATACTTTGATTTTGGATGAATAATGAGATTTCTTTTACACCATGAATGCATTTTAGATTCCTTATTCCACATAGACATGTTCCTGGTAACCCCTAAAATGACCTTTACCTCAATCAAACTATAATCCCTTGCCTCTCTAATCCCAACCATACAGCACCACCTTTCCTCGAACATTCGCCTCTTCTCCCCGAATCCCCCATAAACCCCATTCACCTCTAATAAGCAAAACACGGACCCAAGACAAATCCTCCCACGGAAAACATTCTCAAGACAAAACGAGTGGTGGTTGACGTCACGACTATGTACCCACTGCATAACTACCGCTCGCAGCAACATGACGAAGCAGCCAGTACAAAGTGATCTATGTACAAAAAAAAAAAAATCAATTCAGGGTAATACCAGGAATGTGGGAAAAGAAAGAAAAATTAGGAAATTCTCAAATGGGTTTATAGTTTCAGTCCGGAACATCTGCAGGAACGTGCGGTGGTGGCTGCGGGAGGGACCCAAGGCTTGGGGCGATCCAGAACTATATCATATCATACCTCGAGCCACCACCAAAACCAAAACCAGGAACTACCAGAATGAACGACTTACTCTCTTTTCTAGAATATAGAATCTCTAGAACCATTCAATATATTTGCAGAAATGTAATCATGCCAATGCCACCCCAGTGGCGGCGGGGACCCATCCATGACGGGCTCATTCCAGCCAAAGCAGTGCGGATCGTGGCGTATGATTCAAGTTTTTGTTCGGAGGGAGGCGGTTGCAAGGTAGTGAACGGGGTCATTGTTACTAGTTCTTTCTTTTTTTTTCTTTTATAAAAGTTTGAGCTTGGTAGATTCTCTTTTAGTCGTTTTCTTGTTCTATTAGTATCTTTTTGCTCTCTCTCTCTCTCTCGCAGGTCAATTTCCATTGCCACTTCTACAGTCATTCTCTTGATCTGTGCTATATCGTGGAAGCGGACATAACCACTAAATCCTATACCCTGCCCTCTACCCTATTCTATATTCAACTCTACACTGAACTCACAACCATGAAACCCCCCTTCCTAAAACCCCCCCCGCAGGCGCCCACTCCCCCCACTAACAGACTTCTCCAACTCCAACTCCAGTCCCGACCATGACCAATACCACGAAAAACGCCGGAGCTCCTCCTTCAATGAAGGCCGTGTGCCGTGGGTAACATGGCGATCCCTGACGCTGGGCGCCTTCGTCTCGATTGGTGGTATCATCTTTGGTTATGATACGGGCCAGATTTCGGGCTTTCTGGAGATGAACAATTATAAGCAGCGGTATGGACAGTTTCGGGATGGGGAGTGGGCGTTTAGTAACGTGCGCTCTGGGTTGATTGTTTCTATGGTGAGTGTTGAATGTTTAATTGGATGGTGATACATATGTGGGATGTGTATATATGTTTCGAAGGAAGGAGGGCATTGCTAACTCGTATTGATATGCAGCTGTCCATCGGTACCATGATAGGTGCACTCCTCGCTGGACCGCTTGCAGACAGGATTGGTCGGAAATGGTCCATCTTTGCCTGGTGTGTGATTCTGCATGTTGGTTTGATCATCCAGATTTCCTCACCGAGTGGTAAATGGTACCAGATGATGATGGGTCGCTTCGTGACGGGTTTTGGTGTTGGTGCTTGTTCGTTGCTTGTCCCGATGTATCAGGGTGAAATTGCACCGAGACATATTCGTGGTGCGATGGTGTGGTACGTCAATCTCCCCAATATGCAGAAGAAATAAAGAGCATATACTAATGCTATGCTTAGTTCATACCAACTCTTCGTCACGCTGGGCATCTTCGTCGCGTATTGCATCAATTTTGGCACAGAACATATCACCAACACCGCATCATGGCGGATCCCACTCGGTATCACGTTCCTCTGGGGTTTGATTCTAGGATTTGGAATCCTGCTCTTCCCTGAATCTCCCCGTTTCGAATATCGCATGGGTCGTATCGATATTGCCAAGAGGACGATGAGCAAGTTATACGGTGTGCCCGAGAATCACCGCGTCATTGTCCATGAGATTCTTGAGATTCAGGAGCAACTTGATGCCGAGAAGGGGGCTAAGGGGGGATGGCATGGCTGGATCGAAATGTTCCAGGCTCCGAGGATGCCGTATCGGATCGTCTTGGGTGTAGTCTTGCAGGCGTTGCAGCAGCTTACCGGTGCCAACTACTTCTTCTACTATGTGAGTTTTGCCCAATTCCAATCTTTTGGGACTCTTTGATTTCCGCCAAATCTTGTACCAGCCCCAGAGACTAACCTGTTTCTCTCCCTCCTCCAGGGAACCGTCATCTTCAACGGCGCCGGCATCAGCAACACCTACGTTACCCAAATGATCCTCGGCGGCGTCAACTTCGGCACCACCTTCGGTGGCCTCTACGTAATCGAGCACTTCGGCCGGCGCAAATCCCTCATCGCAGGCGGAATCTGGATGTTCATCTGCTTCATGGTCTTCGCCTCCGTAGGCCACTTCTCGCTCGACGTGAAAAATCCACCCGCTACGCCGGGCGCCGGCAAAGCCATGGTGGTCTTTGCCTGTCTGTTCATCACGGGGTTCGCAATGACCTGGGGACCGATGGTGTGGGCGATTGTGGCGGAGTTGTATCCGAGTCGGTATCGGGCGCGGGCGATGGCGTTGGCGACAGCGTCGAATTGGTTGTGGAATTTTTTGATTGGGTTCTTTACGCCGTTTATTACGGGGGATATTGATTTTGCGTATGGGTATGTGTTTGCCGGGTGTTTGTTTGTTGCGGTGTTGGTGGTGTATTTCTTTGTGTTGGAGGGCAAGGATAAGACCCTGGAGGAGATGGATATGATGTATGTGATGCGGGTGAAGCCGTGGGAGAGTGCGAAGTGGGAGACGCCGGCGCCAGAGGAGCAGTTGACGACGGCGCAGTTGATGGATCGGAGGGTTGCAGAGGGTTATGATCGTGAGGAAGAGGCTGCGGCGAGTCAGAAGGCTGCCGAGACGCCGGGGCATCTTCATGCGGAGGTTACAGCAGAGGCTGGTCCTTCACAGGCTTAGAGATGTGAGATGAGGAGTTGAAAATAGAAGAAAGACAAAGAGAGGGAGGAGGAGGTTGGAGATGATCTTACATTAGAATGTATTTACAATCTACGAGCAAGTGTATCCATAGCAGATCTTTTGGAATATTTGAATAATTGAATTCTCATATCAATTTAGTGTTCATCACAGACATTTCGTCCTCAACGCCAGCATGAGGCATCGTTTACCTGGAATAAGGGAAAAAAAAAAAGAGCAGGACAGGAATATCCACGCCCAGACAAGCATACTCAACATGACAGAACGTAAAACATCCGGTATGCGGCAATCCCAATCACAATCTGGGGACCTATTCCAAAACTCCACAATGACGATAAACACACAGGTTATGACGCCTGCCACAGACTCGTCCACTCTCTCTCTCTCTCTCGCGTTGGGTTATTCATTTCCAACCTCAAGAGGATGCTGGACGAGTAACTCTGGGCAAATAACAGATGCAAGGTAGATAAATACGACAGAAGAGAAAAGTAATTGCAGACGAGTAACTCCCCCACCGTCTACATCCCTTAATCCATAAAGTCGCCACGAAGGATCTTCTCCTGGAAGAAATCGGGCTTATTCTGCTTGGGCTGCTTAGGGATCTCTCGGGCGGGTTGCTCCATCGCGGCAATCGATGCGGCACGCTGGTGACCGGCCTGACGGCTGGGATTCTGGGGGGAAACGGGCCCCCCGATGGATGGGGCACGCTCGGCGCGGTGACGGAGCGCCTCGGTCCAATTGAAGCCTTCGCCTGGGCGGCGCGATGCGTTAGATCTCTCTTCCAGAGGGGCTGCTGAAGAACTTGCAGATGCGGGAGATCGGGAAGGAGGGCTATGGCCAGTCACCGCGGTCGACGCGGTGCGCCGGGCCCCTGCCCGGGAAGAACTAGGGGGTGGGTATCTACCATTGCCTATACTTCCGGCCCGTGCCTCACGCAGGGCCTGTGCTCCAAAGGACACTCGCCGGGCAAAGGGCGAGTTGGGGGTGATACCGGGGGAGGATGCCTCGCCATCCTCCGCCACGGCCTCTTCATTGTTCGGGATGGACCCCCACGAGCTGGACAGGCTGCCTCGGCGGAAGGCTGGGCTTCCAAAGGCGGAGGTCTGGGTGGGTGAGCCCGACAGGCCCAGGGTGGTAATGGACAGCCGGCGCTGCTGATTGGCCTGGGTGTTGTTGCCTGTCTGATGACCGGAGGGATTATTGCTACCCTGCTTGGAGAAGAGGTCGGTGAAGGGAAGCCCGGCGAAGGAACCACGACGGGGACGATTCTCCGAGGCGGGAACGGAGATGGGAGAGGTGGAGCGATCGTTGGACATGATGGTTTATGACAGTCTCGTTGATGTATCGTTGATGGGGGGAGGGACGTGCTAATCGTGGGGATGGACAAGGGCGATGATGCGAGTGAGCCACGGGATGTGGGAGGTAGGATGGATGAGGGAGAGAGAGCGAGAGAGAGCACGTAAGAAACTCAGAGAACTGAGCTGGGGATGAGAAGACGGGTCTTGGACGGACTCGCCGCCCTTCTCATGAGATGGAGATCGAATGGGGTGAGATCGAACCGTACGCACAACCAGGGGGAGCAGGAGAGGGACCCAGTTGTAGCGTAAGAGAGGTGATTGTGGATGAGATGACGTTGCTGGTAGATTGCAACGGGATGACAAGGGTGGAATGATGAAGAAATGGAAGAATGATGGAAGAGATTCAGTCGAGCGGACGAGGAGGATGAGAAGGATGGGTGAAGAGGAAATGATGCCAGGAGGGGAGGGGGGAAGGATCGAAATGGGGAAAGGAAGCAGACGATTGTTTTTTGGGGTGGGGGGGGGGGATGGTGCCACCAAACAGAGTGAGAGTAAGAGGAGAAGCCTCAGGAGGAGGGGGGGCAAAAAGAGAGAGAGAGAGAGAGAGAAAGAGAGAAGAGCTGCAAAAGTGAGCCAAAAGTTAAGCTTGGGCCAAGTCCCAGGAAGAAGAATATCTGGGGTAGCGCCATCCCCCCATTCCAGTTGGGCCAGTGGCCAGTGACGAGTGGCGGTGGTCTCCCAGCATCCACTCCATTACCAAACTCAGCCAAGTGACCCTCGTTAGCTCCTTGAGCTGGTCGTATCCGAAAGGGTAATCATCAAAAGTGGATCGAGGTGGAAAGTGGAGCCGGGAAAGATTGCAAGACGGGAGCAGATTGGATGCGGATGAGATCAGATTGGACCAGAGACTCAGATTGGCCAGGGGGGGGAAGAGTAATGATGATGATGGTGATGATGGTGGTGATGATGGTGGTGATGATGGTGGTGATGATGATGATGCTGCTGCTGACGAGTTGGGAAAGAGGACACCAGCTGTGAGTGGCCGACCGGGGGAAAGCGATTGACCGTGGGCCGCATTGGGTTTGGGAGGGGTTTGACGATACCCTGAGTGAGTCCCCCCGACAGGCCACGTTACTCGGTAACTATCTGATTATTGGGTTACCAAGTCCGATTTGCTGGCTTACCGAGGGTCCGGGGTAACTTAGTTAACGAACGACCTTGACGGGCCACTGACGAAAACCGGATGATTGGGTATCTCCCCGACCGCGCTCTTGACCGCTCTATCCCTCAATGCCGCGGTGCTGAAGCAGATACCCATCCCGAATTAGGCATCGGCTGATTCCCGATTGCAGAAATCAACAGGAGGCTCCTCTCTGACAGTCATGATTATACAAGGGGTCTCATACGAAGGGTCCTCTCTTATCCAGTATACATCTTAATCAATCAATCTTTAGAATGTGCTTTTCTAAATAGCTTCATACAGCAGAACGGTAACCTTGGTATCAAATCGAGCTAACCTTTGGTTTTAAGATAGGCGTATGTAGGTGGAAAAAGCCACCTTCGGACTTAACTTTGGCGAAAATCGGGAGATTGGAGATCCTGCGAAGCATACTCCGTACCGTAGGCTAGACTTGGCTAATGTAAGGATTCTGCCGGTCTTCCTGCCTTAGAAAATTGGTTTCCAGCCGGTGGCCGTTATTGGCCGCCGTACCAACCTTTGTTAACAGAGGACCGTTTTCATTGGAAACGGGCTCCGACAGACTTTTATCAATCCTTGTCATGGTAGTTCATCATTAGGCATCTACTGTAGATATTATGTACTCTGTATAGTTATTACACATGGTATGTATACATACAGTCATCATGTCGTAGTCTGCTCCCACTACCCCCATACAATATGTAATACTCCCCTCCTGAAAGCATATCCACGGGTACTCCCTCTTTCCCCACAACGCCGCATACCAGACTTCGTCATAGTGATACACCTTACCCTTAACCCCATAGCCCCAAGAACCAAACCCCCCCGAATTGAGACCACCCCATTCGAACAACAACGGTAAACAAGTTAAACCCTGACCGGACCAGTACTTTTCGGACTGGGGTCTTGCTAGGAAGGTTGGGAGGGGTTTTATACATAGCACCCGCTAGAGCCATGCCAGAACTTAAAAGGTAGAGAAAGGGGAGATGGAGATGGAGATGAAGTGGGAAATTGGAAAAAAATAGAAAGATGAAGCATTATCAAAATAAAGAAGAAAAAAAGAATAGCTCAAATGAACGTACATCGTGTATTACTCGTTTCCCATAAAATTGGTTTGACAGAGCCCATCCGTCCCATCGCCAGCGAGTGTGCCCGGGTTGGGAGTCTCGGACTCTGCTTCTTCCCCGCTGTCCTCCTCGCCTGGTCTGTTCGATGAATGAAGACGCTGTAGGGACAAATCATAGTCGATCATAGACGACCAAAGATCGACGATCGGAGATCCACGATATCCGTGCGTGACCAAGAAACGGAACCCAATTGCATGAATCAGAGCTATGATATTGTATACAACTATACGGTTTACCATATCACAGATCATGGATACTCACAATTGAATTCTGAACTCGGCATAGTAAACACATATATCTTCGATCTTAGAAGTACTCAACCATTCACCATCTCCCAGACCACACGGAAAACGGCAGAGGAAGGAGGGAGGATACCCTCATTTCATCGCCCGTCTCAAAAGACCCCGGGATCACAGATCCGGTGATCAGAGACCGCTCAGGGCAGGTGGAAGAGGGCGATCAATTTGCGCCCAACGGTCGGCTCGATTTCAGTCCCGTCGCGTGCAATCTTCACCTCGCGATTCGCATTCCACGGGTTGCGAAGTCCCCGGGTACGATGAAATGGCACCCGCTCGGTCGATAGCCACTGAATGCGAAATGGTTTGCCGAATGACTGGGTCTCTTCATCGTCAACAGTGATCGATCCAGGGGCAGAGGCAGGAGGGCCGGGACCAACACCAGAGCCCTCCCCGCTCTCCTCGCCACTGTGTTGATCGTGCTCGTCTTCCGAGGACTCAACCTCCCAGAAGATTGTGCCGCGGGCCGAGTCATCAATGATTCGGCCCTTTGGAGCCGTCGCGGTCGCTGCAGTGGTGGTCACCTCCAGTTCATCGGCTGTGCCAGCGAGAGGCTCGGGGCGAGGTGGCATTTCCAAAGCGAGCTCCTCATCGTCGCTGATGGGTGATAGCATGCGAGCATATCCAAAGTACTCGCCCGACTTGTTGGCCGAGAAGATCAGGTAGACATGGTCGGTATTCTGGTTGGTACATCAGGGTCAGCAAGAACGTATCAAACAAGAAGATCAAGTAGATAGCAAAAATGGGGGGACTAGATCACTTGGAACGGGGAGTTCAGTGGTGCCATACTCACCTCAAAGGCGTGGTTCAAGTTGGTTTCATTGTGCGTCTGTGTCGCCCAGATTCCACTCTGCTTGCTGAGCTCGAGGTCCTCTACCGTCAGACTCTTGACGACAAAGTACCGGTCCAAACTGCGAGAGGCCTCCCCGTCCGCCAGCGGCCCAGGATTCGTGGTCTCCGACAACGATCCAACTTTAGGACCAGTAGGAGGATCTGTCGTCTCCTCTGGGCGAGACCGAGAGCCTGGACCCGCAACACCGAGGCCCAGGCCCGTCCCCGGAGTTGTAAAGCCCTTGCGAAGCCGGCACACGAGACGCACGCCCTGGAAGCGGGAGTCGTGGAATCGAGTAAGTGCGGCCGCACACGCGGCGGCAGACTTGTAGTTTACAAACGCACAATTACTCTTGGAGATGAGAAACACGCTCTCGATGTTGTTCGTCGCGCCCTGTGAGAAATGGTCCTTGAGATCCACCACACTTGCTCCAGGTGGTAGGTTGCCCACCCAGAGGGCATGGCCGGATTGCTTAGGCTTTCGAGGTGGTCCACGAGGAGTACTAGGCGCGGGCGGGAGCGGCTGGGAGAGAAGGGCAGAGTCTGTCGGACGAGAATAAGAAATGTCAGCAAGATAATTTTCTTGAAAAAAGTTCCTTGCAGTGGGGGTTGCAGCTATTCCCGAGTACATAGATTCTCACGTACCGGCCGGGATGGATGAAGCTTGTACCAACTTCATCGGATTCGAACCATCCACAATTGTCTTCGATACATCGTATTCCGCCTCCAATCCCCGTTTGTCTGTATCCTTCTTCGTAGATCCCACGTTCGCTGTCGGAGGTCCCTGAGATAGACTCCCTTGTCTGGATTGAGAGCTCGATTGTCGCATTTGCACTGGCCCCGACTGCGATCCATGTCGAGAGGACGCCGCATAACCCGGGTGATAGTAGCCTGTTCCGTACGCAGGGGCTTGTCCTGGTCCCATATTCTGTATCGACGGGTTTGTCACATACTGTGGATAGTGACCCGCGCCATGTTGGACGGCCCCAGGGTGCTGCATTGAGTAAGGCACGTACCCCGGTGCAAAAGGTACGGCATAGGGTACATTTCCACCAGTGTTCGGACCGGGGTAATGACCCATAGATTGTATCGGATATACGAGGCCTTGGGGATGGGCGGACGGGTATTGATAATTGAGATGCTGGCCTTCGAACGAGGATGACGGCGATTGGTGGTTCGGGAGCGAGTATGCCACGTTGCTCATATTTAAGGGAGATGGTGGTCCATAGCGTCCGGGAGCTGGGTAGGCCGAGTTCGACGGGTGGGCTGAATATCCTGATCGTGCGGACTTGCTGGCGTTTGAAACATCTGCAAAATCAAACCATCTCATCAACGGATATGTTCCCCACGGATATGCCTGCAGGATAGGGGTCATTGTGCGTTTTCTATATCGTCTGGGAAACCACTGACCAGGTGTTGAATCGGATCGCGACATGTTGGGTTCAGATGCCGGGGGTATCCCTTCTCCTGCCCCTTGGGGTGTGACAATCGTTTCGGGGGAAACATTGCCCATGGGGCCTGGTTTCGCAGACTAACGTGGACGGAAGATAGTTTTGACAAGATCTTTTACTGAAGGCGATATAAGTAGGCCAGACTTGAGAATGAGACGAGTTGAGTATGATACATAGTACCACATACCTCTAGAACTGAACCCGACGGAGCTTGAGGCCACCTCGGATCTGTAGGACCGGCCACGGAAGCGGATGACCACGAATGCCCAAGAGAAATCAAATATATCGCCTTGATCACAGAATGCTAGACAAACCGAGCGCTGGCTGGAGGAAAGACACTGCTGATGATAAATGCAGTGGTCAGTGAATGTTTTGTGGAAGTGCTAAATGACAAAAGACAATTTCAGGCTAGATCAAGTGGGAAGGTTAGAGTATAGGTGCCGTGGGATCCCAAAAAAGAAGGATGACAGTCACTGGGCAGCACTTGCTTTACCCCCTGAAATTCAAATCAGGAAGAAGGCCGCAAAAAGTGACTGCAGGGCATTCACCAAGGAGAATTTCAAACACAAAAGATAGGAATTAGGGGCCAGAAACCAGGGTGGGAAACGAAAGAGCCCTCGACATTCAGAGGAATATCATGGCGGGCAGTCCACACTTGAAGACTGCCAAGCCAAATAGTCGTGGGCCGTCCAGTGAACGGCCACAGGGCCGTGTGGCTCATGGTGGGAGGAAATGTACTCCCACTGATGACACTCGCGAAATAGAGGAAGGATATGATAGCAGAATGAGATGCAAAAGATAAGGCTCACTCCAGTATAGAGAAGGCCGTATAAGGACGGCAAAGATAAGTGTATGGAGGTGAAAGGGGGACCACCAGGTGAAATCAAACAGGAGGGTAATGAGGGTGATCAGGTGAGAGCCGCTATTCGCACTTTGGGCCAAGTGTCAAGGGTACTTTCCCCACCAGGAGAAAACTCGGCCAAAGCCGTGGTCCTCTATACAAAAGGCAGGGGGCGGCAGGTCAATCCTCCGTGAGGATACGGAAGGCACCTCGGTGGGCAAAGGGTACGGAAACCGATTCCGCCAAGAAAGCCCGAAACCGATCCGAAGAGCGTCTAGCCCTTGTAGGGCTGTCGATTCGCCCACGATTTGCAGACAGACAAGGCTAAAGGAAGGTGGGAAAAGGGGACAAAACAAGACAGCAAGGTGGAAGCAGAAAAGCCCAACCGAAAGAATGCAGCTTACCTATGTAATTGAGACAAGATGGGGCGAGAGAAAACAGTTGGAAAACAACGGCCTATATGATCGTCATGTCAGTCTTCAGAACCCGAATAAGGCAGAGATATAGTCGACAAAAGACCGCGGGGCAAGAGGGGCTTTGAGCACAAGACGGGGGAACCAGATAGAAGAGAGAAAGAAACGGACGAATGACAGAACAAGCAAATGATACGCTGACCGGAAACCAGCTTAGTGCGAAGGAGCAAACCTGCTGCAGGAGAGGCTGGGCCGAGGAATCGGGTGTGGCTCAGTCCGCATGGAGCAACGAGAGACAACGGAAAAAGTCTACCTGAACGCACATACCTTTGAACGTGAAGATCGCGGGCAGAAGTGCTCGAAGGATCAAAAAAGAGCAAGCCAGCCGCAGAGGGACCTGGGACTTCGCAGATATACCTGCTCACGGAAGGCGAATGTGGAGAGCTTGAATGGAGACAAGCAAGAAAGGCAGCAGAAAAAAATATGAGAAAAATATAATAAGAAAACAGAAAATGGCAAAAAGGACACAAAGCTAAAGGATCAGGTAAATAGTAAAAAGGAATTGACGGAAATTCGAATCAATGGGGTTCGAAACCACAGAACGGTCCAGCCACAGCGGGCTAGGCGAATGAGCTGTTCAACTGTGGATAAGCACTGTGGCGGACTCTAATGCTTGGGAGCCCAAGGAGGAGCAAGGGTATGGAGCAGAATCCGTCAAAAACACGTCTGAGCTGTGGCTGACAGCGGGACAGATGTGCTAGGGCGTCAATGAATCATGGAGAATGGACGCGGTGGAGGAGGTGGACAAGGCGGGTAGTAGACATGAACCGCTGTGAACCGATTGAATGGTTGATCGGACCCAGGATGATTCGTGAGTGATGATAGGCCAAAAGGTTGTATGTTTTTTTTTTTGGGTCACGGCTGCTCTAGACACAAGAACGGAGGTACGGGAACTTCACCAGAGTCCTGCCGTATACCGGATGTATCTTGTCGAAGATTGTAGGTCGAATCTGTTGTTTGAGAGTTGTTGGGAGGTGGAATTGGAGGTGGGTGATTGTGTGTGTGTGCGCGCGCGAGGAGGATAAGTGGATATCCCCTGCCCAGGCCACAGCTGCACACTAAACTAAATAACCTCTTAGACAAAAAGTGACAGTATGTGACCAGGTACCATAAACATGAGAAGGTATGGTGCCACAGGGTCCACACCACCAGACTGTTTTGAATCAGATCTTCAATTTTGTCGGGGTTTTTCTTTCAGCCATGCGCCACTCAGTCCACCGATCTCTTTTCGAGTCTGAAGCCTCGGGGTTTCTCTTGAATGAAAAGAGTTCTTGTCGTATTGATGAATGCTTGTTATCCGGTCAGTGGAGAAAGTGCGGGCCTTTTGATCTCTTCAACCCTTTTCTGCTCTTTTCTTCTCTCATACCACCTTCAAATCAGATGAGTAGAAGAAGCGTAGAAGCTGGGTCGGTTGTTCCTCGAATATAAGCGGCTCGGCGGGTCGTTGAACAAAGAGGCCGTGCCACAGGTGGGTTGTGGCTTAAGCGGCCCACGGATCTGCTGGGGATGGACAGAACGCTGGGCGATTGGAGAAGACAATTGGAGATTGCAGACCATTGGGGGCCATGGAAAGCCACAAATTTCGCAGCATCAAACCAATCATGCCAGCGTAAGAAACAAGGAAAAAGGATCCAAATATCAGGCAACGGAATTGGCGATCTCTCCAGGCCTGATGGCGAGTCACATCAAGGTATGAAAGGTCTTGAATCATGATTTCTTACAGTAGTACAATGGGGATCGAGAATAGAAACAAGCGGGACCACGGGGCCCAATCGAGAAGACGTGCCAATTACTGGGGCCAGACAGAGCATGGAAAATGGAGACCAGGAAAAATTACAGGTTGGGGCTAGCCAATGGTGGTGGCAGTGAAAAGAGTTGCAAGGCCAGCTTGCCACCGTCAAGGTGTGGGTTATGCATGCATGAGGAGTGAACTGTCGATAAGTGGATCGAGGATGGGGAAATCGAACAACTGGGAAATAAAAGCGAATTATGGCAAAATAATTCATAAATACGGATAATGATAAAGTACCTCGACGGGGGTTTGGTGGTGGTGGCGGCCACGATCACGGAGTTCTGTTTCCTTCCAAGGGAGGAAAAAGGTACTGATGGGGTGCCATACCGCAGCACCCGTGGCCTCTCAAACGAATTGGCTTTGTGTGCCAGTCGGGCGTCGTACCTTGGAACCCAAGTAAGGGGAACAGCCACGGGGGGAGGGAACATTTTGGTACACTCCCACTAGACTCGATCATGATCCCGCCAATAGCGGGTGAGGTCTCCCCCAAAATCCGGTGGTACCCGGTAAAACCAAAGCTGCTAGCCAGCTGCCCATTTTGGTAGTCCACGACGTGTGTGGTCACTAAAGCTGTGCACGAGATCCATGTTCCGAGCAACGCTCGGGGAAACGCCCTGAGCAAAATCGCGCCACCACAGAAGCCAAATGTGGCATTCATGGACATTCCAAAGGGGGCCATTTATCCTTGCGGACAGGCAAGCTTCGTCCGAGGGCCGTTGTCCAACAATTTGGGTTTCCCGGAGGTGACCCAAGGCACCAGGTCGATCAGACCATACTATCGGGTACGGCGGGAACCCGCTGTAGAGCTGTAATTTAACCTCGTCTCTTTCTGTGGGAGGAGGGTCGACCGGTCACATTGATCTCACACCCTCTCTGGGCCGAGACGACCGGGAAAGGAGAGCGGGAGCGAGGAATTGGTTTGATTGGAAGAGTTCCAGCAGGATCTGGTTCTGGTAACGAGGGCTGTTCTGACCAAGGCGTCGTTAGTTAGTTACTTGGGCGCTTGACGGAGTCGACGAGTGGAGAGTGGAAGTGGATGTTGTTTCGACTTATGACGTTGGAGGATCCACCTTTCGGCATGGCGCCCCAGCCAATCACTGGGGCGGTGAGCCGCGAAGTGTATACCCTTGTAGCTACAATTGTATAGACTGGCAGGGATACATGGTGAAATGCTATCTAAAAGTGTCCAGTAATCCTAGACCAAAGGTACTCGTTTTTCCGGAAATTAGAATTCTCAATTCTCCTTTCCCATTGACTTTGGGCTATGATCTGATTTATTTAGAGGACCTCTCCACAAGACCCGTAGCCTGGCGTACCTTCGTGGTGGCAATCACATGGAATACTGTAGAAGGGCAACCTGCCTGCCGACCAAACGGCCTCTCCGAGTTCATAGAGTCGCCATCTCGCTCTTGCTCTTGCGAAAGGAGGACGTTTCTCTGACTCCTTTGACCTCTCTCATCTCGTGGATGTTGTGTCCCTTCAAGGCTTGAGCCACAGTACCACTCACCTACCCATGAGTTCCATCAAGTCCAGAAGAAAACCATACTGAGCTGTGACCTACGATTCTATGAATAGGTCATTTGCTCAATGATCACTGCAGCCATGTCCCTAGCTCCTCAGCTCTGCGGATGTTGATTTTCTCGCAAATGACTGGCTAGGAATCTTTCCTCAAGAGGAGTTAGGTGATCTCTCTGCCTCACTGCGAAGCCCTGACGATGCGCAATATCAAAATACCAGAAACCCTGACCCCTGCGTGCTGTCCGAAGTCGCTTTTGAACATATACCTGCTCTGTATTACTACCCGGCTACTGGAGAATTGAAGATGATACCGGTCAACGCTCATTACATGATCACATTGCAGACAGAGCTTCCACACGAGGTCGATAATGCGTCAGAGCGAGGCTCTTACTATGCCCACCGATCTTCACCTGAAGGAAAAAAGGATATCTACAGCTCGTACTTGCAACCTACAGTACTTTGATTCCATAGAGTAGGTATCTATCGAGCGGCTCCGCATATCAAATAATGCTCCATGCAATATAGCGACCGTGGTACAACCACAACAACCACTAACTCTTCTTACACCCTTGACATGAGACACAGACCCGCCCGATAGCAACGAATAATGGCTAAACGCCTTCTCATCACCCAAACCCTCTCATTCAGCGCGATTCAGCATGGCACGATCAGCGCCACACCGAACCCTCACGAGCCTTATGGAGCCTTACGGGGCCTTAGAAGCCTGAGGCGCCAAGGCGCCACATGGCGTCATGGCGTCATAGGCGCGTATCATCTCCGCGTTCCTGGCAAGCCACCCAATCACACAACGTCATCCTACATCCACCAACGTTGATGGGCAGCACTTTGCAACGATGTGATGCTCCAAAGGAAACGGTGTCCCCTCCCACAATAGCCATTGGGCGCCGCTGATGGCATCTTGAAGACATAGATGGCTTGTGTGACCCAGTCAGATGTCGTGATATTGACGGAGGGCTCTATTATTATCATTCGGATGTGTGGTGGTCCGCGTACCGATACTGGTCACTACTCAAGGTATCCAGTTGAACACGTACCTTTCTTTGAAGATCGACGTTTCTAAAGGGAGTGCTTGCATGTGCCACGAAAGGGGAAGGTCCAAGAGGAGCAAGGTCTTGCTCCACCTCGCTGGGTGCTCTTGGTGGTACAGATGTCCACACTTCCAGCGCCCAGGGATTCTTGTGCCCGTGGGATCAGCCTTACATTGCCGCAGGACCCGTCGAGCAATGGATGGTGGTACGATGGATGTGTGTCTTGTGATAGAAGGAGCATGCACAGCCCCGTTCTGTTTCTGGAAGGAGAAATGTTGAATGAGGCGTCATGGCTGATCGGCTGGAGATCAATTGGAGTTCCGGACAACTCACTGGTCGATCTATCGCCTGAAATACATTGACAGACTGGCAGTGAGTCACACTGATGAAACATTGCCCCAGCCTAATGTTGCTCTATTGCCTAAAGGATTCAGCTACTGCAGGATCGGCAAGGTTGGCTTGTGGCCATGGGAACCTGCGCTGCTTGAGGCAGGTGCCATTGGGGATCGTTGCAGTAGCTCTATACGGACAGACTCCTATGCATTGGTTTTGTATCTCTCCTTATGCTTGGGCCTTCAATCAGCCATGGTACTCTGTACTTGATTCATTTGGATTCGACTACTCGGCTGATCCGAGCCAGCTGTGGCTGAACCAGATGCCACAGCCACCACCAGGGCGACTACGATATAGGAGTCTATTTGAATCCAGCTAGAGTAGAATCTAGCTGAGCAGATCACAATTGAGACTTCGTGGACTCGCTGTTTAAGATTGACGATCTCCACTTCTAGAGCTGTACAGCTTCTTCGGCGGATGCCGCATTCCACGCCACGGCCCCACGGCCTGTCCTGCGTTACATGAAGTGGACATTGGCAGCTGCTGGAGTCGGTGGGGATTCCACAAACAGACGAAGATGTTGCCACTGTCAGGCAACGAGATATTCGGAGCTACCCAAACCCTCCGGTATCTCCACAGGCGCTGTAAGGTCCGGCTGAGCTGTGGACTTGCCATGGTGATTGACTCACGCTTAAATCTCAAATGTGATGAGAATGAATTGACAGGGCTGAGCTGGTCCTCGATGATATGGCTTGAGAATTCAGATCAGGATTGACTATCATATTGTAGTAGCGAAGGCTCTACGTGCATAGATTAATCACTCGTGTATTGGTCATCGGCCTCACTCAGTGAATAATCAAGGACATAGATTATTAGCTAGTCCTCATTATGTACCATGGGTATTTCCAAAAAAAAAAAAAAAAAAAAAAACCGCTACAAAGTAAACAATATGTAGACACACACAATCTTGAAAAGGGTTGACTTGAGGCTGGATGTATATATGCCTGCTTTCAAAGTGACCATTCGTTCAGAAGAGCCTCATGAAGTATACGATGAATGATCCCTGCGTATGAATCATCAAAAACATAGAAGGCCAAACCATTCAACTAGCTCATAAACTACAAAGTACGCAGACGACCAAAAGCATATACAAGACGGAATATGTGTAAAGACACAAGGACAATCCAAAAGGATAATATGGGCACTGGAACACAAAGCCTCCATCCCAATTCAATTATGTCAGATGGAAGTAAAGTGGACACAGGAAAAGACACGGTCATAAGATGGGAGACCAGGTCAAACGGCCTCGTGTTTCTTCCTTTCTGGAAGTAAACAGTAAGAAGCAAATGGACGGTCAAAAGACACACAGATAAGAAATGAAAAGAGCTAACCACCAATGATCTCAAACATACACCCCCATCCATACGTGAGAAACAGAAGTCATCAAAGGGGAAGGGGAAATGGTTCATGCAAAGCTCATTAGAAGGATGTATTTAGGGGATTAGCATATAAAAGGCGTAGACAGGTGTAGCCTCTCATACCAAATCGAGAGGGACAGAGTGTTCAGGGGGGGGGAAGAAATAGCGGTGATGAGGGGGTTTGAAGTAAAGCGTTATCGATCGATTCCAAGAGACGCCACCTTCCCCGCAAACCGGGCTCCAGCACTCCCGCGTTTAGACAGCTTCTCTCTCCTTGGTATCCAAGGAGCTAGTGGAGCTCTGTGATGCAGACGAGACAGCACCATCCTTACTGGAGGCGCGAATGGTGGGTAGCGAGCCTAACGTGTCACTGACGGCGGGCTTACCCAGCCCGGGAGCACTAAAGGCAGATGTACGGGCCGTGCGCTGGCTGATGTACAGCTGTGCGGCGGGGGAAAGGGGAATGGAAGGAGGTGCCGGGGGAATTTCCGCGCCGTTCTGGACCAGCAGCTCGGCGATGGGGAAAGGAATGGCCTTTGCACTGGAGCGAGCGGAGAGGGTGGTTGGAATGGAGCCTGGGGAGGCCGGTTCGGCGGCTGCAAGGGCCAGGAACACGGCGTGGGTGTTGCGAGACCGATCGGCCACGTTCACGTTGGCACGCAAGGCAATGCCATAAAGTACGCCTTGTATATCATTCTTCTTGATGGATGCCAAGAGTGTCTCATCGGGAGTTGCAAAGCGGGAGCGTGTGGACGGCAGGCTCTCGACGTGTGCTCGTTCAACGTATTTAGCCGTAATGAACTTGAGCCGTTGCTCGCGGGTTGAGCTGGCAATCGGCTTTTGCGACTGGTCCAGTGTGGCCTCCCAGATCATGTTGCTGACACGGTTACCGATCTGCAAGAGGATTTCCACAATATCGTTCGAGAATGAATGGACATCGAGTGTGAGCGACCGGATCTTGGAAATGTGAGTTCCCAGAGATCGGTGGATACCGCTGCACTCGATGCACAGTATGATACCAAGGTTAATGGATACCCATTCCACCTTCGAGGAAGACCCACAATCGGCACACCAGTTATTGCCCTCGTCGGCCTCGCGAACAACCTGCAGCAAGCGGGAGGGGTTCTCCTCGTAACTATTGCTGTCGTTTCTCACGTAGCTGGGCCGAGCTCCAACCGTTGTGCGGCGACTGACACCGCTGGCGCTGGTGCTAGAGCTATTTGAATAAGAATGGTGACCAGAGACAGAGGAACTCTTGCCTGTCAAGACCGAGCCAATGTCACGGCCGCTAGAAGACTCATTCTTGGACGAAAGCGGGGGTGGCGGCATCCCCTGGCCTTCCACTGCACTCTGAAGTGCATTATTGATAGACCGGATCCAGTTTGCCATGTCCTCCTCCGAGGTGGCTTGATATATGCGTTTGTACTGAGGCGTAATGACTTCAAAACAGAAGCGTCGCTCTGCGTTCCTGGCTTCGCGGACAGAGGCCATTCGCAGATCAATGGGTTCCATGTGGAGGTCTAGTTTTTGCTTCCAATTACTATACTCTGAAAGCTTCCCTTGGTCCAAAACAATCCAGAACCTATGGTGAAATCAGTTTAGCAATGGAAGTTTGGCGGAGTGAGAAACAGAAGAGGAGGAACTGGATAACTTACTTGTGCCACGCCTGCTTGTTGATACCCTTCGGATCCATATGCGAACCAGGGCGAGACAACGCCCACAGGAGACCTTCTTTCCGTTGCTGGCCAGCAGTGCGATCAGATCCAAGGCTGTCTCGCTCTTCAAGATCTCGGATGCCCTTGAAGCGATTCTGATTCTGTGCACCAGCGGCGTTGTTGCTCGCAGTAGGTGCCGAGGTTCCTGTAGCCGAGCCGACTGATCCCGCGTTGGCTTGAGACGAAACAGAAGAACTGTTGCTGATCACCCCACGGAGCTGCGAGCTAGTACTATCCGCTCGACCTAAGTCTACTTCACCAGAGGCGGCGCCTTTGTTAGCAGCGGGGGCGGTAACGGCGGTTGATGATGTCGATGCAATGTTCGAGGGAGCGCCAGCAACGACATCGGGCTCCATGTAAGGGTTGCTATTCTTCTCCAAGGCCCTTCGCTTTTCCTCTCGTTCAGATCTTTGAAACTGGAATTCCTTGTCCGCTTGGTTGACCTCATGCACTAGGGCGTTTAATTGAGGAGCCATTTCTTCAACCTTCTGGGCGGCTGCCAAGAAAGCTTGGGCTTGGAAGTCTGCATACTTAGTCAGATGCGAGAGAACCTCTTGTTCCTTGCGGCCACCGTGCAGATCTTGCATGAAAGAAGAGTAATCGAAACGCTTCAGCTCGAAGTTCCGACGCTTAACCTGATACTTCGAATCACTTTCAGCTCGTTTCTTCTCCTTGAGAGAATCTTGTCGCTGGCCGAGGTATCGGCTGACATAAGCATAGTAATCGCGGCTCTCCTCGTCAAAGTCCTTCTTCTTCGACTCGGCTTGTTTGATGTCGTTAGTGTAGAGCTTGATGAGTGGTTCAATGACGAGCTTCTGCAGCTGTATCGTATTAATCTGCTCGTAGTTCTGAATCTGCCGGGCGATTTTTTTCGAAGTAGTGATCCAGTGCAGGCTGAATCGCGTTGGCATTTGACGTTGACGCATCATTCAAGGAGCTCAAAAAGGCTTCCATAGACTCGTTGCAGGCTACTTGTGCGGTTTGAGCAGCCTCGGCCTTTTTAAGGACTTTCTTTATTTTTGCACGCATACTCCCAGTCTTCTGCTCCAACGCCTTCATAGTGGCACGGAATAGCGGGCCATCCTCCACGACACTCACATCGTCTCCTGGGCGAGAATGTAGCAGGTCGACTTTCACGGGCGGTAGGGGCGGGGCCGCAGCTGGAACGGGTGGTGGTAGTGGTAGTGAAGGAGGACCGTCTGCGGATTCGGGAGGGGTAGTGACCGGGACGTTGGAGGTCGAAACAGCATCGCTGTCGCTGAAATGCGAAATGGCGGATTGGGTGGAGGGGACGCGGTTGCGTGACGGCAGCACGGGCAACTCCAGGTTGGGCGAGGATAGAAGCGGGCTGGGAAGCGGACGAACGGTATTATGTACCCAAAAGGAGAAATGTGCAAGGGTATTCAGACGATTCGTTTTCTGGTCGTAATCCAAGAAACTGCAGCTGTTCCGCCAGCCACCACCCTTGTCCTCTGTAACCTTGGGGGGCTTCCATCTCCAAGACCAATCAAACGACACGGAGGGGGTGCCTTCGGTGGAGTAATTTCCGATGAGCTGGACGTTGGAATTATTCTGTAAGTTGGGATTCGCGTGGAACTCCCTCGTGATGAGATTATCTAGTTCTTTCGAGTTGGACGCGTGGGCGAAAGTGAGTCCTGTGAGAACGGTGTCCACCACCTCGGGTAGCGATGTCGAGACGCCATTCACCGTAGAACCAGCAACGTTTCCCGTTTGTGTTTGGCGGAGAACGAAGGTGAAGTTGAAGATGAGTTCATCGTCATTCGATAGACGCAGCAAGAACGTCGGGACTGGCGCGCTTGGAGGGGCATCGGGGTCCTGGAATGGTGTTATTGACGGCCCCCAGGATAGCCCGCTTTGCTCCGCCCCTCTGGAGTATCCTAAAGGTCCATTTTTGGAGTCCATACCTGAATATATTCGATCGGAGTCTCGTCACCGGATTCCCTCTTCGCAATAAACCTGGCGGCCGGGAACGCATTCGGGGATAGCGTCAACAAGTGGCGGCGGGAGTTGCTAATGGTGACGGCGGCGATGGACACTGACGAGGCACGGAGTTTGTCAGCTCCGTCGCAGGGCTTGGAAACTGGGGGTTAGACCAGGGGCGGACATACAGCGATTTTGGTCCTTGAAGAACAAGTTCCCAGCATCATCGAGACGGCTGGCGACATTGCCCATGATGGCGGGCGCAGGCACCAGAGGATTCAAGTCACGGCGCGAGAAGGAGTCGGAATAGGCACCGAGTCAATCGGCCATCGACAGGGTGCTCGGCAGTCGGATGGCCTGTAGAAGAGAGCAGACGAGGAAGAGGAATCCGTCATTCAGTCGTGACAAGCTGTGAGGCTGGTGGGGTGGGGGGTGGGGGGGGGGGGGGGGGGAATGGGAGGAGAGCAAAAGAGTGAGGGAGGGAGGGAGGGAGGAGGGGGAGTGGAAGGAGAGGGTGGAGTCGAAGAGCTTGTGATCGGTTTGATCGCGTCGATTTGAAGGAGGGGGTGGATGCCCGGGGGGATCGGTGGAGCGCCTCTTTTCAAACCTTGGGCTTTGCTACGCCCCATGGATCATCGCCTGAGAGTTCACGCCTTGTTTTTTTGGTGGAATTTGATATGCTTTGCATGATTCTCCGCTTACTTGCTGGACTTGCACAGGTCACTTGATATGAGTCTCGAGTGCTTGATCTTGTTCGGTGGAGACCTCCGAGATTGCAAAGGAGAGGGGCTGAACACGCGCTTTGTTTCAGCCTCCAACATCGAGTCCCTCGCCAGGCGCTGGTTGAAATTAGAACCAAGGGAGAAGAAGAGAAATGAAAGGGAAAAAAAGGAGGAAGCTACACAGAAGTAGAAGAAATAAACAGAACCATACTAATGAAGGTACGAAAGATCTTGAAATAGGACATAACAAAGTGTACCATACGAGCAGAAACTCTATGCGCGAGCGATCCAACGCCAGAATATACTCATCTGAAGGGGGTAATAGTCAAGTAACATCACAGTAGTAAAATTAGGAATCATCACAATAAAGCCTATGAATATGAAACACGCGCGGAATCATTACACAACGCCTGCTCTCCTCCCGATCATTCCCCCAACTCTATTCTTCCTTTCCAGGTATTGCATCGGGGCCATAAAACATCAACCAGGTCATGAGCGTCGTGAAACTCGGTTCCAGGCCGAGAAGAAGTGTATTAAACAGCTGGAAAAAAAAAAAAAAAAAAAAGGGGAAGCAACCACCAAAAAGACCCCAAGAACAAAAGGGCTATAGCTCGAAAACAGACAACGGCACCATCTAGACCGCCGAGTCTACCGTGGACGAAGGCTTGCGAGGTTGTTTAACCTCTCCCAGCGACGCAGCTCGATCGCGCCCGGCAATGTAGCGATGCTTAGGCTGATCGGCGTGGCCATCGTGTTCCACCCATCGCATCATCTTGCCCTTGACATCGCGCATCTCATGAACTCGGCGGGATAGGTCGCTTCGCTGTTTGCCGCTTTCACTGCGCTCATTCAGCTCGTCTTCCTCCGAGCTGGAGATGGACAGGGACGAGGCACTGCTCTGCTGTAGGTATGTGATGAGCTGGCCCTGCTTTCTCTTAAACTCGCGCTGCTCTTCCTTGAGCTGTCCCATTCGCTCTGCATCGCCGTTGCAGTCCAAGGTCGTGACATGAAGGCCCGGGAAGTTTGAAGAGAAAAACTTCTTCAACAACGGCAAGAGCTTCGCATTCGGTCGATAGGTACCGCTATCGTTGTCGATGAAGAGCTCATAGTCCGCCGGTTCGGTCGAGACCTCCTGGACCTCTTTGGAATGATCTTCGTCATCGTCCTCTTCGACGGGGAACTCGGTGGAAGTATGCGATGTTGAGGGACGCGATGTAGGGGACTGCGAGCGAGAGCGATGGCGGCGACGGTGTCTCCGACGGCGGACAAAGAACTCGCCTGAGAACGCGATATAGCTCGACACACCACTGTGCATGGTGTGTTTGCTCAGTAGGTCAATTCCGAATTCCTTGCCAGTCTCGGTGAATCGGAACTGTCCATCCAACATGAGTACGTAGGTGAAGATCCGTCCGCCCTGGCCGTGCTGGACAAACTCCAGGAACTTTTGAGTCATTTCCCGGCAGGGCTTCGGGAAAGTACCACATAGCGTGGAGCGATCAAAGTTGTAGATGCGCTGGTGCTGGTGATGGAGCGCCTTGTGTAGAATCCGACCTCGCAAGCTTTGCGCCTGGAACATGCCCGCCACGAAAGGCTTGAACTCCACGTAGCGGTGGTACATCTCCGAGGGGACGGGTCCAGTTAACTGCATTTGAATAGCTTGGAAACTGGCCGTAGTGGGCACTTTGTCAGCATCAACGGAAACACTACATTAGGCACTTCATTGAGAGTGGTCGCGCAACTCACTTGTAACGGCTGATCTCCTTGCCACTTCCATCCTCGCTCTGAACTGCATCCTTCACACCTGCCAGGCGCCCAATGAGAGGGGAGAAGTGCTTGAACCAGAGATTGGGGCCCACAGTATACATCTGGCCCCCTTCGTTGCCTGGAGTCTTCCCCAGACATTCAATGCTCATGTAGAGGAACGACTCTTTGTGATGACCAGTGACCTTGGAGATATTGGTCAGGACGTAGACCCGCTTGCTAGCGAAGCGATGCTTGACCTTGAATGGCTGCTCTTTGATATTCGACCAATTCTCCGAAAGAGAGGGGACCTCGATGGTCGCCAGCCCCAGCTTATCATCGTGGTCGGCGGGATCTTCGTCAAACACAAGTGCCTTCAACTTGAACCCCGAGGCTGGCACATTAGCAACAATCCATTCACAGTTCCAGACCGGGTTCTTGTCCTTGTGTATCGTTGGGGTTCGAAATGTCACTGGAGGATCCTGCTTATGACGGCGAGGCAGATCAACGTCGAGGCGGGCAAAGACGAAAGGATCCGACGAGAAGCTGCCGATATCTGCGAAGGGGAGGTCCACCCCGCGATGGAAGGTGAACTTGATAGTGTACCCAGGCGGAGCGTGCGGAATAGGTGTTGAATCAAAACCGCCAGCGGGCTGCGAGTTGTCCCCAGTGCTTACTCGTTGCTGGATTTTGTCGGCCTTGTCCACCAACTTAGGGCCAAAACGATCCACAGCATTAGCAGCCATGGCGGGAGAAGATGGTCTTTTGGTTAAACGGGATGAATCGGGATGCGACACCAGTCGGACAGGGGCATTATGAGATTATCGGCGCAACGAAATAAGAATAAATCATAGGAATGGTGAGAATAATAGCGACAAGGAATGATGTGTGAAGTTAAATGCGGGGGGTGGCTAGTGGAGGACGAGGGAGGACTCGCCTTGGCGAGAGTCGGCAGCGTCGGGAAGGGAGATTGTCCTTTTTTTACTTCTTCCTGTACATTCTCAAGTCACTTAGGGCAGGTGGGGAGGGACCCAATGTGAGCCAAGCTTTTCAGCCTTACCATGAACTGACGGGCAGGCAACAGCATACAACAGAAGCGCGTTCGCAAACACTTTCAGCGATCATCGTTGGAAATGGAGGGGCGTGGTTGCGTTGCCAAGTGTATGCCAAGATTTCATGGCCGATGAAGTCATCTCGCCGGGTTAACTAGTTATACTTCGTATCTCCTCCGTACAGAAAACGGAATTCGGTGCTCGTGAAACCGAAACTGGATATTGGTTCCTGATCGCTCACCAATGACGAGTCGGAGTGTTATTATTATTCTTAAGACTTGCATTACCCTAGTGGGACTATCACCAGCCCTACAGTATACGCCGTGGTACAGTACGGACGTACGGTACGTACGTATAGTAAATGGATATCTCTTCAAAGTCGCGAGGCGGAGAGACACCCTTCGGATACGGGGATTTTCTCGGGAGCCGAGATCCGACTAATGCCAAGCCTCGACATGTACAGTATTGTACTCCGTACACCAAGGAAAGATGGAAGGAATGAGACATGTTCATAGTGTATATAATTCATATTTAGGGTGTAGAATAGCTAACTGAAAAAGCATCCTCGGTGGTTATTGCTAGAAGGAACACAAGAAATCAAGTCACTCGCTGCGCAACCGTCGCATGTCAACGTTAGAGTAGGGGGGGGTTCAAAAGAAAAAAAAAAAAAAAAAGGGGAAAAGGAAAAGGAAAATCCTGGGGTCGTGAAATCATATCACTTTTTTCGTGGGGTCCTGCAGCGGCTGTGACGTCGGGGACACATCGTGAACCAGAACCCTGTACCTCCCGCGCCTCGTGGCTCTCTCTTTGCGGAGGCAGAGCCAGATTGGGGGTTCCGCATTGACGCTGGTGGCGGCCAGGGCTGCCTACGAACCTCGGAACAAGAACTGCATATCTTCGGGGGTAAGTTTCTCCAACGCCTTGTCCTGGTCTTTGTTAATAGTGCCTCTGATGAGATTGGCCTTTTTCTCCTGAAGCTGGACAATTCGGGATTCGACCGAATCTTCGATGGTGAGCCGGGTAACCACACATGGCCGCTGCTGGCCAATACGGTGACTACGATCCGCACTCTGCCATTCCGCCGCGGGGTTCCACCATCTGCGTGAAAATTGTGAGTGAAAAGAGAGCGCAAAGGATGATAAAGAGTATATCGAAAAGGGGCAAAAACTTACGGATCCACGATAAATACTCGAGATGCCTCGGTCAGATTTAGCGCCACACCTCCCGCTTTCAGCGAGACTAAGAACACCTCCACGTCGGCATTCTTCATGAAATGCTCGATTGACTTCTGTCGCTGAGCCGGGGTCATCGTACCGTCTAGCATAACCGTATTGAACCCGGCATGACGCAGGCGCCACTCCACAAGTTGGAGCATCGACGTGAACTGAGAGAAGATGATCGATTTGGGTGTGTGGCTCTTGCTGCGTTGCAGGTAGAGTTCGTAGAGGAGTGTTTCGATCTTGGTGGAGGACGTCCAGTCATCCATCAAAATGCGGTTAATGATCGAATTTTTCTTGACAGATTCCCCAGACTGTTCAATGGTAGGCTGTTCCAGATCGATCGAGAGAGGAATGTGGCACTGAGGGCAATCTACCGTTGAGGCATCGTCGAAGGACTGAATGTAGTCCTTGGCACACTTGCGGCAGAACTCATGGCGACAGCGCGATCGAATCGCATCCTCAGCAGGCTCATCACAAACGCGGCAGACCAGGATATTGAATCCAGGTTGCACATGTTTCTTGAGGATAAGGTCAGGGTGGTTGGCTACTTGCCGCATCTGCATGATCAAACCGAAAATGTTGGCGTAGTTATTGAGCATAACACCTCGGCTGACATAGGTGTCGAATTGGCGTGAAGAGTTGGTCATGATACTGCGAGAGAAATCATGCTCAATCTCGCCGAAGAACTCGTTGTGGATGGTGATACTGGGAAGATGAAATACAAATTAGCCTTCAAGGGCCATGCATGGTCACTGTCGTGGCTGACTGAAAGCTTACCGTTTCGGTGGAAGTTCCATCGAGGATGTATGTTCCTCCTTCATGCGTCGAAGCATGATATGGTCGGTAATCAACCGAAGCTTCGCCAATCCCTCCTTGCGTTCCGTTGTCGTCCTTCCCTCCGTGACTACAACGATATTAGTATGCTTCCAGAGGAGCGGTACATTAAATCAGAGGGCACGAGTGAAGTCAGCAATCTAACTTACTTGGATTCAGAATTTCTTTATTGAATAACGAGATGTGGTTGAAGCCACTGAAATCAAGTCAGTAAGTGTCCCAGAGAAAGAGCATCGTCAACATACGTATGTCCACATTCAGTGCAACGACCCTGCTTATTCGCAGACCACTGGAGCTGTTCACACGGGCATTGCTTGCAAAAGTAACAGGCAAAGGGCTTGACTTGTAAGAAGCGCAAGAGCGAGAAGAACTCTCCGATCCTGTTTTGCACGGGCGTGCCGGATAAGCACCATTTGTATGAAGCCTTCAGGGCGAAGCAAGCTTTGGCCACACCCGTAGTGCGTTGCTGGGCAAGTCAGCGCCACCATCTCAAGTAAAAGTTGATGCAGAGGCTCGTAATACCTTGATACTGTGTGCTTCGTCGAGGATAAGCCGGTGATAATCGATAGAGTGAATCACACCTGCGAGGGGGTTAGCATGTTCCCGCATAGAAAACCACCAAAGTAGTCCAGAAAAGACCTACTATCTTCCTTCACTGTTCCATCACCACGAGTCCAACCCTTCTCTTGCTTCCTGTGCATAGATTCGAGGCTCGAGTCTCGAGGCGAAGTCAGTGTGTTTTCTTCAAGAGTAGCCACGTTGGAGGAGCCGGTAACTCACAAGAGATCATGATCACATTGAACTTCCGCAGATCCGACCGCGAGAGCTTTTTGACCTTCGAATCTGAATTGTGGTAGACGCAAACCTTAAGTTTGCCATCGGTGTACGCCTGAGAAAATAAAATGAGTTTGCATCTTAACATTTCAAGAGAGTAAGAATACGCACCTTGATCTCGGAGACCCACTGCATCAGAGCGACTGGTGGCACAATGACCAGGGTCGGCTCGGGCTGAGGGAAATCGGACATGATAAGAGACACGGCTTGGATTGTCTTGCCCATGCCCATTTCGTCACCAAGGAGGCCACCTCGATACTCAGTCTTTTCCTGCTGCATCATCCAGTTCAGGCCTTCCAACTGGAAGGGTTTGAGCTTGCGAGTGATGGATTCCGGCTGCTGAGCGGCCTTTGGGGTGATAACAGGTGTCGCCTTCAGTTTGTCCCACATAGTGACAATAACCGGATGCTTTCTCTCTAGCTTCTTCCGATCGGCGAACATCTAGAATAGCGTTAGTCAACATGTTTGCTGGCCGCCAGTAGATAACTCTCGAGATATCTCGCTGGAGAATCTGGCTCAACTTTGAACTTACTCGGCGCGCCTTTCGCTGCTCTTCCCAACTTAGAGGTAAGTCATCCTCATCCTCTTCAGCCATTCCGTCGTCGTATTCAATTGCGTCTTCAACATCCTGGTCCCCTTCTTCTCGCTCTTGTCGCTCTTCTCCATTGTATTCTGAGTCTGAAACTGGGTCAGAATCGTGTTCCGAGTTCGATGACTGGTCGATGAGATCCCATTCGGACAATTCACTGTCGCTCGATGTACCCAAAATTTCCCGTGTGGTTCGTGCTTGTTGCCAGGACCGCTTTGAGGCCGCAGTTTTCTGTTTCTTAGGCAGTGGATGCTCATACTCCTCCATCTGGAGAGCATAAGCTATGGCCGCATCAGAGGCTTCCGGGCTCACTTCATCTTCTGAAAGCGCAGCAACTTCGGCAGATCTCTTTGTCCCACGTTGGCTTCTTAAAGACGCTCTTCTGGTCATGGTGCTTGCGCGAAGGGTTTGAGCGCGGTCCGATGCACTCACACGGCCCCGAGTCTGCTTAATGCTAGACTCTGCAGGGGTCCCGACACTGGTCGCCGGGGTCGTGCAGCCTGTCGTCCCATCGACGGACCGGATACCCGACGAGCCGCACGAGTCACTTGGGGATACATCTTTCTTGGTAGGAATCACCACATTCACGGCCACTGAGGAGGTATTTTGGGTCGTAGACGAAGTGAAGGAATCCAGATCTAGACCAGCAACGCCATCATCTTCGGAATCTTGAATGACGCGGGAGGCTCGTGTTCTGGAATGCGAAGTCTTCCGCTGCGGTGGTTGTCGACGAGGGGGGAAGAATTCTTCAATGACGTGCCACTGAGAAATGCGTCATCCTCTGAGTCGGGGATCACAGCAGCCTGGGATCTTCTTCTCATTGCGCTGGTGGCGGATGCAGGGAGAGTGGGAAAGCCAAGATATTGTTGGAGAGACAGGCTAAAGAGCCAGAGGACAAAAGGGAATCAACGGGGAATCGCGTCAGGTGAGAGCAGAGTATCTAGATCTGATATTTTCTCTAATTAGCACCTGGGTCTATTAAGCAATCCATCGGCATGATGAAGACGAAGACTGAGCGGAGTCGAGAGCGGCGCTCGACTCGGGAGGCGTTCACTCACTTATCTAAGAGATCCCGGGGACGGGCTGAAGGGTCAACACGGAAAAGGGGTAGGAAGGAAGGTGAGGAGTGTAGATCTGAGTTGGACAAAATCAACCCCGGAAGCGAGCGTGGATTGACAAGAGAACGATGATCAAGGCGAAGGGAAAGGGGGATGACGAGAAGAAGTCGAGGTGATCGGGAGCGATGATCGATCGAAGAAGGTGCCTGGAGTGAACCACTCAAATCAGGAACCAGGAAAACTCTTCGGTCGGTCCGACATGCCAAAATTTTTTTTTTTTTACCATTCCTGGATCTACTATCGGGGAAGGATTTGCCTCATTCCATCACTCTATCGATTCCGATTCTACACTTATCTTCTCGGGTTTCTACGACTCTCCCGAATCCCCCAAGACCCTCCACGCCACTTATCGTGCCCTTGCGCGATAGTCCGATAGTCCGATAAGAGCCGCTCGCGTTAAGTGCAACGCGAAACTGTCGCGATCCCGTGACCTGCTCTCTCATCGGTACTGCTCTCGACATTACCACCCAACACTACTCCAACACTCACTTTCGCCTTCATTTCTGGCCCTACCGATATGTATGCTACGGCTCAACCGCTTGGATATCACATACTGAGAAACTAATGCGTTATTGCAGGGCGAACCGAAGGCAGGCTAGCAATATCCGCGGCCCGTATGACCTCATATCCCCAATGCCATTCCCTAGTATATGCATCCAGCTAATTGATCCTTCATTAGGCACTCTGCGCTGACTGATTTCCTTGCTGTATGTACAATTGCCAACCTTATCCGCTGTCTCATTGCTGTTCGTTGGCTAATTACTTTGCTACAGTCGAACAATATCTCCGCCGCCCAGATTCGCGATGATTACGGCCGACGAGTGGCAGAGGTAGCACGCCAGGCTGCGGAGGAAGAGGAAGATGCCGATCTTGACATGGAAGAGCCGGAGTATGAGCCTACACCGGAACCGGACTCGCCAGAGGACAAAGCAAAGAAGCGCAAGCGCCAACAAGCCATTGAGAAGATCAAGAAAAGCAAGGAATTCGCCCGCCGCAAAGCTCGACGGACTGGGGAACCTGACGATGACGACGATGCTCTAGCTAATGAGATGATGGATGAAAACCAACGCCCGACTCCAGGACAGCTAGGAAACTGCGAGATCTGTGGCAAACGGTTCACTGTCACCCCCTACAGCAAGACGGGCCCTAGTGGAGGTCTCCTCTGTGCACAATGTTCCAAAAATCATGTTGGCGGGGACAAGAAGGCTGCACCTAAGAAACGCAGCTCTGGAATCGGGCGGCGCCAAAACCAAAGCAATCTGCTGGATGGGCTGACTTCTCAGGGTACTCAGAGTCTACTGGAGACCTGTATTAAGGTATCTCTAGACCCCTGTGCAATGCTAAGATGCAATTGTCCCTGACCTCTATGATAGAAAGTTGCGGAAAACATCTCCGACGTGGAAGAGTTCGGCGACTTACCTCCGCCAGTTATGCATCGACTCAGTCAGATTCTGGCCCGAAGACGAGCGATCACTTCGACGACTTTGGATCTTTTCCTACGTCCGCAGAACAAGGAGATCAACATTTATGACTGTGCCAGTATGTCTCGCCGATCAGCACTTACGATCTTAGTATCCATCCTTCGATTTCATGCCTAACCCGGAATATAGAGCTTGATACCGATGATTACCACAAGATTCTTGCTACCATGCCTAACCTGACTCGACTCAACTTGCGATTCGTCACCCCAATGAAAGATCGCATTTTTCAATACATGATGGACCGGGACATGAATATCCAAGACCTGCATCTTGATTCACCAAACTTGGTGACAGATGAAGTTTGGCGTCAGCTCTTCACTCGACTCGGCCCGCGACTTCGAAGCTTGAAGCTTTGGAATCTCGATTCCGCCTTTGACGATGAGACTGTCGAGGTGCTGGGCAAAAACTGCACTCAACTTCAGCGCCTCAAATTGAAACATCTCAACAAGATCGGCGACAAAGCGCTCGAATCAATTTCGACAATGAAGACCCTGCAGCACCTCTCACTACATGTCAGCCAGGAAACGACTCCGGAGCTTCTTCTACAGATCGTCACTGAGCTCGGCCCCAATCTACGGTCCCTTTCCTTGGAGGAATTCTACTTTGCAGATGACAGTCTGCTTGAGCTTATACGGGACAAGTGCCAGCACTTGAAAAAGCTTCGGCTTGCCATAAATGCAGAGTTCACAGACAAAGCTCTAGCCAATCTCTTCCGCGGCTGGTCCAATCCTCCCTTGTCATTTGCAGACTTCCACCGCGTACGTGACGTGGACATGGCAAACCCCGCTGGCCCACCTGAGCCTGTCGGCCTTGCTTCGGACGGCTTCGTTGCATTGATGGAGCACTCGGGCGCCAGAATTGAAAGTCTTAACGTTGCTTCATGTCGTCACATCTCATATGCAGCATATGAAGAAGCCTTTGGCGAGCACAAGCGATACCCAGAGCTCAAGTATCTAGACATTTCATTCAACGGTATGGTTGATGACTACCTGGCACAGTGCATATTCCGGTGCTGTCCGGCCTTAACAAGACTGGTTGTCTTTGGGTGCTTCAAGATCCGTGACATTAACATTCCTCGGGGTGTCGCGGTGATTGGTACAGTCGGTGCCAAACTGACAATCGACGGGATCACTCAAAAGGAGCTGGTTTAGCTGGTTCTCCATTGGCTAACCGGCCGCCAACGACTACTCGATCCTGACTTTGTGCCTGAAAAAAAAATTGAACACGGAGCTGTCAATCTGGGGTTTCTGCTTGAACTTTATGGGTGGCTAACAGCCTTTCTTTTTCTGCAAATGAGACACGCACGAGCTACGATCAATTTTTAGCGCCTCGGGGCTTGATTATGGCACATCAATTACTGTTTATAGGTCATCAAACCTAACGAGTTTATGATAAGGCAGAAAATCTCCATTCAGTATAATTAGACCATAAATGGTGAGGAAGAAAATATTATGAAATGGGCATGAACCAAAGTCAGAAGTATTCAAGACAACAAAGACAGCGACACAGCCTAAGCCCTTCTGGTCAAGGCAGAGAAGACCCAATTAGTACGGAATACCGTTTGTCATCAGCTGGAACTGATCGTATCCTTTGGTTGACACGCTCATGTAAGACTTGCGCACCAATTCGCGCATATACTCCGCAGCGTCGCGCTCGCTCTTTTCCAATACAAAGCGGTCCCGGAAGTTCTTCAGTGTCTCAGGCTTGAAGCATGGAAGTCCGCTGTCCAGCATTAGCGACACGATGTGCGCCAGCTTGGTGCAGTATGGCCGCGATGCCAGGAACGCCTTGATCACGAGTGACTCGAACCACCGGTACGGTTGGGTAGTCGTAGGGTTATGCGAGTTGCTGCCTGGCAGGCTGATACCCGAGGTCCCACTGGGGTGGTGCGCTGGGTTGTGTGTGCCGCTCATTACTGCCACCATCTCGGAGGTCAACTTGAACGGTGCACGCTCGAAGCGCACACCGCCAGGAGCGATATCGAAGCAGAAGCCGAAATCAATGTGGATGATGTGGCCCGCGTCATCCACCATGATGTTGCCGTTGTGTCGGTCCTTGAATTGGAGCAGGTACGAGATCACGGAGTATGCGGCCATACTCTTGACGAAGTTGGTGCGAGCTTCCTGGAAACGGATCGAGTCTTCGCCGCCATACTTGGAAACGAAATAATCGTACAACCCATTCACGGCTTCACGGCCAAGCATGTCACGGGATATCGAGTTCGGCAGCACGTCGATCACACCACAGCCTGGAGCAGTCGACGTCACCCGGTAAGGGAATACCCAGACGTCCAGACCGACATTGGAGAAGATGCTGCGGAAGGCCGCAATCATCTGCAGGGCAAGCATATCCTGACGACAATCGTCACCGACCTTGAAGATGGCCGACTGCCAGACCTCATAAGTTTCCTGGTTCGGCTCGGCTGAACGAGTAACCAACTGGCGCTGGTCAGACCCATTAAGAGCCTTGGCCGAATCACCCTTGCCTTCCAGACGAGGCCGAGTCTTTTGGACCCGGAAGGTGGCCATGTACGGCGCCTTCGCGTGGCTTTGCAGTGGCTTCCCGGACTTGCGGTCGATTCCGACGACCACACCGTCGGGGTTACTGGGCAGATAAACGCCAACCTCAACCTTGATCTTGCGAAGCTCCTCTTCAATCTTCTCCTTCTTTTCGGGCTTGCTCCGCTTGATGTATGGACGGAGCTTACCAGAGATGCCAGTAATCTCGTTGAAGAACGAAAATTCTCGCTCGTAAAAGGCGCGCTCTTCGATCGTGAAACTTGAGATCAAAGCCTCTAGGAATCGATCCAGGGTTGGCTTGATTGGATCCGGCTACGTGTTTCTCGAGTTAGATTGTGGCCAATGGCCAATGACAGGCACAGGAAAGAACTTACCACTTGCGAGTCCTCGTCCTTGTAGGAGTTGGCCTTCATGTTCCAAATCACTTGATGGGCGAACAGCTGGGATTGCTTCGCTGTTTCAAGAGTGTAGCGTCCAACATAGCCCAGAGCATCATATCGGAGAGCCTGAACTAGCTGCGGCACGAAGTAGAAACGAATGTCCATGGAATGACTCTCCAGGGCCCGCATAGCATACTGGAGAATGAACGGATGATTTCCATATGCCGGAAGGAAGTACGTAAGCGCTTCTGTCGGGTTGACAGGAGCCCAGTACAATAGATACTAGATCACGGTCAGTAGGTGGTAATAAACTGTCAGATTGATCTATTTGAAACTTTACCTTCAGCTGGAAATTGACATCAGCCTGCAGAGATGAGTCGAACATTATTTCTAAAGCGCTCGATTCCCGAGTGGCCTTCTCAGGGAAATTGAGGATTAACCACCGGATCTCGGTTTGCATCTTGATTGATGGGAATCGCGTAGCGAGCTGAATAGCTAGGCCCGGGCTCTCAGCCCACGCAAGGCGGAGATAGGTCGTAACAGCCTATGGTATTCGTGTTAACGTCTGTCGATCGGTATATGTCAGAAAATCGGAGATGGAAGAACCTACATCAGTGGAGTTCTTGCCGCCACCAAGCGAGGGTATGTGGTGTTTTCGTTCGGGCTCCAAGGGGAACAGCCAAACTCGAAGACGGGACCTCTCGTTCTCGATGAGGAGCTGGGTCAGCTCCTGCTTCAGTTGCAAGGATTTGTACGATCCCTGGACTTGGGTGGCAATATCTGCAACACTCCGCAAAGCCCCTAGCACGTCGCTGAGAACCTTGTCTTCAGCCTTGATCTGCAACCGATTACCGCCAAATGACCATCTGGACAAGTTAGTGAAAAGGCTCTTAGCTTGCCATACCATTATTCTCGAAAAGAACAGCTATGACATACCTTGGTGCATGCTTGAACCAGCTCAGCGCAGCAGACAAGATCTGGTCCTTCAGCTTCCAGGTAGCGGCACTATTACGTGGGCTTAGATGTTGCAAAATGCGCAGACCAAAGAAAACAATGCGGAAATGAATCTCCCTAGCCAAGGGATGACCCATCGTCTTAGCGAGTGCCACGACCGTGTTGCTGATCAGGCGACAGAACAATTGTTGGTCCTGGAGATTGCCTAGGCGCACGGCGCTGAAGTGGCTCTCGAAGAACTGAAGCACACGCAAATGGGGCGACAGCTTGTTCTGCGCTTCTTGTTGCTTCCTGAGCATGGATGCTTTGTCTGTGGGCAGCAACTCGATCTTAGTCTGCAACGGATCCAAGTAACTAAAACATGAAATTAGAACCTCTTGAGTAGAAAATACGGGGAATGAATGTCTCATACTCAAAGGTGGGATCAAACAAGCCTTGGCGTCTCTGGATACTTTTGTCCCAAGCCTCGACTACGTGTGCCAGGATACGCGGCTCAATGCTGGGGTTCTCGTGGATCACACCCAGCCACAACGAGACTCCCAGCTTGATCGTCTCCTTGGTAAAAATCTGGAACGGCAAAGCCACCAGGTAATGGACGACAGAAAGTCGAGGATTGCTACTACTGCAAATCAAGCGGGCGGCTTGCCGCAGAGCATCCCTGACTTCTCCGAGAGGGATATTGTCTCCCTTCATGCTACGTCCATAAAGGCGAGCCAGGGAATATTCAAGGCTATGGGCAGATTCGGTGGAGAAGTCCACTTCGGGTTTGGGGCCTAGAAATTGCGGTGGGTCAGTATTAGTATAGAGGCCGGACAGACACGAGTGACCTACCGCCAATCCCCAGGACCTGGCCATCGGCACTGTTAAGCAACGAGATATCTGGACGGCGGTACTTCTGACGTGTAGTGTAGAGCGCCATAAAGTCAGAGGCAACATTGACTTCACTATCATGGCTATCGATAGAACCTTCTCCAAATGTCAGACAAGGAATTAACAGAGTCATTTCGGATCAAAGGGGGAACTTACCGAGACGAGGATCACTGTTGGGAATGTGTGAACCCATCTCAAGGGCGAAGGAGCGGCCTAACGAGATATGGCCATAGCCGCCGTCGTCGTCGTATTCGGAGAGGTATGTCTAAATATCAGTGTGAGTGTAGATTCACCTGGAAGGCCGTTAAACGCCACGTACCTGCAGCAGTCCTTTGATGTCCAGGGGGGCAATGTTCAAGACTGTTGTAACCCATGTTCTAGCTCGCTCTAGGAACCGGTTCAAAGTGGCCTTTCGGAGGGCATAATTATCGGGCAAGTCCACTTTGACGATGCCCATCGGGGAAACCAGGGTTGGCTTCCACTCGAACTCGTCAAGCTCTCCTTGAAGGCAAGATAACCACATTACGGTCAAGATCTCGAGCAGAGCAAAGAGCGAATGCTTCTCGCAGAGGGCAGAGGGGCATTCGCGAATGATCTTGTCAGTACACTGCGTTGCTATGTGTTGAATCCTCTCGATACGATGGCAGCAAGCAGTTAGGAAGTTGGCCAGCTGCTTCGCTAGGTACGGCGCCGAGAACTCATCGAAATCTCCTGAAAGCGTGCGCGAGAGGTAGCAGGTCACAACTTTCTCGGCAACGGCATTCATGCAAACAACCATCTCAGGAGCAGCCACAGCTGGATCCCGGAAGTAACTGAGAACCTTGGTGCAGTCACCAGATGCCGAGCGGAGAGTTTCAACCAACAGAACAGCATTAAGAAAAACCGATCTGGGGTAATCCAGGCGCTTGATATCGGACTCTCGACCCGGCAACTCTGCAATCAGCGAGCGCTTCTGCTCCAGAACCCGCTGCGGTCCCATGCCCCTCCTAAGCACGGTGTTTAGCTCAACGTCACTCTCAAGGGACTCCATACGCTCCTCCGCAACCAAGGGTGGGGAGTTGCTCGCGAGCAGGCTCAGTTCCTTAAGATGCCTCTGGTAAATGCTCGAATTAACTGAAATTCCATGGATGGCGATGTTGAACCAAGCATCCCGGAACAACGAGCAGATGGTCTCGTCATAGCCCAGAGTCAAATTACAAGTCTCTGTGGTTGCCTTCTTGGAAGAAACAAGCAGTGCCAAAGGTTTCAAGAGCGGCGTGATGTCGCCATGAGCGAAAACAACCTCTCGATGGCGTTCGGACTCAACCACGTCTGGGACATCTCCCTTGTTAACGACACTCTCCAGAAGATGGGTCAGATAAATTCTGTGAACAGGAGAGTTGTGGTCCAAGTTCACAGAGAGATACGACATGGCACACTGAACAGCATCGGTGATCATGTCCAGACCCTTGTGGACTCCGTCAAGATAAATCCGGGTATAGAATTTCAGCAGCAGCAAGAATTCAGCCTGCCCGCTGCTCAAAGCAAGGACAGCCGCTTCTTGGATGATAAAAGCGTCGACGGAAACATTGATCTTGCCGACCTTTTGAAGAAGCATCGACTGTGCAAGAGCGCTGATTTTGTCATCGTTGCAACTGGTCGCAATAATCACAATTGCATGCACGACGTTTCGATTGGTCAAGGTTTCTTCCTCGCCAAGAGCCGAGAGTGTTGCTTGGCTTGCATTCCCTGCATGCGCATAAGCTACCAGGTTCCCTGTAAGCCCAGTAGAATCGACAAGAACATGATCTTGGGCCGCTTGGTCACCCATGGGACCGGGGCTCAGTGAGTTGCCCAAAGAGTACAAGGTTGCAATCACGGAGTCCTCAGAGAGAATGCTCAGAATTTGAGCGAGACATCGAGAAGCCACGGCGACAACAGAGCCCTTTGATGCACGACCGTGAACCAAGTACTTCAAGAGGCAGCGTCGGCCAAGCGTTGCTCCGTTCGATGACATCCTAGCGAGAATCGCTGTGCACTTGAGCGCAGTGATGGCTAGCTCGTCGCACGCCATCTGTTGAGGATCACCAACGGTAGTCTCAAGCCAGGACAAAAGGACATCGTTGTTGGCAGCATCTTCACCGAGAACGACACAGTTCAAGAAACCAATCAGAGCGTGGCCTTTCACAGAGAAGGCCAGGCGTTGTTGGGAGGGAGACCCAACCTGCAGATAATCCGATCCATCCTCAAGCAAGTTGATCTCCTCACTGATCAGGTCCGTGATTCGTTCAATCAGGGCAATGTCGGCTTCATCGTAGCTCTTGGCGATTCCGACCCCAGCCATGTATTCATCCAAAAGCTGGTCATCGGACAAGTTCTGAGATCCGATCAGAGATGCGGCGCATGACTTGACAAAGCGCATGAAGCCCTCTTGAACTAGCATGGCACCCAATGGGCGCCCATGGGCTGCATACCGCCTGGTATACTTTCTCCAATCCTTGATGGAGTTGTCAGAGACGCTGGCATTGCGAACTGTCGACGAAGCAGTTTCAACGGCAATCATGAACGACTCGGAGAGCATTGATCGCAAGAGATCGATGATTTGCAACTTCTCTCCTGCGGTCCAGATGACAGTATACTTAGCGGACGCCTCGAGGAATCCAACCAACGATACTGCGATCGACAAGACAGCGATAGACTCGTGTACAACACCTCGTCCGCCCGCTTCAGATGAGGAGTACTGAAACGGGGTGACAGCGTTGACCGCATCAGAGCAGTTTTTCAGGTATCCACTGACCGCATTAAGGGCCAACTTGCGCAGGGATGAGAATTTGGTGGCCAAGGACAGGAGCGCTGTGGTCAGACTATGGGAGAGGATCTCCCATGGTGACGGCTTGACCTGGTGGAGGAACGGGGACGGGCGAAACAGTTGAGTGGGGGACTCTGGCAGGTATCGGGACAATTGGGTGACCAGACGGTTGGCATGTTCGGGATCGTTCACGGACGAGGCAGCCTTGCATAAGGCGAGTAAGACATCGAGTTCGCGAATCCCCTATGTATAGCCCTGGACGTTAGTATATGATCCACCCCGCAACATCGGGCACTTTTTGGACATTGACACACCATTGGAACTCGGGAAGTCGGAGCCTGTTCTTTCAATACTCCATTCAGAGCTCCATCAGGCTGGCGAGCCAGTCGGGTCTGTTTGACGAGGCGCGCAAGGTCCGAACTATCGTCATTGCTGGGAGACTTGACGGCCAAGGCCGCCAACTTCTCTAACGCAGAGCGTCGAATCCCGACCGAGAGACTGTTCGACATAGAGGTGATTAGCACGCGGTCTTTTGATGCAATTCATCTTGACCAGCTTCACTTACCCATCCATTCTCACCTCAATCTAGGGATGCTGAGAGAGAGAGAAGAGGGTTGGGGGGGTGAACTCGGAGATTCCTTAGAATTCCTGGGGAATGGAGCCGGGGCACGTGTTGACGCGCGAACCTAGGCCTGACTTGCTTGTTCCCCCTGGTCTGATGGAGATTTGACCCGCTCTGCGTAACTATGGGGGGAAGAATAATACTCAAAAGGATCATGATCAACGTGTTACGATCGGAGCCAAAGACACTATTCTTTTCTAATTACATATTCCACAACATATCATTCACTATTAGCAGAATTGTATACATCCCGCACCACGAAATCCATAGCAAACAACAGATGTTGACATGTCCAGGTTGGGGCGGGTGGTGGCTGAGGGCTCGCACCCTCGCAAAAGTAGCTTCCTTTGAGCCTCCAAAGCTTCCCCCGTTTCTTCTTTCCCCCCGCTCGCCTCAGAACCATTTTCCCTTCAGAACAAGCCCCGGTTTGCTCTAGTGTCCTCCGATTCGTCCAATCTTCCCGGTGAAAACTCGATACTCTCGAGATTCCACATTCTCCCCAGCTACCCCCGACGGTCAATGCCCCGGTAAGCCTCGTCCAGACAGCACCGCTAATTGGCCTGTGGACGACTTCCCAAGCCGGGGGTCTGTGTGGTATGAGTGAGAACGATGGCACCTCGTGAAAAAAGCTCGCTCAAACGGGGCAGAGTAAGTGTCCTGTCGACGCGGTTCGTGACTTGCTGGCGCTGACCCTCCGTCCGTTCCCTCGCCGAACAGCACAGCGTGGATGCCGATTCACAGGACCTGAAGAAACCCCGGCGCTCGCAGAGAATCTCCAGTCAGCAACAACATCAACCACTAGAATCACCAGTCATCCATGACTATCTGCCGACTCCGCTGACCCACGGCAACTCGACGGCCACCGATATCCGCAACGAAGTCACAGCCACTCCCCCAGACAGCCCGAACCACCATATCAGTCAGCAGACTCCAGAGAATGATTTTTCTCAGGCCTATTCTTCGCCTCCGGGTGACACACAAGCCCTGTCGCAGTTCATTTACCCCCCAAGGACATATGCAGACGAGGTGGACGACGAGAGTGCGGAGGGAGTGTGGGGATACCTCATTCCGCTCGATGACAGCGTGAGCGGTGCTGTCGTCTTGAAGCAGCGCCATGGCTGCACTGGGCGTGATGAACCCGCCAATGACAAATCCAGCAAGAAGTCCCAGTCTCGCAAACAAGGGAATGGTCGCGTCCCTGGTGGCTACTTGTTTGGCCGTCATCCTGAGTGTGGTTCGTAAAGACCTGTTCATTGGCACTTATCCAGCTACCAACTGACCTTTCCTGTGCAGATCTAGTTATCAATAGTCCAACCATCTCGAACCGACACTTCCTGCTATTCTCAGAAAAGCGAAAAGGCGATGTAGTGGCAATGTTGGAGGATCTCTCCAGCAACGGAACATTCGTCAACGATGCCCTGGTGGGCCGGAACAAGCATCGCGAGCTCGAGGATCGGGATGAGGTTTCCATCCTGAACGAAGCTCGATTCGTCTTCCGCTACCCTCGCTCGCGAGATGCCAGTGGCTTCCGTCACCAGTACCGAAGACTCCAGCAGCTTGGCAAGGGCCATTTTGCTACAGTCTACCTATGTGCGGATCGAACCACAGGCAAGCAGTATGCTGCCAAGGTCTTTGAGAAACGTCCGGGTGATTCGCAAAAATCCCAGTCCCAAAACGAGACACTGCAGCAAGAGATTGCTCTTCTGATGAGTGTGAATCACCCAAACCTGCTTTGCCTGAAGGACACTTTCGATGAAACCGATGGTGCCTATCTTATTCTGGAGCTAGCTCCCGAGGGTGAATTGTTCAATTTGATCGTGACCAAGCAGAAGCTGAGCGAGGCTGAAACCCGCCATGTGTTCCGTCAACTCTTCGAGGGTTTGAAGTATCTGGTAAATATCACCTTCCATCCCCGGATTGTCTACACCATTTCGATTGCGCGCTAACTCCAAAATTCAGCATGACCGAGGAATCGTTCACCGGGATATTAAGCCTGAGAATATTCTCGTGGCAGACAAGAAGCTGACCATCAAGCTGGGCGATTTTGGTCTTGCCAAGATCATTGGAGAGGATTCGTTCACCACAACCCTGTATGGCCCCAAACAATCTCCCCTTTTGTTCCAATCATATACATGCGCTAACTCTTCCTGTCCATAGTTGTGGTACCCCCAGTTGTAAGTTCAGCGCCATTCATACACTGAAGAGGGGAAATTGTTCTTGATACTAATCGATGCAGATGTTGCGCCAGAGATCTTGCAGGAGACCCGTCGGCGACGTTATACCAAGGCTGTGGACGTCTGGTCGCTGGGTGTGGTTCTTTACATCTGTCTCTGCGGCTTCCCTCCATTTTCGGATGAACTGTACACTCGGGAGCACCCATACACTCTGGCACAGCAAATCAAGATGGGTCGTTTCGACTACCCTTCCCCTTACTGGGACTCTGTGGGCGATCCAGCTTTGGATCTGATTGACAAGATGCTCACCGTGGATGATGAGAAACGAATTACGGTGGATGAGTGTCTCGAGCACCCGTGGTTGACTGAGAAATTCCCCAGCGTTAATGACAGCACGGATGGCCTCACCGGTGCTCTCGACAAGCTGGACTTCTCCAAGCGCAAGATCGAGCGTGAGCGCACGATGCTTAGCAGCGTCAACGACGTCCACTTCAGCGAGCATGCCGAGGGCAGCAGTACCCCAGTCAAGGTCTATCACAAAAATGAGGCTGGAAAGCGAGTGCACAATCGGCCATCCAGAGCACCACGCCGCGAGCCTTCTCCCCGCGGTGATCGCGATCCCAAAAACTTTGTGAACCTGGGCCAATCTGGAGATCCTGCCCTCTATGACTAGTTGTCGATAAAGGCGGATCGCCTCTGGTCTTTTCTACTCCGGTGTCTGTTGCCTGACTTGGACTAGCCTGCTTCGGCTCGACTACTGGTATTGGGTGTCTACATAGTTGTGTTGGTCTTGTTGTATGTATTACTTTGCGGTTCAAGGGGGTAACTATTCGGGAAATGGTATTGGTATGGCACAAACAAAAGGAGGGTTTCTTAATGTATAGTTTAGAGTCCTTTGTCAGTGTGGCGTTGAAATGCGATTCTCATAGTGCTATCAGTGTCCCGGTTTCCCATTGCTTTGGTAAATTTACGCCTGCTACTGCTTGCGCCATTAGGTCGATCATGCCATTCTCACCGTTCAGTGGGAGATAACCTTTAGCTTGGGCTTCCTGCACCTTCGTTGCTAGGCATGTGTAGCAGGCCTCGTCAATATATATTTCCATGGACGAAAGAGCCATATGAGTAGTTCTCTATCTTTCTCTATCTGTCTTCACCTTCACCCTCTACTGATCAATATCCTACTATGACAAAGCACTCTGTAGGACTAACTAACTAAATTTATTAGGTAGGTGTCGTCAATGTATTTTTCTTTGGTACTCTCTTTGATACCTTTTACGCCCGGGGGGGGGGTTTACACCTACGAATCAACTAGCCATGAAATACGGTACATATCCAGAGCTATCCCAATCCGTAGACAGATATATGACCATGTAGAGATTTCGGGGGTGTAGATTTTGTGAGCGACCACCTCCACTCCAAATGTGGCCTGATTAACTGCCCATTTGGGGATTGCGCGAACCTCATTGGACGAGGAACCGGTGTCATTTTTCTGTATGATCCCATACTTCATACGAAGTCCCCGTATATAGGATGCAACTGTCTCGTATAAAAGGGCCATTTTAGCTAATTCGTGGAGAGAAAGGACAATTCTAGGCGGAAATGCGTAGTATCGTACTCGAGCACAGTAGTGTACGGTGGTCCTCGCGGAATCAGGGGAACAGAACTATCGGACGAGGCACCAGTGGCGGGTCCCTCCCCGAATGGGACCGCGGAGATTATTATTTTGCGCCCCCTTCCACACCTCTGGACACTGCCACTTCCCACTTCACTGACCCTCTGGAACTTGCGGACTAACGGACCATTCTACTGTCAACGTTCTCGTGGTCCGGTCTCGTCTTCTCCCCCTTCGCCTCGCCCTGAAGGCTTTGGGAAATTCTCTTCTCTTCTCGTCCCCTTAATCGCTCCTCCCCCTAATCACTCCGCCCTCCATGGGTCTCTTCACCAGTTTCCTCGACAAGTTCTGCGAGCACTGCTCGTCGCAGTCCATTTTCACCCTTGTCTCGGTTGGCGCATTGTCGTTCATCGCATTGGCCGTCGTGATCAATGTGCTGCGCCAGCTGCTCTTCAAGAACCCCCACGAGCCCCCAGTCGTCTTCCACTGGTTCCCCTTCGTTGGCAGCACCATCAGTTACGGTATCGACCCGTACAAGTTCTTCTTCAATGCCCGCGAAAAGGTGCGCAATTTCCCCCCATGACTCCCCTAGATTCAACGCCCCTCTAATGCGCCTCCTCTGCAGTACGGTGACATTTTCACCTTCATCCTCCTTGGCAAGAAGACCACCGTGTACCTGGGCACCAAGGGCAATGAATTCATTCTGAACGGCAAGCTGCGCGATGTGTGCGCCGAGGAAGTTTACTCGCCCTTGACCACCCCCGTTTTTGGAAGCAATGTCGTCTATGACTGCCCTAACTCCAAGTTGATGGAGCAGAAGAAGGTGAGAACAGGGAACCCCTTCGCCAATCCACCGCGCCGAAATCTAACCCAGCGGGCTTCCTCTAGTTCGTGAAATTCGGTCTCACTTCTGAGGCACTTCGATCCTACGTGCGCTTGATCACCGACGAGGTCAACGACTTCGTCAAGACCTCCCCCGCTTTCCAGGAGTCCAAAGGCACCTTCGACGTTACTAAGGTCATTGCGGAAATCACCATCTACACTGCGTCGCGCTCCCTGCAGGGCAAGGAGGTTCGGGACCGATTCAACTCTACCTTCGCCGAGATGTATCACGACCTCGACATGGGTTTCGCCCCCATCAACTTCATGCTCCCCTGGGCCCCGCTCCCTCACAACCGCAAGCGTGACGCTGCCCAGCGCAAGCTGACCGAGACCTACATGGATATCATTCGCCAGCGTCGCGAGGCCGGTGGCAAGAAGGACTCCGAGGATATGGTCTGGAATCTGATGTCGTGCACCTACAAGAATGGTACCCCGGTTCCCGATGAGGAGGTCGCCCACATGATGATCGCCTTGTTGATGGCTGGTCAGCACTCGTCCTCTTCGACCGCTGCTTGGATTGTTCTGCGCCTGGCCACCTGCCCTGAGATCATTGAGGAACTCTACCAGGAACAGCTCCGTGTGTTGGGTCAGGATCTGCCTGATCTGACTTATGAGACCCTCCAGAAGCTGGACCTGCACTCCAAGGTTATCAAGGAGACCCTTCGTATCCACGCGCCCATCCACTCCATCATTCGTGCTGTCAAGAACCCCATGCCCGTCGAGGGAACTCCCTATGTCATCCCCACTACCCACAACGTTCTCTCTTCGCCCGGTGTCACTGCCCGGTCCGAGGAGTACTTCCCTGAGCCGCTGAAGTGGAACCCCCACCGTTGGGACGAGGCCAATGCTGCCAAGGAGGAGGAGGACGATGACGATGAGAAGATCGACTACGGCTACGGTTTGGTGAGCAAGGGTACCAACAGCCCCTACCTGCCATTCGGAGCCGGTCGTCATCGCTGCATCGGTGAGCAGTTTGCCTATGTCCAGCTGGGCACAATTCTGGCCGCTCTGGTCAGGCAATTCAAGTTCTCCAACCCTCCCAATTCCGCCGGTATTCCGGAAACAGACTACTCGGTAAGTAGTTCATGCGGAGAATGACCCAGACCTTCTTAGGAAAAAGTTCTTAAGCTAACATTCTTTTTAGTCCCTGTTCTCCAAGCCCCTGGGCAAGTCGTTTGTCCGCTACGAGAAGCGTGGCATCAAGGAATAGATGGAGCCCGCAAGTCGGCACCTCCTAGAAAAGAAACTCGCTAGACATTTGGTACCTGCTATTACATTTAATGACCTTCATTGGTTTGGGTGAGATCTGAAGAAAGCGGACTGCTTCACACATTGGCCGTCCCCTCTATTCAACATCTTGTCCCCCACCCTCGACGTCCTTGGAACGATCGAACATGTTGTATATTAAACCTTTGTGTTTTTCTTCATCGCGCTATGCGATTTCATTATTCGATATCGTTTGTGTTGATACCGCGACTGTTACTATATCTATCTAATTGAAGACGATTCAAGACGATCAAAGCAGATAACTACAGTAGTGGTAGTATGTTCCGGGAAAACTTGTTGCCCATCAACTCATGTAGGACTAAGGGTCCTCGCTCTTGTTTCTACTGTGGAACAGGTTATCAAACGTTTGACTAGGCCGGTCTAGGATGTTGCCAGATTGGAAGGGGCAAGCAAAGCCCTTGAATATGAGATAGGTTGATAGTATAGCAGTATAGTACATTGCAAATAGAACACACAAGTCCGTCAGGAAAGGCTCAAGAGATATGCAGGAAACACGAATCCATCCGAGTCAACTTCACGCTTTCCTCGTCTCTTCAAGTCTCTTCTTTGCCCGCACTTCAACCCGTCGTCGCTCACCACCATCAACCTTCTGTCCCCGCTTGTCCTCCCACATGCCCTCCTGAACGGAGATCGTCGCTGCAGAGCCGTGGGTACCCTTAATCGGCTGCAGGAATGGTCCCATAATCTTCGAGCCCCGGTGGATCTTCATGTGCGCAAACTTCTTCAGCACCGCCGACGCGCTGTGCTTGTGTTCCGTGGCATCTGGTGCCAGATTCACAATTGTCTTCTTCATTCCCGGCGTCAATGTCGCAGAGCTAGCGCTTTCTGCTCCGTCTGCACTGCCGGACTCGCGGGGGACCTCCACCACGCGCAATTGAGCCACTCCATCCACGACCTGCTCCAGGTCTCCTCCGGGACCGTAGATCCCGTTGCGGAACTTCTCTCGCTTCCGCATGAGATATCGGCGTTGACGGGCGGGTTCGATGCCCAGTTCGCGAAGCTGGTCGGAGTTGGAGGAGAAGAGCTGCTCCCATGAAGAGATCTTGCTCGCGTGCTTGGACATTTCACGGCCGATCAGCGTGAGGAAGGTCTGGACGTCCGGGACGAAGGGGGTCGGGGCTGGCACTGAGGGTGCCGCTTTGCGGTGCAATGGGCGAATGCATTGTCTGGATATGCTGATGGTCTGGAAGAGTCGGGATGGGAGACTCTGGAGTTGGGGGTTGCGCATTGCCATGACGGGGTGTTGAGAGTGAACTTGCGGACTCAATCCCGCAAGCACTACCTGGGTTTTTGTGTTGGGTGGAGTTGACGCAGGTAGTTTATTCCCCAGGAATTGGTAGTCCTCCTCTGGACAGGAATTAGGGACGGAGGAGAGGTGAGGGAGGAATTGGCCCGAGGGAGAGTTTATCGTCCGATGGCCGAGTTGCCTGTGGCTGTTTGGCCGCGCCGAGAAATTTCGGAGGCACTGACTACCTTCGGGATCAACGATACTCCGAGGCGCGTTCATGGTACAGCTCCGGAGCATTTGCTTGCTAGCACTTTCTTTCATTCAAACTCACTACACCCTTTTTTCTTTTTCTTGAAGATGACTTTTCGATAGAAATCGTCACGCAATTTGATTTTACTTTCTGTTTCATATCCTCCCTGGGTATCGAATACCGCCCATTTACCACTCTTGAGCTCGAGTCTCCAAGCTCACTTCACATCCGCAATGGCCCTTTCACCATTTGCCTCTCGCTCGCCTTCAGTGACAGTCGCATCGCCCAGCTCTGCTCTACGGTTGAAAGCTGCAGCTACTCATCATGCACCTGGCCAAGCAGTCACTGCCAAGTCTGACCCAAATCCCGAACGTGAGCTTACGGAACAACTGAACGACGACGTGCGACGGAAATATGTCAAGGGTGCGTTGAATACCACAGCTCCCATAAATTATTGCCAATTTCTTTTCTTTCTTTCTTTCTTTCTTTCTTTTTTTCAATGCTAACAAAGGGAATGTAATAGGCAAGAAATTAGGTGAAGGAACGTACGCCATCGTATACCTTGGACACTTCCGAGATGACCCCTCATCGTGTGTCGCCATCAAGAAGATCAAAGTCAATGCCGAATATAAAGATGGCCTCACCATGGATGCAATCCGGGAAGTCAAGTATCTCCAAGAGCTATCGCATCGGAATGTGATTGCACTCCATGATGTCTTCTCATCCAAGGACCAGAATCTCAATCTGGTTTTGGAGTTTCTTCCCGGAGGTGATCTGGAGATGCTGATCAAAGATGGTGATATTCACTACGGTGTGGGTGATGTCAAGGCCTGGATGGGCATGCTGGCTCGAGGAGTGTGGTTCTGCCATGAGAACTTTGTGCTCCATCGAGATATCAAACCTAACAACTTGTTGATCGCCGCTGATGGCGAGGTCAAGCTGGCAGATTTTGGCCTGGCGCGATCCTTTGCAGACCCTTACCTCAACATGACCCACCAGGTCATCACTCGCTGGTACCGACCTCCTGAGCTGCTCTTCGGTGCCAAGCAATATTCCGGCGCGGTGGATGTCTGGTCGATGGGCATGGTGTTTGCAGAGTTACTCTTGCGAGTCCCATTGCTGGCAGGTATGTCGGATCTGGACCAAATTAGCAAGATCTGTGAGGCCTTTGGCACGCCCACCGAGGAAAATTGGCCTGGAGTAACCCAATTGGCCAATTACGTTACGGACAAGGCGGTGCCATTGCGAGGCCGAGAGTTCTTCCTTCAACAGTTCCCTACGGCTGGTCCGGTGGGCGCTGATTTGCTCATGTCAATGTGTGTACTGGATCCTCGCAAGCGGGCTACTGCGCTACAGGTCTTACAGCACAAGTGGTGGGCCACCGAGCCGCGTCCGACTAAGAATGAAGATCTCCCGCGCAAGTCGGGAACCAAGAAAATGGGCGATGATTTGGCCCGACGGGGCGGCGAGACCGACGACGGTCCTTTCAAGAACGCGGCGCGGCAATTGGACTTTGGTGGCATGAAGTAATGATAATCTGTTGATGATGATTTATGACGAAGAATCCAAAACATTGATGAACCTTTCCCGATCCTTGTATTTCTTGTTTTATCCTTGTTTTTGGTCTCCTGTATCCCGGGATGCTGTAGATGCTTTATGATGTTTCATAATGATAGTCCTAGCCACGCCAACGCATATCCATACATACCTTTGACTGCATGATGCATGCAGGTAAAGGGACTATTGTCTCTCCCCAACCTTCACAAGGACCAAGAGACCGAAACAATGACTGCTCGTCAACTCGGACCATCCACAAAAAGTTCTGACACGCAGGAGGGGATGGATGGCTGGGACTCTGGGACTCTGTTGATCCGTGGCATCCCCTCGATCTGTCAGGCGCACGATCCACTACCTGTCATGTCGCACTTAGTACTGTCTCTCGCTCCGGCCCAAGCAAATCAAATCGGGATCGAGTACGAGGGACTCCACTGGCGACTGTCATTGGAGGGGGAACGGGAGTTCGTGGTGTCCCCTTGTGTTGGTTCGCCGATCTATTATTATCGTCCCTCGCTCGGCAATTGACCTTCCGGGAGAGAAGCTGATTATCAATCGTGCTCAGGATCTGCGAACCATCCAGGGGATCTTTCAACGGGCGTTTGAAGCTCGTCTTCCAAAATGTCCATCAGAGGGACCGAGACCGAGGCCATCGGGATAACCGTCTCAGGAGATAGTTGAGCTGGAGTCGAGAGCGAGTGGGCCTGGTGGTGAATGTGGTAACTGATGGGGCGAAGATCAAATGAGGATCGACGTTGGGGTTCGCACATGCCGAGTTTGATTTGTTCGAGCGTCGTGACTCGTCGTGACAGACCGTCCGAGTGCTGCGTCTCGAGATTGCTGCTTATTTCTCGCCGGGCTCCAGTGTGGTTTGGGTCAACTCCTCCGTCCCACAATCACAATGACTGTCCAGTCAGTCCAGTAATTCCGCCCAAAGGGAACTCCACTGGGACCCGGGCGAGCCTTTTCATTCGCCTCCCCCTTTTTCCACAGCTTCCCTTTGGATCCCGACCAAACTTCCTCCACAACCTTTTGGCCCGTTCACGGGACATGATTGGACCCGCGGAGCTTCCTCGAGACCAGCCAGGAACTCGGGTCTTGACTCCTTCGAGCATTAGACTGTGATTGTCTTGTTTTAGCACCACGCCATGTCTACCCCTTTTTCTCCGGATGGTGAAAAGGGTGGATTGACGGGACCAAAAGGACCAACAAGGACCAGAAAGGACTCGGGTGCCGAATGTCAATGTCCTTGAACACAATCGAGTCCTTGTACTCCTGCAAGTCCCAGGGATCAGACAGGGGAACTGCCAGGAGGAGAGGAGGTAAAGAAGGAGAGAATCTCCATCACTACTCTCTCCCTCGTGGAGGCGTCCTGTACGTAAAGAGGTAATAACCTTAGTATAGTAGTCGTACTGTAGAACTGTACTCCGTAGGCTCGGGGTCTTTGTCATCTTCAGGAGAAAAAACCATCAACTCAAAATTGGGGCTCGTTGCCATTTCCGCGTTGCGCGGGGGAGGAAATTCAGAGTCCAGACGTGTGTATTATTCCTCTTCTCCAATTCCAACACACACACACTCTCTCTCTCCCTCTCTCCCCACTCTAATCGACCTTCTTCCCTTTTTATTCTGCTGCCGCTACTCCGACAATCTCAATTTCACGTCGGATCTCTGATCGGCACCGTTCGAGTCCAAACTTCTCGATCCTCCCCTCGGTCATTTTCTCTCAATAACACGCGGCAGTGGCGCTTCTTTCACGTCGCCCCAGTCGCGATCGCAACGCATGGTGGTTTGAACCTGTAAGTATCCGATCTCCCACGGAATTCGCAAGATTCCTTAAAAAAAAAAGACACGGCGCGCAACACCTTGGAGGACTATCTCAAGCTCCAGATCTGCTTATCCCCTGGTCAAAACACAAATCGCCGCTCCTTCACTAGCTCCGAGCACGCTGTGTTTATCATCAGCTCTCTCGTATCGGAATTAGTTGACTGATCACAGCGCATCCACAGTGCTGAACCCCCCCCCCGCCACCGCCGCCCAATTCGAGATCTCTCAAAGTCACGGACCGACAACTCTAGCTCGCGCGCATGTTACATTCTCGCCTGCAACGTATCGACTAAATTGACGTTCTGGGAAGGGAATTGGGGTCTTATTTACAATTCCCCCTGGGTGACCGGCGCGAGACGACAGAACCATGGCCTCCATGTCCGCCCTTCCACAACCTTCACGGCCATCAACAAACCCTCCAACAGGGTCTTTGCCCCCGCTACCAACTCCTAAAGCCAGAAAAAGCGCCCCCGCTGCCGATGCCCCCCGATCCGCATCTCCATATCAACCGTCGAAGCTACGCACACCGTCCAGTCCCAGACCGCCGTCACTTGCTCGATCCCCGCTATCCACTTCCAACTCAACATCGAATCTGAGTGCAGTCCGATCGGCATCCAGTGGTCGTACACCAAGCAGCCCCGAGAAGACTCTACGCCGAACGATTAGTATCGCTTCTTTCCCACAGCCTCCGAAAGCAGCCACTCGCCCATCCACCGCCGCATCCTCAGTAGCGGGCATTCAAGGCCCCACATCGTCCGGGAATGTGAAGCCACAACGAAGCTCGCGGCTCAGCACCGGCACCGTGAGCAGCTACCGCAGCTCCAAAACCCCGTCCTTACTCAATGGTAGCGCAGATGGAAAGTCGATCCTGGCAGAAGCACGGGATCCGGAAGCCTCTCCGTCTCACAGCAGGAGCTCTTCTGCCCAGGGGTCCTGTTCCACCAGTGCAACCACTTTTGAGGACACGGACGATGCGACGGGTACCGTCAAGGGTGGCAAATCCAAAGAGTCCAAGGGCAATGTGATTGTCAGTGTTCGTGTTCGACCGGACACCAGCAATGGAGGCGAGACTCCCCGGAACCACGGGGAATGGGGGCTGGATGGGCGTCGGAGTCTGATTTCCCACCGCGGCAAAGATGGAGGCGATTACTATTATGGTAAGCTTTTGGCCTAAACGCAGATGCAGATGCATCTCAGAAAAAGAGAAACTCCGAATACGTGCTAAACCTCGGAAATAGATAATGTCTTTACACCCCAGGAAAACAACGCCAAGGTATATGATGCCGCGGCGAAACGGCTTGTGCGACGGGTCATGGAAGGATATCACGGTACTGTCTTTGCCTACGGTATGACAGGTACCGGTAAGACGTTCTCGATGCAGGGTACTGCTACCTCTCCTGGTGTGATTCCACTCGCCATTACCGATATCTTCTCTTTCATTCGAGAGACGCCCCATCGGGAGTTTCTGCTTCGAGTGAGTTATCTGGAGATCTATAATGAGAAGATCCACGATCTTCTCTCGACGTCAGTGACCAATGGTGTCCCGGCGCCTCAGCAAGAAGAGATTAAGCTACGCGAAGACAGCAAACGTGGTGTGTATGCTACGCCACTGAAGGAAGAGATTGTGCAAAGCCCAACACAGCTTCTGCGGGTGATTGCGAGAGGAGACCACGCCAGACGCACTAGCAGCACCCAGTTCAATGCGCGCAGTTCTCGAAGCCATGCAGTCGTTCAGATCGTCGTCGAAAGTCGAGAGCGAGTGCCTTCTGGCGACTCGCAAGATAAGCGGTCTGGCATTGCCCCCGGTGGTGTCCGAGTGTCTACCCTGAGTTTGATCGATCTTGCTGGCTCAGAACGTGCGGCCGACGACAAAGAGCGCCGAACCGAAGGTGCCCATATCAACAAAAGTCTGCTCACTCTGGGTAATATCATCTCCAAGCTTTCGGAGAACAAGGACAAGCAAGGCAATCCAGTCGACCGGGATGGAAGGCATTTGCCATACCGTGATTCCAAATTGACCAGATTGCTACAGCCGGCTTTATCGGGAAACTCTCTTGTGAGTATTCTCTGCACGGTTCAGCTAGTTGCTGGTATCAACGCCCACTCGGGTGAGACCCTCAACACCTTGAAGTTTGCTGCACGAGCGAAGAACAGCATTGTCAGTCACGCAAAGAAGGCCGAGGAAGCCTACGGCAGTGGCGGTGGTGATGCTGGTAGTCGAGTCCTACTTGAACGCTACCGCGTGGAGATCCAAGCTCTTCGTGGCCAACTTGACACCCAGGCCAAAGCACAGGCGGAGAAGGAGCTCAAGTGGGATGAGCAACAATTTGAGAAGGAGGCCCAGGCGCGCCACGAGGAACAGGTTTTGGAGATGCAATTAGCCAGAACCGCTTTGAAAGAACGCATTGAGCATCTGAATCGGTTGATTCTCAGCTCCAAGTCAACCGGTGTGAACAGCCACGGTAGTCTCTTTTCTGCATTTGGCCGACATTCCAGAATGTCCGCCACCGACTCTGGCACCCGTTCACTTCGTTCATCGGCCAGTCAGTCCACCTTGGGGGTAGCTCATTCGATTCGACCCATTTCGATCATGTCGGTTAACAGTAATGATCCTTCCGGGACGACGCCTTATGGCAACGGGTCGTTTAGCAACGAGGATGATGAAGACATGGGCGAGTTTGGCGATGGTAAAGCCAGCCTGCAGCGGCAGGTCACTGCCCTGCAAGCTGATCTGAGCGACAAGAACCGATACATTTCCACATTGGAGCGCCGATTACTGCAGGCCCGTCGCTCAAGTCATTCTCGAATGTCGGTGGGGGTCAAATCCAATGCCCCATCCACCAGCACTATCTCCGAGCACCCGGACATGATGGCCCTTCTTCGTGAGAAAGACATGGAGATCAACGAGCTTCGCATCCAGCTCGATGATAAAGACCGAATGCTCGCAGCACTTCGATCTGCTGCCCGTCATCGCGACCTCGCGGCTGTGACTGGCGACTCTCAATCCCCAGAACTGAACGTCAAGGTGGATTCGAGCGCTTCTGGGCCCAGCAGTCCTCAGCTCCAAGCCCCCGGCGAGCTGAGCGACAAGAATACAAGCCCCTCTAGGCTTGCTGCTCCTGGGAAAGTTGGCGAGAGAGAAGAGGACCGGAGAAAGAACATGGATGAGGTGTCCAGAATGCTTGATGAGATGATTCAAGGCCGGGTTGAGAGCGGTCATCTGGAGAGAAATTCTCTCGGAAACTCTAAGCGTGTGTCGACTCTGTCGAGTGATAGTCGGCGAGGTTCAAGTTCGGCTGAGGTGCCGGCTTTGACTCCCACTCCGTCTCTTCCCATTGAGCCAATTCCAGGCTCTCCACCAAAGTGATAAGGCTGCCATGATTGCACCTTGTTCTGTTTCTTTCGCCTTGCTATTTTCATGCTTCTTTCTGATTGATCTGATACCCCGTTTTATCTACTTGATGTTACCTTTTTCATGTCCATGCGTTTGCATCTTCGTTTTCAAGAATTTGGTTCCTTTCCTTCGGCATGTTTTCCCAGAGATACAGTGTATTATTGATTACTTGCTTTTTTTTTGGAGCGTAAATTGCTTCCATTTGGCGATATTTGGTCATTTCGATGCCTATTTCCGGTGCAGTGGTATGCATGTTATCTGTAGAGAAATAGATTTGTGGTCATGGAGAGATTCTCATATTCATTCATAAGCTCCCTTGCGCAACCGTATGATACTTTAGCTCTACAGACCATTGATAAAATCAGGCAATGATCTCCAGTTCGCCGGTTCTGTCTTTGGCATAGACATCTTTCCACTGGTCCCATAATCGCTGAAGCTCCTGCACATATCGGGCGTGAAGCTCGTCGATATAACTGTCATGGATCTTGTCTCGATTCGATTGTTGCATCACTGGAATTGGCTTGCCGATCACAATGTTGAGAGGTCGTCGATAAGGCATCAGGCCAACATCGTAATTGAATACTCCACGCGCATGGAATAGGGGGATCGTGAATCCCATTGTGCGCTTGATCAGCATTTGCAGCTTGTGGATAATCGGATGCTCGTCGGAGCGCACTTGTTCGTAGAGATCATTCTCACCAAAGGCAAGGACGGGGACTAGATCAGCACCAGTGCGAATAGCCAATTTGATGAACCCTTTTCGTCGTTTCAGGACTAGACGGAGGGTATAGGGCTGAGAGTTGAGCGATTCACGAGCTCCGCCAATGACAATGGTAATGGCTCGGCCCATGCCTTCTCCATTAGCTCCCCCTTTCGTCAGGATATTCTCGCACGACTCCCGCGACACACTAGCCAATCCCATGGCAAGCGCATAATCTCGGTAAAATGGAATGCGGAAGTTCGCGTCCAAGGTCAAAAGGGTGTTTGTGATTCCAGGGAACAGTTTGGAGAAGCCGAGAGCCTCCGTTCCAAAGGCGGCAAAGGCACCGTGTGAAATGATGCCATGCGGGTGATAGCCAAAGATATACTTCTTCGTTGGGGGCAAAGGCTCCTCGCGGTGAAGACGGGCAGGGAAATAGGATGCATAGATCTTCCAAATCGGAAGTGATCTCAAAAGGTTACTCCGGCCCTTGAGTTCCCCCGACGTGGGCGCCGTGGAGAACAGTGAGATATAGACCAGGTACGGGAGCAGGAGGGGCCAGAACAAGGGAATGGCACATGTGAAGAAGAAGCTGGTCAAAAAAATCGCAATGGTGAGCGTATGGCAGAGCACGATTAGAGTCTGCAGGCGACGCTCTAGGCCAACATTTAGCGGTGCCCAGTGGATGCTAAAGAGCCGTCAGCGAGAGAACCTTGGAACAATCCCGGGGAGGCTGGACAGGCAGCAAGTGCATACCGTTTCCTCTCAGCATTCTCGGGCCGAGTCGACGCTGTTCGAGCCGTGGTGGCCGTGGTACTGGGCTCGCGTCTCGGCGTGGAATCCCCATTCATCTTTTCACGCCACAGCTGGGGAGGGAGAGTAGAGGGGAGGATTCGGGGAATAATCGTACTCCCCGTGTGCCGCAAGGAATCCAGAGTTCTTAACTGAGCACCAGGGCAGATGACGTCGGGTGATGCGGGCTTAGGTAATACCGAGGCCCGAGCGGTCTTCTCAGTTACACTCTGTGCTACTCGATACCCTACAGTAGTACAAGTAGTACAGGAGTATAGCTGGAGTTACATAGCATTTCGTAAGGAGTACGGACGGGAACAACAGGAGGTTGTCTCGCTACTTAGCAAACCCACCCTTTGGGGTCGATGATTAGGGAGATAGCCGTGCTCGAGTGAGGAGTACCTACCGTCTGGGGAAATAGGTCTCTTTCAGCCTTCGTACGATAGATGCTGCCTCATACATTGTTCTCTACCCCGGACGGTCAAGTCGACAACTAGTCGTAAAGAATTTTGTCTGAAAACATAATCAAACGGTCGACAGCAGCCAATAGACTGTGCTGGTGCCGTTTGACGATAAATGTATTGAATCTTGACTAACGAACGACCGATTTGCGCCAAACACCTTGCCCATGACTCCCGATAATGTATATCTAAACAATGCAATCCCGATGTCTATGCCTTAACCATGAAGATCTGTTCCCAAACGACACGATTAGCAATGCTTTGTCAAGGTTAAAATGGCGGACGGGTTGACCCTCTGGTCTCCATGAAGACTCACCTCATTGAGCAATTTGTCGTCCATAAGAGCCCTCTTCTTCTGTGCAATATGTCGACTGCGGAACACCTGTCTGCCGATAGGCCGGCGTTCCCCTAGCACAGGAGCCTGAACTGTAGGCACCGGAGGTAGAGACTCGCCTGAGGGCTTGCCATCAGGGCTTGCGGCCCGTCGTTTGGCCGTAGTCTCGGACTCATCGTCGTCCTCGTCCGCCTTTCTCTTCTTGGATTTCTTCTTCTTCTTCTTATCAGAGGCTGATGACGAGCCATCGGCCTCGTCTGATTGGGAACGGGACTTCTTCGATGACTTCTTCGAGGATTTGGACTTGGACTTGGACTTGGATGATTTATCGGTCGCAGACTCGGTGTTTTCGGCAGAGTCGTTATCGCTGGCTGCAGTTTCGGATTTCTTGTTTGCCTGGTCTTCCTTGGGTGTCGAGTTTGGCAAGCGCTGGAGCTTCTCCTGGGTGAGAAGCCCGCCCCGAACGAAGCGCACCTCCTGGAACTTGAGGGAAACGTAACGAGCCAACTGAACATCGTCTCTCTTCCGCTGCTCACGGTGAAGTTCCTCATCACTCTTGCCGTTCAGTCGACCCAGCAAACCTTTAAAAGCATCCAAGCCTGTGGGTTGGCCCTCTCGCCCGAGACGGGCACCCAATCCGAGATTATCGTCCTTGATAGTGACCTTGATATGGGAGACACTCGCAGAGGTCAAGAGATCGGCCTGCGCAGCATCTTTGGCTCCCAGGCGATTGCCTGGGGTCCAGCCCTGGGCGCTCATAATTCGGTGCCCGAAGCCGGACGTGGAGCGGGCCCATTTGGTATTATTCGGATCATGTGAGATCTTGGTTTTGCTGTGAAATGTCAGAGTGGATGCGATGTGAATCGTAGGAGAGACGCATACTTCTTGGGGCCCGCCAACCCCATGACTGCTGAAGAGAGAGAGTGTGTATGAAGGAAGGACTTTTCGTTGGTTTCTCCAGGAACTGCGAACAGAAAGTTTTGGAGAAAATTGAAAACTTGCGGTGCTGAGTCAGCAGCCGATAAGGATCAATCCCCCGCGTATCGATAGCCCCGATAAGCCGCGCGCCTCACATATACAGACAACCCCCAACTCAGCCACATCCACCACATCCACCACCACCTCTCACCCATTTTCAACCTTTCCAAACGCCTTCAAGTCCCGAAACTAAATTACTTCCCATCTTCTTACAAGAACTCTCTGCACCCAGCTCTCTTTGTCCCCGATCAAGCTGTTTCAATCGCGCATGAATCAGCAAGGCCCGCTGTTTTCCGTTGGGCAGTTCGAGGCTTGGCCTCCACCAGTACTCTTGATAGACGTGTGACGTACGATTCAAAACCATTCCGCGGGCCATGTTTAATCTTCGTGTTCTCTGTCGAGATCAACCACGACGGACAATTGCATTGCTTGCTTCCGACCATATCTTGATCTTCCACTACAGCGAAGCTGAGAGTGGGCCTAAAGCCGCCCCCCGCTGTCAGGTCGAATTCTTGGATGCTTCATCCGTGGATCTTGCCGGTTACCGATCTCTGGGTGCTGGATTTGGCACTTTAGGTCTCGTTACGCTAAATGAGGATGTTTTCGTTTGCGTGGTTACCGGCTCCTCTCAAGCAGCTACTGTTCGTCCCGCAGAAGCCGTTTCCAGGATTGACAATGTAGACTTCTGTATGCATTTGATGAAAATCTCCACTGACATTTTTTTTGGGCTTTCTTCTAACGAAATCCTAGATTGTCTCAACCGATCCGAATATGAGTATGGGTTAGACTATGAAACTAGCTCCCAATTCGCCGTCGAGGAGCGGCCTGGAGCCGAAGGGAAAGAAGTGGTCACCGATCATCCTTTCCTGGCCTTAAAGAAGCTTCTTGGAGATGGGAGTTTCTACTACAGTCTTGATTTTAACTTGACAGATCGCTTGCAGGATCGGTAAGCTAATGTACTCTTCCCCTCATTTACCGGCCTTTAGCTAAAGTCCCACACTAGGTCGGAGAAATCGGCCGCGTTCGACATAGACTCATTAGACGAGGACATGTTGTGGAATTCGTATATGATCCACCCTCTTCTTCTGTTCCGAAGTCACCTGCCGCCTTCTGATAAGGTGAAGCTCGATGCATCTCAAATGTTGACGTGCGTCATTCGAGGGTATGCAGGTACACTGAAAATTCCAGCAACAGTCCCAATCTTACCACGAGTACGCACGAATTTACCGGCTCTGCTGACCATCATCTCACGGCAATCCTCCCGTCGTGCGGGCACCCGGTTCAACTCGCGAGGCATCGATGATGACGGCAATGTGGCCAACTTTGTAGAGACGGAGGTCGTTCTGTGGGTGTCACCAGGGGTTTGTTTCTCATATGTGCAAATTCGTGGCTCAGTGCCCATTTTCTGGGAGCAGACACCCGGCCTGATCCCCGGTCAGCAGAAGATTGAGATCACACGCTCTTCTGAAGCAACGCAGCACGCATTCGACGAACACTTTGAGGGCCTCGAATTGGAGTATGGAGCTGTCCACGTTGTCAATCTACTCAGTGAACTCAAATCTGGAGAGGCAGAGCTATCGGCCAAATTCCGAGAACACATAGCTCGAAGCTCCGTCAAGCAGAAAGAGGGATTCTCAAAATCCTCCCATCAAAGCCTTTTGCGAATGACAGATTATGACTTTCATGCTGAAACTCGAGGCCCCGCTGGGTATGAAGCAAGTCATCAAATCAAGTATGAATTGGCAGACTCTCTGGATGGATTTGCATATTTCCTATCCGAGGACAGTGCCCGCCCGGCCTCCTCGTTATTAGACAGAGAAGACGCGGCCAGCCCTTCATCAATCCTTCTTCAGCAAGAAGGCGTCTTCCGAACTAATTGTCTGGACTGTCTTGATCGAACAAACCTTGTTCAAACCATCATCAGCTCGATGGCTCTGGGAACTTTTCTGTCCCAGCAGGGCGCAAGGCTTGGCTCAGATCTCCAAATGCGACACTCCACTCTATGGGCCGATAATGGAGATGCGCTCTCAAAGATATATGCGGGAACTGGTGCGCTCAAGTCCTCATTCACCCGCCACGGGAAAATGTCTCTTGCGGGAGCACTGGCAGACGCTCGGAAAAGTGCAACGAGGCTCTACGTCAACAATTTCACGGACAAAGCGCGACAAAAGACGATTGACCTTTTGCTAGGTCGACTAGCAAATCAGATTCCGGTTCATCTTTATGACCCAATGAATGATCTAGTTACCGAGGACCTGAGTCGACGCGCAGCTGAATACTCGTCTAATAAGCAGATTCGGATGTGGGTTGGTACATTCAACGTGAATGGTCGTGATGAAGGTCCAGGTGCAGATCTTTCCTTGTGGCTTTTCCCTGATGGAGATCAATCCAAGGAAGATCCCACCATCTTCGCGGTCGGGTTCCAGGAAATTGTTGATTTAAGCCCTCAGCAGATCATGTCAACCGATCCAAGTAACCGCAAGGGCTGGGAAAGGGCCGTCCAAAACTGTTTGAATGAGCATACCAGCGCAAAAGGGACTGGCAAGTATGTGTTACTGCGGAGTGGGCAGCTTGTAGGTGCTGCGTTGATGATCTACGTGAAAGCAGATGCATTGAAAGAGATCAAAAATGTGGAAGGAGCTGTCAAAAAGGTAATGTTACATCGTATTGCCTCGAACGGCCAACTCTACATGTTCTGGGGTTAGCTAATAGATTTATAGACTGGTCTTTCGGGAATTGCTGGCAACAAAGGAGGCTGTGCGATCCGTTTTGACTTCTCCAACACAAGCATCTGCTTTGTCACCGCCCACCTGGCTGCTGGATTCGGGAATGATGATGAACGAGACCGAGACTATGAAACCATTGATAGTGGCCTACGATTTCAGAAGAATCGGACTATCGCCGATCATGACTCCACGATCTGGCTCGGTGACTTCAACTACCGCATTGGCCTAGGGAACCACATCGTACGCGATCTGATCTCGCAAGGCGACCTCCAGAAGCTGTATGACAATGATCAGGTAAGAAAACTTGACCTACGACTTGCCTTCCTCCTAGCTAACGAATATAGTTGAATCTGCACATGGTCGCAGGAAGGGTTTTCCAATTCTATTCCGAAGGTCTTATTACATTTGCCCCTACCTATAAATATGACGTTGGGACGGACCACTACGATACTTCGTAAGAAGCCTCTTTTTCCTACCATGAACTTCAAATCCTGACAGACTTCCCTACAGTGATAAATCCCGCATTCCTGCCTGGTGTGATCGAATCTTGTGGAGAGGGGCCAACTTGCGACAGACCCAGTACCATACTGCCGATCTAAGATGTTCGGATCATCGACCAGTCTATGCCAAATTTGATTGCATGATTGATGTCGTCGATCTTGGGCTCAAAGACAATCTCCGGCGTATGCTCTACGAAGAAAAACAGCGCGATGCACTTTCAGACTCCATCAATTTATTGGATTTGGACGACGAGGACATTGTGCTGCAGGGTCCTATTGCGCCTGGCCTACCGTCTGCAAGCTCTGATCGAAGCAAGTGGTGGCTTGATAATGGTGAGTAAAACTAGTGCCAATTCACATAATACCCCCAGTTCCAGTACTGATTTAAATCACGACAGGTGTGCCTGCGAAAGCGGCGGTTCAACCGCCAAGAGAGGGCCTTGTCCCAAACCCTCAACGCAAATCCAATCCCTTTTCTATGGACGATGAACCAGACTGGATACCAAGTCCGAGAGTTACCGAGAAGGGACCAGAGCCTCGTTTTGACAGAAGACCACTGCCACCTCCACGACGGGGAACGTCAGGTGGATCCAAAAACAGTATGCAATCTCTGGGGGCGGACAAATCTGCCGCTGAAAAATCACCACCAGCCGTCCCTCGAAAGCCTATCTCCTTGAGCTCCCAAGCGACAGTTGGCCGGATTCCTTCCACACCTTCCGGTCAAGTGCGAGGTGCTACCTTGCAGAATACTTCCGGCTTAAACCAGAGCCGAAATGGGGTAACAGGAGCATCCGAAATATCCAGTGTTGGGACAGGCGATCTCCTTGGTGACACCTCAGAAGAGACCATTGGGTGGAAACCACTCCTCCCTCAACGATGAATGAGAGGAGTTTTATCTACGCTGCACAATATATGAGCCTGCTCGAGAAGCCGCTGTGGAAAGACTACGCCAGGCCTAGACCGACGCAAGAAGACCGTCCTCTCGCCCAACAGGGCTAACACAAGTCTAGCGCAGACTAGAATCAATTACAGCAGGCACCTTGCGAAATCTAAATAATTGCAAATTTTTCATGGGTATTTCAATTCGGTTATAGATATGAGTATATAGGTGTGAGTAAATGGTGATGGGATCCACAGGAGGGTAGTGATTAGGTGATGAGGCTTTCGTGGACACCATAGAGGGCTGGCAACAAGTGCCGCAGCGTAGAAATGCCTTAAAAGCAGGTTCTCATCTGTCTTTGTGGGTAAAGACGAGCAACCAAGAAAGGCAAAGGCCGAAGCTGCACGCTAGATAAGCCACAGCCTGTTTAAAGCTCCTTGGGAGTTCATCTTTCCTTTCGATGTCTCTCTCCCAAGGCTTCAGGCTTTATCTTCTCTTGCCCACCCCCGAGGTTCGATGGTCAGAGGGCCAGCAATCCTACCAACGGCGAGTGAAGGTGGGGTGGGGGAGCGTGGTTTTGTAGTCTAGAGGGATGGCAAGGAGGGAAGCCCTTACAAAGAGAGCCACACCCCCGGATCATCCAACATATACATTTCACTGAGGAGCGGGATCAGGCTTCTTCTCTGCCTTTGGAGCCTTCGGTCCCTTGGCAGGGGGGCGCCCACCCATCATCCACTTCGCAAATCCACCACCATCGCCTTTGCGCACCGGCTTCTTGGGAGCTGTCAAAACATGGTCAGTACATCACATACAGAATGTCGGGAAGGTCCTCTCCCTTTGCCATGCTGAGCCAGGAGTTCACAAGACATACCTTCAGGTTTCTTTTTAGGCTCCGAGGCTGCCGAGGCTGAATCGGCTTTTGCGGGGGCAGCGGCAGCTCCCTCCTTAGCTGGAGTCTCCTCTTTGGGCTTTTCGGGGATAGGCCACATGTGCATGGTGATAGTCCAGTCCGGCTCGACAACCGTCTCCCAGACTTGAGGGAGGATGATGTCACCGTTAGGGCCTACAAGATCATAGTGCCCTTCCGCAACATGTGGTCCAATCACTTCGATATGAAGAAATGCCTGCTTGATCAGATCTTCCATGCCCTGTATACCCAGCCATTAGTCACCTTTACAGTTACAAAAAGAAAAAGAGGGGGAAAAAGGATCTCTTACCTGCCAAGTAGCACACAACTCAAAGGGAAAACTGAATTTTCTTCCCACGGCGTCTTTGAATTTGATAGGCTTCTTTTTCTCAGGTGGGGGTTTCTTTGCTGCTTCAGCTGCGGCATTGGCTGCCTCCGCGGCGGCTGCAGTGGCGGCTGCAGTTGCAGCTGCGGCGGCCTCTGAAGCTGCTGTCGCCGCCGCTTTCTCTGCCTGCTCTTTGGCTGCGGCTGCGGCTTCGGCAGCCATTTTCTCCGCATCGGCCCGAGCCAGGAAAGCCGCTTCCTCGGCGATCTTCCGGTCGTGGGCCAGTTGCTGCTCTCGAGCCGCTTTCTCGGCTGCCTCACGCTCGATCTGAGCTACGCGCGCGGCTTCCTTGGCCTCGCGCTCCGTACGGTCATCCATAATCAACTTCTCCAACCGCGCAATCGCTTCGTTCTTGGCGGCATCTGCCTCGGCTGCGGGTGCAGCGGCCGGGGCCGCTCCTGCTGCTGCTGGTGCCGGGGCCGGAGAGGCGGCTTGTTCGGGGGCTGGATTTTGGGGAGGCACCGGAGGATACGGGAAAAACCCGGGGGTACCATACCGGGAATCATCGAGTATGGGTCTCGGTAGTTGTAGAAAGGGTTAGGCGCATAATGCATCAGTTCTTGGTGGAACGGCGACCCAGGATACGGAGGCGAGACATGTCCCGCCATGTGAGGGGGCAGATGTGGTTGGGAGGGGTTATGCGGATCGATTCGTGATTGTGGTGGTGGTGGACGGGAAGGATGACGGGGATGCACTTGATCGTGGGGATAGAACTGGTGCATGGCAGCTCCGTGCGAGGCTTGATACTGCGCACCGTATGGATAGGGCCCAGGGCCATACGGCTGAGCCCCCGGGTTGGGATGGCGCACTAATTGATCTGATGGGATCGCGCCGTTGGCATGCTGGTAATGAGGGGCATGCCCCGGAGGAAATGCGGCAAAGGTTGGACCCGACGAGTTGCTGGGGGGATACCCCGGTGCAGGCGGAGCCTGTGGCCATCTCCGTTCTGCAGGAGCGCGGGTGTAGTGGCCGTTATAGTCCTCTGAATCCCCGCTGTCGGGGGATTCTGGCGAAGGCTGTCGGCGCGAGCGAGTCCCATAGGACTCGCGGGGCTGGCGTTCGGGAACCATCCGCCGGTGCACTGGGGTTGGGCGGCCCGAAGCGGAGCGCGAACCGTGGTGCGAGCGATTACGGTGCGATGTCCTTGGTCGAGAGGCTGAATCAGACGGTTTCAATTCATCCGGATATGACAGATGCGCCCACTCATTATCATAGACCTCATAGTCATGGCTGTCAACATGCACCCCCGACGAGTCCTCCTCGTCCGACAGAGAATCCGAGCCGTGCGGATCTTGGGGGTCAATCGAGATGCTGAGCCTGTAGGGGGTGGAAAGAGAAGGAAGAGAGGGTTAGCGACCGATGCGCGCGTGAAGACAAGATGTTAGCCGGGGGGGGGGGGGGGGGTGAGTGGGTGACAAGGGGAGGGGGAGGGGCCCGAACTTGGTTGGGGGGGGGGGGGGGAGAATTGTTTTTGTTTTTTCAGACGCAGCAAGGAAAGGAAGCAGGGGAGGGAAGAAGAGGAGGAAGAGGAAGATGGGAGAGCAGGGGGAGGGAGGGGGAATCAGAAAAAAAAAGGTTAAGAAAAGTGTAAACATACGTCATAGAGAGATTGCAGAGCCTCTAGATCGGGAGAGGAGGGGGGTTGGGACAGGAACTATAAGGTTGACCCTCTTCCTCTCGCTGGGATGCGCATGCAGCGAGGGAGGAAGATGGTTTTAGGGAGGGAATGTGGCGGTGATGTGGGAGGGAGAGAGGAGGAGAAGGAAGTGGAAGTGGAGGTGGTGGAAGAGAAGGCGGATGATTGTCCAGGCGGCGACGGGCTGCTTCGTTGGTGGGGACGACTGGTTGGGCACTTTTTTTTTTTTTTCGTCAGTCTCTCTCTTGAAGAGTAGTCTTTTTTGGCAAGGATTCGTAGTTCGGACGCGGGGGGAATAGGAACCTCGCATTTGACTGGCCCCGCTTTGTATGGAGGCTTGAGGCTTCGGCCTGTGGAAGACGGATCCCCTTGCGCCGATCGAGTTGGAAAAGCGAGCAAAGCTGGTGATAATCCCCGTATTACCCAGGCAAGGGGGGAGGAGGTGTTTGGTAGAATGGAGGTATGGAAAGGGAAAGAAATAAAGTATTCGGAGGTATCCAAACAAGGATACTTCGTGGGGGAATCAAGGCCTCGTGAGTAATAGGCCGTCCGAACTCGGGAACCAGGAGACTAGTAGGAGGAGTATAGAGCAACTAGTCGACTATGGCGAGAGAGAAACGAAGGAGGAGGAAAGGAGGAGAGCAAAAGGGAGATCGAAAGGGAGTTGGATGGAGAGTTTTGTGTGGTTTTGTTTGGGTTTGCATGCCTGCCTAATCAACGACAAGGGAGAGAAGAAAAAAAATACCTGATGACTGCATCTATTTTCGTTGGTTCTATGTATAACCACCAGTTGGTATGTGAATCATCAAAACATCAAGTCAAACTCAATGGAGATTGGGCCTGGATTGGGCAGAATCGGGACCCCGTCGTGGGACCAGGATGACCAGGGATCAGTTGAGATTGTGTCCACGCATCGAATGTATGGAGGATATGAAAGATATAAACTCGACATAGTCTACACAGACAAGAGACGAGACTGTCCTGCGGTACGACGGGAATTATCCCGAAGCCGATATCCTGTACGATGTGTGGTGGTCACACCAGAAAATGGTTCTTTCTCGCCCAGGATGTATACTTTGGGGATACCCAAAAGTACAGGGTATCCTGCACTAGTCAAAGTCTAGAATCCGATCCAGTCTGTCAGGCGCATAGCGTAGATAGACTCTAGTTAGGACTGCAGTGACGATACTCCTGTCGGGTCCAGACGCCACCAGATGGTTCCCCTGTGCCCAGTGCCCAGTGCCCAGTGCCCCTACGAATGAGCCCTCCCGAGAGATCAAGACTGGAGCGATGAACGTCTCTCCTCTTCATGTCAGCCTGGTAACTCTCTACGAGGGAGTGAATTGGTTCCAGTCTGACTCGTATAAGCCGCTGGCTCTCGCCTAACTACTACTAACAGGAACAAGACTGGACTGATCGCTGGAGGAGGAGTGGATCGGCGAGATCCTGGTCGATCTGCTGCCCGACTGTGCCCAATCACCGGCCCCAATCCCGAGCACTTCCAACGGGAATCCCGATTTGGTGATATGGTTCTGGCTATGGCTATACATCGTGACAGCCGACAGGATATACAATGATCCATGATCAAGAGTCAATCACGGACAGAGAACCTATATCCTATGCTACTCTCTCAACCCCTGCTTCCTTCCCCTGGTCGGACAACCGCCCCCCCCCATCATCTCGATCGCTCAACCAGTCTGACTCATACTGCATCCAAACTCCAAAGAGTCTGGTCTCGGTCCATCCATCATCAATTGGGTACACCTCGAGCAGGTAGGAAAGCCACCCTATCAACGGTCGACTACTACGCAGAATGAGAGGAGAGATGAGCCTCACTGTGGGCCCCTTCCCTAATTCTCAGCAATGACAAGCCTCCCGAACGAATCCCCAAAATAGAGTACTGTCCATTTCCCCGGTGCAAACCAGGTCTTACCGCGAATATTCAAAGTCTCCCAAGATCTATGTTATCCCAAGATGCATCAAGATGCCACAGAGAACCACGCTGGATTGGCGCGGCTGAATAGAAACATTCCCGGCTATCACTGCAATCCATCACTGACTCGATGAACAATCCTAGATGATCCCCGACAGAAAACAGCATTCACCAGAGCCATGAAGATCGTTGGGCAGCCCATAATGGTCGGCAACTCAGCGACAATCTGGTCTGGCCCAGCAGCCGCAGTACAGCCACCACCACCACGTACGTCATGCCGTTCAAGTTGGCTCATCTGAAACCAGGCCACAGAATAATGAGTATAAAGTTACAACGGAGACAGCCCCAATACGCCTTGGCATCATGGCAACAAGTAATATTTTTGTGATGTGATTAGGGTATCCAAAGTATAGCATAGTAAGAATGGTCGATCATCATTTGGGTGGCGCCAACCGATTCAGCAGCTCCTTGGCCGCGATCAGTTCACTCCGGCTCGATGCCCAATGTTGATCGTCCACCGACCGGGACTGCACAATGTGCTCAAGTCGCTGAAGCGCAAAGGTCTGGAGCTGCTGGATTGTTTTCCGGGAGGGAACGGTTGGGTCGGCTGGACTTTCGGGCGCATACTTTTGATCAAGCACGCGGGAGGTGGCCTATAGGGACAAGAAAAGAAAAAAAGTAAGAGCCGGATCTAGTCGGAAGATTGTATGATATGAGGGGATCAGTTGATCTCACGGGCGAACATACCAAAACCAAGCCGTAGAAGCCCCGCAGATAATCATCGCAGAGTTCAATACTCCGGCAGAAATGTTGGACCGACTTGCCAGCAAGTCGGGCTGGATCACCCTCGGAGGAGGCGGAGGAGCAGACGTAGAGCAATTCACCAAGCCGGGCGTGAATCTACAAAACATCAGCCACATGAGTCGGCGCAAGTTTGATCAACCATGACAGGAACAAGCCATACATTCCAGGAATTTGGGGCAATCAGCAGTGCCTCTTCCAAGCTGAAGATCGCCTGCGAACCCAGCCCTTGGGATTGGTATAGATCGGCCAGCTCTCCCCAGGCCTCGGCATCCGTGGGGATAGCATCCAGAAGCTGAATAAGAGCGGAAATGGCATCGGCAGGTCTCTGGAGGGAGCGAAGCAGAGCGACTCGGCGTTTCATGATAGGCTGGGAGCATAGAGATGGGGTCAGTCAAGACCATGCGGTGATTGTCTACCCACACCAAGGATAGCCAAGAACGAAGAGTAACTGACCACATTGACAGGATTGTCCGAAAGAATCGTCTCGTATTCCGCCAGGCATTTCTCGAGAGCCGACTTGTCTTTCGCAATCGCTTCTTGGTACAAGCCACGCAGCCCCATGACTCTCTCATTTGAGGGACCAAAGCGGTGACTCAGTCGATCAAGGCATGCCTGTGCGGACTGATCATCTCCAGTTTGTAGGCAGGCGAGGAAAAGCTGTTCAATCCGGTTGTACTCCTCCGCTGTATCCCGCGGGGGCTTGGACGAAGCGGCGAGCGCGTTTAGTGCTGGACCATGTCCGAGAATGGCTGGGGCCTGTTGAGAGAGTCGGAGAGCAGAGAGCACATCGGACCCATTGACTTCTGCATCCGCGAGACCACCCATGACGGACAGTACTTGAAAGGATTGTGGGGAGACAAGACTGGAAGAAACCCGATCAGTCAGAGTCAAGCATAATTATAAGGGGGGCGGTCCCGAAGGGCAACAGGTAGGACAGGAACGTTATGAGCTAATTGGAGGCGAAAGGCGGGAAGGAATTTACTTTGTGAAGTTGGGTTGAAAAAGCAAGTTGATCTCAGCAGTAACCAACGGCGCAAAAGGATCGATGTTCAGAAGGTGATGATGATGACCTGCAGACGGCGAGATGGTGGAGACCTCTCTCTCTCTCTTTCACCCGCGGCTCCGGACATTGAGATACGAAGTCCCGTGATCCTTATCGGTCTGCCAACCCGCCGAGCTCCCCCCCACGTAAACTCGGCATTGCGGCGCACTCGGAGCTCAGCTTTCGGGACGATCAGGGCCACGCGGTACACCGTGCAGACTGTACAGACTATGCTGCGTGGCTAATGAACCTTTCAACAACGTAATATTCACCTTTTGGGATTTGTCGGCATCGTTTAGTCGGTGACAGGCAGACACAATGTGAGTGTACTTCAGACCGGCAAGATAGGTGTGGCCACTGGACTGACCGATCAATCTTGATGGCTCAGGTTCGAAAAATCCCTCTATGACCTGATCAAAGGCCTCCGAAACCACAAAGATGGAGAGGATGAATATGTCCAAAGCTGCCTTCGCGAGTGTAAAGCGGAGATCAAATCCCAGGACATGGGTAGGCACTCGGTACTGAATTCCCCCGGTCAGCTTCGCATGCTGAATCTCGATAGACAAAAAGGCAACTGCACTCCTAAAGCTGATTTACCTGGAAATGTTCGGCTACGATATGTCATGGGCCTCCTTCCACGTCCTGGAAGTAATGTCCTCCTCGAAATACCTTCAAAAACGAGTGGGATATTTAGGGGCGGTACAGAGCTTCCGCCCCGATACGGAAGTGCTGATGTTGGCAACAAATATGTTGAAGAAGGTCCGTTGAACCAGCTGCTGGAGACTCAAGCTTCGCAAGATTACCCCTTACCCCGCTCTCTGTTGTGCAAGGACTGATCAATCTAATCAGGATATCGTGTCTCCCAACATCCCCGCTTTATCACTACCGCTGGCCTCCTTACCACATATTATCACTCCATCACTGGCCATGTCATTACTGCCTGATATTCTCTCTCGACTTTCACATTCAAGTCCGGTCGTCCGGAAGAAATCGATCGTGTGCCTCTACCGCTTTGCGCTGGTATACCCTGAAGCCCTGAAGCTAGGATGGCCCAAGATCCAAGATCGGTTGATGGATGACCAAGAAGATAGCAGTGTGACAACGGCTGCTATTAATGTTGTTTGTGAATTAGGTTGGCGACGACCTCATGATTTCCTTCCACTTGCACCGAGGTTCTTCGAGCTGCTCGTCGACAGCGGCAATAATTGGATGGCTATTAAAATCATCAAGCTAGTGAGTCTTCATTCCTTTTCTACTAGGCTTGAAACGCTAACCGGCTTAGTTCGCGACTTTGACACCTATAGAGCCACGGTTGACCCGCAAGCTGCTGCGCCCGTTGGTCAACATTATTCAAACCACATCGGCAATGTCCCTGCTCTACGAGTGTATCAACGGGATAATTCAAGGTGGGATCCTAGATGGCGAGGAAAATCTTCAAGAAAGAGATGACGTTGCAACTCTTTGCGTTGGGAAGCTCAGAGGGATGATCGTCATCGACTCTGATCCTAATTGTAAGAAACCCCCTCGTGGCGGATTGTGGTTCGTATTGCCGCTGATGATATAAAACAAAAGTGAAATATGTCGCTCTTCTAGCATTGAACCGTATTGTTGCCACACACCCTACGTTGGTGTCTATGCAGCAGGATGTGATTATGGACTGCTTGGATGACCCAGACATTTCTATTCGGCTACAGGCACTGGAGCTCGCCGTTGGGATGGTAACGAGTGAAAACCTGCAAGCGGTGGTAGAGCGCCTACTAGATCAGCTTCGACTGGCTACGCTTTCCTCCCAAGGTAATGGACATGAGCTGGAGGCAGTCCCATCCGTCCACCCGGAATTTGATGATCCGGAAGGGTCGAAGACTTCAGACGTCAGTATCAACACTGCGGTCACCTTGCCAAACGACTACCGAAGTGAAGTCGTTCATCGCATCTTAGATATTTGCTCCCAAAACAATTATTCGGAGGTTGTGGATTTTGAGTGGTACGTCAATATTCTGGTTCAACTCATTCGTCTCCTACCACCATCAGAGGTGGATGATTCTTGGAACTCGGCCTCTCCAAACCAGGAGGCTGCCGCGCCCTCGAAAGTGAGCACTGCTTTCCGGATTGGATCTGAAATACGCAACATTGCCGTTCGTGTGAGAGGGGTACGGGTAGAGGCGACGAGAGCCGCCGAGTCGCTTCTACTAATCGACAATCGATCAACTTTCTTCCCGGCTGGGTCGATTGTCGGTAATGACGTTCTAGGCCCCATATCCTGGATTGTGGGTGAATATGCAAACGATCTTTCCTCGCCTAGTCGGACTCTTCAATCCTTGATCGACCTCTCCAACGTCACCCTGCCCGCGAGAACACTTCAGTTATTCTTGCAGGCCATCCCAAAGGTCTTTGTACGAGTGAATTGCGATGCGGTATCGAGCGATCTGTGGAAGACTGAGACATCTCTCCTTTTGGCAAGAGTCGTGGAGTTTCTCGAAGCATTGTCAGCTCATCCCGACTTGGACGTACAGGAGCGGGTTATCGAGTTTCTGGAGATTCTCCGGTTGAGTACCGAAGCACTGCGTCCTGATGTCCAGGAAATGCCTGTCCTTCTCGCCTCCGTCCTTCCCAGTCTCTTCATGGGTCTGGAACTTAATCCAGTCGCATTCAGTGCCCAAAAGAAGGTGGTCTTGCCTCCAACTTTGCATCTGGAGGAAGCTTTCAATGATGATCTACAGACTCTGTTTCAACGATTGGACAACTCTCAGTTTGACGCAAGTCAGCGCGGCGGTTTGCAAGATTTCTACTATGTCCCTGACCTCGCTATTCCACCTACTAAAACAAGTCTTGGTATTACGTCTATCGAGATTCATCCCGACAGTTCATACCAGAATGTCATTCAAGGCCTGACAGAGTCCCCCGGTGCAACGGAGAGGCGAAAAACTGAGCGCAGAGAACGCTACAAAGACGATCCGTTCTATATTGCCTCCCTGGACAGTCGTTCGGGCACATCAACGCCTCCATTTGCCAACAATTCGGGCGCTGACCCGCTAGACATTGATTCCATTCCCATTGTTGACTTGAAATTAGATTCCAGTCTACCAAATCGTATGGATCGGGATGTTTCTAGAGTTCGCCAGGGACGACATAGAAAAATGGAAGTCGCAGCTGACGAGACTTTCGGAACTGAGGAAGCCCCATCCAGCAATTCACTGGTTGGCTCGGCCGGTGGTTCATCCAGCGCGAAGCGCTCACTACTACAGGTGGATTCGAGTGGCCTGGGGCATCTTTCACTAGCAAGCAACGACGGGCCTGAAGCCATCTTGGCGGAGGATGACGGCGACGTTGAGATGAAGAAGGCAATGCGAAATGTGGAGCAGATGCGTTTGCGCATGCAGCGGGCCTCGGAACGCATTCAATTGGAAGGGATTCCGACCGAAGGAACTCTCGTCAAGAAGAAGAAAAGCAGAAAGAAGGTCACATCCTCGTCAACCCCAGAGGTTAACATTGATGACGGCTCCTCCCAACCAGCAGAGTTGAAGAAGAAACGGAAGGAAAGGAAAGAGAAGTCAGCCAAAGCAAAGAAAGGGCTGCAAACAGAAACAGACATAGGAGAACCTGCGAGGGGACCGTCGGAAGCTCATGCTTAGCACCCCCGTTTGCATCTTGTGGCTCATCTTGAACAAATTGGTCGGAAATCGGAATGTGATTTACAATTTGTCTACAGGGCAGATCATAGCAATCTACAATTTCTGCCATAAAAGTAGCATATTTGAAAGCAGTAAACAAAGTTACGATCTCTTGTATTGCGATTTGTCAATGCGATATCGGATCGTAGGTGGGAAGGGATATAGTACATTGAAGGGGGTGAGGGTTGGGAGAGGCTCTTCCTAGCAGCACCGAAGCAGCAGCCATGCCCGGTCGCAATGGAGTGTTGAGTGTCGGGTGTAGACACAAGATCAAGGTTGAATCGTTCCTAGGGTATCTTCGAATGGAGGGTGGTGTAGGTTGTAGGCAGACGGTTCCTTCTACCCTGTGATTCGGGAGAGCATCGAGGCCACGGTATTCCAGATCTCAGGGACGATCCTGAGCAGCTCCAGAAGGAGGCCTCCGCACACAACAAAGGCCAAAATTACTGAACAATTGGGTTAGATTGGTGATCTAGCTTGCAAGTATGAGCTACATGTCGGTACATACCAACCCAGCTGGTTGAGACAGGCGACTTGTTCTGTTGTTTAGGCTTCGACACGGATGGCCCTTTGCCGCGCTTGGCGGCCTCGTTCTTAGCAAACCTTTCGTTTGCGCGGCGTTGTTGAGGAGTTTGAGCCTGGGGAATCGGATGAGTCAGTTTATCAGAGCCAGTGGCAATGCAAGACTTACCATTGTCGTGGTGGTAACTTCAGCTCGAGATCGAGGAGGTCCAAGATGGGAATGGAAGAATTAGAGACGGAGTCATGAAAACGATGATGATGCATAGGGGCTTCTTATCGTTATCAGTCACAACGCCGCCTAACCCGATTTGGCCAGAAAGGCCACGTTTTATTGCACCCGCGACTCCATCCAAGTACTATAGATGGTACACTATATCAAGTCATGCTCCTAAAAGCTCAATCTATCCTCGAGGTCTGGCATCTCCCTGTATTCATCTTCCTTGTATCCTTTCATTCGGAGAAAATAGACTCATAATCAGCGTTAGCACCTAATTTCAAATAGATAGTAGTAGGCAATAATCACTAAGAAGAACGGTAGTATTACGCGGTGCCTGCTAGTCACTATGAGTAAGTGCGGAGAGGGTAACTTAACTATAATCACCTTTTTTATTATAGAGTACTTTCGGTATATATGGGCCGTGGGCCTAGATTGCCATTTTGAATCCTGCCTGCTTACTAAGTAATCTTCCCGGTTCAACCGCGAAAACACCATCTTGTTTACCCCTCTCTCTGATCTATTAATTTAATCTTCAACGATCTCGTCAATATTGCCTATCTAGGCTAGAGAATACTTAACACTCTAAAATAACCTTAGATATTCTTGATGTCTTTATATAATATTTACTATATACCTTATATTATAAATTCTACCTTATTTCCTGTTGGAATTGGGTATGGTGCATAAAACCGTGGTAGAAATCGTTCGTGCGCACTAATCTTAATGTGTTAGATATCAGGCAAGATGCCTAAGCCGTCAGGCAGTATATCAAGCTAGATTCATGAGTGTCATACAGAGGGCAAGATGCCTAAGCCATCAGGCCAGCATATCAAGCCAGATTCATAAGGCCTATACCAAGACAAGAACGATGTTCTGAATCTCTATAAGCTTTATGCTATTATATCATCATTATCCAATCGGATAATCAGGCATGAATAGATGCATCATAGTCATGCGATCTACATCATCATTACGATTGAATTACATCGTACAATCAAGCAAATGCAAATCAAACAGTTACTGTATGAAATCATCATACATCTAGATCTATCTGCATGAGATCACTATGTATCTAGATGCATTTGGATTGATCATATGCAAGAAATAAGTTTGATAAGTTTGCATAAAACATTGATTATAAATATGCCCTACTTTCTCTACCAAGATCTTATACATATACACACATTAATATTCATAAGCAACAAGACGATTCAATATTGTGAGCAAGCGATGCTGCGCAGGTTGGTAAAGAGGAAGATAAATTAAAGATGATTAAATAAGATCGATTGATCTTTCTTCCTCTTGATTGAATAGGAAGGATAAGTTCAATTCGGCTTGGGATTATAAAGGTAAGAGAAAAGTGAGGTAGGACTGAAGCTTGGTTGATTATATTGAATCTTGCTGATCTGTATGATTGATATCTTGGTAGAGAAAACAGGGCATATTTCTAGTTATCTAATTAGCTACTACTAAAATAGATTGCTAGGTCTTTCGTTCTATATAGGTAGGAGATTAGATAATCTACTACTGTGAGATATTCGGTGTGAGATATAGGGCAAGATACCTAAACCGTCATACAGTATATCTGTGAGATATAGGGCAAGATGCCTAAACCGTCATACAGCATATCAAGCCAGATTCATAAGGCCTATACAAGATGGCTGAATCTCAATAAGCTTTATGCTATTATATCATCATTATCCAATCGGATAATCAGGCATGAACAGACGTATCATAGTATACGATCTACATCATCACTACGGTCAATGACACGATCTACATCATCACTACAGTCAATGACATCGTACAATCAAGTAACCACCGATCAATCAGCTACTGCATGAGATCACTATGCATCTAGATCTATCTGCATGAGATCATCATGCATCATCTAGAACGATCACATGCAAGAGACAAGTTGATTATAAATATGCCCTGCTTTCTCTACCAAGATAATAATCATGTTAAAAACATACAAGCAAGATTCAATACAATCAACCAAGCTTCAGTCCTACCTCACTCTTCTCTCATCTTATCTTTATGATTCTAAGCCGAATTGATTTTATCCTTCCTATTCAATCAAGAGGAAGAAAGATCAATCGATCTTATTTAATCATCTTTAATTTATCTTCCTCTTTACCAACCTGCGCAGCATCGCTTGCTCACAATATCAAGCTAGATTTATAAGGCCTATACAAGATAGCTAAATCTCTATAAGCTTTATGCTATACCATCATCACTACAGTCAATGACATCAAGTAAGACGTATATAACAGTATACGATCTACATCATCACTACGGTCAATAACACGATCTACATCATCACTATAGTCAATAACATCGTATAATCAAGCAACCACCGATCAAACAGCTACTACATAAGATCACTATATATCTAGATCTGTCTGCATAAGATCATCATACATCATCTAGAACGATCACATACAAGAGACAAGTTGATTATAAATATACCCTGCTTTCTCTACCAAGATAATAATTATGTTGAAGATATATAAGCAAGATTTAATACAATCAACCAAGCTTTAGTCCTACTTTACTTTTCTCTCATCTTTATGATTCTAAGCCGAATTAAACTTATCCTTCCTATTTAATTATCAATCAATCAATCAATCAAAATTCATTGGCCTGATTTAGCTTCCTTTACATACAGGTGCTATACGGGGGTTTGTTATCTTGCTTTTCTAGCAGCGGACACAGAGAGAAAGCAGTGGTAGAACCTGCTAGCCAAGCCGCCGGCGAGAGGTAGCAGTGCCTAGGGCCTAGTTCTGCGTTAGGCCTGGCTAACAGCCAGGCTCGCTACTAGCCAATCAGCCTAGCTATAGCACGGGCCATAGCTACAGCCGTAGCTATAGCACGGGCTGCAGAACTAGGCCGCCTAGGCCACCGCCTATGCGTACAAGAAGGGAAGTAGTGCAAACGCAGCAAACAAACAAAGCTAAACAAGCTAAACACTAACAAAGGAAACAGACTAAACGAAAGGAAGGGGAATCGCTATAATCCCCGCAGTCTCCCAGTCCCCTCAATCTCTTAACGCCGCTAACCCCTAGCGGTCGCCACAAGCTACATAGCCCTCGTAGATAGTTAACCCTAACCGTCAAATCCTTCAATCTCTACCGAATCCCCTGCCTTCCTGCTTCCGAACGTCCCTATCTCCGAGCACCCTTATTTCTTCCTCCTATAGTCGGTATCTACGATTCACCGAGATCCCGTATTACTAGGGTGCCTCTACCGCGTAATACTACTCCCCCGTTACTACGTTCTCGGTCGGCCTAATCTCGTATCGATAGAATACTCCGAGGCGTTATACACTATACAAAAACACTACGTCGGCTATAGCCGCTATTATACGTATAATAGAAGTTAAGGAGGACGGGTAGACCTAGTACCCGCCCTCTAGTATTAAGCGTTATCGGGATCCTACTCCTACTATCTCTAGATAAGAGATTATTTATCTTAATCTAAAGGGGAACTAAGAGATTCCTAAGCGTCTCCTAGTCCTCCTAGTTCTTCTAGTATAGCTAGTTCTTATAGTTCTTCTACGCCTATAGCTATCGGGTCTATATCGAGGAATTAGCCTAGAAGCCCTATATTTAGTATAAGTTTAGCTATAAAAGGCCTTGCTTCCTTCCTGCTAAGTAGTTTATCTGTTCTAATAGCTATCGAAACGCCTATACTAGCTAGATATTAGTATATATAATCGCGTAGGTTAACTAGCTAGGGGCAGGCTAATAAGATATATAAGATAGTCTAACGCTCTTAATCGTATATATACTAGTTAGTCTCTATATAGTTAATCTTAGCTAGATACCCTTATAGGGCAATCCGGCCTATACGTAGCTAGATAAGAACTAATATAGTTACCTTTCGTAGTCCCTCCTAGTACTCTAGGACCTTCTTAATTAGCTATTTAATAAGACGTTTAGTTAGTCGCGTAATAGTATAAGGGCTAGTAGTTTATTTCTACTAGGATTACTCCTAGGTAAGCTTAGCTTACTAGCGTATATAGCGTTTAACGGCTACTATAAGGATAATAAAGATATCGTCTACCTCTCTCGTAGTACGTAGAGTAGCCCTTTTAGCTACTTTATTAGTAGCCTTATTACTAGGGATCCCTTTATATATAGGGATCTATCTAAACTCTATATTAATCCCTTAACCTTCGAGCTAACTAGCTAGGTTGCTAGTCCCCTAAAGGTAGACCTAGCTAGAGGGTATACGTAGGTAGTAGAGGGCTCGTAGTACTAGTTAACTATTAGAGAAAATCACTAACCTAGAGGCTAACCTCTCTTCCTAGTATCCTTCTAGTATACGATTCCTAACTAGCATAAGAGATATTTCGATTACGCGAATCTCTACCGAGTATATAGTAGAAATTTCCTTAGTATCTATCTACCCCTAAAGCTTCTATACTCTGTTAGAGCCGACTACTATACTAGCTCCTATACGATCTTAGTATCTACTACCATCGGTATAAATCACTAGGGGCTATAGGTATCTCGCGATAATTTTGTTATACTCGCTAGTCGTAGTCTCTCTCTCCTAGATTACTACCTTTAGAGATACACGCTAGGGGGGTCAAATATATATAATACGGCTCTCCTAGTGAAACTCCCGGCTAGGAACCCCTAGGAGAGCTATAAGGTATCTACCGGCCCTCTAAGCGATAGCCTCTATTAGTGAAAATCTACTAAGCTAACGCTACGCCCTAGTACGCTTATTAATAACTATTAGTAGGATAGCGAAGAGTAGTCCTGTTCGTAAGCGAATTACCGTCTCGCTAACTATCCTTTCTATTAGAATTTATATAGGTATAAGATAGAGCTCTATATATAGAGCGGCTGCTATAGTGGTTTTAAATATACTACTAATTAGGTAGGCTACTTTATATTAAATACTCTTAAAAGGTCGAGAGATAGCTACGCGGCGCCTCTTAG